GAGGGTGGAGTATGAAAAGGTGCTTCAAATTGACAGAGCTATATACTCAGCTCATTTTGGGGTGACTGGGGGTGACCAAGGCATTAGTCAAATAGGTGAGGGTATTTAATATGCTGGTGGTCAGCTAACCTGATTTTCTGGATGCCATTAATTATAGGCTTGTGTAGCATAGTTGGTGGCCATGTATCTTAAGATTTCTGTTTTTTTATTAGTTTCTGAATGCAAGTATAATTGTCCCAGTCATGATGTCAACCAGTTGGCATCATGCCATAAGAAGTTCACTCTCTGCAGGTAAAACTCTTGGTATTCCTTCATCCTAGCCTCCTGTATTGCCCTTTCCAGTTCTTCTTCATCAGTGTCCTCCTGGAGGCCATAACTAAGCTCCCCACCTGCTCATAGTGGTTTGCTTTCTTCAGTGCCTTCATCCTCTTCATCCTTCTCTTCCTCTAGGGGAAAGGCAGTGAGTGGGTTGTAGAAAGTCTTCTCTTCTCCTAGCAGTCATATTGTTGATCTGCTGTTCTGACTGAGCATCAGATCTATCAGTGGGATCCAAAAAGTCTGATGCATTGATGTAGGTGGTGATGAGCCAACTGCCAATATTAGTATTATAGCAGTTGCCCCCTGTTGCTTATGCTGCCACCATTTGCTTATGATAGAGACAGACATTTTGTCAGTGTCCATCATCAAGGAGCTGGCTGACCACTTGGCTTCTGAGAAATCCTCTGAGGGCACAAGCAGAGACATAGGCATTGCTAGAGGCTCATAGTCTATAGTGCTCAAGAACAGACTCATCGTCCTCAAACATGGTATCAGTGCTAAAGGTTCATCAGAGAGAGAGATACTGAGAGGTCAGAGGGTGCTGAGAAGGTCCTGAGGTATCATTCCTGGAGGAGGTTCCTCCATTTCTTATTCCAGCTTCTGCAGTGAAAGGTTCTGCTGCATCTCATGAGTCAGGCTCTGTGCTGGGTTCCCTAAATACCAGAATCAAGAGAGATCAATCAGCACAGATAGATACAAGTATGGATACAACCTCAGGCCAGAGTTCATATCAGTTGGAGATGTTAGCCCTCACCAGTTGAGCCCTTTCAATATTTTGCTGCTTCTCCTGATGCTGCCAGTCATACTAGGCAGCCACAGTTGCTTCTCTTCTCTGTCTGCCTTCCTCAATAAGGTGCTCCTCAAGCTCACTGTAAACTGGCTGCAGTGCATTTCACTGTCTCTGCTCTTCCTGTCAAAGGGCATTGTCATAGTTGAAGAGGACATTAAGGTCCCATGTGAGGAAAAGTCAGTGGATGATTTCATTTCAGTTCTCCCTGTATTATCACTCATCATTGAGCCAGTCCAAGAGTGACCTCCCCAGCTCACTACTTGTCCTGACAGAGTGAGTGGCTGGACTAGAGGTACTCTTAGACTGGCTTCTAGATGCTGGGCCACAGGGTCCTGGAGCTATCTGAGTGGCATCAAGAGAATCTCAGGTATGGTCAGCAATCCTGTGGGTGTGAGAGGCAGTGGAAGAGAGAATGAAAACTGGACTATGCTCTCTGTCAGAGATGGGGGCCATAGTCTAAGAGTTTCTAAATCCTGTGATGTGAGGGTTGCTACTTCTGCTGAGTCATCAGAGAGAGTATCAGTGTCTTTCTTCTTCTTGAACATTCCTTTGATGTGGGCTGCTAGGTCCTGCTTTGGGTTTGAGACTTGTTGGAGGCTGGTGGGACATTCATCTGGATTCAAGGATGTCATGGAAAGGGAGATCTGGGATTACATTGCATAGGATTTATCAGATGTGTTGAAATTCATTGTAGTATCTAATAGCCTAAGCAGTGATTGAATGGCATTCTTGGCACAGCTGAATGATCACTAATAATCCAAGTAAGGTACCAACAATAGATGTGAGAAGTTCAAAGAATTCTTGGTCAAAATCTGGGTTTGATGTGTTGATTGAGGGCATTCAGTTTCTTCCACACTATAGTGCATGAAGAAAAGGAAAAAGAAGCTTCAAGCTAATTGTTAGACTCAAGTGTCACATGAACAGATACATATGATAAGCAGATGTCATCTCACACTTCAGGTGATCAACTGGATTCACTGATGCATGATCTGATTGGTGTGTCACAAGGCCTTGAGAACTGGCTCAAGTATAAGATGAGATAGAATAAACTTTAGCTCAAAGCTGGGGATTACCAGTGAGAGTGAGCTGTCTTAAATACTGTACAAGTCATAACTAATAATAATACTATCTATTGTGTGTTATCAAGTCCTTTGTACTCATTGTCCTTAAGTATCATTACTATACATAAAAGGTTGATTGTGCATTATTGGGCAATGCTGTTGCATTGAAAGACAATGACAGACTCAGCCAGTTATGATGACTAAGCCTTGTCTCATGGTCTTAAGTGCTTGTCTTTAGCACTCTGACTAAGCATAAATAGGGGTTAATCAAGGAATAAAGTGAAAAAATCATAACATAAAGAGTAAGATGTCTTGAAAATTATTGGATAGTGTGGTGGACTGTGACTCAGATGCATTGTCAGGCATTATACCAGTGTGTTTCCAGCAGTTTGCTATTATTTCACTGTTAACATTTGCCCAAGCATTATGAGCAATAGTCATAGCTTCAAGGAGATCAAGCTTGAAGATCTCAGACTCTCTAAAATCATCAGAATCAAGTGCATGAATACACATAGTATTCTGATAATGTGTCTTGAAGCAGTGGATAATACCAGCATCTAGCAGCTGAATATATGGAGTCATATTGGGCTTAAAGAACTCCAGCTTTGTGTTATAGGGTGTATAAGTGATGAAATGCTCTCAAAAGTTGTCCAAGGTCAGCAGAACCTGTCATATCTCCTTTTTCATCTTTAAATCAAACATCTTCACCCACTCTGTAAATATTTTGCTCATTATTCAGGCCTTCTTGTTATTTCAATAATAGAATCCCATTGCTGTTGGACTCTTTTTTTTGAAACACTGTGGTTGCTTTGACTTTTCAATGAAAATAACTGGTATCTGCTCACTTCCATCTGCATTCACAGCAAAACACATGGTGATGCAGAACTTGTCCTGTTTCTGTCCACTCATAGGACCAGATGCCAAGGTATGATCTGGAATGGCAAAGATGATAAGATCAGATTTATCAATATTCTATCTGTCCTGCATCACATATTTCACCATAATGCTGTGAAGGCACACACATTCTTTTTCCACTGCCACCATATCCACTGAGCCTGCTTCTCCATGCCATCAAACCTCCTGAATCTTCCATGCCTTGCAGAATGACCTCAACCATCTCTCTTCTTTCAAACACTGATCCTCTGGAATATTCATCAGATTTTCAATCTGATTTTGCTTCTCTATCAGCATTGCACCAGTCACAGTCTCATCTCAGAGCTGCATATTCTGATACCAAGATGCAACAGCATGCTCCACATCAGGTCAGGTGACAATGTGAGACTTTTTGGATGATAGTGCATTAGAGTTCTCATTTGCATGCTGTTTGATTTTTATATGAGATGCCAGTTTCCATGAAAGAGTTGGTTGGGTAAAGAGCAGTGCATCTTCCTTTCAGTTTGCAAAATATACCACAATGTCAGCATGTTGATGGGAAGGATGGTTATCAACATGTTTGAATACTATGAGCCAGTCTCCTGTTGTGAGGTGTGGGTGGGAGATCTGCTTTGGAGGCTGAGCTGATGATGTGTACATTAGGACTTTCTCCTTCTGTTTTGTATGCTCATATGGATTTCCAGGTTTAGCATGTGGTTTTCATGTTGGTTCAGGAGGCATGTTTATAGAGATATAGGCTGCACCATTTTACAATAATTTTTTTTGTGTTTGTTATAGTCTATACAAACAAATTATGTTCTTTATTGTTCTAATATATGCACAATGTTGTATCGGCTTACTACAATTTTGGATCTGACAATGCATATTCCTAACTAAAACCATATGCATTATGCAATATACATTTCTAGTCTATTTCCCTGCTCCCCAACTGTGTTCCAGCCCAATCCATATGCAAAGTCAGAATTATGCATTTTGACATCATGCATTGTGAGATAGTCAACTGTACCACTGATCACATATATCACTTACCATGTAACCATATGGCACGGAGAGACTCATGTTCTGTCATCTTGAACACACTCGTTCTGTCTAACTTGGGATAATTTGTGAGGTCAGAAGTGTCCAAGTGCCAGGATTTTGGAAGTTGCACCGCTATTACTTTGCCATCATCTGAAATTAATGCAGCCACAGCTTCAGCGTGGTCGCAGAGAACTCCGATAATACAATTACATGTTGATGCACTTGGAATGCCATCCCTTTCATGCGTGATTACGGACCTTTTCGATGGCCAATTGAATGCCCTTCAATTCTCAAATCACGCTCGCCGTTGCGATCTCGAACGTGGCAATTGTCGTTCGGAGCCTGAGCCGTATCGTGTAGAGACATAAAGAAGCGTCTGATAAGTTGGCCGGCCGCCTAAGCCGCGGAACAGTTCCTTCCGATCCAACGATGGAAGAGGGCATGGGCCAAGCGCATCATCCTCTCGTATACAATAACTGAGTACTTCTGTGTGGGATTCGCTCACTCCCCCGCTGTTCCTCGATTAAAGATAGTGTCCAATTCTTTGCCTCAGAAAAAAACAGAGCCACCTTTAGATCGAGACGTCGTTGGGTTTAAACTACCCCAGCAATGCAGAGGGTTCAAGCATTTTCTGCACGTGTGCAGTCTATGAACACGACACATCCGGGGAATGCCAGTGTAGCTGAAGGTGATGAGTGTATTCATCTGAACAGCAATGAATATTCTCTGGAGATTCTACGCTTCAGTGGGCTCTCCGATATCTTCATTCCACTTCCAAGAAGTGGTCAGCAACGGGAAAACAATAAGTCAATGATAAACCCTACAATATCTGGATGTCGCTGAATAAACTGCTGCATCATCTCCCTAGGTTCCTCCAGCGCTGTTGAATGAAATAACTTCCAGGTCGAACGGCCAGTTTAAACATACGTGCCAAGGTTGATAACTTCAACTCCCCGTTCTTTGAGAAAAGACTCCGGACCTGTAAATGTCGTGTTCTCACCAATGACGACTCGTGGAATGCCAAATAGAAGGCATGCGCCGGAGCACTATGATAAACTGATAATTCGTTTCCGGTAAAACCATGAAGGACTGGAGATACCAACCATCGGACATGGCGATAGAGTAGTGTACATTGTACACTTTGAGTAGACACTTGGTGGCAGGCGCCCAGCAGTGTTCAAACAGTCTGTTTCACCGTGTTTGATCGCACTATTCTCCTGTACCCTTCTGTTACGCCCTACAGCAATGATCTCTCCGGTGTCATCCATCAGGACAGCTCCAACTAGAAGGGATTCAGTATGAGTCATGTCGAGGAAGAACTTTGAAATCGCACTGGGAATACCGCCCTCCATAAAACCAATCCTAGCTTGTTCAATGGCGTGTTGCATACCCTTCAGATCGCGCTCTGACGGTGATTCAGTTGCAGCAGTTTTCTGTTCAACATTTCCGCCGGAGAGAACCATAATTGTCACAGAAAATCCAAGGTCCCCAGACGAAGGTGAAGAAAGAGATGCCAAACAGATGAAGATCACGACCAGCTTCTACATCGTGATTAGCGGAGAAGGATAAGAACTCGTAGCCGACGGCATTAAATAACCGGCAGTAACTTAAAAAAATGGAGGTTCTACAGACAGAATTATTGTGGTTCCACAAATTTGGTTGGTTAAATAACGCAAGGTAGTAGTACTACTGCTAGTACACTAAGTATAGGGACAGGGCAGAAGTATAGTGGTGGTCAAAATCACGCTGCGATTGCGTGACCGCGATAGCTCAAGCTTTTGCTCCTTTTGCTGCTACCACCACCTCATGCAGGCAGCATGAATCCGTCCGTCTTTATCCAGCACTACACCGCACCTCTCAATCAAGACATCCATATATTAGGCGCGTTAAATAATGTTCCCAGCCGAGACTTCGTCGCCACTGCTTTTCAGGACACAGCGTGGAAGCAAAAGCTACGACGTCTACTGGCCTCCCTCGAAAATCCTGTCGCTGTATCGCGTAAGGTACTCAAAGATGCCATAGAATTTTCCATTCAATTGCAAGAGACAATTCAGATCTCGGGTCTTCCTCCCAGTGCAGGAGACAAGGACCGGGAGCAACAAGCCTTGCAGCGCGCTGTCGCTAACAAAGTAGCGGTTGCCCTGTATGCCAATGCTATGGACGTATTTCTTTCGGAATCCATCGAGCTAGAAGATGAAGCTGAATGGTGGGAGGATGTCGAACGTTCTTGGGTGAATGTGTTTTGGTATCTCCTTCAAAGTATGTGCGTCTTCTCTCCTCGACTCAGACCTGTTATCTATCCGATATTACATGTTCAAAATTTTATGCAGCTACAACAATAATAGCATTCTGATTATCTTCAACTTCCAGCTTTTCCCGTCCGATGCATCAATGTCTGGAAGGTCGTTTTGAATGCGGTTCAACGCGAACATCGCTCAGCATTCACTTTCGCTGCTCTTAGTCAACCCCTACGGTCTCCCTTTCAGCCGTCTATCCTCTTAGCTTCTCTCTTTCCCCACACTACGTCTCAAGCACTCTCTTCGCTCTTCTTGCCATTGACACCCCCGTCAGTCGGTTGTCTCCATACTCTCAGGAGTGCCGTCATGCGATGCCTCCATTCATTATGGAGGTTCACTATCATGCCGTTGGAGTTAACCAGGACTGAATGTCACCTCAAGAAACGCGAACTACGTAACATGAGGGATGAAAGGGCCACAATTCTGGGGAACCTTGGCACCTTGAGACAGTCACTTGCCGATTCATTCCAAAGTCTCCATGACGAAGACGAATATCTGGTTCCCGAGCTTTCCATATTTGCAGGAGTTCTAAAAGGCGTGATCCAAGGGAAGGCGCCGGACAAGTTTGAGAGCAGAGCCTCGGGGCTCTCAGATTTCCGTGACATCCAAAATGATATTCTCCCTTCATGCATAACTGCCTATGCAACTACCCTCGAAGAACGACAGCTTCGTAGACCATCTCAATTCGTACTGCTATGGCCGAAATTTCTCCTGGTGCCGCCTTTAGTGGCATACACCATCAGTTCTCTATATGCTTCTCGAGCCAGTTTAGCACAGATGGCATTGGATGCACATGAGACTGTCAAAAGCTTCATTCTGCGATGGCTAGTAGAGCCTTGCATGGACATCATTCATACTGTTCGTGCTCGCGGCGAAGACGGGGTCATTGTCCAAAAGGAAGGCGTAACGGCTGACCTTGAGGTATGTCATGAACCCCTTCATCATCATTTCCACTCAGAATATTCTCCAGTCATTGGAACGGATGACCGTATCGCTTGCTAAGGAGCACCTTCATTACGGCTCTGACGAATTAGCAGAGCTCTCCAAGCAAGTCAAACTTGGAGACATCACGCCCGTCCTCAAGTTGTATGAAAACGACATCCGCAGCCCTCTCAAATCTGTGATAACAGGAAATCTCCTTCGGACGTTATTCATTCAAGTCCAGAAGGCTAAGGTTTACAGCGCTTTTGTTTCCCCATGGTTATTCCATTAACCCGTATTTCAGGTTGACATTGATCAAGCTCTATTCGGAATTGACAAACTATTAAAGTCCCAAGGTCTGTAGATTAATTATAAATGACACTGATCCTGATAGAAGTGTGCAGAACTGACATTCGCCTTCGTCGGTGTGGCACCTGCCTTTGGAATCGTCTATCTTCTCGGTGGCTACCTCAGCAGGGTCTGGACTGGTGGTCGAGGGCAAGGCCGATATGGCGGTAAACATAAACGCACCAGCGTTTGGTTCGTAATGCGGTATGTGTGTCCTAATGAAGCTTGGCATGTCCCGCTCATAATACCAACTGTAGTCGTATAGAACGTCTTTTGACTTCTGGACCGCAACATGCTACCTACGGCCAACGTATCTCTCCCCTTACAGCCGGACTGCTTCTAGTGTCCGTCGCCTATCTCCGCGCATACGGAGAAAAGTATCTTCCTTCTCGTTCCCGACTCCGTGAAGGATTTTTGGAAGATGTAGAAGATCTGTCGAATCCTAATCTTGATAGACATGAGAAAAGAATGGTGATTGAAAGAATGTGGAGGAGTTGGGGTTATACCCTTGGATGGGGCAGACTCGAGGGCAGTGAGAAGCTGATGATGTGAACGAGATGTTCATAACTCGAATTCTATACGAGCACCTCGGTCGACCAGTCTGGGGACCTGAGTCTTCATGAAAGCTGCAGCACTTTGCCACAGTGACGAGTCCATGAAGAAACGAAATTTGACTACTCGTATGGAGGGAAGTTGGGATAAGATATGGTCGACTTGAGACCAATGAACTTTTTGCAGAACGTCCACGGTATGTGCTGTTATTGCGAAACGAACACATTCCAAGTTTTCGGACTTTATTTGGGATAGTAGGTCTGATAGCCATGGGAGGCCATCAATGGCAGACATCCTATTTATGTCCACAGAACGCAAGTGGGTATTAGCAGCAAGTTTGAAACACTCTGCCGCAAAGGCTTCTGGTCCAGAAATCATTATTTTTCGGCTAAAAACGTAGAATGATCATGCTAACCTGGATGGGTATCATCAATTTCTGGCTCACACAGTGATATGTGCTCGAGCGAAGGGCCAAGCATGTGTGCAAATCTGCCTATGCTTTCCATGCTCATATCATACAGGGACGTAAAAGTTGCAGAGCGGATCTTTATATCGTGTTCCGTAAGCCAGTCTAGCAGAAAGGGAACGTACATCTGCTGTACGTTCAACGTGGAGAGCTGTGGAGGAGGGACAATCATGGGATTCGTCACCACGTGTCTAGGATCTTCAATGAAGCGTAGACGGCCGATGTCGAGGGAGGTCATCTTTGGGAAAGAAGCTATGAGTTCCAATGCCTCCATAGGTCTGGTGAATCGCGCGAAAAGTAAGGAAAAGGAGGTAACGTTAAGGAAACCGTTGAGCAATGCTTCCCATGATGGTGGGTTGAACGTGTCTGGAACAATCCAGTCAATCGTGAGATGCGTAACATTGAGAAGACATCGAGACAGTGTCGGAAGCGCCTGGCTGAGCCAATGACGCTCGTGAGGGTCCCGACCACGAAATTCATGAAGATTGAGCTTGTTAACGTATAATCCAATGTCTGCTGCGTCTAGGCAGAGGCATTTCAGGAACTTCGTTGCCCCCGTTGGCGATTGAAGATAAACTTCGTTGTAAATGTAATGACGGCTAATGGGCACCCAAGAGCGGCATACTAGGCAGCAGGCGCAAAACGCTCTGCGGTTATATGTGTTGAGGGAACCAATTATCCGTTCCCAAATTTCGATGGGAAGTGTCGATAGTGGCATTTGTCGCAATATCACGCTGTATGTCGTCGAAAGCAGAGAAAGGTGCAACTCGGAAAACTAACTCCGGGTCCGGACCGGAATCATGCATGATAAACTGAATGCACTGCCACTCAGAGCATGAATGTGGAAACTATGTTTTTTGTACAAAGTACAAATCGGTCGTAGGCAATTTTCAAAGCTTGAGCTACCATAGGTACATTGAGATCAACAAGCGAAGACATCCGGGCCTTGTATGATGGACATTGTCAGCAATGATAAATAAGATTTCAAGTCGAGGATCTCATACCTGGGGGTGTATAACTGCTGACACCAAAAATGGATGTGACAATACCCGGAGATGTGCCTAGAATGAAGGTTAAGCACTGGTACTGCTACTTCACATCTGGCTTACTGGTGTATGCGCCAGGGAAGCTAACTGTCGCAGGGCTAATAAACGCAGTGGCGCCAGAGATGGAAAGTTGTGCGCAGCTCATCTAAGCCAAATACTTGTCAGTATAGATAACACAGATATTGTTAATGATTGTATCCTCACGAAAAATTGAGCACCAGGGTAAGACGTGGCAGATGAGAGATCTATCGTTCGAGTACAACTCAGAAACGGTCGACGTGATTCAAATCGTGGTACTTACTAATGGATTCCGCTCTGAGCAGGTAGTTGCCGGATGCCAAACAGGTTGGAATTGCGAACGATGCGTTTCCCCCGTTAAGGAATAGATGGTCCGAGCCCCATTGGTGTGTCACAGAATCGTAACCATCTTCCCATATTTTGAACCATTCGAGACCTGGTATGCGTGAGCAATGCCTCAGAACCTACGATGATCTTCTTGCCTGTAACGTTAGATTGCGTTGCGTCAGGGATGCTCGCGCTATATACCTCTTAAATTATTTTGTCAATCCAGAAGATCTGGGCTTACAGATAAGCTAAGACTGGTCCTATAATAAATAACAGATGAGCGACAGAATTATCCAAGATGATTCTCAAGTTTGACCTTTGTTTGTAGGATCAAGTGGATCGGACGGGTCGGGTCCCACATACCCTGCGCTCGTGTGATGGAACTACATCGAAGGTCGTCTTGAAAACCCGACAGATATTAGGGTCTATCATGATACATACTTGTGCAGTGACTGTGTCTCCAGCCACGACACTGATAATGGCGTCAGAAACTGGTTGTATGAAGTTCGTGTTGCATATCAAGTCGTCGCTTTCGATGTCAGTGATAGGCTAAGGGTGTGTCCACGTCAACAGCGACCGCTACGTAGCGCTGGGAGAATACATACGGCATTAGATGAAGGGACCCGAACGCCTACAGCGTGCCCTTGATCGACACCGTTGACAGAAACGGCCTACAGAACAAAAAATAAGGGTCTGCGCCAAAGTCTCAGCACAACATTCAACTCACCGAAAAAACGGTCCTGGCGTCCGCGAGTAACGCAGCAGCAGTGACAAAGATGAAGAGTGCGTTCTTTGCTTGAATCATACTTCAATGCGTTCAACAACCTATCGGACTCGCAACTTTATATTATTCTGTTCGTTCAATAAGATGGAGCCAGCGCATACACAGCCTAGTGCGTACCTTGGGAATCTAAAAGTAGCATCTTGACTTGCCAGCGATGCCCCAGGAAGACGTATGACCAGCGAGGATTCAGCGAAACGACGTGGCTGATCAGTAGAGAGTTCAATGACGGAGAAATGCCTTCATCTCCATCTCTTCAAAGCGACATCATTCCCAAGACTGTATCACCGTTCGTCTGTGAATCGATGTCCTCGGTCAGGGACATGAAAATGACGACATGTTAATCGGACAGAGGTTCAGACTTAAAACGAACGTCGTACAATGGTGCCTCAGGCTTAGAATAGCACGATCACCGAAAATCAATCGTAACTTGCTTGGCAGGGGAGTGGTGTCAAAATCAATCATGGTATTCCAAACAAATATCCATTTCAAATAGTAAGTATGCATATGGTTTGCAGTAGAAAGCGGGACTGAGTTTATAGGCACTGGCTGTACTAGAATCACGATTTTGTCAGCATGCATGATGGTAAATTTTCAGGACGCGAAACATACGTAGTCGTTGAGGTTCTGGCACGTAAACGGCGAAGCACAAATGGTTGGTCCCGTGTATCTACACGCTCTGTTAGAATTTACTATAATAATCTTGAACCAGACACCGACGATGAACCACCACACTGCCCGTATTGTGCAACAGTAGCTCCCGAGGTTGGGGTAGCAATAACAGCGGATGTTGTAGAGGCGGCTTCGCCGGTGGCAGACGAAGCAGGAGCCGATGAAGGCACCGGAGTGTTACTGCTACCGCTGCAGCTGAACACGGAAGGCCCTGGATAAAGGGGTGTTCATGCGTTGATTTCAGGCTTAGGGCTTTCATACCTGGAATAGTATAGTTGGACAACGGCTCGTAGATGTTGATTTTTATGCCGGGATCGGTACCTAATGTGGCGATGAGAGAGAGGTAAATAGTGCAGAACAGATGTGTTACCCTTGTAAGCGCCAGGGAAGGACACTGTTGCTGGTGACGCACTACCACCTCCCGTGATTTGCAGTTGCGCACATTCCATCTAGAAACTAGGATTGGTATCCTAATAAAAAAATTCAAATGATGCACTCACGTAAAATTGAGCGCCAGGATAACTTGACGCGGCATGTAGAGCTACGGTCGAAGGAAGTAAATATTTCAAAATTTTGGGCATGGGCAAAACGTTTACCAATGAGTTCTACCCGCAACAAGTATTGCCCAGCAGCAACGCAACTTGGGATAGTGAAACTGACCTTGCCCTTGTTGGCTATAAGTGTATCCACGGCCCATACACCGTTGGAATAGCCGTCTTCATAGATCTTGTACCATTGCAGACCCGTCACCGTGCTCTGAGTGGCATTGGGGACCTGAGCTCTGAAAATCAATCAATGAAAATAGTTACAGACGAACGAACGAAAAACTGACAAATAAGCTAAGATAGGACCTTTGTGAGAAGGATCGACCGGGTCCGCTGGGTCACTAGGGTCAGCCCCAGCCAAGGTGTGGTGTCATTCGGCGGTGACCTGAGAGCCCGCCGCAACAGGGATAACAGTCATTGACATTGGTTGGTGGTATGGATTTATACCACCGTTGCAGATGATGTCGTTCGAAGTGACATCCGTAATAGGCTTGGGTGAATTTTATAAGTACGCGCAAATAGCAGACCATTAATCAGACGTACACCATCGTAATCAGGAACACGAATACCGGTTTCGTGTCCTTGGTCCACGCCATTGACGTAGAGCTCCTATGAAGACATCAGCAGAGAAACAAATAGCAGGACAATAGCATACTTGGAAGATAGTATGTGCCGAAACAATTGCAGCATAGAATAGAAGAGTGAGGTACGTAAACATGGTGGACAATAAAAAGGCCTTGAGAAATCTTGCGCGCATTAAGGCTCTGTTTTATATGTATATACAATGGAGTGATAGCAAAAGTCAATTCGTAGACGGGTATACCCTGAAAAATAGTGAAGGTTATTCATCGGAACACCAATGCCGGGGAGCCAGTGAATAGGAAGGGGATTGGAGGATTGGGTGAACTCCGGAGATGAAATACATAGACCAGTCCGGCGCATGGACCTCGCTATCACGCATGTTCGTCGGGATGTCTTTGAGATCAAGGTCTAATCGTTCCGAAAATGATGGTCCTGGATCAGATATCGAGGGAATGAAGGGGTAACTGAGGTGATTTGTGGTATTTGAAAGCACAAAGGCGATATCCAGATGCGGGTTGCTCTGACCAACCTCCCATTGCTTTCTGTCATCATGGTCAGGACCCGTTTTGTGCAAGTACAATTCACGGAGAAATCAACTCAACTCGCCCGTGTTTTATCCTCCGGTCTCAACATCTCGCCCTTCAGTCATCCCTCCACACAACTTGGCCATTTGCCCAGCGGTCACCCCATATGACCCGTTTATGATATACCTTACGCAAATCCTTGAACTCCTTGACAAAGTCTTCGATGTCTCTGCCGTTTGGCGTGCCCGTCCCTGACGATGCACCAGAAGTAAGCGGCATCGGCTTCTGCTGCTGGACAAAAGCAGAGGCAAGAGATTCTGAGGCATCGTCTTGGGCCGTCGTAGCATGTCGTAGTCGCATAAGCAAGAATTGAGGTGTGAAGCGCTAGTCTCCTGTCAGTATCACTGCTGATGCAGGCGCAACGAACGAACCTGGTAGACGTCCTTTTGCTCCTTCTCCAGCTCTTTCCACCTGGCCTCAAGAGCCTTGGATTCGTCAAATGCCTCTTTGGTTTCTGATCGCAAGGCATATAGACTATCTTGTAACGCCAGATTGTTCTCTGATGATACAAGTGAGATATATAGTAGTAATTATAGGGGATGCCTACATACTAGCAATTGCTTCGTTTGCCATGCCAAGCTCAGCCTGAGCTTGAAACATTGCCTTGACTCGAGGAAGTGAGTGGAATACAGCCTGAAAATATGTATGGTCGGTGAGCAAATCTTCCAAGTCTTCGCGACTGCGAAAGACAACATTAGCTAGCTGGCCAGCAATACACGGTTGACTTCCGTACGATAGATGAGCGAGCTCGGGAAAATCACGCAGCAGCTGTGTAGAGAGGTCAGAGGACATGGCGGGACGGGATCAAGGTAATTTCCTTCTTTGTACTCGACGACCATGTCCATTGTCGTCCCCGGAGAGCACGTCCCCGCTCAACACGTCAATCTCAAGCTAGGTCCTGGTCTCATTCAGCTGTCCCAAGGATCTACATCCAGTGCGACGCCAAAGAGCAGTATAATTTCGACGCGCGCGGGCTCGCTTTACCATTCCGCTAACGGCAGCAAATGGTGGGTAGAGAGTAATGCCCGACGAGTAGGCTCTTTCATATATACACACAATATGGGTGTTGATACTATATTTTTAGTATGTTCCTGCCCCCCAGGAATCTGTCATTGGCATCGTGACACAAAAGGCCGGTGAAGGTTTTCGCGTCGACATCGGTTCAGCACATCCAGCGTCTCTGGACGGACTGGCATTCGAAGGAGCGTCAAAAAGAAATCGTCCCAACCTAAAGGTGCGTTTGATGACTGCTTTTGCATGTATGATATATTATTTTCATAGATTGGCAGCTTGGTTTATGCAAGAGTTTCGCTGGCCCACAAGGATATGGAACCTGAGCTAGAATGCTTTGACGCTCAAACACGAAAGGCTGAAGGATTCGGAGAGCTGAAAAGTGGTTTCATGGTACGTTGCAGTTTGGGCATGTGTCGAAAGTAAGGATTTACAACTCTTTTCACGGTCGCTACACTAATTAACCTCCCAGACTCCTTGATCCTAATCATTTCTTGCTACCCCTCCTGGGCGCCAAGGTATCACTTGAGGTCGCGGTCGGTATGAATGGTCGAGTATGGATCAATTCAAAGGAGACGAGACATACGATCGCGATAAGTCGATGTATTGAAGCCGCTGATCCTGACGGCAAAGGCATGGAGGAGGGTGAGATTAAGAAATTTCTGGGAACGTTGGACGCATGAAATGTATGTAGGCTGTTCCCTGTCTCCGTGGTCAAGATTAAGGCATTTTACTAGTGCCATAACGTACTTGTTTACAACTAATCATCCGCCATCCTTGGTCGCTTCCTAGGACGACCGGTCGATGTGGCTACTGACACGGAGTCGTCATCGCTCACAGTCCCTGCGCTTCTGTTACGATTCTGGGCCCGCTTCTTCCTCGAATACTCGCGGTCCCGTATCAGTTTATTCGCATGTGCTTGAGACGTTTGTGTTTGCGTAGCAGGTGGCACAGTAACTGTGGTGACTCCTCCTGCAGACAGTTTGCCAGGATCTTCACTCTCCGAAACTTCCCCCAAAAGATCCAATGACTAGATCAATGAATACCGAGCAATAGCAGAATGGACATCATACATACTTTCTGTATTGTCAGACTACTGTTAGAAAACACACGATCTTGGTCAGCGACTTCGTATCTCTTTCGGCCCGTGGTCTGGTTCTTAAGGAAATTGTCGAAACCATGAATGATGTTGCCACCGTGTTGAGCGATAGTCTCGGTGAGATATTGACCTTCTAACTTGTATATGTGAGACTCTATCTGTGCCTATGAGAAGGGGTAAGAAAGTGAAGAACTGAGGTGCTGAGCGCGCACCAAATTTTTGTCCGACTCCCGCTTCTTGGGAAGGGCCAATGCCAGCTCTCTCTTGAGGGTTTCATACCGCGTCTTGTCGTCAATTTCAGCAGCGGGCTGAGTGGCCATCGTGCCCAAGGAAGGGGCAATGTTTGGTCGTGCTTGGCTGACCTGTACGCGTCACTGTCGCGTTCGCAGACCATTCTGCCTTCCGACTTCTCTCCATCGTCATGTCGTCTGCTGCACCCCCACCAGATCCCCCGTCTAATGCCAACCCAGAGAAGCAGCCAGAGGACTCTATCTCCCCTGCGCAAGGTGAGGAAGTAGCCATGGACACGACGCCCGACCAACCGCCGGAGGAAAATTGGGAGGACATTCCCCAAGATATCATGTCACTCAGCACAGACGAAATTCTGACCAGAATACGCTTAATAGATAATGATATCAAGGTGCGTTATCGGATTTCTCTATGTGAACTGACTTCCTCATTCATCTCACAGGTTATGCGCTCAGAGACTTTACGATTACAGCATGAACAGAGCGTAATGAAGGAGAAGATTCGTGACAACGGGGAGAAGATCAAACAGAACAAGGTCCTGCCATATCTCGTTGGCAACGTTGTCGAGGTGAATAACATCTCTTATGAGCCTTGTCGTGACCTGACGTTCGTTAGATTCTTGACGTCGATCCTGAGGGCGAAGAGGATGGTGCTAACCAGGACCTCGACTCCATGCGAAAAGGAAAATGTGCTGTCATCAAAACCTCTACCCGCCAAACCGTCTTCCTTCCATTGATAGGCCTTGTTCCCCCGGAGAAACTCAAACCAGGCGACCTCGTTGGTGTCAACAAAGACTCATACCTTGTCCTCGACACGCTTCCTGCAGAATTCGATTCTAGAGTGAAAGCTATGGAAGTTGATGAGCGGCCAACGGAGAGGTATACAGATATCGGTGGCCTGGAGAAACAGATTGAGGAGCTTATGGAGGCCATCGTGTTGCCTATGGAACACAGTGAGAAATTCAAAACTATCGGCATCCGTCCTCCAAAGGGCTGTCTGATGTATGGTCCCCCTGGTACTGGGAAGACCCTCCTTGCACGAGCATGCGCTGCTCAGACACAGGCATGTTACCTCAAGCTAGCTGGGCCTTCACTGGTGCAGATGTTCATCGGTGACGGCGCCAAGCTGGTACGGGACGCATTTGCTCTTGCCAAGCAGAAGGCGCCAGCTATCATTTTCATTGATGAGTTGGATGCCATTGGTACGAAACGATTCGACTCGGAGAAAAGTGGTGATCGTGAGGTGCAGAGGACGATGCTTGAGTTGCTCAACCAACTCGATGGTTTCAGTAGTGATGAACGAATCAAAGTAGGTATTTCTTGTCGTGTCTTTGCTCTCTATTTATCGTCCTGTCAGGTCATAGCTGCAACAAACCGAATCGATATCCTTGATCCCGCCCTTCTTCGTTCCGGTCGTCTAGATCGTAAGATCGAATTCCCTCTACCGAACGAATCTGCCCGTGCTCGTATTCTGGAGATCCATTCACGGAAGATGACGGTATCCCCTGAAGTCAACTTCGACGAGTTAGCCAGGAGTACGGATGAATTCAATGCTGCGCAACTGAAGGCGGTCTGTGTTGAAGCAGGAATGATCGCATTGAGGGAAGGTGCTTCTAAGCTAGGGCACGAGCATTTCTTGAGTGGTATAGCGGAAGGTATGTTTTCTATGTCACATGTGTCATTTCCCCTCTGACCGTTTTCTGATAGTACAAAGCAAGAAGAAGAACGACCTCATGTACTTTGCATAGTTTAATGTCATTCGTGTTGGCTTTCACATACTCCCTTTCTGGCCGAGATGTTCCTGTCCTGAATTTTGTAGGCTTCTCCTGTCCTATGGGTACTCTTGAGACGATTCGCTTTAACCTCTCAGCACGCCTTATAAATCGGGCCGCTCTTTTCTGATCCGGTAGACTAGCATCAAATTGTCGCCCTACAACATATGGCAATAACCCCATATATTATTAACTATATACAGATTATTAATGTAATGCGGCGCCTTCAAAGTTGGCTGCGTATGCCATCACCCTGTACAAGGATACAAGGACCGCCGTAAATTACGCGATCCGCTAACCCGTTCTTGTTGATGTATTCGACAACTGCAGCATCTTCAGCTCCTGGTTGCAACCATAGGGCAGGCACGGAGAGCTCCTTGGCTTCCTTCAATATTCCAAGGGTGATCTATAAGCCGGACTTTGGCTAAGCTGAAACGGCTGAGATGAGTTTTACGACTTACCTTAGGGTTGGTGATGACACTGATGGACGTCTTGTCGGGTACGGGGAGATCGCTGATCTTCTGGACTGTAGCAATCCCTTCCAGTTCTAACTCTTTCTTTATACATAGGAAGAGTAAGAACGCTATTGAACGCGAGGAGGGAGGACGAACCGGGTGCACAGGCTTAACATCCAAATCTCGAGCTTGGTACCATTTCAAAACCTTGCGCAACATTAACATGGATCAAAGAGTTTCTTCGTGCATGGCCTACCTTCGTACCGAACTTCGTCTGATCCTTAGAGGCGCCGACGACAGCGAAAGAAGGCGAAGAGAGGAAGACCTTTTGGATAGCGCGGACAGACTCTGAAGACATGATTTTATGGAATAGCATATGGTGGCTGCTCGTATTTATATGGTTGCGTGGTACCCGTCTAGGATCAATGATGTGGGTACAGTAGACAGATGGTTGACTAGGATTCCGTGCAAGGATCTGTAAGGCTCTGTAAGACGATCACGTTGACAGTTGCAAGAGCAGACGTCATCCTTGCCGAATCTGGCGATACTCTCGGGCATCCGGAGCTTCACTTCCCCGACTCTTTCTGAAATAGATAAAGGGCTTCAACTTGATGTCCGTATTACTCGCTGCAATGTGCCATGAGAGGGATTAATTCATCCGTAATTGTAGGACAGTTCAGAACACAAACAAGCAGTTAGTAGATTTCGACGACGACGGCTGATAAGCCAATCATATATACTGCAGTTATGACTATGCAGGCGGCTGCAGAAGCAGGCCCTCCACGATGCTCATATCAGCCGATATGCCAGCTTTGGCAAGGTATTCATCATTCCTGGGTCGTATCAGTAGCTAATCCCGGTAGTATCGAATGAAGACGCGGCTTACCAGAACTATGATCACAACATATCGTAGCTTGGTGAGACGCTATAGAAACTACGAACGCCAAACTCACCTTTGAGTAATGACGATTACCCGAATCACATCTGATGATGTTTCTGACTTGAGAATCAAATTAAATAACAACATGGAAAACGCACAAGACTGTAACAATTGTTTGGCCTTCTTTCCACCCCATCTTCTTTGCAAGTTTGATGCATGCAACAAGATTGCAAGCACTACTAGAACCGAGGAAGAGACCATCGTTTTGGACGAGATACCGAGACATGCTGACGGCTTCAGCATCCGTTATTCTACGGTTGTGTTAAGAGTGGTTCGAAGATTGTTCACGGCTATGGACCTTACCGGAAAGCATCATCGATGATAGGCAGTGCTAGTTCGATGTTTTTTGTCAACCGATTGATACCACTGAAAACTTGTGAATCGACGGGAAGCATGGGATCATCCATTAAAGCCAACTTACATTCCTTCGACGACAGTGTCCACTTGATGCCGTCTTTTTGTTCCTTCACTTTCTCTCGAGTCAAACATGACATCGTGCTTGACCTGTGAAAGTTATCAGTATGAACGTGTCCTGTTCCAAGCTTATCTATGACCTTGTTATACAAGCCACTGCCTTCTGGGTCTGTCAGAGCCACGACGACATCTTCGTTCATGGACTTGACATATCGACCTATACCAGCAATGGTACCTCCCGTTCCTACTTAACACATCAGCTATCTATCACGATGCTTGAGGTGCAAACACTGACCTGCGCCACTCACAAACGCATTCAGGCGGCCATTAGTTTGTCTCCATATTTCTGGACCCGTGCCCTCAAAGTGCGCATTGAAATTGCTTAGGTTCTGGAGGGAACCCGGTGTCAGTCTCTCGATGTGCTTAAGAGCAACCAAGATATACTTCAAATTGGTCGGCAAAATAACCTCGTGGCTTCAGAACAAATTGTTCGTGTTTGAGTGGGTCGGTATCATCGTCGTCACCTGTCAAGACCACGACAGTGGATGAAGAAGACGATACCAAATGTGGGCGAGAGCAGGGTTCTTCCTTTCCAAATTCCAGAGCCCGTTGACGGGCAATGTTCTAACGTCTGTCTAACACAGATCGGAAGACAAAAAATATTGGACACTTACCACGTACTGGGAGATATTAGAGTACGAGAAGTCACGTATGAACATAAATACCTACCTGTTTTTTATCGACGATACTCGCCGGACGTACTCTTTGTACCTCTGCACCAAGTGAAAGCAAAGCTTGTACTTTTTCTTGGGCAACATCATCAGGCATTATGATAGCTGATTTAGTGGTCACTTGAGAGTAAATGGACCAGATGAATACACGCACTAGCATCATATCCTCTGTGAAACATTAGAATGGACGTTGTAAGTGCAGCATAGTACTGCTCACCTAGCACGAGCAATGGTAGCAATAGATATTCCAGTAGATCCAACTGTTCCTTCAAATATCCTTGAGCCAGTATGTGGATGTATCAATCCTTCCCGCTCTGCATCGTCAATCACTTGGAAATGATGTCAATTTCCGGGAGGCCATAGGTATATGGTGTAAAGTACTTCTTAGGGCGACACGATCCTTGACACTTCCGCCAGGATTGAGGAACTTTTCTACGTTAGACGCAGTGAGAAAAATACAGGGAAAAAGCACCAACTTCTGCCTTTGCTAATATCTCGATGCCCAACGCGTTGCTCAGCGAGTTGATTCTAACCAACGGTGTATTTCCTATCCATAGTATCAGTACTGGTCGGTATTGTCAGATAAGAAGTAAATACCAATTAAACCTGTGACTCCCTTGAGCACCTCATCACTTCTCAACTCGATGGGACGGGGTTCAAACTGTGCGGCAATGCGCTCTTGTTTTCGTCTCTGAAAAAACAAGGCAATGGAAGTTGATACCAAGGAGAGAGAAAAGCCTAGAAAAATGCCATATATGACATGTCGAATCATTGGGCGCGACGGTATTTTGAACCATGAAGGAAGTAGAGTGAGGATCCACTGCTGCAGATCCATGTTCAAGGGTCGCATACGGTGGCAGTGCAAAAACACATGTCGAGCTCTGGGCTCGGTATCCACCACTTTGGATCCCTACTTTACAAGCGGTTATACAGCCAACTTTTGTCGTGGACGACTTTGGCCTTTCAAACATGACAAAGTGAAACATATGGTGAAAGCCAAATTATATCCTATATCAGATCATATGCTCCACAGGCGAAGACTTTAGAGCGGAATAGCTCACGGTCAGCCCGTTGGCTGCCCAATTCTTCGATTCAATCTGTGCCTGTGCACTCCCAATGTCGTCTCTGACGTTCACCCAATGCACATTTCCCCCCCCCCGCAGGCAGACGTTTTTTCCACGGCTCCTGTGTTTGTGCCTAGATCCTACACAAAGGGCTAGTGCCGCTGAGTTGCTTGCTCCCGTGTCCGTGGTTCGATGGGACTCGGTAGAGGTGAACCGACCGCAACGAGAAAGGATTCGACCAACCGAGCGTTCTTTCTTCTCCAAAGTTCCGATGATCATCGGACTCGGAAAGTTCGAGTAGGGGAAGGACTTGTTCGGTGGTGTGAAACCACGATAAAGAAGTGTTATTATGATCACAAGATACAATTATTAACTTTTATATTCGGCATCAGCCATCATACAAGCTCGCTGTCTTTTTAAAAACAATTATCGTAGTATAGTCTATGTATGGAACTGCCAGATGTCCATATATCCTAGTCCGAAAATTAATAGAATACACGAAATAAAGTGTCCATAACATATGAAAAGGATCCCGGTTCATGAAGATGTACCGTTGTATATGAGCTGCGTCAGTGCGAGGTTCATTTGAAACCCAAACGTCTGGTAAAGAATCAGCACCAGTTTTGTGAAACACGACAGAAATACTGACCGATCCAGAAGCCCATTCTTCTATGACTGCGAGGTAAACCAACGCATTGCTAGCCGATTTTCCGATTCCGAATCCTCCAAAGCGTGCATCGAGGTTCGGCATAACAAGCTGAGCAGGGGCTGGGTGGCTCGCATACGGGACGCCTGAAACAAATTGTCAGGAAGAAAAATGGGAGGAGAACCGGGAAATCTACTGACCAGGGTAGTTGGCGTAGTCGTATCGTCCAAAGTAGTATCCAGCACCGAAGGTCTCTGATGGTGAGAACGACTCGGGGAGAGAGGTAAACAACCACACTGAATAGTTGTACCCCGAGACGCTGTAATCCGCCATTCCGTCGTATTTGAAGTCGAACGACTCTCCAGGCATGACAGCCGTGCCATTAGTAGGCGATGTGATCTCGCCATTAACAGCGGAGACCGAGACTGGTAGGGAAAGAGTCGTGGAGAGGACGAGGAGGCTGGAGAGGAGGCGGAGGAGTTGCATGTTGTTTTGGGGAGTAGAGTTATCTTTGAATTCAAAAGTAGCTGAGATGTTTTTTTTTTTCGTTTGAATGATTCGAGTTTGCGTTACCTCACAGCTTTATAGAAAGATGTAGGCTGACATGGACACATGGCTTTTCCGTGAGAAACGGCCATTCGAACCCATTCTCGAGCGTTGTTCAGTCCAAAAGCTTACGGTGCGCGAGGTGCATACTCCATCATTGTTCCCAACGCGCCGCCCTTCACGGGTCTAGGTCTCGACCGAGGTTCACGCGTCATCACATTCCGAGATTTTCGAGGCGCAGTTTGACGAGAAGGAAAACATAACGAGTACGCCACAGAAAGATCTGGGCCCGTACAAATGGAACCAGGTCCCAGAACTTTTTGCGCCCAAGTTACGAATCTCGTGAGTGCAGCGACAGACCGATACTCGGGAGCTTGCGATATCTAGCAAAGGAGAGTAAACGGTCTTCTGGCACCTTGCGTGAGAGAGCCATCGTAATATGCTTCACTTTCGAATCTCCCGGATCATTGAGGATACCGCAAAGAGTCCAAGACGGCCACAAGAAGATGATAGCTGATCGGAGGTCGTGGCTGTGTGGTGTACGATGTCCCTGTTGACTGTCGCAATGCCGATAATGCCGATCGGCCGTTTTTGGGGATCGAAAACCTTTTTTTGTCGCGCCGTCGATCTTTTGGCTCGTTACGATATGTCGGCTTTAATCAACTCTGATCTCCCTGGGCTCACACTGATCTCCAAGGGAAAGGTCAGAGATATATACAGTACCTCATCGCCCGACCACCTCTTGTTTATCGCGACCGACAGAATATCTGCATACGATGTTATCTTAAGGAATGTGAGAGTCTCTACCAGCTCTAGCCTGTGTTGATCTTCTTACCTCGAGTCCCAGGGAATACCAGACAAGGGCAAACTCCTCACTAAAATCTCCCTCTTCTGGTTCTCGAAGCTATCACATATTATCTCGAACCATTTCGTAACCGGTGATATCGATGCCATGCCCAAGGAGGTTTCGCCGTACAAGGATCAACTCCAAGGACGTGCCATGCTGGTGAAGAAGGCAAAGGTCATACCATTAGAGGCCATCGTTCGGGGATACCTGACAGGTGTGCTCGACACATGCTCTGTGTCTGCTTCTTCAACATGTCTTCAGGATCTGCTTGGTCCGAGTACAAGAAATCTGGGACCGTGCACGGAATAAGTCTTCCTCCAAACATGGTAGAATCACAAAAATTCCCAGAGCCACTGTTCACCCCGTCGACCAAGGCGGAGCAAGGCGCCCATGACGAGAACATCTCTCCCCAGCAAGGCTCGTTTTCTTGCAACCCATTTCAATGTCTCCACTAACGATCGCACTACAGCATCGGAATTGATCGGCGAATCCCTATACAACCAGATATGTGAAGCAGCTATAAAGCTGTACACAGATGCCTCGGCCTACGCGTATTCGAAAGGTATCATTCTTGCGGACACAAAGTTCGAATTTGGCCTCGTTCCTGGACCCTCTGGAGACACACTCATTCTAATTGACGAGCTTCTGACGCCTGATTCGTCTCGGTATTGGCCCTTGGACGGTTATAAAGTGGGTCGTTCCCAGCCAAGCTTTGACAAGCAATACCTGCGAGACTGGCTTGTCGGCGCCGGGTTTCAGAAGGGCCTGGAAGAAGGGAAGGTCAAGGGGGAAGGGTGGTTCGTCGAAGACAGCGTTGTCGAAGGCACAAGGAAACGGTATAAAGAGGTTGTCGATCTTTTAATAGGATGAATAGGGCAATAGGCACCGGACAAGGTGAAAAATTCTTTGTCCTGGAGTTACCTCTGCTTGTCATGAAAGTTACCGAGTTTCCTCGAACCAAATGTACACGAGAACAAGTACATTATTATCTTGACACATTTTGTACTCGAAAATACCCATGACGCAATCTCGCCAAATTCGGAAGATGGCATTTACTACTCACACAACACCTTCTGGTACGACAATCGTTCTACCAGGCATGCAGTGCTAACATTGAGAGTGAAATGCAGGTTTCTTGCTGCCGTCCATCCATTCTGCCCCTCCATTCTTCAGGTCAGATTGTTCTACCGTACACCGTTCCCTTTAATGACAGGAGATACAGCCAGCAACCCAACAAAACCACGCTTGCATCATTCACTGATCATTGGATAAAGCTTATACTCGCATATGCACGACACAGAAGGCTATTTTACCTGCATGTAGAAGATGCAGAGACATCTGGCAACGACTGGGATGAAGTACTGAAGAACGAACGAATAAACCGTGTGTCCGCTTTGCCAGTGGTGCCGAGACGGATCGTGGTTAACACTTTCACAGGTCATGTACTTCCAGTCTATTTAGAACATATCATGGGAGTAATGGTGGAAAAGAACCTGGCGGCATTCGAACCAGCAAGGCAGACGAGATCGGTCATGCTGTATTGGCGTTTGCCGGAGGAGTGGGCAGAGACGCTGCATGAATGGGTGAGAGCGAACCGTTGCTTCGGATTGCATGAAGGACTGAATGGACGAAATCCAGGCGACATCGACTGGACACCTGAATACCATCATGACCTTTTACGACGTTACGGATCCTCCCATCGAATCACCGCTCTCTAGTATTCCGGTCGCCTTGCTTCGCAAAGCAATTGGGATCCTGACAAAGACGAACAGGGCGCAGCTGATTGCAGCGGCAGACGGCGAGGGCGTTAGGTTTTTTTCCAAGTAGTAGTGTATAATTGGTGTAATATTATTCGGTGGTGCCAGATTCTAGCATCGAGTCTAGCTTGCAGTCTAGATCAAAAAGCGCTTTATATGGAACCGAGCATGGGGTGATCGACTCTGCAATACTCCCCCACCATGGCAATGCGAAAACGGGCAGAGGAGCTCGTCGTCGATCTCCAGGACAGCATCGTCGAGGCTCTCGAGGCCATCGACCCCGACGCCTCGCCCTTCAAACGCGACTCATGGACACGCGCCCAGGGCGGCTATGGCACATCCTGCGTCTTCGCCGTCCCATCCAGCGACGACGACGACGACGATGCCGCGTCACCACCTTCGTCTGTCCTCGAAAAGGCCGGCGTGAACGTCTCTGTCGTCCATGGCACCCTTCCGCCCTCTGCCGTCCAGCAGATGCGCGTCAATCATGCTACACTTCCCCAGGTCGACGGCGGCCTTCCCTTCTTCGCTACCGGTGTCAGCCTTGTTATCCACCCTCGCAACCCTAACGCGCCTACCTGCCATGCCAACTACCGTTATTTTGAAGTTACCGAAGCTATTGACCCTGACTCTCAAGAGCCTCCGAAGCCGTTGGTCTGGTGGTTTGGTGGAGGTGCAGACCTTACACCGTCCTATCTGTTCGAGGAGGATGCCGTACACTTCCACAAGGTTCACCAGGACACTGCTGCACCCCATGGCACCCAGATGTACCCTGCTCTGAAAAAGTGGTGCGACGAATACTTTTACATCCCTCATCGCCAAGAGTCTCGGGGCATTGGAGGTATATTCTTTGACGACCTCAGCATCGAGCCCCATCCCCGTCTCACATCGGACGAGAAGCGGCCCCAGACCGCAGAAGAGATCTTTTCATTTGTACACGACATGGGAGCAGCATTTATACCCGCATATATCCCCATCCTTTCTAAACGCTGTAACCTTCCGTTTACTCCTCGTCAACGTCGCTGGCAGCTCATTCGCCGTGGGAGATATGTCGAGTTTAATCTCATGATTGACCGAGGAACCAAGTTTGGTCTGAATGCTCCCGGTGCAAGAATAGAGAGCATTCTCATGAGCTTGCCAGAGACGGCGAGATGGGAGTACATGTCAGACATGGGTCAGGATCCAGAGTCAGAAGAAGGGAAACTTGTGGCGGTCCTAAAGACGCCGAAGCAATGGGTGTAGAAGAAGCTGATTAAACATATATATGTACACTTAGAATGCCCGGAAATACCACTCTCCACAAAAGTGCCGCGCTTGGACATTGGTTTCTAAGAACAAGATGGTATATATTTCAGCTATTCTAATGCACCAAACAAGCTTACTACAGCCACCGGCGCAGGACCTCCCTCCCTAGCTTTTGTTTGTCCACAATATGCTATCACATATCGACTTGGATGCCAAGTCACTGTTGGTGCTGGAGCAAGAGCAGGAACGCGATGCAAGGGCATAGATGTCTCAGTCGCACACTACGAAACGATGAATTGAAAGACAAAGACAGAAAATGTTTCGCCACGTACAATATCGACGTAAACGCCTGTGCTTCCGATAGCGAGATACTCACCGTCGTGAGAGAAACTCAATGAACTGATTTGATGTCTGCCAGAACTTGTCAATAAAGTAAAAAAATAACAGCCTGTACAGAAAAACGTACTCGCAGGCAGTGATCGTCCTGGCACAGATCCATTCCGTCAAGTCAAACAAGTTAACTATGGAGTCAAATCCTCCTGATGCAAGATATCTTAGAAGGGTCAGTTGAAGATAACTGTCCTAGCACTAGTCTTCTCACCTCCCCCTGGGATCTAAAGCAGCGGCCTCGCATCCCCCAACGTGCGCAGCCGGTGTCTCTCTAACAGTAAGTGACGGGTAGTCCAGCACCCTCAGTGTATGTTCCGAATGGTGGGTTAGGACTATCCCATCGCCTGTATGGTTGAACATTGCTCTTGAACCAGAAACCTAGTAAACAGCGCGGTGAGAACGTGTAAAGGCATCACAAAAATGCGTACAATTTCTTTGTCGCGCACGCTCCAAGTCTCTTTCCCACCTTGCACTTGTCCGCACTCAAGGAAATACATCTGATGCCCAGCAGATGTGTACACCATTGTTTTGCCATCTGGTGAATAATTCATCACCAATGGGGACTGCTTCAGAGACACTTGTTGCAGGCAGCGACTTTCTGCGACCAGAGTGAGCACGATATATAGAGCTAGAAATCAGCATGCGAACGTCTGGCGTCCCAAAACACGATCCTGCGGTCTTTCCCACTCGACGTGCAGAACAATTCCGGATGCGTCGGGTTCCAGGTAACATGGTCGACTTCGTCCGAATGCCCACCGGAGAACATTGTCGCTGAGCGAGCTTCCATCTACGGGCCGCCCTCAACACACAAAACAAAAGCAGAGGAAAAAACCTCACGAACCCCCTTCTCAGGTTGCCACACCCTCGTTATTTTGTCGATCCCTACTGCCGCGAGTTTCTTACCATCACAGCTCCACGCGACATGATTCATCGCCTGAGGGCTTGGCATACGATAATCTCGAGGTTTGAAGGCGGAGAAAGTTGGCGGCTACAGGCGAAGGAGTTACTACGGTGTCAATGAGTGCTCAAACGTAGTCCAGAGGGGGCCAACAAGTACAAGGATTCCCCGTACGCCAAACGTCGTGTGTGGAGGCGGCGAAGGCGGTCGTTGAGGCACGGGTATTTCTTCTTCTTCTTTTGGTGGCATGGTGGCGGCTAGAGGCAAGAGGGTAGGTGGCTGTGCAGCCATCCTCTGTTTCCACCACCATGTCCACCGAAGTCGAAATGAATCCTTACGAGCTTCTGAATGTCGAAGTTGAAGCTGACGAGCGAACAATACGAACAGCATATCGACAACGGTCACTCAAGGTCCATCCTGATAGGGTACGTGCCGTGGCTGGGAATTCAATGTCTCGCTGACAGACGGCCCAACAGAACCCTAATAATCCTGATGCTGGTACGTTCTTGAGGCCTTTTCTCACACTGGGAGTAACTGATAACTCTATAGCTCGTAAATTTCACGAGCTGAACCAAGCTTATGAATTGCTATTGGATCCCCTTCGGCGGCTGGCCCTCGATGCAAAACTGCGGGTCAAGGCTGCTAAGGCGGAACGGTTCAAATCATTTGACACTAAAAGGAAGGCATTTCTGGAGGAGCTAGAGGAGAGAGAGAGGTCTTTTAAGAAAGCGCGCATGGAGAAGCAGAAATCAGAGGCGGACCAATGGCAAGCGAACGAAAAAATCAAGGACGAGGGTAGAAGACTCAGGGAGGAGAAGGAAAAGGAATTTCGACAACGCGAACAGAACGCGAAGAAGGTTGATGAGGACGAGCCGCCTTCCATCGGTACGCCTATCATTTCTTTTTCCTGCTGACTCAGTGCCTGACTTTTCTTTAGAACCCAATGACACGACCGTCCGAGTCAAATTCTCACTGTCTGAACATCCCGACTTGACCACTTTGGAAGCCCTCGTCGCCGTATTTGCACCTTTCGGGCCAACCGACACGGAAACAATCGTGCTTTCACTGAGAGCATCCAAGAAAGCCCCGTCGAAGCCTCCAAAGTATGGTACCGCCCTTGTTCCTTTCAAAAGAATTGGCGACGCCTTTGCTGCAGTATGTGCTAGCGGCCGACCAGAGCGAGGTCTGAAAGGTATAGATGTCACCTGGGTCGGTGGGAAGGAACCGGAAATTTTGGGTTGGTTGAAGAGGACGGGGAAGCTTTCTGCCCAGCCGGACGTACCATCGGAGGCCAGGTCGAACCCCGAACCACGAAACTCTACTCCGTCAATGTTCTCGTCGTTTCCTGAGACACTGGTACGTGCCTTTTAATTGCCATTTCCTTTATCTGTCGTGTTTACCGCGTTGTTCTAGCTCGAACCCGTACCAGAGGTTACCGTCTCTCCCGATATAGACTATGAGTCGTTGACTCTAATGCGTATGCGTCAAGCTGAGCGTGAACGTCTAGAACGCGAGATACTCGAGCGTGAAGCGAATGAATAACTACAATACAAAGGTACTTTTATTATCTGTGGTTTATGATGTATCATAGAGGCTGGAATCTTTACTCTAGACTTCCAAGCGGAGCGAAGGCGATTCCTTCGCTTTTCGAGTTCAAGACCGAGACGCTGTTCTGGTCAAGCAAACATGATTCTCGCGTTGGTCGTTCCGGACTGACCATAAGGTGTACGACGTCGAAGATTCAGCTGATCATCCGGGAATCTATTCTTTGTCGAGGATCTGGTCTGGATCGTTCTGTGACCGCATGATTGGCGGTTTATGTAAATCTATTCTTGTCAAGGTCCTCTCCACCGACGTATAATCATGCAACTCCAACGTATTATCTAGGCTATCAATGGCGTCTTGTGGGCTGTCGCCTTCTTTCGGCGAAATATTCTCATCCATCGATACTGATACTCATTTCCCAAGAACCTGATATGCCCCATAGAGTATCATTGCCGTTGTGCATCCGCTGCCACTTCCATGATGCGTAGGGCTGCCATCTCCGTGTCCACATGCATGTATATACCATGTCTTGGATATATAAACCTTCCAACCATCCACTATCTTATTCGTGCGCTTGCAATGCTGTTCCTTCCTATCTTCGCTATCCTCGCTTTCATCACTTCCGTCCTCGCAGGTTCCGGATCAATCACCAAGCCTGCCAAAGGCACGTCCATTATGCCCGGCCAGTCATTTGCCTTCCACTACGATGGCATGGCAGAGTATAGCGTCTCCGGCTACAACTACTCCGTGTGGTTGTTCACATCCCTGCCATTCGCTTTTCTACCTTCGCAGAGTTTCGGGGCAGGCCATTTCTTCGGTCGCTATAATTATGCCAACTACCCCGGTTGGTAGATCTACGTGTCTAATATTGGCCTCGACAATTAACTGTGCGATGCACTATAGGTGTTCCGTATGCGACCAACCCAGCACCAGCCAACTTCACCATGCCGGACTTGTCGCAGTCATATGGTGGATTCGGACAAGGCCAAGACGCCAGTGGCGCCACAGTTTATCTAGCGGTCATTGAAGAATATGCCGCAGGATCTGTACGTGTCTCTTTAGAACTTTCTGATACACCTGATGATGATGCTATGCGTCCACAGACGTTTGGCTTGCAAATGAACCTGGCTACGACGCAGCTCATGTACAACGGCACGCAGCATCATTGATTCTTTAGACGTACATAGAACATGGACATGAATCACGAACAACGAACACTCGTAGGGCACTACCGGACAATTTATAGCCAGTTACTAGTAGAAAAGGACGATCGGAAGGTCAAAATGGACTCAAAAACGTCATGCATTTCGGTGTATATAGAAAGATACTGTATAACTGAGCTAACAAAGTCATACTTATGTCATGTGCTTTTCTCGCCCACGAACTGGTCAAACCAGCGGAAAACTTCGTAATGCCATTTGAGGCTGAGGGAAAGAAAGTCCAATTATGAGCGGCTTGGAGTAAGAAGAAGAAGAAGAAGAAAGCAGACCTGTTACCGTGATTCAGAACCCAATGGTTCTCATCAGGGAAGATAACGAGTCTACTTGGAACACCACGTCTGCAAGAAGAACTTTGAGTAAGGAATCAGAGCAAACAGCTTCAAAGAAACGCACTGCTGCAAAGCATGGAAAGCCCCAATACTTTCGGTCTCGGCCAACCTGTAATCTTTGCTCCCATGGATGAGAAGCTGTGGCGTACCCCATTTGTGCACAAAGTTGGAAGGGTTGTACCTACGTCAAGCCCATCAGTAACCTCCCCGGATCAGAAAGTTACGGTGGCACATACTTGTCAATTATCTCTTTACTCTTCTTCTCCCACGGCCTATAATAACACATCGAAAGGTTAGCTCAGGCGGCGAAAAACCGCGTGCTTACCGCCCTGCCCAGTCATGATTGAACTATGAAAATGCCGTGTCATATTCTGCAAGGTGAACGAAAATAGATGCTCTTACGAAGAACAACTCATCAGTCGAGAATCCATTGTAGTTCGAATCAAAGACCCCATCATGGCACACGAGGGCCTTGTGAGTTTCAACGACGTGCCGAGAATGGAATCGTTACTTGAGACAAACCTTGAAGTTGAATTCATACTCGGGGTGACCTTGTATCCAGCTGAAACCAACGTTCATCTCGGCGCATTTGGAGAAAACGAGATTCCGGCGTACTTTACAGCATACCCTCCCCAGCTTGCACCAGCTGCAACCGCACGGTCCGGATCGATCTCCAATCGCATATGAGTCAATACTATATGAAAGTTTGTCTAGACATACCTCGGGATACGTATTCAACACGTATTTCCATCCCTTTTGCAGGTCAACGAAAGGCTTACCTCCCCAGTCCTCCGTGATGCCATCCGTGAATTCTATTTGTTCTCCTTCAGATTGATAAATAAATAAAAATAACGATAGAGCATGCCTTGTCCAAAGGTTGTACTTCCAGTAGGATTGATCAGCACAGAGAAGTACCCCTGCTGCGCAAAAACTAAGAAGCAACCGTGTAATATGATAACTGCAACATCTAGTACAGTATGGTTTACGCACTATTTGGATTCCATCGCGTAGACCATTGATCCTCCCAGGCGCTTTGAGGACCTGGGCATGGACGTCAATTATCATCTAGAATGGAACCAGATAGTATGTTGTAGTAAGCACCTCCATGGATGAGAAGAACAACGGGCCATTTCTTCGTTTCCCCTTCTTTCCAGCCCTTCGGTTTCAGAATCCAGCCTTGTATGTTCTTATCTTCTGCGCCTTTGAACCAGATGCTTTCTCCTTTGCTGAGGTTCTTCCCCTTCAGGTCATTTTCGGTGAAACGAGTGATTTGCTTAATTTCTCCACTGAATGTGATGAGCGTATCACTCCTGCCGATTTCCGATTCTAGGTCTTTCAAACCACTGACAAGGAAGACATCGTTGGGCGAAGTGTACGAAGACTGCGTGATAAGAAGTCGGCCGTAATAAAGCGACTGTAGGCCCCCTGCTGCAGGTCCATCAGTTATCGCGACAGGACTAACGTACTTGGTATCGAGGTCAGGATCGGTTGTAGACTTCGACGGCGTCGGAGGCAGCGGCAAAACGAAGACCTTGACCCGTGCGTTGTCGCCGGCAGTGAAGTAGATGAACTCGCCCGTTTTAGAGAACTGCGCGACAGTCGCTCAGACGAAGCGATATTGAACATATGGAAACGAACATACCGCCAAAGAATCCGGTGAGCGGTCCCATTGCTGGGTAAGTGTGTACCTGACATCTTTCTTGAGATCGTAGATGACAATCTTTGCTCTGTCGCGTGTGAGCCGTTCAGGATGACGAATATGTCAGAATATGATGCAAACCTGTCGGATTCATAGCCATCTAAATCAAGCTCCAGCCAAGCCACCTTTGAACCGTCTTTGTTGAAGACCGGATTATGTGTCGCGCCTTGTTTCCCTGATGTAAGCTCCCTGGGCTTGCCACCGAGAATGTCAATGATGTATACCTTGCGTTTCCGTTGTAAACTTTAAGAAAACAATGAGACATTAGGATGCGCTTACATTCTGCTTGGTGTGCCACGCTGGAGGCAGGTCTGGGTCCTTAGCGGTGTATACAACTTGACTCGTGGAAATGTCGAAATCATCAGTGCCTCCAAATGGTTCAACGGGACAGCTCTGTTAATTATTAACACGACCAACCGACATTCAATATCAAGACTACTGACGTGTCCTGTTCCCTTGAGGATGTTTGTGAACTGAGATCCGAAATGCCATTTGTGATCTGGGTCCTGAACGAGGCGAACGCTGAACAGGGATGTTGTTTTGGGTCCAGTCCAAGTGTCCCAATGTCTCTCGTAGGTTGTGTCATACACTAAAGCAGTGGTTCCGCGGTTCTCCCAAGCCTCATCCTGCTCTTTGACAGCAGATAGGTTACCGTCAGGATAGACGTTGTCCGAGAACACCAGTTGCCCAGAGAGTAAAGAGTACCGGAAGTTGGTGGCAGTTGTCGTGGGGAACGAACCAAGCAGGGTTGGGAGATTAGGTGCACTCACAGTGCCGACTTCATCACTGTCCTGCTTCTTATAATCAATGTCCAGCGCGTAGATATCGAGTTTCTTGTCGCCCTCGACGACATGGGCGACTGTGCGACCATCGAGCCAGAATGCTTCACCACCTTTGAACAGCTACAAATAGTCAACAGCGACCATGACCTATGATGACAAGGCTTACAGGAATCTCGAAAGGCCTCCCAGAGCCCGCCAGTGGTGCGACGAAGATAGACCGGTTGACTCTGCGACGGTCAGTTCGGAAGTATGCGACGGCAGAACACACACTTCTTGTCCTTTGAAGAGTATTTATTGTAAGGAACCAGAACGAGATCCCCTGCTGGATTGGCTACACCAGTGCCTGGGCGACCGAGTTCTACCAAGTCCTTGGGAGAAAACACGTCAGGGCCTTCCTTGAATGCGAATGTTGATGGCGCGTTCATCGTGGTAACTGGGGAAGATAATGGAGCCTTGAATGGGACCTGTACTGCCAGCACGATGGGAAGAAAGATAAAATAGTAAGGCAACCTCATGTCGCGTCCAGACGAGGCCTGATATCGTAGATGTAATTCAACCCGCAACCGTGCGATCGTGTCCCACATTTGGTCATGTCGCCCTTGCTCATCATTACCCATCTCCCCGCAAAGGTGAAAATAATGTAGAATACACCTAGTAGTACAATATTGTCCTACTCGCTCATCGCGTCGTCGCCAGCATCAGTCTCGACATTATCCAGAGGAATAGCACCACCAGGTATCTGCACCACCTCGCCTGTAGCCGCGTCCCATCGTGACATCAATCCCACACGGAACGTGACCATTTTTTCTCCAATCAGTTTGAGGAGCTGTGCTTGTTCGCTGGTCAGGGTCTTCCCCTTCTCGCATAGCTTGTGCGGCGTCTGGAGAGTCGGGACGCCCTTGTTCATCATCGTGCTGAGACCCAGCTTCCTCAGCTGTGGGTCTTCATTATGAGGGAAAGGCTCTGGTGGGTCGGAAAAGTGTCGCATAACGGGACCAGCTGGGAGAATTACTGTCCGGCTTGCGAGATTGCCTGCCCGTGCAAAGTCTGGCTGCTGGAAATCAGCAAACCACTCTATCACTTCCTGCGGTTCACTGTCGGTAAAGAATAGGCCGACTTGACCTTTTATTTGCTATTCAGGATTCAGCATCATATAATGAAATTTTTCATTTGGACGCACTTTAGAAAGCGTGTGAAGCCCTCTTTTGTGCTCCTGCTCTGGGGTGACTCCCAGTGCTTTAGCCATGACAGCCCCTCGTCCAAAAAATATCCGTGCGGAACTGGAATTCAACGTTAGCAACAAGGAGCGCAAGTGCAGGCAAGGACGCACTCTTTCCAAAGCTTCCGTACGGTTTTTAGGTGAGAATTCCTCATAGCTCCAACTTCAAAGAGCCAGCAATACTTCCATTTGTCGACGTTCAGTTGGACCTGAGGTAGTGCATTGAGTAAAGACCAGTTATATCGTGGATTGGACGTACTTCTTGCATCAAGGCACCTTTTTGCTCCTTCGTTTTTTTGGCGACCTTGGTCAACGATACTGAGGCACAGTATGAGATGACATCCAACCCTATGGATCCCTTTACTCGCCTACTTTGGAACGCTTTGACTTGGGCATTTTGGAGCTGGAGGATTGGAGAAATTTATTTCAAAGTCCGCAAGGATCTATTCGGACATGGCTATCACGGTGTCTCCTGCCGAGCTCAGGAATCTGGAAGAGATTCTCCTCAATACCCAAGGAAATGTTCTCCTACACAATCGTTTCCGAGCCCTATTTACCCTCAAATCGCTCAAATCAGAAGAGGCGGTCCAGATAATATCCAATGGTGGGCGCTTTTCTGAGATCATGTTACACTTCCACCTAATCATCGGTAGGATTTAAGGATGAATCAGCTCTCCTCAAGCATGAACTGGCTTACTGCTTAGGCCAAATCCAAAAAACGTCAGCCTTACCGATCTTGGAGTCAGTGCTTGCAGATACGACAGAGGATCCGATGGTACGGCATGAGGTGTGTTGCTATTGCTCTCTTTTTATCTGACGACTATGCCTGATACTTTCCTCGAGTAAGGCAGCTGAAGCTATGGGTGCCATCTCTGCCTCACAGTCCATCCCCGTCTTGAAGAAGTATTTATCGGATTCGAATCAGAGCGTTAGAGAGACCTGCGAGATTGCCATTGCCAGGATTGAATGGGACAATTCGGAAGAGGGTCTGCTGCACAAAGCTGGTACGAAAGATAAGGAGACTATCCCGTACGTTCTTCCGGACATCCCTTTGGCTCACGAAAACTTATGAGGTCCAGAACATATTTGTCAATTGACCCCGCACCTCCTACGTCTGGCCTGATTACTGGTATACCCAAACCTGAGGATGTAACCGAGTCTAACATCAATGATTTGCGGTCAAAGCTTCTTAATAAGGAGCTACCGCTCTTCGAACGATATCGGGCTATGTTTGCCCTTCGAAATATCGGCACACCCTTAGCTGTAGATTCCCTCGCCGCTGGATTCGCTGACGAAAGCGCTTTGTTCAAGTAAGATTCGTCGTCATCGTCGAAACAGGCATATCTCTGATTGTTCTATGCAGACACGAGATCGCGTTTGTATTTGGACAGCTGCTTTCTCCTCACTCAGTTCCTTGCTTGCTCGATGTCCTAAAAGACTCGCAAGAATCTGACATGGTCCGTCACGAAGCTGCTGAAGCCCTCGGTGGCATTGCTACCCCCGAAGTGCTACCTTATCTGAGAGAGTGGATGACGCGAAAAGATGCACCTCGTGTGGTACGAGAGAGTTGTCAAGTTGCTATAGACATGTGGGAGGTGTGTAGTACCTCGCGTCCCCGCTGTTCCCACTGACTGAACACTTGGCAGTATGAAAATTCTAACGAGTTTCAGTATGCTAATGGCCTCGACTACACGTCGACTGTAAGCATCTAGCATCACCCAGGTTCTTGAAAAGAGAATGATTATTCAACAATAAGTAAGGAGAGGTGTACTAATATTATGTCCAAAATGACGTATCGATCGTGGTTGGTAACAGCCGATTTCCCTGATCCTACTATCCCAAATGCCTCACTATATGATGATTCGAAACATACATCTTACCATCATCATGACTATCGCATCCATCGAGAATCGCAGCGAAGTATGTTCACTACTCTTTTGGCAGGAAAACACTTACTGGCTTGACAGCAATATCGTTCTTGTGACACAAGAAATTTGGTGGTATTTAAAGATATGGTTGAGATGCTAGCTAGAGCTTCAGCCTCCTACAGACGACATGGTAGATGGTTGCCATGTTGTCCCCATGTATGACGCGCCCTCGGCACTCTCCAACCTCTTCATGGCACTGTACGATGGCCCGTAAGTTGGATCCTTCGTATCCTTTATTTTCTACTTCCAACTTCAACTATATCATTCAATAGGTCGTTTGACATGGGAGACATCAATAATTTCTTCTATCTTGCGGGATTGCTTCGTTTCTCAACGAAGTACTACGTCGACCGTCTTCGCACTGAGTGTATATGATACCTCAGTCGGACGTGGGCACATACATCCCTTCACAGGCTACGATGAGATGCTGGAGATTGCTAAGACCGTGCCGGCCAATGGTAACATGTCCTGTTCGTATGTTCATCCTCTGTATGTTCTCAATCTCGCTCGAGAAACGAATGTCCAACTTGTTGTGCCCTTGCCCTCTACTCTCTTTCCCTCTATTCGCACAAGGAAATCTTTCGGGCAGATCACCCTAAATTTTTAGTCGACCACCCGTCACGACCTTCGTCCTTCCTTTCCCACACTGACACAAACAACTATTCGTTCATATTAAGAGTGGCGTCAGAAATATTTTCGGTATTTTATTCATGGCGTTTGCGAGTGCAAACCCTTTCCAGGGTGCGTGCGTACAGTTTACGCCGGAAATTTTTGCGAAGTTGGCTCATGATCTATGCCGGTTATTGGAGATGTCAGGCTTGTTCTTCTTTACTCAGGAGATCATAAAGATGGTCTATGAGTCTGAAAAATATTGTTTGAAGTGAAGACAGGCATTTCAGCGTCTCGCTGAAGCCTTCTGACGGGAGGCGTGGAATAGAACGCCGCTGGTACTGAGCTTTCCACCATCCGACGAGTTGATCAAGGCAGATTTGGACAATTGGTTGAAGCGTTAGGACTTCGTTAGAACCATTGTTGAGTTGTAGAAGAGTGGATCTAAATCGTCGCAGTATCGCTAACTATCATGTACTATAAGTTATCATCTAATTCAATGTATCATTGTCGATTTAGCCAAGCACCAGAAACCAACAGACCGATAAGTGCTATCCTAAAAACTTCAGGTTATGAGGCTATAATATAAAGAACATCGTGCCCATATGACCCGAATGCCGAAATCTACATTTACTTCACCAGCATGGTCAGTAAGAGATTAGTACGTCAAGATATAGTTACTCACTTCTACTTGCTCGGATGAGGGAAGACCGGGAAAGAAAGCAGTGGTCCAAAGGATTTGACGTCTTAGATATCTAGTAGCTTCTTTGCGGCCTGCCAAACAGATAGTGATATACTATGCATGGGAACCTGCTTTACCAGTCCAATCCCCAATCCTGTATAGAAGCCTCTCCACCCACTCGTGCGCTGTATCGTCACTACGGTCTCCCATATACCGAAAGCCCGCTGAGATCCGCTGGCATGGCCACTAGCTTGCTGTATTCGTCTCACCACTTCAAGAGGATATGTAGCAATTTGAGCGGTCGTACCAGCAATAGCTCCGATGATTAAGTGTAGTTTATGCTGATTCGCAGCGCGAGAAGAGGGAGAAAACCATTCGCGACTGCGCTGGTTGAGTGTTTCCCATACCAGGAAAATTCCGCCACGATATGGAACGGTGCCAGCAAGAGTAACGACGAAACCACGATAGAAATTTCGAAGACCACCGGGGACAAGAGGAGTATGCAGGTGTTCTTTGTATATGCTGCGTATTAGAGTCAGGAGTGTGGGCTGAAGACTGGAATGCTGTGTAGCTACAGCCATTCGTACACGGACGAGTTCGAAAGGATATGTTATTGGCAAGGCCGAGACGCCTATACCCGCACTTCAGAATCATTTCGGCCGCTGGAAAAAGGTCTCACCAGCGATAGAACCAGCGATGAGCCTGCGGAAAGATGTTTGGTCGGAAGCCGTGGGCATAAGGATCTAACTGTATTGTAAGAAAAAGTCTAGTTCAATACTGCTACACACATACCTTGGAAGCGCTGTCATACACCGTGTAGCCAAGGGCTGCATGTGGGACAGCTCTAGAGAGCGTCAACGAATTCCCTCGGTAAAGCGCCAGAAATCCTTGGGTCCGAACAATATGCTCCAGTGCCTTATACACGCCGCGCCAACTGCCTAGGTATCCGTCATTGTATCTCTTACGAGACGACAGCTAGCTGGCATACCTGAGAAACGGGTGAACTCTCGGTTCTGGGTTTGAAATAGAATCTTGATACGTTCAAGAGGTGCGACGGCAGTCTTCGCCTACGGTAACGGTGAGTATTGTCATCGGAAATCGAGAGCGCTGAGTGACGCACAACGCCGCCAGCAATTCCTCCCGCGAGGGCAGATCTGAGGTAATAATCTGTTTTTGATATTTTCATGCTCATATTTTCCGAGTCTGGTTCTCCATTTGAGAGGAAAATGATCAAGGCGGGGCCACAGGCGGCATGGATGTGCCAGAAAGGAAAGGTCGATCGAGATTAGTGCGGCGACGAAATTATTCTTGCGAATGTTCTGCACCTTTTCTTTGCGGCCCTTTCGAAACTAAGGGTGAGTCAAATAGGAGCTTCCGGATGCTGAAAAAAATACGTACATCCACCTCAAGTAAGCTTGTCGCCACTGACTCCGCTCAAGAAGAATGAGGTTAGTGCTGGACGACCCGGAATACCAGCCTAGGTATATCAAATCGTAACGGCATTCTTGCGAAAGTAGAAGGGCATTAGCTTGCAGGCCCCACCTCAGGTTCCAGTGTTTCTTTTGTGTCCCCAACGTCGATTCAGTTGACCCACTCCAACCGTCGTAGCTCCCTGGCATCGGCGGTAGTAATAAATTCTACTGCAATGAACGTCGAGCAAAAACAGTTTCAAGGGAAAAATGAGAGTACAGAACTCTGGTGGTTGTATATAATCACTAGACGAGAGCACGAAGAATAACAACACTAGATAAAACATCAATCATGATAAGGCGGCTGCTTAGCATATTCAAGGATGAGATACGGCATCCTTGGTTCCTACAACCTCCCCCATAAACTCCCTCCAGATAGCCCTTGCATGATACGTCGTCGAAATATGACCACCTGGCACCCACTTGAGCTGAGAATTACGATAATTCTCTACTAGCCACTTTGCCATGTCTGTGCCCAGGTCGTCATCCGACGAAGCAACGACGAGCAGAGGACGTCGTGTATGTTCTTCGCTAAGAGAATCAGGGCGGAAACCCCAGTCTGAAGAGAGAACATCAGACATTTCCATGAATCCCGCCGATGTCTTCGACATGCTAGCGACCGCGTCCTCAGCCGTCTCCCGCTCTAACTGCCCTTCTGGCACCCCTTCTGAATCCCTCCATTTCAAAAAAGCCTCTCGTTCTTGCTCGCTAGCCTTGTCGAACAGATTACTCCGGATGAAGGCCTCAGCTTTATCCACGGTCTTCAGTTGCCACTTGGTCAAAGTGGCCGCCAGACGGGGAACAAGTCCAAATGGAACTATCTGGGAAGGAGCTCCCATTGATAGATAGATGGGCCATTTCATGCTTTTTGCGTAGCCCTTGTGCAATCGTAAAGGGGAGAAGGGTACTAGAAGTAGGCACCCTACTATTTTCCGACCTAGAGGGAATGTATCGAAAGATGAACCATACAAAATCTGCGCAGGGACGGTGCCAAATGACCCTCCTGCAACGTAGATCCTGAGATTGTCGTTGTGGGGGTGGAGATGGTTTATCGACTCGGTGAAATCAGAAAGCAAAGTCGCGACATAGGGTCGATGCTTCAGACGAGGTGATGAGTTGCCCCATCCTTGAAGAGTCGGTGCCACATAATGAACTCCGAGTTCTTGAAGAGAGGACGACATACGACTGGCTCTCCCAATGCCGCAGGTTCCATGCAAGAATACGACAATAGTAGAGCTGGCAGGGTCACCGTTGTCAGCATAGGCTAAGGTTCTGCCGTCAGAGAGCGTCAACAACTTTTCGTGAGTTTCTGTCATAGGCGCGGTTAGAGAAGTGCCAGACCAAGCATCCAGCGTACCATTTAAACAAATATTTTTGACAAGCACCGATCTCAAGCTCCGCAGTTTGTGCACAGGCTCGTGTTCGAGGCGCTAGTACACGACGCTGGAACTGCGACTGCCAAGTAAAAGACAGATGGTACGCACTGGAAAATCTAAATACATATGAAGGAATATACATTGAGGATGATTGTTCAAGCTTACGCTAACTTGAGGCGGAGCGCTTGTCTCTGGCGCCCGGCCACAGGTCATAATAATTTGACCTTGGACTAGTAGCACTCAATGAGTTGTGAGCATTCCTGAAGCCGATAAGTAGTCATACAGATTCTACTGCGACATCATGACATGGAAACATTCCATGGTGCGTAAACAACAAAGATTCGTATGGAATCTAACAGCACCAAACGACCTTCTGGCACCAGGTTTGAAGATGGTGGATCAAGATCAGAAGCTCAACTCGTAGCACATGACAGATGTAACATATTTCGGGAGATTAGAGTTTAAGGACTCAACACTCGGAAAGAAACCCGGGAGTCCAAGTGGTTCCTCGGACACCGAAATCTAACAACGTAAGTGATATAGTTTGTGCAGAAGCATCAATCTGCTGAGTACTCTTCGAGTTCCCTCAATGCCGTGAACAGGCCTTCGAGGGTGTGAAACACAGGCATGCGCCAGAACTTACATGAGTTACGCTCAGACCTTGAAAAGTACAGAAACCAGTACCATGATGCCATAAATAGATCTCATACATTATACGGAATCAAGCTTTGGCAAGTAGTAGCATGGCGAGCGTTTAGGGAAATTGAGCGAAATGAACACTTCTATTGAGGGTCTTTGAATTTTGTAGCAGATAGGGGTGAAATTATTTCCTCCGGAGAGAACACTGCAGAGGGTCTCCGCTTCGCCTCTTCTTTGCTGTAGTCCCACATTTCATGAGACTCAACATGAATGACCAAATTGACATCAGGCTACGCCGAAGGAGTCGTAGGTCTGGAAGACATCGTAGGGTGGGACGCACTTTGTGATGCTCGGTAGAAGGCATCATATAGGGGAGAGAATCTCCTTGACTACCGTATGCTACTTCTCCGCCAAATTTCCATTCGCCACGAAAGTTAAGACTACTCATCATGGAGTTGGTATACAGTTTAGAGAGCGGGAAGTTGAAGATGAGGTGGGTACCAGGCTGAAATGAAATTACATCGGCTATTCACGATCGTGTGCAGCGACTCGCGTCTACCAAAAAAAAAATCAAATCTAATAGGGCACAAATTGATGTGATGAGGCCAGTCTGCGCCGTAACTGAAGGAAAAAAAAATTGGGCGTCATCTTGTCGTTCTACGGAATGATTGACTTACGGCGTATAATACGGTCGACTAGCTAGCACATCAGAGGTTTGGATCCCGGTTTTATGTTTTCTCTGAAATTGCACATCCCACATCACTATTAAAGCACAAATGGATAGGAAATCGTTCCGTGGAATTTACGCTGAAGAACACACATTGAGAGAGGTTTTCGGGCCCATTAGAAAATATGAAACTCACAGGTGCCAGACCACCATGACATTAATGAAGATATCGGCGAAGCAATCCGCAGCAAGCCAGAGAATCACAACAGCCTGGTTGTTAAAGCAATATCTCACAAACATGTTTATGAGGGATGCGCTACCTTGAAATTGCGGAATAATGTGAAGTGAGGCTGGAAGCCTACTTCCACAGCTGTTGCTATTCCACCGCCTTTTGTCGGACATTAGTGTTGTTCAATTGGCAAATAGTGGACCACACACTTCCTCCTGCCAGAGTAGCTAAGATTATAATAAAGACGAGCCAATGATTGTTCGTTAGGATTTTAACTCTCCACGCAAAGAACACTTGGACCATAGGGGCGATAATACCCTGTAAGAAGGGATGCGTCAGTGTCGTCCACCCAAAAGTCGGCTATCGACTGACCGTAAGGGCAGGGTCTAGACAAGACGCAAGGCCGTGACAGTAATGCGCCGATGAAGAGTTTGAAGTGACTAACCTGTAGCAAAAACTAGCAACGGGTTCAGACACGTTATTTTTTATTTTTTATTTTTTCTCGTTAGCACGGTAATATGCTCACCCCAGTCAGCGTTCCCAAGAACTGCGACATCACCTGAATTTCCGTTAGCAACATATATGAATTATTTGGTCCTTAACTTGCCAAAATGCATGATGAGAGACCTGTACATGTACACAAAGTCGAAAACCGTGTTCAGGGTGTCAGCAAAAAATAGTACAGCAACCTGATACAAACGTCAGGACTGGTCACTCAGTAAGAAAGGTACTTACATAGAGTTTCATCTAGGTCTTGTCTCTGTAGCCGAGTCAGAGTGGACAGACGGAATGAAAGTGGCGAAATGATATACTTCTTGTAGGCCACGTAGTAGAGATAGACCTGAGTGATCATGATCCCATAGAGAAGGACATTACAGACGAAGCCAATGAGCATAGGTCCATGGCTGACATAATAATACATCAATAAGCCGGGATATGAGAGCATAAAGACTTACGCTACTTCTGCTGGCGTCTTCATGACGATATAGTCAAAGGCGAATTAAGGGACTCCCTTAACGCCCCGACGTATTTATGAGGTAGATCTCCGGCAACTTACGAAGTCGGGAGTATGCCAGTCTAAATAACTTAAGGTTTCCACTGCGCTCGCTGGGGCCTTGGTCCAAGCGCCCAACTTGGGGTACCAATGGCAGCTCCACAGTTTAGGGGAGCAGCGGCAAGCAGCATCTGAGGAAGGAAAGTGAATCAATAGGCTAAGTTTAGATCGGAAGTAGAACGTACCCAATGAGCATTCAGTGAAACGTTGATACTACATGCAGTTTAGGATGAATGTTGAAACGGGTTAATAAATGGACTAACCTCTGTCCCATTCACTTACGACGACGAACACTTGGATTATGTTGCTTCTGCAATACTCAATCTACTGTCAAGTCGGACCATAAACCGGAAGAATGGTGTAAATATCGTTTTTAAGGTGTAGACTCGGACACCTTGAACTAGCTGCTCATATTAGCCAGAGCTTCGGATGCGAGATAAAAGGATATTTCATACTCAGCTAGTAGAAAACAAGGCGAGACCGTGCTGAATGCCTCTTTGACCGTCAAGAACGTGGTTGCTGTCCTTAGTTCAACTTGAAGGCTGCCGAACGAGGGGCCGGCTACACCCGAAAGTTCTAGGCAAACAGCACCAAGCTACGCGTACGCGTTGAACATGACCGTGTTGAGGGCCGTCACAATGGTCTTGTCACAATGGACATAGGAGACCTGTCCAGTCACGCCTCCCTCTCTCATTCTCTACCCCAACTTCACCCTGAAGTCATCAGGGCCCGCCGCCTTTCCTATCCATTGCCTTGAGTCGTTCGCCATTGTCTGTAGCGACGAGCGCGATCTGGCTATGTTTCTTCCTACTCCTCCCAGCACAGCGCATCGCGCCGACAAAGAAAATCGTCCTATTGCCTCATCGTGGCATGTGATATGGTCGTCTACCGACAAGATTCACCCTCTTTCTAGTCTACCACGCGTTCCACAAATTCGCAGCGCGTCCAAAGACCATCCAACGAAGTCGATCCTGAAGAAACCGTCGCGTTTATCTCCGATTCCAGAGATGAGCAAACGAGAGATCACACCAGAACCCGGCTCTCCCCAGGAAAACGACAAGTACCTGGTGACACCGCTGTCGAAAATCGTTGCCTCTGATCCCTCAATGTCGGACCTCATCGAATCCTACTCAATCTTAACGGCAAGGCTTCGGTCCTGTATTCATGACGTGGATGAAGTCAAGTCATCGTGGCCTCTTTTTGATCCACTAAGAGAACGCCGAGCGAAGCTTGCAAATGCCATCGTCAGAGATGTAGGAAGGGCGCTGGTGGATCCCCTTGGAGGTGCGTTGACGGAGAAAGAACAGAGCAGGGTCCTCCTCCCATCACCGAAACAAAGTCCCAAGAAAAAGAGAGGAATGGATGCGGACCAAGTAAAATACGCCCGCGATCTCTGTACGACCACCCATGCTGTCATCAAGTTTCTGGGTTTTGTCCTTACAATACCTGCCATTTCTGAGATCTTCACAGGTATGTTGATCATACTTTTCACGATAACGAGATGCTCAAGTCCACCGACTAGACGCTGAGCTACGGTCTGTGATGACCAGCGTCTTGGCTATACCGCTTGCCAAAGAGCTCCCTACACTATATACGCGCAAAACGTGTGCGCTATCTATCTGGCTCATTCAAGTCCAACGACTTCCTGCAGAAGTTCTCGAGCCCGCTGCCGATCGAATCGCCTACGCGCTCTCGCGTGGCATCGATGGTGAGTTAGGAAAAGAAGGTAAAAAAGGTTCTGCAAATGATGGACTAAAGGTGCGTTTCTTTTTGGATGATCTTGACATTGATCTCAATGCCCCACCAAGGCCATTCATGATCTATCTCTGCACCAACCCTCAATATTCGTGCCTGCATTTGCGAAAATTATCCCGTCTGTCTTCACAAACCTGCTCAGTCCAAGCATCGTTTTACGTCTGCAAGCGTGCCATGCCCTTGGAGGTCTTGCCATGGCCAGCTCGACCCTTCCCGCATCGGAAATGCACTCAGAACTTTCAGAAAGTGTCGCAACATTCCTCACAACTACTCCTCCTAAACTGTCGCCGTCCAAAAACAAAAACTCTCTTGCTCATGCTGAAGCACCCATCGTTCGAACGTTGCGAACAACCCTTAGCGCTACGGACCCTCTACATGTCGCCCATGGACCGGTTTGGGGTCTTCACATCCTTGCAAGCTTCCTAGCCCTGCTTCGTTCCAGAGTCTATGAGGATCAAGTGATATTCCGTATCATCTCCGCTCTCTTTCAGTTGCCAATGAGACACAAGAAGAACTCGGTTCGAGGGCTGCTGTGTGTTGTCTGGCGCGTCATTACCTGGGTTTATTTCCAGCCTCGCCTCATCTCGTCTGATGAGCCGACTTCGAGTACCGGGTCTGCTCACCAGCTAGTGTCCACTCGAGAAAATTGGTGGAAGTTCGTGAAGACGATCGTATCGATGCACGCAGGCATTAGCACCCTCGCTGCATTGTTTGGCAGTGGCGCCACTTCCGAGGTCATGGATCGGGCCGTTGACCTACTCGAGCATATGATGCACAAGCGTGATTCGACTTTCAAAGACGCCCTTGCAGTCATGAGGCGGCTCATAGGCTTTGAAACGCCCGACGTTGAATGGGACTGGGGACTTCTAACACCGCATTCTCTGTTCTCCTCTAATCCTGGTCTTCTTACTGTCGATTTCACGTCTTTACAGACCGTTGTTTCGCCTATGTATGAAGAATGCGCGGGTGTCGATGATATACGCTCTTTAAGCAAGGAGGAGTTGGTGGACGGTCGCATCTTGACTGCTTTCTTTAACGCTTGGCGAAAAGGCCTCGCAGGCTTCGGACTGAACGATGCAGGGACGATAGTGAGTCGTTCGATCTCTTATTTTCAAGGAGATGCTAATTTCTTGGATAGTCCGAAGTCACATTGACCTGGAAGTATCTCCTCCATGCCCATTTGATCACTCACGAAGGCATGTATATGTGCGCATTTCATTCATTTTGACACTGAAGTATCACTTTAGAGTCTGGGCGCTATATAATAGACGAAGTCGCTCAAATGGCTGTCGAGACATTAGAAGACATCCTCAAAGACTCGAATGTGACAACGCATGCTCCTTCCCCTTCATCTTCTCCGGTTAACACCCCCATCAAGATCCCTCGTTGTACTCCCGCTGCTCTTCTCAAGCTCAAAGTTGTTCAAGATCTATGGACTGTCACACGCGAGCTGATACCAAAGGGTAACCTATGCGTTGCAAACCGTCTTCTCGCCTGTTTGATGAAGAACGAGTCTGACTTGACAGATGGCGATGAATGCGTGAGAAAGGAGTGGGCTTCGCTATGTGCTCAAGTGGCTGTGGTATGTGAATTAGAGGAACTGAAAGCTTTCTGGTCATTTGTGGTGGATGCAGAGATACCTGCATGGAAGTGGAATTGGTCTGAAGCCGTTAGAAGCATTGTCTGGAGAGGTTTTACCAACGTCTGGCACCACGAAGGCACTTGGGAGGGTATCATCGTTCTCCTGAACGTTCCATTCTTGTGAGTATTAATATTTTGCGCCTGAGCACTCAATTGAAAAATCTATTTGCAGACGAGAACACGTTTGGGATCTAACTGACGATGACTTCAGGGAATGGGAATCCCTCCTCGGTATAGGCGTTGAGAAGGCATTTGACTACGGCATGGATGCGTCTGAGTTCATCGACTCTGTCGCCGCAAATGTCTCACAAAGTCTTGATCCAACCTTCACGTCGGCGACAAGGATAACGGACGCGGTTATATCTCGCGTTGACATGGCAGACGTTCGACAAATACCCACATCATTAGTTGACCTTGTCAGTGAGACACTACGGATGAGTTATCCTCCAGAGCCGAGCAATATGACGACATCATTCTGGATGGTTAGGTCGCTGGTCCGCATGCTGGAGACCTGTCCTCCGGAATTGATCTCTAATGTCCTCAGTATCTTACAAGAAGGACTATCTTTATGGATATCGGATGAGTTCAAAGCGTTCAAGCTGTCGGACTATTCAGGCGATGTAAGTTCTACTGTCTACGCCACATTTCCACTGCTCATACTTCCTCCCTAGATCCTGTCTTTGTACGAGGTGGTCCTCATGTCCATGCAAAATCTTCCGCGCGACCATGAGAACCTCGCACACTTCGGCGTTCTCATTGAAGCCGTCTTTTATGGACGCGAAGACAAACCTCAAGGAATATTTGACGCTTTCACCGATTTCTGGCAGGATACGTTCTCGACGAAGATCCCGCTGGGTGGTTGGCCTCAAAAAGTTCGAGCATTCTTCGGTATATGCGAACCTCTCGAGGGGCCAGACCCGGACGAGTTGACATTGCATGACACATGTCCCCAGGGAGAAGCAGTCGAAGAAACGCCTCTGGAGTTGATTATGTTCACAACCCCTCCCTCCTCTCCCATTCAAACACCCGTGCGCCCTCACAAATCCCCGACCACGTTTTCTCGACATTTCGACATCATGCTATACTCCCCTGAATCCCCCACTCTTTCTGGAAGAGCTTCACGTAGATCAAGCGCCGGAAAAAAAGTCAAGTCGGTTGATAATAAGGAGAATGTACCACTTAGTACACCAGTCACGCGATCTGTCAAGGACAAACGTCGTTTGTCGAGTGACAGCAATGAGGGACCAATCCCAAAGAAGCGAAAATCCAGGCATGTCAAGGAATCTCCGAGCACTGAAGACAAGATCCAGAAAGTTTTAGCCATCAATGTGTATTCGCCCAATTCCGATGTATTCTCATCTGGTGGCTCAAGTTCGGGAAGGAGAAAAAGAATCATTATGGAATCAGTCGAGGTTCCAACGTTAAGAGAGGTTAACCGTAGACGGTTAGTCGGGTCAGGGAAAGACCTTGATTCGTCGCCTCTAGGATCATTCGATGATATGCTTTTCCGGGAGATTGGAAGGAAACGCTCGGGCTCGAGCTCTTCAAGTTTTGGGTCTAACTGTTGTGGTAAGATTTCCTTTCTTGATTTTTTCGTGAACATGACTAATCGTGCGTATAGATGACTCTGCTTCCCCCCCTACCATGGAGCCCGCTTCGTCTGATGACGATCCACACTATGGGCAGGTCACGCCTCACCATCTCATTTCACCCGACATTCCCTCCCGCCGGACAGAAGATAATAGACATGACCAGGACCCTCCCAGCGATGATTCAGTTGTATGTCCTAGTCCGACTAAGGACGTAATCCAGAGGCGGCTGCAAAGACGGTCGTCAGGGTCTCCAAAAACGATTTATTGATCAAGTCCGATTCTTTCGCTCTGAATAACACCCTTTGCTTTGTATGTTTATCGCTTTAAATTATCATCGTTATCATCCCTTGTTACTTGCATACCTGTAGTTGTAGTTTTGTCAAAGTTTTGTTCAAAATCTTATCAATTTCGGCTGAAGCGGATATCACGGAAGTGTATGACAAACAGAACCAATCATCCAGTTATTACTTCCGCGGTAGCAACCGCCTCTTCCATGTACCACCATTAGTAGTGCTCTTCCTCTCCATCTACAACCCATCCTCTCATGGCTGTAAAATTCAAACAGTCTAGCACGTTTATCATCTTCTCCCGTATGCTCTGGCTCCGCTTCATATCGGACCTCTACTTACTAGCGCCATTCGACTACAGGACCCTTTCACGAAACTGCAAATCGCAAAGTCTTATTCTGGAATGAAGATCCGAAGAAGGACCTTGTTTTCAAAGCTGAAATTCAGATCTCTAATCCGAAGGTACTATCTAGACTCTATCTAGCTGGAGGACGTCATATAGACCAGTTTGCAGGGCCAGGAGTACACTATCATCCCAAGCACGGGACGAGTCGAGCCTAATAAGAGCATCAGACTTACATGTACGGTCGACTTAACTCCGATGTGCTATCTCGGAGGTGAATCGATGCTCCAGTGACGAGGCATGCCATGACAGAAGACCCCGGACCGTGTACAGACTTGTTCAAACTCAAGAGCTGTCTCGTTGCACCGACCACAAAGATCAAGGACTTGGACTCATATGTGCGTCTATCTGGCTCATTCTTGTTGTTCATTGACTGGTTTGGTTTAGTGGGAGGGAAAGCGCAAGAGTTCAAGCGAGGTACATGTTCAGCGTTTGCGGTTGACCTGGCTGCAGGATCCAAATAGCGAAGCAGGAAATGCCGTAAAAGTGAAACCTGAGAGCGCTATTATCATTCCTAGTAGGTTTTTGTTGTTTGATGGTCTGTGACTTTGAATTTATGCGCCATCACGAGCCAATGCCCGGATCCACGCTATCCCAAGTGGTGGCTTTGAGATTCACAATCCAAGATCCAATGTGATTTTGTACAGATTTGTAGTTACGAATAAGGTGATCCATTCCTGCTCTTTCTGATAGTGTGTGTCCAATGCGTTCAGGGCTTCACGTTTACAGGTCGAACTCAAGGGATGGTGCGTCCTTCGGATACGCGCGAATTTCAAGGTGCGCCTCGTTGAACTCATCGATTCTGCCCATTGAGATCAGCATGCTCAGTTCGCTGTCGTGCTGGAACGTTTTTGACACCCCTAGATAAACTTGTGATATTAACTGCCGAGCTACCCTCAGGCGTGGACGTATCCCAATTAACACAGGGGATAAAACCAATATCTGATGTTGTAAGTCCCGAGTCGATAAAACACCGTAGGTGCCTTAAAACTGATGTTCTTAGTGGCTCCACGAGAAGAATCTGGGGGTAACCCACCACACGCTGAGGGTTGTAAAGGGTCAGGTACAGAAGGAGTCGAGGATCGAAGACGAAGAAGCGGAGCTGCTTATGGATTGCTCGGAAGAAGAGGAACTGGGTGAGTTGGATATTCACGACGACAATATTGACGTGAGACGAGCGAGCTGGCTGTCAAAAGCGATGAGTAGATTTCGTTGAGTTATAGTTTTCGTTGACTAGGGATTCGCAGAATGAAGGCATGATAATGACGCTTTACCGAGCTGGTTATAAGATACTGCCGAATAATTGACGGTGACTCTGTTGTCTTGGTTCAAGTGCTGTCTGTCTAGTAACATTGGAAACGACGGTCAAGAGACACTCCGAGTAGGCCGATTTGGATCCGATTTGGATCCGATCAGTGCTCTTCATCTGGACGTCATTGCCACTAATGTTATTATTTGGCCGTTCAATATTCCCCTTCCTTTTCATCTTCTTTTCTGCCCACAATGTCCAAGCAACTTCTTGATACCCCATCCAAGCACCGCTTTTCTCTCTCTGGTCTCGCCGACAAGAGTTGGAACTTTCTTTCTGAATCTGCTATTCGCTCTGCATGGGCACCACTTACTGGTCTTGCTCAAATGGTGTCAATGTCGTCCGTAGTTTTTTAATCTTATATTTGCTTGTAGTAACGTGCATCATATGCTAGGTTAATGCAGCGCGTTAACAAAGGGAGCTTCCGTGTGCTCACGTACACAGGCGTCCATACTTTCCCTTATGCTGGTCCCAAGAGCCCAGCGGAACGTACCGCAGAACTTCGTATTGTTAACGACGTCTTCTGGATTCGTCTTTGCACCATGGGAGACCTCGGATTTGCCGAAGCGTACATGTATGGTGACGTCGAGTGCGATGATTTGGTTTCTCTTTTCCATGTGCGCATACGCTTCTTATCGCTTCTGCTTAGCATTACGTTTACGTCTGGTACTTTTCAAGATTTTCTTGGATAACAGGGACAATCTCTCCAACTTGGATTCCAAAGCCTCGTATTTATTCACCTTACCACAAAAGATCACCTCATATCGATTCCTCAACACCATTAGCAACTCTCGTTCCAATATATCTGCGCATTATGATATCTCGAACGACATGTTTGCTGGTATGCGTTGATTATACTCTACGAGAACAAAAGTTGATCAATCATGTGTTTTTCAGGCTTCCTATCCCAGGACATGACATACTCATGTGCCATTTTCGAAGACCTTGATGGTGATCTGAAGAGCGGCATTGATTATCGGTATTTCAGTGGTGGGGAGGGCCTTCAGCGGCTCAGCTCTGAGGAGCAGGTGCCCCCGACGATCGATGACGATCATTCTCTCACGCCCGAGAGCGACCCACTTTACCAGGCGCAGATGCGTAAACTTACACACATCATCAAAAAAGCCAAAATCATGCCGGGCCATAGGGTGCTCGAGATCGGAAGCGGCTGGTGCTCCATGGCGATTCTCATTACACAGACTATACCTGATACGACTGTTGATACCTTGACGCTGTCGGTAGAGCAACAGACACTTGCACGACAGCGAATCCAGGAAGCTGGTCTACAACATAGAATCTCGGTGCATCTGATGGATTATAGAAACTTGCCCGCGGAATGGGAAGCAGCTTTTGACAGATTCATCAGCGTTGAGATGATAGAGGCTGTGGGAAAGGAATTTTTAGCAACATATTGGGCGCAAGTCGATTGGGCACTGAAGAAGAAGGGGGCTGTTGGCGTTGTCCAGGTTATAACAATACCAGAAGCTCGTGAGTCCGTTGTTATGCCAGTTGAAGTTATGTTGATCTACATCCCTCAGGATTCGAACGTTACATGCGTGAAGTCGATTTTATACGCAAATGGGTAAGTCTTTACCAGGGTTAAACTTCCCCCGAGCTTACGGACTTTGTAGAGTATTTCCGTTCTTCATAACATTATGATATCAATTCTCATACTGTGTCTTGTATACAGTTTTCCCGGGCGGGTTTTTGCCGACCCTGGTCCTTCTCTTCGAAACCTTACAACAAGGTTCGAAGGGAGACCTCACTGTAGATTCGGTCAGCAATATCGGTCCTCACTACGCACGAACGTTACGCGAATGGCGGAGACGATTTTTAACGGCTTTTGAGAGCAGGATCGTTCCGGCCTTACAGAAACGGTATCCCGACATCATGACCGGTCCCAAAGGCAGGTCTCAGATTGAAGTCTTCAAGCGAAAGTGGATATGTGAGTAACACGGCCTATGCAATGCAAAGAAGATGTGACATTTGGGTTTCTCCCGTCCCCAGATTATTAGTAAGTGTGCGTTACTCAGAGCCTTAATCCAGCAATCTCATTTCCGTAAGTTGTTATTGCGAAGTCGGCTTTACCACTCGTACATTAGGCGGTACGTTCTCGTACATGGATTGGTCGAGTCTTCTTCATCCCAATCCAACAGATCATATAATCTCCTTTACGCGAGAAGGATGTCAGGAGTATGGGTGTTATACATACGAGTAGGGTAGGCGATGTATAGTGATGAAATTATGGAAACCCTTGAGGCGCCGTCATAATTCCATAAACGTGACAAATAATGTACGAATCTGCCTCCAGTTATTGACTCGTAGAGGTGTTTAAACATTTGCCCATCTGCTCAAGTATCCTTCCGCTAAGAGTGTGAACCAAGTGCTGCGCCTGCATCAAGGCTTCTCTTTGCATGGGAATTTCACTGTTAAAGGCAGTGCACGCTCGTCGTAGAGCATGTAGCGCAGCAGGAGTGGTCTGATTGCGCCGAAGTAGCGGACCGCCTTCAGCTGGGGATGCCGGAAGAGGCTCGGTAAGATGTCGCCCACCTAAAGGACGGGGACTTTGGAATACACACGAAGAATCTGGAAGAGTGCTGTGAGTGCAGGGATGCAAGACACCGGGAATAACTGACTGGGTTTCAATGTCTTGGGACCAATGAAAGGAGAACCGATGTCCTCATGCCCAAGATCATCAGAAAATTCTACAAGCGCCGATACTTCAGAAAGAGCCTTAGGCAAGGCGATCAATGAAACTGTACCTGCTTCGGCATGCTCTTTATAACCATCATTCACGATAAGTGCCTCCTGATCCTGACTCTCTGCCTCATCTAAATCCATAGAGAAAGAACCTTGGGAGGACGGTCCAGGTGTCATCAGTTGGCTCTCACGACTTGTATATGCCGTGGACGCGGTGTATCGTGGGATGACAACATCCTCAAATACTCGCTTCCTCCTTGCACCTCGAGGCGAGGGTGGCAACGTTCCAACATCACCTAGAATCTTTTGCTTCTTTGGTTGATTGTCACGGTCTGAGTTGGAAGAAGTAAGACGTTTCAAGGAGGCGGAAACCTTTCGAGACTTGGGAGATGGTGTGGGCGCTTCTGTTCTAACTGGGTGAGATTGAGGGGGGAAAAACGGGAGTCGGGCTGCTGGAAAAGATGATATATTTGATGGCTCGGAAGGTGTAGAATGGACAGTCATCGGGGTTCTGTTTGAAGCCCGAGTGCGCAGGGAACTATTCGGTGTTGTAGAGTGCTCACTTTGCGGGTCCGAGTCAGGTACAACGGAAGATGGCTGACGAACGGTTGTAAGGATGTGATGAGCATAATTGATGAATATTCTGGCACATACAGTAAACTGTGACTCAGGGAGACCATCCCCAACGATCTGGCTGTTCATGTCGTTTAGAACGGACAAACATCTCACAATAAGCGGGGGATAATGCCCATAGAATTCTTCGACGTCCCGGTAGGTGGCGCGCCAGAACCTTATAAAGGCGGCCGGCCCGAGGCCCGAATGATCGTGACAGAAGCCACAAGCGAGAAATGCGGATAGTTTATCGAGAACAAAAATCGATAATTCGTGCTCATGCAACGTATCAAGTGGCCGGCAATACAGTTGACGCATCTGAATGGGTGCGGATGGTATAGCTTAGAGATCGAATGCAGCCAGAGCCCGGAAGGAACGTACAATTTCTTTGTGATCGGCGGAGGAGAGCACATTAGATTCATCTGCTATCCATAATTGGAGAGACTGCTGAAAGGATGTAACAAGGTTGACAATAGAAGACGAACACGGTATCATCTGGCCGAGGAAACGTAAGGTTTGAAGGCATAACGATAGAGCATCAGTGGGAGGGGGGTAAAGGGCTGTGAGACTTTCATCGGCGACTTGGAGAGCACGGTCAGATATATCGATAGTGCCTGCAGTAATGAAAAGTGTCAAGAACTGCTTCGGATCGATATTCAACCTGTATTGACTGAGTTGTTGTAATTGCCGGGAAGTTGCGTGCTCAATTTCACCACTTACTTAGAATGCTTATCCTCGAGAATATCGGATACTAATTTGCTCGATGAAACAGTTGCTTTAGATATCGCCCTGGAAAGAAGTTCTCGCCATATTTCGAGATCGTTATTTGTCGTCGGCCATTTCCTGTGAGTCGTATGAAATTAATGGCCTAAAAACAGCCGGGATAAGACTCACCCAAAAGACATCTTCAACAAGGTAACAAGAACCTGTTCCGAAAGGAGATCGACGTCCCTCGACTTGCGAGCCAGAACACGCCACAGCCGCATTGTAACATCCGGTTCGGAGCTCATGATGTCTCCCAGAATACCGAATTCGTTGCAATGAGAAACATCTAGAGAAGCCGCCAAGCCCTCGCAAAGGCTTGACCATGCTGAGTGGAGATCGGGGGTCTCAACGGGACACTGTATCGTAAGGGTCGTCTTCAGTAGATCTTCCGCAAGCCCATGGAGCCAGCGATCTGCGAAGACATTCTTGGCTACTGACCACAACTGGGAAACGAATCTTAGTGACCGAGTAGGTGCCTCGACACTTCCATTAGGTTCTGACATCGAAAGAAAGCCGGTCATGATGCTGAATACCCGACCTGCGAAACCGGACGATGTCGTCAGGTGTACTCCACCCTGTGTTAACTGTGTTTGGACTAAAAGCAACGACTGCCAGGCCCCGATGAGATTCTTCTAGATACAGAAATTCCAGTCAGTCCTAGCCAAATAAAACAACAAATTAGAAAGCCAATCAACCCACAAGCAGTACACTATCGGGGTCCCGCAAGACCGCAGTAGATGCGGTTATCCAGATATCGATCAAGGCGTCCCATTTCCGGATAATGTCCTCTTCCGAAAGTTGCCAGAGTAAATGAGGCGATTTCTTGTTTATCGCCTCGACAGCAGATGAAATGGTCCTTGATGTCGCGTTCAATAAGGTATCATCGAGCAGCTCTAGGGGCAGATAGGATTTGACGGCCGGAGTGTCTTTGCCTGGTGAAGATGGCGTTCCAATGGAGCCAAGAGCCTGGCTCAAGAGCAAAATACCATCGGCGCGCGTTGAGACATGATCACTGGACACCATCTTACCAAGGACCGATAGCGCTCGCGAAACGCCTTCGGCAGATCCGTCTTCAGCGCTAAGTACAGCGGCTATGATGACTTCTCCAATATGGCCTTTCAGCTCTTCTTGAACGACAAGAAAAGCACTCTCAATGGTTTCTTCGGCACGAGTAGTATTCGATTTTGTCCTCATTTCAAGCACAGACGAGAAGGCCCAGACAAGACACTTCCAAACAATAGGCTGAAGCCGTTTCAGCTGTTGCTGTGAGGCGGCTTCTGAAAGAGTCTTCACGAATAGAAAGATTGAAGGCCGATGTGTTAAAGCGCCATAGTCAGATAATACGATGAGCGAGGAAACAGCTACCAGCGACCACCCGGGACTCTGTGTTTCTACCGCCCGCTCGGGACTGAGCGCTTCTCTGATGCCCCCAAACTCGGAATGCCGTGCTGATCGTGAAGAAAATTCAGCGATGAAGTCGCGGATCTTGGCTGCAACGGATTGAAATGCGTCCATGGCCGTTGAGCTATCCTCAAGCTTTGTCGCCGCGAGACGGCTGATAATGCGGGTAACGAGCAAACGGTATTCCAAAGTGGGGGATATTAGGAAGGGGAGAAGATCTGAGAAGAATTGGAGTAGCGAAGGCACGAATTCGGCCCTCTGGTCGGTGACGAGTTTGAGTACGATCTTGAAGGGTTGTATGAGCACGATTCAGTCATGAACACAAAGGGATTGTAACCTTCAGACTATTGGTACGATATTCGCTCTTCCCGAGACCACTACCGAGTCCCTGCATAACAATTATTGCCATTGTGTGGGAGTATGCACTCAGCACATCGGTAGGCAAGCACTGATTGCCTAATATCCACAGTATAAAGTTGCGAATACGTTGAGGGTCTGGGGAAGGAATGTTTGGCGCCATAAGCACCGCTACTATGTCGCCTAAGAAGGATCGAAGCTCTTTATCTGTCGGCAGATAAGACAATTTCACACACTTATAGGCATAAGTGCTTACCAGTAAATTGCTTGCATAGAGGCTTCATGGATACTATATCCGACAATAGTCTCAGGGCATTGTTAGTCAGGGAATATCGCGCTTCCAAGGCTGTCAGGGCTTGTTCGTTTGTTGGTGTCTTCGAGCCTGTAAGATCTTCCAGAGACGCTTCAATCATTATGAGCTTGATATCTCTTCGTATGGCTTTGGATAGCGATGCTGAAGCCTTGCGGAGAATGACGAGAGATACATGGTCTTGGTTTTCGTCGTTGATGGCATCTGCATCGGTGCGGATCCTATTAGCAAGCTCGGTATAAGCTTCATTTAGATCGGCAAGAGAAACTCCAGGTTGGGCGCTTAACGAATTGGCAAGCGTTGATATTGATGAGTTGTAAGATTTCTTGTCTGAGAGCCTTGGATTAAAAAGGGGCGAGGAGGGCATAGGTATTGTTGCCCAACTAATATCGTCTTGGTCTTGTTCTACGATCATGGATTGTGCAGTAGAATTAAATAGTCCCAGTGCGGGAGGTTGTTCGTGTGATTGTTTCAACAACGGTGGAAGATTATTGATGGGGATGTTCTCCTTGTCGAGAGACTTGGTAGAAGCAATACGCATGTCAATTCTGGGTTATGGTAACAGCGGTGAGGAAGGTGGTAGATGAAGGGGACGGAATATTATTGCACTAAGATCTGGTCAGCAACAGCTTTATCGATATCGAACGAACGCTGACCTTTTTATGTGGCTCCCGGATGAAGAATGAACATATATAAGTGAGACCCAAACGCGTCGTCAAATATGTGCAGAGAATAAACTATGAACAACGACAAAGACAATACCAAGACATTGGTGCCAATTGACTTGCTGGCAGTACGATGTCAGGAACACACATAAAACGAAGAGCGTGATCATGTCACAGTCGCGCCTTTAATCACGTGCTAGTTTTCTATTCTTGGATGGTGCGTGACATGTCGTCTCACCCTCCTTTCTAAAATCTTTGACGATGAGCATCCATTGCGAACAACAGTTCATCGACTGTTCTCCCTTTTTTTTTACAAGCTTTGCACAATTTCTTGCTCTTTACCAGTTAAATGACCCATGTTGAAGTGCTCAGGAAAGATTGATCAGACAAGGGATGTCCCTTTCTCCATTCCCACCTTGTTTTCTAACCATCACTAGAACCTTTCAACCTGGAACTCACGCTGGCCTTGATGTTTCAATCTATCGTTTTCTTCATTGGTACTTTTTACGTTTTCGCTGTTCTCAGTCTTCCTATCGCCGCTGAAGCTGCTCGCCTCCCCGCTGTTTATCGTTCTGAACAACGCGGCGACCCCTGCGATATCCCGCCGAAACGTATTCAGTCCGAAAATTACGAATCCTACTGATGATACGACGTGATTCAGTGGTTCTCGCATTACTGCTATGTGGTATGTCCCTTCTCGCACCGTCTACCCGAGTCATTAGGCTCATCCCTAGGCATCGTTTAGGGACACAAGTAATCCACTGCAAAATCTCACGAATCCGAAAGGAATGCTTATGTTGGGCTTCGTGAGAATGGCCAAGACAACAACAAGCACTTGAATATGCGTACGCTGCTATGTTGCGTTCCGTGTTCTGCTTCGCTCAGAATTTTATCTTTACCTAATAGAACAAAGTTATCTGTACAGTAGGATCCTGTGGGTAACGATGCACTTGTTTGACTCTTCAGCAGCAGCAGTGATCCCGATATTGGATCCGGCTGACCTGGTTGTCTTCATCGATGCACTGTTGACTGTTGATTGGACTCTCTGCCTCCTTGTGACCACCTGTCCGCATTCATTGGAGACTGAGCGTATCAGATCGGTGTGGTACGACTCTAGGAAGCTTCTCTGTGCGGGACTATAAAGCATCTCTTAGTACTGGATGCTTCTAGCACGTTGTCGGTCTAGAATCACTCCGGGAACTACTCAAATTGCCTATTCGACAACAGCGGCTGCGGTGTTTAGTGCTGCTAAGAGTAATTTGCAGTCAACAGTCTCATTCAACTCTTCAATTCAGCAAGTGTTTCTTGGTAGAAGAAGTATGCCTATTGTCCAGAGCGCTGACCTAGTCTGCCCTATGTACCCTGGTGATAATTCTGAATTTTTATCTCCTGACAGGCTTGCCTGCTCCACAAGGTTATCTTCTTTGATGCAACGCTGACGAGTCCAAAACGGCAAAAGGGCGTAATATTGAGAAAGGTGATTGAGTATAAATCTGGACCGCCCGATCTCTAACTTCACCTTGCTCTCTCACCTCCTACCACCACCACCGCAGGCAATAATCACTCAGCCATGTTATCCTTCGTCGCTCTCTTTTCTGCCTTTTTCTTCGCCGTCGCCATCGCCTATCCAATGACCAAGCTCCAGGAGCTCATTGTCTGGAGCCCTACCATCACCTCGCCCACCTCGTCCACCAATTGGTGCGCTGGCACTCCACTTAATGTGACTTGGGGTACGCAGTTTCTCTTCTTGCGCGTATTTACAAGACACTAACATGCTACAGACATGATGGGTATGCCTGAAGACGGCAAAAACTCTACAGGTCTGCTGTTGTTGGGACATCAAACCCAGGACAGCGAGAATCTTGACATTCGTAAGCATCCATCTTCTTCTTGCGGACTTTCGATGACCTCGCCATGGGTGTTGCAGACCATCCCTTGGCTAACGGCTTTCCTTTGAGTCGGGGTTGGGTTTTCTGTACGATGCCGAATGACACCGCACCCCGGTCAGACTATATAGTCGTTCGTAAGTGCATTTACCTTAGAGTATCTAGCTAACTCATTCCAACTATTTCCTGGCAGTCTTTGGCGATTCTGGGAATGCGTCACCCCGCTTCAACGTCTCTGGGCCTGATCCAGCTGCCCAATAAACGCATACATCTTACCTACGAAGCAGTCTTCTCACTAGTCACATGTTCGCTTTGTTGGACGACTTACCTCACGCGCTACAGCCAGTCTTTGCATTCGTACTTTCTTGCACAGTTTTCTTTCTTTTGTCTAATGTCATAGCAGGGTATATTATTTACAAGAGATATTATTTATCTGCTCATGGTTCTACGCGCTCTTGGCCTTGGTAGAAACTTGAGCACGCACTGCCCCGGCAATATGAGAGTAGGAATCAACCATCAGCCAAATCGGTATGAAGACCGAGCTAAACAAACAGTTATCAGGATTTCCTGGCATGACAGGGAAAGGAAACACGTACATCACATTCATGAACTATTCAAACAAGAGTCGGGTGTGTCCACGGAAAGTGATAAGAAGTGATAAGATAAGCTTGCCACAAGATAAACCCACAAATGGAGGGCATTTGAGGTATTCAGATTCGGGCTACCGGTAAGCCATTCCGGGCAAAAGGTCATCCAACTAGGGTTCGTGTCAATGCTTCTGGGACGGAAGCGAATCATAACCGGCGCACCCGAGTTGTATGGAGGTACTCAAGACCACGATCCAGTAATACCTCGCAGGGTCATTAGAGACAAGCTGCTTCAGAATGTAGCAGCAAAGCGGCCCAGCGCCTAATACAGTGAGAATTTCAAGCGACACGACCGTCGGTTCCGAGAATCCCTAGCGGAAATCGGCCTCTAAAAGCCAGGGACGTGAGCGTCACGGAGAAAACGAATGGTAATAGTACGCACACATCTCCGCAAGGGGGGCTTCGCTCAGGATGACCTGGCGCCCGAAGGTAGAGTAGTACAGGAACGAGCCTTCGTATAGGAAATGAACCAGTGCGTCGAAGGCCTAGACGGAAAAGTAACATTCATTTCGGGATTATGAGGCGCAGCAACCAATTCAACGCTCACCAGCCACACGAAGACGAACCGGTCCTTGGAGGTCGCATCCTTGGGCAGCAGGGTCTTGGCACCCGTGGAAGCGGTCAACGCAATTCCCGCAACGCCGGCAAGGGAAAACAAGGACGTTGCAGTGAACAAGTCGCTTGCGGACATCGTGTACACTCACAAAGACGGAGTTGTACTTGCGGTCCTGATGCGGGGAAACAGGGAAAAGTACACGATTTTTCGGAGTCCCAAATGGAGTTATGTTTCTGTAGGCCATTCTATGGAAATACCGTAATGACAACTTGAACTGGCGCCTCTCGCGTCTGTACTTTCCAAAATGCATGTACATAATATGCTGTTCATTAAAACGACGTTCCAAGTGGTGATGTACAAAGAAGAAATGATAAAAAAAAAGAGGTCCAGTCACAAAATACATACGGCAACAAGCTATGAAACGCGTCGAATGCCATAGGTCGACGTCTTAACTTATCCGTCCTTCTTTCTAATGTTTGGGCAATTACAAGCTCTTCACATTACAATATCCTCCGGGCCACGGACAGGAACAGGGGTAATAGCCACATCACTGTCAATTGTAACAGAAGAGCTCTGCGCCCAGCCTTCTGATTGCCCAGCTCCATGAGCAGAAGCAAGGGGAGCCCCCGGAGACACTTCTGTCGCCGACAGAGTACTAGATTCCCCCGAAGGCACAGGGAGGCCCGTTGTCGGTCCGGTCACGTCTGTTTGAGGGCTTCCGAAAATATGATTGACTGCGAACCAATATTATTAGACGCCTTAACAGCCAGGGGTAGCAACTTACATTCCTTAGCGTGATCTAGAAAAACACAAGGCACATTAACCCGAAAATCAGCGGTGAATGATGTCGTTACTTACCAACGTCCGTCTGACGAAAGCACTGACTACCTTCGGGGCAGTCTTCCCTGCTGGAGATGTGGCCCTCTGCAATGCCCTTCTGTCTTTCTCGTACCCACCAGTCCTTCAGACCCCACAATAAAACCTCCGTCGCACAAGCTCTGCAGATTTTCTGGCGCGGAGCTGCCGGATCAGGATCTGTCCCTGCGACCACCGGGTGAACATCCCTGAAAAGTTCTAGCTTTAATAATGGCTGAAATCCATGCGGCTGTAATTGAATATGAGTGACGATCTGTCGATTCACATGTGTGAGATTAAATTCAAGATTGCAACAAAAACGAGGCCACAGACATCACGGTATATGTTCTTCGGCATTATTCTGCGAATGGCAAGGTAATCCAACATGATGTCAACTTCAATATGGTTGTCGTTGAAGCATTCATAAACTTCGGGTGATTGGACAAAGTCGGTAAGATCTGCCATTGAATGTAATTGTTGCACGGCCAAGGATGTTGCAATGCATCGTCCCGGTACTCCGATTCCACAAAAAGATACTTGACAAAAGTCGCATTTGGTGGTCGTAGGAGCTTGCAGTGCGAGTAGGTTCTCACTATACAGGACCGGTTAGAGACGACAGCAATTCCACGGCACGAGACACCTACCAGTTCCCACAATTGGCGTGGCCCGGAGGCGTACCCTCATCCAAGTGCCATGCATGCTCAGCGTCTGTATCAGGATCTGGAACTGGCTGAGGGCAAGTGTAGCCAAACATGTTTCCTGGTGTGCAATGTGGGCATGGACGTGCATAGTCGCTCTGGTTGAGGTTCGGTTCTGGAGACGCTTCGCGTGGAGGAGGAATCTAATAGAAATGATACAACCTAATCGACAAAATATATCTCGTAACTGAGACGGTACGCACACGCATGGATGTTCCGGTACTGTATATTTCATCTGCCTGTTGGCGCTCACGTTCTGAGCGCACTTTGCTCGGTGCAGCACGAAGTAGGACGTCTATAACTGTCTGCAATGGTCGGGAGGGCGTTACGATACTAGAAACTCCGCGACATGCTGGGCAGTTGGTGCCGCCATTCTAGATACTCAGTCAGTTCGACACATAAAGACAACAAAGGCAGAACGCAAAGAAAGGCCATCGAATAAGGGTAGTGCGAAGACATCCCATATCCCAGGAGCACTGATGAGACCCCTAACGAAAGGAAGAACAAAGAATGCTCATACTGAGGAACTGTACTCACCCGGATCCAGAGCATACAACAACTGTGAAAGCAGAAAAGTCAACATCCATTGATTCATCATCGATGGTACAATAATATGCGCACCTTCCACAGAAGAAATGTTGGCAGGGAGATACGATGACCGGCCTGTACAAGAGTTCGGAACAGCAACCACACTGTAGCTCTTGTGCTAATTCATCAACAAAGGTAGCACCGTCAATGGTGACAGCTTGGCTGGATGTCGCATTAGACGAATGGACCACATCCGCCTCTACGTTCCGATTGTCTCCTTTGACTCGCTTCCGACTGGTATCGTCCGGTAGACCCTCGAATGATGACGACGCTCTTCTCTTCAGTCCTTGACTCGAAGGCGGCGGTCGTACAGATTCGTCTTCGACCTGCATAGTGTCGGTGGCAGCGCTTATCGCGTTGTCTTCAGACATAGGATTAACTGTCGTCACCGTAGTTCAACGTAAAAGGAGAGTCGTGAGTCGGTCACGCTAATTAACTCTTAATGCTACATAGCCAAATTGGGTAGTTGCAATCATTTCTTTCACCTACAAGCTTCGAAATTCTATATCATATCGTCCCATCCCAACAGTAACGTGTACACGAAGAGATACATACAAATCGTCCGTAAATAAATACCTGACTGTCCTACAAGATCGCATCACTCGAAAGGGTGGGTAGGCCGAGGTTGATTTTAGGTGGAAGCGCAAGTCCGGCAATATGACATGCTCTGCTAAGCCGTTCACGAAGACCATCGTACCTACGGCGTTGCTCTGAAAGACGTACCATATATTAGCATTGCTGAGATCGACGCAAAACACTGGACTTACCCGAACAGGGCCAGAGCGTGGTAAGACTGAAATCAAATACGTTAGCCCCAGCTCCGAAAGAGACGTTGTAACGCACTAATCAATCGCAGGCAAAAAAGCTTTGCAAACGTCCAGGGCTATTGTCAAGGAATTGTCATATTGCCATAAGGTCATAGCACTAATCGCCTACATTAAAACTATGTTCCATGTAGAAGTTAAATAATACGTACGACAACACTTGACTCATGAACCAGAACACAAAGAATGGCCTCCGAGCCAAGTGGTTGTTGGCGTTACCGGTGACAGCGTGTAGGCCAAACATGTAACGTTGCGCGACGGTGGACTGGTGTGTCACTAGTACATAGGGTCGTCAACTCGTTCGGCTAAATGGTGAATGGGACCAAACACTTACGCCACTCTTCAGCCTTCTCGCGATGTATCAACCCATTAACATCCCTAGAAACCCCATTGAAAATCTCTCAATAATAAGGAAATATATGTCCTTACGTCGAAATGAGCGGAATGAAACGCTGGAATTCGTACGATATACACATTCTAGTACTGTAAAAAAAAAAGCAGTAGAATTAGCGCCGGCTCTCGAATCTATATAACACAGCACTCACTTGAATATATATTCCCGTGCTTGGAAAATGAATGATCTTTCAATAGCACAAGTGTGTCGATTAAGATTGGCCTCGATGGCGTCAGCTTCCAGCCAGGCTTTTACTGTAAACTGAGCCTGTTCAGCTTCTGTCGCCCCGTGATTATGCCGCATCCGAACGCATCCATGCCACAGAAGAAACGATCGATCAAATAGTGCCCATATGGTATCCTTGGGGGTGTTATAAGAGAGAGAGGGAGATCGGGTTATCGATTCACCCGAAAACAACAGGGCGTACTGGAATCAACCGTTAGAAGTATTTACATATAGGAACAGACAGCCGTACGTACATTAGAGGGGTCGCTGATGAATAAATCAGGTCCCCGGTGGTTATTAGCGTTGGCATATGCGATGTGCCCTGCTGCGAGACTCAATGCACTCCAGCAGAGACGACGACATGATTCCCTTCTGATATCACCCTCTGACCAATGGGAATTCCAGGCCGGGGTGTGAGCCCACAAGGGTGCGTGTTCTAGAGTTTCAGGATAGTGGACCTCGAGGCTGAGAGAAGTGCATACACATTCTGTAGGACTACTCGGCGGCGAAGAGGAATGGTGATCATGATGAAGGTATTGAGATTCGGATGCTGATGTATATGGAGTGTGGTAAGCCTGGCCAGAGAGTTTCTGTGCTACTGACGGGACAGCCCCGGGCGTGAAATGGGAAGTCTGGGGGTCATCCGCGTCTACAAACGTTAAAGAGAGGCTTCGAATATAAGAGTCGAGTATAACGAGAGATGAGACCGACCGCTCCCTCGTATGTTTGGGATGAGCGCAGACCTCGAATAAAGCGAGGAGCTAAAAATGTTTGATCAGCGCCACACGAAATCCAGAATGAGAATGATCACTTGCCCATGCAGCTTGAGCTAAAGTCTCATCTATCCAACCCGAATTGAAGCTGGACTCAAGCGCACTTTGGGCCTTATCTCTAAGGCGCAGAGCTCGATCCCGACCATCCCTCCCCAAACCAACCTCCGAGCTTTGCCAAAATGTGGATACGGCGAGAGCTGCAAGAACAAGGCTAGGTTGAAGATTTTGTCGTCGTATGGGATCAAAATAATTGCCAAAAAATGTAGGTAGATGAAAAAACGAAAACCAATAATTGGACGAACGGAATAGAAAACGTAAATCGGCAGTGACAGTCTGTGCGGCGAGGTCGCGATCTGAACGAGAGTGTGTCTGCTGGTAATCAGAGGGCGGGGAGAGGTAAAGGGACAGTAGTGAATCCCACCAAGTCTTCCGCGTAAATTCACTAGAGGGTTGATTAGAAATATTTTGAACTTGTGGGTCTTTGCTACTGCTATAACCCTGTTGAAAGAACCCTCGTTGGACGATACTATTCTCAGGTTCGTTGGACTGGGCCATGAAACCGGAGCTATCTATCGTCTAAGAATAGATGAGCAGTTAGACTTGACCACAGATGGCAATCCAAAGAAGGCAAACCTCTGTCTTGGGAAAGTATACGTCATTAGGAACGATATCCAGAGGACAAGGGTGTACGCTATGGCAAGCGCATCCATTCATAACAGCCACATAAGGGGGTTGCGGTCGGGACATGTCGCCAAAGCCGCCAGGCGAATTCATGTGGTCGCTAGAAGATGGAGAGGACAGCGAAGCTGAAAGAGGTAGCCTGGAAAGAGAGGTGCTGCGACTACGAGCGGAGTCGGAAAGATTAGCGGAAGTCGGAGAAGCGCTAGATTTGTGGGCGATGGAGTCTGTGCGCCGGCGACGACGGTGTGAGGCCCCGCCGTTTTCCCTTTCCAATTCCATTTTGAGCTCTCTAGCCATGCGCTGTCGTGCTCCGGGAGTCTTGTCAGGCCCGCGCCGTTTTGGCACAGGGTCATAGGTGCACTCGTTGGAGCCATTGGTTCGACGACCACAGTTATGGCATACAGGCTTTGCGCCGTCACAACGTATTTTCCGTGATCGGCTAAAAGAATTCGATAAGTGTACAGATATTTCAGATAGGGAAAAGAATTACCATTGGATGCATGCGACATAGACCCTTGCCCGGGGTTTGCCCTGAGTGGTAGGCGGCTGGTCAGGAGCTAGGGAAATGCGCGGTTTTTCACGTCGAGGCTTGCGAGGCTTCAACGGCTCGGCAGTGGGAGGGGACACATCAGGAGCCTGGGGGGACCAAGTTTCGGGCGAGTCATAGGCACGGTCGGTAATTGCGGACTCAGGCATAGGCACATAGCCATAGCCGATACGTTGGAGATCAGAGACAGAAGTGTCGACGGTGTTAGAGAAATTACCGCGTCGACTCCGGGGCACGGTTGCAGAAGCAGGGACCAAGTTTGGCGGATCGTCGATATTGGCCGAGTATTCGGAATGATTGGAAACAGTCGTATAGTATGAGTGGGAACCATCGGCTGAAAGAGAAAAGGACGAGCTCGAGGAGGCAAGCCTGACATCGGAGGCGACAGGGTACTGACGAGGGCCATTGAGGGACAGCATCTGTCTTGGGCCGTCCAAGTGGTTATCCATATGATGATCACTGTATTCTTGGACGTGCCGGGAGGCCATGTGCTTCACACGAAAATTGCGCGCATCGGGAGCAGGGGAATGCTCCACGATGTCGGTGTCGGTGTAGTAGTACGAGGACATAGGACGGTATGTCGGGACGTCGGGGTCGTCCCGACTTCTGGAAGGCTCCTCTATAGCATACATAGATAGATGAAGACAATGAAGACGAGCAGGGGAGAGGAAAATAATCAGTGGGATCTGCAAACCAGAATTAGGTGGCCCGCTTCACATGTTTTTGTATGGCGTTGGTTTGCCTTTGAGGTAGAGTCCGCTTGTTTGTTCGCCGTCACCACGATCTCTGTTTGCAGCAATTGCAATACGTAATGTCCTAATGTGGAATTATACTAACCGCCGGCCCTCTTTTTCGGCCTTTCCCCTGTTACCGCGCGGCGCCGTAACATACATCCAGTGCCTGCAGTGCCTAGCCGAGCATACGCATTTGGCGCAATATTTCTTCAGTCTCTTTCTCTGGTTCCTCCGCTTTGATTTTCGGCCCTTCTTCCGGCGTAGAAATCTCTGCAAAATCTCAGTGGCGCTGAGGACCCCTGCCATCTAGATCTCACGGCACGGCGGCATTCGCAGGTACCGAAACGCTATCAGATGATGATCTGACTTCGATTTTCCCATCATCCCAGAAGGCTTTAAGCTCGACCAAGGCCGTTGAAATCGTGCGCACCTACCAGGTCGGCACACTTTGTCTTTGCGACCGTGTTCTATCGGTCTAGGTCCTTCTTCAAGGGTTTCCAAGTCGATTAGGCACCCTCTATCTTCGTTTTATAGTTTCCAGCATGCTGTTCAGCCACCATCAGTCTTCCAACCTTGTCGTCTTGCTGCTTTCACAGCTCTTACGGATCTGTGTATCTTTATCCTACTCTTGCTGTCTTTTCACTTCCATGCTCCACTATTATCTTCCTACAGGCAGCATCAAGCAGGTATACTACATAGACTCGTGGACGTGGTACAGCTGTAAACATCTTTGGAAAATAGTCTACCCCTTGACTCGGTCTTGAGGTCGGTTAAGCTTCCCTTTCATGTGGACAACACTGCCATCGTGGTCCTGTTCCTTTTTCTAATATCTATATTGATCATCATATCCATTGACACAGAAGCTTCAGTGAGTAAGATGGCTCTGGTTTCTCTATCTCATGGGTCTCGCATGCCTGAACATGTCATCTTTATAACTCATTCGTTGCTACGTGGGCTCCCGATCAAAATTTATTGTATCGTAAGGTGGTTCTGGTAGTTATCAACCATGTTCCCATTGACTACTTGGCCGGATGAATAGATACAGTACAAGGAGGAGTTGCCGGTCTCGGAAAGTCCATTGCAACGGGACCCCGTTCGGACGAAGGCAAAGTCTAGACTTGCGAACAGTGCGATTCGCCTTGTGAAACAGCATAATCTTCTTATCAGCACGGCTACTCCGACGCGCGCTGCCCGCAAACATAATGGTATACATTATACTTTAATACTGATTTGTCTGTCAACATTTTCGACACCTGTTCGCGGTCAACCGCTTTAGGAAAACGAGCGGGGCGGTTTAACGTCCTAAGAATCTGACTTTGCGAAAAAGTAGCCCGGGAACTCAACCCACGGTTTACTTCCATCTCTGATCATGCGTCTTGCATTTGCGGTCAAGTCGATCCTACCAGCCGGGTTGGAAAACAATCAAGGATGGTCGAGTGACCTTGGGGAGCATTCTGTGCCATCGGACCGGACATCCGTTGTTGGACCGATTTATCAACCGGTCTTTTACTGGCTCCAGCTGACGCCTCTTTCAACCGGTACCGCCACAAAGTAAAGTCGTCCTCGTACCAGGGTTGTTGTATTCGGTTTCTCCCGCCTATCGTGCAAGGTGAGATTGAGAATCGTAGGTGCCTTGGCAACCAGTTGAAAACCTAGTCTATTCCGGCGAGTTACAGTGTCTAAATCCGGTTCGTCTGCCTTCGTCATGTTTCAACTGTTCTATTCAGGGTTGCGGACCTGCCACTCTACATTACGAATATGAATGTTTATAACTCGAATCGCTCACTTTTTTGTCCAGGTTACATCGACCTCCTTCGAACCTGATCAGATACCATTCACCCTGATCAGGTATATTTTCACATCAATCTACTGCCCATCTTCGCTTGGTCACCAGGCTTGTTCGTACAGCAGCATGTCTACTACATTTATCCCTTCTGAATCCCTTACCTATGTCCAGAGGCGCCTCAATCTCCACGTGAATGGGAAACTTGCTCTTTGGAATCTTTGTGTAAACATTACCTTCTGTGGCTGTTCGGCGCTTCTGTTGTACTCTCTGGCAGGGTTTGACGGCGGAACTGTTCTCGAGGGCGGAAGTGTCGACGGCAGAAACGTCTTCGGACCTGTTGTCAAGAGCGCAGATTCTCCCCGTACTATTTCCAAAACTGCGCAAGCCCAGAACATTTACACTGATGTCGGCTCCGCGATGGAAGGGATTCCTACGTTCACACCGACTGCACCCGTGCCCGAAGCTGTACCCATCATTTCCCTTCCCACGATTATTGGTCACTCTCATACTCATGCCTCTCAAGGTTCTCATTCATTGCACGACTTCTACGACCATATACATCTCCTTGATATGGATTTCCCCTTCAGTACAAATAGCTTGCCGGACGGAGATGCATTGTTGGCTCCGACGAGTACCATGAGCATGTCAGAAGTTTGATGTTACCCGCGAACAAGTTCAACTCCGCGAATTCGGTGGAGAGGAATTGGAATTGTTTGGATATTTATAATGTATACTTTTTCACTCTGTAATGACATACAGATTCTGTTTCTACGCAGGTTGGCTTCTGCTTTTAATAGCACAACTGGAACTGTTGTTGCCCAAAACTCCGTGTTCTTCCTCTGCGTCATACTTCTTTTACATTGCACCCGCCCTCGCGGTTCGGAAAGACTCATAGCACCGGTACATAATTACGGTTTATAATAAAGAATACACTAGGTATATCCTGTAGGTTGTAGACTGAAATGCGTATGACATAGCAACGTTACCATTATCGTTATTTACATCTGAGTGATGATTTGCGCTATGTGATCGGTGAGTGGTACCGTCAACGACGGTGTGTCGGGTACATTGGTGTCTGATCGACATTGATCCCGGTAGCTTTCATTTAGCGATGAGGGCAATATAAAATGATTACCTATGAGTAGTACTGATAGATGTGTTAATCAAATACTCTGTCCACCGGCGGTCACTACTAAAGAAACGTCGTAAAGAATTGCTGTAGTGACTGATGCTACCATTGCTGGGTCGATGCCTAGGTAACATTCTCAGGTAGCTGTGCTTGAACAATTATCCGCTCATCTATCAAATTCTTCCTGACTTTCTCATGCTAGCTACATCTCATTATTGCTCCCAGATTTTAATGATCGACGCGCCTGATCGCGCGCTGCGAACTGAATCCTCACTATGAGTCATGGGGTAAATTTGAAACATCACGTGCGAACATCCACGTGCGTCACATTTGCCCGATGGGCCGGTCAGTTTTAACTTGGCTTCCTTCGACAACGAACGCGTATTTTCTTACTTTCAGTTAGGCCATGTCTTCCTCATCAAATCGTAGGAGAGATGATTATTCCTATGACCAGGATCGTAGTAGACGACGGGACCGTGATGGCTACTCTGAAAGGCGGAATCGTGATGATGATGAGCGACGTCCAAGGGAAAGTCAGGATAGGAAGCCAAGAGATGTTGACAGGAAATATGGCCGGGACAGGGAAAGAGACAGGGATCATGCGTACGGATATCGTGAACGCGACCGTGAACTAGAACGTAAACGGGATCGTGAACGCTACGACCAGGATTCCAGACGTTCAGCCTCCCCTCGACGTCAGCGATCCAGCTCAAGATCCAGGTCTGCATCTCCGCCTAAAGCCAAGCCGAATTTCGGAGCATCCGGGCTTTTGGCAGCTGAAACCAACACGGTCAAAAGTATTGATGGAAAAAACTCCACGGTGTTGAAGTACAATGAACCCCCTGAGGCCCGTAAACCCGTTTTGGGTTGGCGCCTTTATGTTTTCAAAGGAAGTGAACAAGTCGGTGAGTGATGCAGCTAGTCTGCTTTTGATTCCAACCTGAATTTCCCCCTGTCCGCAGAGTTGCTGCACATACAGCGTCAGAGCGCGTATCTTTTTGGTCGAGACCGGTTAGTGGCGGATATCCCCATTGATCATCCCTCGTGTTCGAAACAGCATGCAGTCATTCAATGTTAGTCTCTGTTATCACCATTGTCCGTATTGTCCGCCGCGTTTGAACTCATGCGGATGCCAGATCGATACATACAAGAAAAGAATGAGTTTGGAGACGTGAAAGGCTCGATTAAGTATGTCGGCAATAGGAAATGTGGTTCTCGTTGTATTCACCCCCCCTCCTTAGGCCGTTTATAATAGACCTGGAATCTACGAATGGTACACACGTTAATGACGAGGTCGTGCCCCCATCACGCTATTACGAGCTTCGTGCATCTGATGGTAGGTCCGTTTCACTGAATTTGGGGGTCTACTACTAACCTTGGGCACGATTGTAGTTATTAAATTCGGTTTGTCGACAAAAGAATATGTGCTGCTCCATGATGAAGTATCTTCATAAAGATAGCTTTCGGCATCAAATTCCTCCTTCCGATGTCAAGGATATTCAGCTTATATACTCTGGACCATGGGGAATGATAACAAAGTCATATGGCGCGATGGCCATGGCTAATCTGGATGGTCCGTGCCCTAGTTGAATGCCTACCATTGTTCGACTTTCTTAGATATTCTTTTGTCCCATTATCTAATCGGGGTTGTAAAACGTAAGAAAGCCGATCTTCATTTGATCTTCATAAACTTTGTATTCCTCTTCTACGGCGAGAAAAAATGTTGTTGTACAAGTCCCGGATGACTTTGAGTCCAAGAAGGTCGATATAAAATTCCTCTAGGATGATATCCTACAAAAATTCTTGTTGATCGAGTCGCTTGCGAAACCGCGGTAGTCATGGCCCTTGTCCCTTCCTTTGTTCTCGTTTTCCTTTTCCGGATTTGAAATGTCAACTCTCGGTCAAAAATCATAATCCGTTAACTTAACAAAGGCTGCAACTAGTGGGCACAGCACAATGCAATGGCCAGAAGAAAGGAACGGTCCAAATATAAAATAAGGTCGTTACCCTTATCCTTCTCTCTCTACTTCCCCTCCCCCAACATTTTTCATCCTCAACGATGTCTTCCTCCCCCTCTCGTGCGTCGTTCGACGACTACTACCAGCAAATCTTCGATGAGCTGGACGACGACGACTACACCCCCAGCCCCGCCTTGTCGGGCACCGTAAATTTGTTCTCTCGCTCACCATCGTCTGCAGCGCAGACTATAGTTGCAGAGGACGATGAAAACGCATTCAAGAACGTCGAAACCGACTCCATTTTGTCAGACGACGACCCACCCTACCACGATATTGACTTCAACGAGCAACCCAGCATCGATTTCCATAGTGCCTTGCTTCGTTTCGGCGAAACCTGCCAAGACCTTTTCGTCCCCAGCAGCATCCTTACCAACATGCCAGTCAGTCCTACGCAAGGATTCGACGTAGATCCGTAAGTACCATTGTATATTCCAGCGGCTCCGCTAATTACCTTCATGATTTTAGGTCCAACCTACAGTCCGATCTTACGATCATTCCCCCTCCCCAGTCTTCCAGGCCCACCCCTGTCTTTAATCTGGACATCTTTAAGTCTGCAAGGACCGCGGAGACCCCATTGAAGCTCGCATCAGAGACGACAGAGATGGCCTTGCCCGGGCCGACCACAGAGTCCCACCTCGACCGGCCGATCATCCCCCTTCGTACCGGCACTCGCGCTTCCCGCTCTCGAAAGCTATCCGTCATCATCGCTCCCTCCGACAACGAGGACAGTGACATAGAGCCTGACGACGATGATTACTGCCCCCCTCCCCCTCTCAATCCCAAAAAACGCACACGATCCTCTCAATCTATCGCACGGGCTCCGAAAAAGGCCAAGGTCGTCGCAAAGGGGGGAACCACCACGTCCCTGAGCAAGCCCAAAGTCACTGCAAAAAAGGTGTCCACCGGTTCCCCGGACAAGCCCAAGGTCGCCAGGAAACAACGTCTTCCTCCAGCTTCGCGCAACGTCCAAGTGGTCGGCATTAATCTTTTGGAACTTTTAGAGACGATGGAGTGGAAGTGTAAGGCCTGCAAATGGGAACAGGAGAATCATCGAAAACCCGATTTTATTCGACACCTCCTCACCCATCAGCGGCCAGACAAGGATGACCAGTCGCAGGGTTGGTGGTGCAAAGGGTTGAAGATCCTTGATCGCGAGGCGTATAACAGGCTGGCTATTCGCGATGGTAGGCAGACGATCTCTGAGGACGCAGGGGAGATCGTGTTCCTGTTCGAACGGAGAGTAGGGGGATGCGGGAGGAACTTCAGTCGACGTGACGCCCTGAAGAGACATATTGACAACCCCAACACGCCCTGCTGTGGATATGCTCTCGAGCCATTCCAAGAATTCGACCGTAAGTGATCTCCTTCGAGGTTTGGGATTGTCCATTAATAGCATTTTGCAGATGACACTGAAAAAATTATCACACTCTAAAAGATTTGCTGTTGGACAACCATTTGCAGATACCATGCTCACCGTGTACTTTTCTATTTCCATTTCTTATTCTTTTAATCAAACTATCCACGACAGAACAGGAACCAGGCAAACACATACCTCTATCTTATTGTATTAGCATATTCTTCTGTAGCGTTATCTTCTTTCAAAAGTTTCACAATGTTCCACGTACCTTCTGCATTGGACAGTACAACCCCTTGATCAAGTGTTATTCCAGGCAGATAAAATGTGAATTGGGGTAACATTGGCTTAACAACCTATGTTTTCTTCTTCTTTTTACTTTTGTCCTGGTGGACCCGTGATCGTATACGTTTACCATTCTGCACAGAAGGGCCCCACCTGTCGGCATGGTTATTGCTACAGTTCGTCAGTTTAAAAAAATCTAGCACGTACCCCCGAACTATCTTCTTCGGTGGCGGTTCATGCACAAATTCTTCAAAAGGAAATCCCCTTCTATACTTGCTCATGCACCAGAGCATATATCTAATGCCAATGGTTAGCAAGTGAACCAGGAATCCGCAAGCAGCCATACCGACGATCCCGAATACCCAAGCCAGCCTCTTTCAAATGGACACCTTTCTTTGTCCAGAATTCTTCCCAGCTTTCTACAGAGTATTTTGTTTCCATGGAGCGTCCAATGCTCTTGAGGAATTCTTCAGGCGTATTGACCGACCCTATGTGTTGATCACTGTAACAAATATTTCCAGTATCCTGGGTGGAACGTACCTCGAGGAGGAGGTACCGCCGCCATCACAATAGACCTGACTAGAACAGGTGTCCATGATCTACTTGCGCTAGAAAATATGGCACTACAGCGACTGACTAGCATCGGTCGGAAGGAAGGGCAAAAATGTCATGTGATCTAGACGCGTCCATTTTTGCTCATGCAAAGTGACAGTCGGTAACGATACATTGGTGAGTATTGCGATGATCTACATCTAAATGCTCCTCCATACAAGACAATTTACCAGTAAATTAACTTGTAGATAATGAGGTAAAATTTTCAGCGGCAATGGTCCTAACACTTCAGGCAATGGTGTTATCCAACTCTGCCTTGATCAACTCATCCCACGGTGGAAGTCCAAGTACCAAGGGCATACTACTCCACGCCTCTTGTCGGAAGGCCTCAGCATCATTCTGGAATGTCTGCCTACACTTCGAACAAAAGCTTACAGAATCGTCGTTCACCTCCCTGATGATCTGCAGGACGTAGTGCAACAAGGCTGTCCTCATCATCCATGAATGGGACAGACGAGAGGTCAACCTCGCGAAATTGCGCTCGCAATTTTTACTCAGACATCCTGTAGAGGGTACACGCTGCCCGCAAACACGGCGAATAAAATCTAGAGTAAGCTCGATACGCCATTGGAGTAAGAGCGTATAGTTGCTCATGTCACCGGGGGAAAGTGAAGACGAGGGTCGCGAAGGGTGATCGACTAATAGTTTAGGGTGGTCTGCTCGAAGAATGTCTTCAAACCGGTAGAGGGAAAGAAAGTAGAGGGCGGAGGGTACGGCAAGCCGGACGTTCGTTTCTCGAGCGAGATTGAGAACGTGCAGAGGGTGAACGTACGGGTAGGTCATTTTATCAATGGACGACGTGTTGATAGCAATCTCTACCATCTCATCATGGCCTTTGAGGGTATATGCCCACGTCCGACTGAGGTATAGAATACAGGCAGTGCGAAGATGGTTGATGAAGTACTTGGTCGAGAGACGAAGCAATCCCGCCAGATAGAAGAAATCATTGATGTTTTGGGTGTCAAACAACCTGTTGAATGTTATAGTTGTAGTTGGGAGGAGGAAATAAAAGATAATACGAAGGATTCAACTTACGGGCCGTCGTACAGTGCCTTGACGAGGTCGGAGAGTTCCAAGGGCGGGTCGTGCATGGTGACAACCTGACAACCATCAACCATGTCATCTGCAGCCTCAGGCTGAAGCTCTGGCTGGGGCATCTCAAACATGGATTGAAATATTTCCGAATGCCTAGCGAGGACACCCCGATGAAGCTTGAACGCCGTGGGCTTTTCTTGCGTGACAAGAATGATATTACCGTCATCGAACCAAGGCTGAAACGCGCTAGCAGTAAGTATTTTGCTGCGGGAAAGTGAAGAACGTACTTCGCCGCGATTCTCGATAGATGGGATAGTCATGGTGTGATGTGGTGTTAGTGTTGGTGTTGGTGTTGGTGTTGGTGTTGGTGTTGGTGGTGATGGTAAGAGGCAAATTCAACTGTCCGAAAAGGATCATTGTCAGGCGAACTGACAGTTGCTGCCAACGCCCATGTCAGGATCACCATCGCGGCCTACAACGCCCAGCGTCGTCGCTCGTCCATCTCCGTCGCGGCTGGCTATTCCGTCCGTACTACGGCCGTCGCCGTCGCTCTCAAATCTTCACATTCAGAGTCACTCCTCGGCACCAGCACCAGCGCCCTCGCAGCCAGGTCTCGAAAGCTCGGCGTCATCCATCGTCGGTGTCGAGCCCAACGAGGGTATTCTGGTCCAGGATGTTGATGCCGAAGCTGAGACGGTAGATTCCGAAGACGTCGTGGCTGTCGGTCAACTCGACACATTTGCCGGTGACGCGGAAGCCAAGAAGACTCTGCGCGACCAGCTCAGGAAGACACTCAATCGCAGACCCTCAAGGGGTATTTCAACCACCCTTCGCTCTACATAAATGCCCTGACATTAACTCAGAATTGCCCGCACCGTCGCGCAAGCGAGGAAAGAGAGTTGAAGTCGCCGTGGATGTAGGCAAGTATTCCTGACTGCGTTTCTCTGGCATTGGTTCGTTAAGCTATGTCTCAAGACTCTAAATATGCACCTCGTGAATATTTCGTTCTCACAGATGCTGGAAAGCCTGTCTTCACAAGGTGAGTTACTCCTAATCTTGCCCGAGTGCCGACAAGTAACAATTTGCAGTCAGACAGAAACAGAGTCAGACTCATTCACTTCGACGATTGGCGTCATGCAAGCTCTCATTTCTGTCTTCATCGATGACCATGATAAGCTGAGATGCATCAATGCTGGGAATATGAGAATAGCATTTTTACAGCGGTCCCCTCTCTATTATGCATGTGTCTCTTCTTGGGGTGAGCCAGAATCTGTCGTAAGTAATCGGTTCTCTGGCCAGGATCAATCTCATAACGTAAAGACAAGGTCTCAGTTGGAATTTCTCCATCTTCAAATTCTAAGCATTGTCACCGCATCGCAGCTGCGTAGAATATTTGAACGTAGGACGAATTTTGATCTACGGCGACTGCTTGACGGCACGGAGACATTCCTGCATTCAATGTTGGACCGACTTGAGTTTGATCTTGCCATGGCTACGTCGTCACTGCACTGTCTTCGGCTTGATCCTATGGTGCGGAAACGTGTCGCCGATACCCTCGTTCCGACGTCCAAAGTGAAGGTATGCGGTCTGCTTTTACTATTGAGGGTTTAATTAATAATTTATGCTTGTGCAGGACATACTCTATGTCATCCTTATTGCGAGAGGCCGTGTAGTGACCCTCATTCGACCCAAGAAGCATTCGATACACCCTGCTGACATACATATCCTTATGAATACTGTCCACAATCCCTCTATATTTAATTCCCCTGCCGCAGCCTCTTGGATTCCAATTTGTCTACCCAAGTTTAACCCGAATGGGTTCGTGAATGCGTATATCTCTTTTTTGCAGAGAGACAATCCAGAGGAACCTTCATCGGCACCTAGTCCCAGCTCCCCGCAGTCAAGTTCGAGTGCCAGTGTCACCGACTCTGATTCCGGGACGGCCTTGGTGTGTATAAGTGGCGGGGCTGACTTTGATACCATCAGGAGTTGGTGCGACGGGGTGACTCAAAAACTGACGAATGAAGGCACCCTGAAACTTCTTTCCGACTGCGTTCGGTCGGGACAAGCTGAGTACACCGTTTCGGAGCTCGGGATACCTGGCCTCCGTCATTTCGTGTACAAATCGCGAGCGCAGGTACAAGTTACCTTTCCGACATTCGAGGATCCTTACGAAAATCTAACAGACCGCCGACGGTGAGGTCTCTTCTTCAAGTGTATGTTGTGTCAACAACTGACTTGGAGGCAGGATCATCACGTTCTATCAAGTCCTGCATGACGCCATTCATGCGAAATCGGGACAGAGTGAAACACTCAAGCTACAGTATATCAGGACGGAGAAGGAGAGCGTCATGGGGTGGATAACGCAACCTTTTGAGATGTACATTGCTCTATCTCCGAGGCTTCCGAAGAGCGCTGTAGTTGGGGCCGCAAATGCTGTATCTCGGTGGGTGAAGAAGGAGGAGGGGCGTTTATTTTTGAAGGATGCTCCGGTCTTTTGATGGACCCGTTGATGTCTTGGCTTGGACGAATCCTTGCATCGTAATTATACAGATTACCCTGGTGCCTGCGATATTCTGTCAAGATATCCGCCGTTGTTTAAGCGCCCAGGATTTCCCCTTGAACCGCCTTTCCATTATGCTAGCAAGTAAATATAATGTTCACAGATATCGATAAGGTGCTGGACTTTGGTGTTTATGTTCTCGACTAGCATGATGGCAAACTAATGTTCCAATTAGAGAGATATTGTATGATGTTCATGATTATGCATTTCATTAAGGATTAACGCATCTTCGTCCCTCTTATGATTTTAGTGCGCCACCCTAAACTTAAGTCAGGGCGTCAAGGCATGGCACACTTCGTATTCTATACTGAACATTTTCTGCATTAAGTGGGCAGATGCTGACCCAAGTCGAGCTCCACAACAGGGCATGTGGACATGCGAGGCGGGATGCCGTACTACAACTTCAAATAGCAAAAGCCTCATGGTCGAAAATGTTCACTGCAACAAAAATTCTTGGTGCGTTCTTGGGATATCATACAGGGCCATCGCCCATGCTACATGTCTTCGCATGTAACACATACACACACATAAATATTATTGCCAATTCTTCTGCCAGTTTATGAGATGTTCTGATTTCTCATCTGATGGTCCAGTAGGGTGCTTGCCGGTGTCGATGTTACCCAATATGACATTTTCCCAATTGGTGAATCCCGGCGAGTTCTCTGGGCTTTCTAATGGGGACTAGTATGGGTAGGTGTTAGACGAGCTACCGCCAGTGATAGAGTGGCGCAACGATATTCAATTTCATATACGTTGATCTTAGGGCCGGCCCAGATACTTACCTTCTAACCCCCCTTTTCGAAGCGGACATTTCCGTACCGCACAAAAACGAGAGGGAAATTTCTTTCTCTAGAGACCAACGAAGTTTGATTGCCGCTTTGGAACTTTTTTTCTAGTTCCGATAATCCTGTTTTATGTCCGACGGCCGCCAGGTTGGTAGCAAGCAGCTCCTCAATGTGGTCCAGGGAGGCACTAGTACGAACGCGAACTAAGCGAAAATGTATGCAGTACTACTCGCATTCGCATTTGATGCCCACCTATGTAAGTGAACTTCAACGGGTAAGAGTCTGGACCAAAACCAAGTTCCTGGATGTGTGGGACTTCGATCATGACGCAGAGTGCCTTTCGCAAGGCTGTGATTGTGGCGAAACTTGAACTTCTCTGAATGGTCAAGGAATGAAGCAAAGGGGATTTATTCAGTTACAATACCATCTTCTGCATATTCCTCGTACCTAGGGTTGCTTGCTGCCTTGAAATAGGCACTTTAATGCGTCCACTACACGGATCCTTTCAATTTAACGATGTTGCTACAAGCTTCGTACTACCTCTTATGGGTACACTGATCCGACGGACTAGATCTGTACTCGCTTCCCCGGACCGTTTATCACAGTGTACACCCCAGTGCACGGGTGCAGATTGGAGCCTGGGTCCTATTGGAGGAGATTAGAATCTGGGGGCCTGAGACTGAACCCTTCGAGTCTCACCCGGAGCCGAAATTAGAGGGAAAGGCGCGATTCGAGAACACCAATTTCCGTTCGTCGTAGCTCCAGTTTCAGGAAACTAGAGTATGGACGTTTTTGTCGTATGTGGATCGATGAAGCACAGCCACCGGAATCATCCAGCCTTGCCATAGCTACTCACGCGACAGACTGCCTCAGAACAAGACCAATCGATAACCCTGCGATTATAAAGATGTTCCTGAGCCGGAAAAAAAATGTCGCGTTGGTAGTAATATCTTTTGATAGAATTCAACTAAAGAAGCTGGGTGATGGAGACATACGTAGTGTTGTGTGGAAAGCGTGAAACGAATTCTACGTCGCGGTAGCAGGTGTCACCTGTAACGGACGTCGTTGAAAGGCTTTCCATCCCTTTTTCAACCCTTTCGCTTCAATGATGTTGGCCGGCATACAATATACAGGGTCTAGGTCAAGTAGTCCTGGGTAGCCAAGAATCGAAAGGCCTATCAAACAGATGAGAATAGAATTCCGAATTCAATCGATGCCTGCAGACCTGCAACGCCGAAGTGCGTATGAAACACATCTACCATGTCTCCCGGTCGATCTGCAATACCACCTGTCTCTGGGTTCTGCAGGAACATTAACCCAAAGCCGACTTGGGGGAGACGAACAGACCTGGGCAGATAGAATGAAGGTCATCAGCTTATCGACGTCTATCCAATCCACTTTATTGAGGATTGAAAGGGCCGACAAGACCCAGAAGCTGTAACAGACCTTTATTAAAGATGAAGTCAGAAATTCAGAGTGGTAAGAGTGTAGACGGCGTACATCTTCTAATTTCTCAGGTCGTCCGTTCAGACCACCATTTGGTAATTGACGTTCTGAAAGCCACCAAGCAAGAGTATCATGATCAACGACGTCCAGTCTGTCCAAAATGGCGAGCGCGGCGAGGCATACAAACACTAATAGGAAGCCTGTCAGTCGGACTGGCGTTCGATAGAAACACTGTATCACCCTGGGTGGCATGACTTTCGGCCCCTGCGATGCTTCCAAAACCCCCATCAAAGTTTCTGCATTGGACAATATACGAGACAGTTCTCTCAATGTCGAGATCAGACAGACGGTCCAGTAGAGACAACGCATTGACGGCGCAGTAAAGAAATCGCGTGTCGATCTCACCGAATGAGTCTCCAGCAAAGACACCAGACGGCTGCTGCAATGACAATATGACTGTACAGTTGATTAATGACGCGAAAACAAGATTAAAGAAACACACATTTCACTACCCGCTCGACATCTAGCTCATCCAGAGCATTCTGTGTCATCAGTATCTGGATAGCGCTCAGGGTTGGCAAAAGATGGGCGTCGTGGTCGGGATGAGCACCAAATCCTCCTATCATTCATCGTATTAAGAAAGCCAGATAGCCAATTAAAGACTAACCTGCCTCTTTGTCCCAGCAGCTCATGACATATTCTATCATTTCTTCTCTGTCAAGTGCGTCCTGGTGGTCCATAATGCAGAGAGCAGTGAGGCCCCAGTATATCGCGTTCATCCGGAGGTGCGCCGTGAGATGGTAGGCAAGATCATCCTTGCTCTTCAGCGAAAGTAAGAAGAGATATTTCGATAAATCCAAAGACTGACTTTGCCTAAGTTCTGGATATAAGAGACGTGCAAGGGGATGAGCAGCTCAGCCGACATTGTGAGCGGGGAAGGTATGTAGGTTCGGTCCGGGGTACCGGTCCCGCAAAAATTAAAAATTGACTCCATGCCCTGACTCTTTTGTTGGCTGACGTTACTCGTCTTTCTCCTAGTTCCAACTGTGTATTACATGCATCATCGATTAACTAGGCAGTCATGGAATCGCTCGAGATTGTACAGATATTTCTCGTCTGCGACAGAGCCGTATCAGGGTATGCGGCAGAAGTTCTCACTCCTTCCTACATTGCTGAATACGGTCTGTTCAGTATGCGTTATCGGGGCCAGCCCCGCAGGATGTGAGGCGGCGGCTGCATCGGCTAGAGTGGGAGCCAGGACACTATTGTTGACAAAAAGCATGGACGATATCGGTGAATTGTCCTGTAATCCATCCATTGGCGGCGTTGGAAAAGGAACCTTGGTTCGCGAAGTGGATGCAATGGATGGATTGATGGCCAAAGTTGCGGGTATATCAATGCAGGTTCTCTGTGAAACTCGCGACTGACATGCGTTACGAGTAGATGAGTCGGGAAGTATGTTCCAAATGCTGAACGCGACCAAAGGCTCTGCTGTGTGGGTACGAGGTTACGACAGATTTCAATGCCAGCCGTTCATAATACTTCTACTAGGGTGCAAGGGCGCAAATTGACCGGACATTGTACAAAAGACATATGAAGAGAGGGCTCCGTGTATACCAGCAAAACCTTAGCATTCGTGCAGCCAGAGCTTCTGGTCTGCTATTTGACAGTGGGGGCCACGATCTATCTCCTTCGCCCCGTGTTGCAGGTGTTAGACTTGGTCAGTTCACTAGGGTCTACATCTTTCTCTTTATTGACATTCCTCAGATACCGGTGAAATCATCCACTGCTCTAAGGTCATTCTTTGTGCAACAAGGGAGTACCACATAGGTACGCATGTATCTGCATTGATTTGATGATCCTCAGAAACGTGTTATGTTCCTTTTAAGGCACCACCTTTTCCGCTGGAGAGGACGATTTTGAAGGTTTGTCGAGCTCTCTTAGGCGTATGGGTGTCGAATTCCACCAATTACACACTATGACCCCACCACGCCTTGATGGAAAAACGATTGACTACACGAACTTGACTCGTCAAGATGGCGACGTGAGTCCGTCACCTTTCAGCTTCCTCAACTCTACTGTAGTCAATGCCGTAGGATCCGAATCATCTGTACCATGACTTGTCTGACATATAGGCCTGCAGAAGAACCAACTACCCCGTTACATGACACGAACCACTTCGTCGACACATCACATCGTAAGAGCTAATATGCACCTCAGTGCGCTTATTGAGATAGCCAAAGGTCTGGTCTTTCGTCTCTTCTTTTTACGACTTTGGAACTCTTCTCGCAGGGACACAATACTGTCCATCTTTGGAGGCCAAAAGTCTGCGATTTAGCCATAATTCTCATCTCGTCTGGTTAGAATCAGAGGGTTACGACACAGGTTGTTGACGGTCGTTCTATTGCTTTCGATCCGCTCATGATGAGATAGATGTCATATATGCAAATGGGCTCGCCTGTACTCTCCCAGAGGAGGTGCAAGAACCCATCTTACGGACAATTCCTGGACTTGAAAACGTGAAAATGATTAGGCCTGCTTATGGGATGAAGTACGATCATCTGGATCCTCGGACACTAACAGGTGCGGGCCCTTCTCGGTGTGATTATCTCTTCACTAGGTCTTAGTATTCGCTTAGCAACACTTGAGGGGAAGCACATAAAGGTAAATATCTTCCACTCCTCTGAGAATTTGGACTCTGATTGGTTGAGTTGGTCTTAGGGTTTCTACTGCGCCGGAAAAGCCATTGGCACACCTGGGTATGAAGAAGCTGCTGCACAGGGGATCATCGCAGGAACCAATGCAGCACGGTCAGCACTTGGGCGTGGGCCGTTTCTTCTGAAAAAATCTGATAGTTTCATCGGGGCACTTACTCATGACCTTATCACGGGGGGTGCCAAAGCACCTCGTAAGGTCATTATTCCCTATCTTTCGTTTCTCTGATGACTGTTGACAGAAAAGACGCTAACTTCAAGAGCGGACCATCTATTATTCCTTCGACCAGACAATGCTCATATTCGTTTGACAGAAAAAGGTTTTTCTTTTGTGACAAGAAATACTATAGTGACTGACCAACTTGTAGCCTATGGTGCTGGTGTAGTTTCTAGGAATCGAATGGAGTTACACCGTCACTTGCTGGAGACTTATAATCGTGTTCTGGGCATTCTAAAACAGTGCGTACGTACCTCTCAAGTAAGTTCTTTGTCACTTTCGATCTGTTCTTTGGCATTGATTTCTGACTTCAAGAGCTGGCGTGATCGAGGTCTTTCTGTTGCGCACTGCGGCAAGAAGAAAAGGTATGGATTACTTATGCTCTCCGACTACTTACCTCACATGAAGCTCTTAGTGCTTTTCACATACTGCGGCTCCCGTTCGTCTCGATGGGGGACCTCATGCCAGAGTTGCCGTTCCTAAGCAGTGTGGACCCAACGCTGTTGAAAGTCATAGAAAATGATGGCGAGTCTTTGGTAGATTGGGCTTGCGAAGGCCATCCTTATTGTTCATAGGGAAATACTCTCCACATTTGGCCCAGCGAAAACTCGATATGAAGGTCATCACTAAAAACGGGCTCGATCCGAACCTGGATTACAGCAAATTGGACGCGGCGATGAAAAGACGGCTGTTCTACGGAGACCGGTAAGTTTTTGTCATCTATAGTAGTTGGTTTCTGATGTGTCGGCCAGACTACAACAAAAGGCACGAAGAGTATGACTGCCATCTCATTGATTTGTTTACCGTTCCTGTGGTTATTATATACGGATGTTGAACTAGGCCAACTTAGGGGGATGGATGGATGTTTATTCTGGTTATCGTGTCCCTGAGAAGGAAGCCAACCAGAGTCCCTACTACACATAGAGTTGCGCTATGGAATTGAGGCGTGTCCCCGAGTCCTCCGATGGATCTGGAAAGAGCGAGCCCAGGCCAGTTAATCATCGAAATAGACACGCTTGCGCCGATAACAAGTATCTTCGAAATCTCTTCTTCTTTATCATGCTCAGAACGCAAGTATCATCGTCTCTGGCGGCTACGAATGACTCGGAGTCCGAGTCGGGGCAAGATCTTGTTCCATGTGCAGGGAGGGAGTTGGTTCTTTAGGCCGGGTCCGAGTCGGACATTGCCTTAATTGCTTAAGAGTTCCTGCGTTGCTCCTGGCATCATGTACAGCATTGCTTGAGACAACTGCAGCTCGGAAATGCAAGAAAGAAACGAGGATAGTGTATACAAACCGCCATATAAGCCAGTATCGCAGCACTTGCACGGCGATCGCTGTGAAATCTCACACGTGTTGTATTTTAATCTTCCGTTCGTCCGAATCATGAAAGCCGCTCTCGGAGAACAAATCTAACCACATGCTGTATAAAAGGAGGACAGATGACGGCAGCCCCTTCAAGACCCCCCCCACCACTTCGTCTCCGATGACAGTACAGATCATCACTCTAGACATAACTTCAGGTATGTGCGTATCTTCAGTTCAAAGGATGGTACTACACTGAATAGGACTTGTGTAAGCAGACACTATCTGTCCGTGGTGTTGTATTGGTTTTAAGCACGTCAAAACTGCGATAAAGCAAATTAAAGAGTCCGGTCTTCCGGTCGAGTTTCAATTTCAATTTCATCCCTTTATGCTTGATGCCAATCTTCCACCATCTCCTGGGTATAACAAGCGAGCCTGGTATGCTAGCCGACTAGGTGCATCGAGGATAAAGGCGGCTGAGGAACAGATGATAGCCCTTGGTCTTTCCGAGGGCATTACATTGAAGTCGGTCAACCATTTGCCGCGATAGCATTATGCTCTGACATTGTTTGTACAGCTATGACGGCCAAGTGAGCAATACTATTGATAGCCATCGGCTAGTTGCCAAGGTCAGGAAGATTGGCGGTGAGAAGGCCCAGGTCAAAGTTATGGAAGCACTGTCTTTTGCTTACCTTGAACGGGCGGATGACATTGGTAACTCAGACGTTCTGGCAGCCCAAGTTGCAGCCACTGGAGTGATGACCAAATCTGAGGTGAGTTTCAGTTACCTAAGGTTGGGTGCGGTCTGGCTAACCCTTGAATTTTTGCGGCAGGTTTTGGCCTTTCTTGCCTCCGATGAACTCAAGTCGGAAATACTGTCTAGCATACGAGGATCGCATCTGAATGGTGTCTCTGGCGTGTAAGCTTCATCTTTCCTACTAACTCCAAGGCGGTCAGATCAAGCTCTTCTTGCAGGCCGTATACCCTTGTCAACAAGAAATATGCTTTGACTGGAGCCCAACCTGCTTCGTCCTTTTTCAGGATCTTCAACGAGATCGCGCGTGGTCAGCGCAAGTAGACCGGACACCACGCGACCTTTAGTACTCGTCCGCCTGTTTGGGATCCCTTTTTCTCATTTAGTTTGGGTAGATCCAATTTGTGACAGACGTGATCTGATAGAATCTCTCAATGTCGTACTTATGTTGTGATCCGTGAATTGAACGATGCGTCATCATTTACATCCAATCTTCAGACCCATACGTCATACCTTGTTTGTTTGTCATCCTCTTGCCACCATCATCATAATTCAATTCTTCCTATCCAAAGAAATGAAGGTTACTTTGAACGAAACAATTCTTGCAGAGTCGAACGACACTGTTGTAGTTGAAAACAACCACTACTTCCCCCCGTCGTCAGTCAAAATGGACTTGTTCACTGATTCACAGACCAGGTCAGTATCTTACGCATTATCCTCGTTGAGAACATCCGGCTGACCTCCTAAATTGAAGTACCGTGTGCCCGTGGAAAGGGTAAATGTGAAATGCCATACATTTTAATCATTATTTGACCTGGAGTGACAGAACTGCTTCCTATTACAATGCCAGCGTCGATGGCAAAGAAGTCAGCGATATTGCGTGGTAAGTTAGGCTAGATTCATAGAATCCTTCTCCTTCCGGTTCTTTTCTCACAGGTTTGTTCATAGGTATTATCCCCATCCTTCGGAAAAGGCGAAATCCATTGCCGGTTATGTTGCTTTTTACAAGGTGATTAGAATGTCTCCGAATGGTGCTTCTTCTTCCTCACTATACGTCTTCAGAATAAGGTCAATATAGAATGAAGTAAGGACGCTGAACAGACTTGTATAAATAACTCTTTGGACCCAACGCGATTATGTACAATTGCATCCAAGAAATATGTATGATACTGTGCGACTGGGAGACCGATGTAACGTGATGTTATGTATTATATATGCGGAATATCAATGACAACAAATAAATGAGTCCCGCAAGATGCAAAAAGGAACAGTTCAATCAGGAATGATAACACATTGCAGCCGGCTTACACCCCATCCACTACCGCCTAGGCTTCGCCTTTGTTGAGGACCGACTCAGTCGTGGGTTTGTCCTTGAATGTTAGAAGGTCGGTCAAAGAAGCGATTTGGTCACCCTGAAGAAAACGTTAACACTGTGCAAAATAGAGGCCTGATCGACTAACCTTCTGTTCTAGGATATCAATGACCTCGCGAAGGTGCTGAGCAAGCATGTTCCTCTTGGGTACGTCGGAGACGGCGTCCATATCCTTGTATTGATCTGCGAGTTCCACGTAGACACTGCCATGAATCGGATACATCTTAGTGAACTAATTCAGGAAGAAAAAAAAACGGACCTTTTGTAGTGGGTAAAATCATCTTGTAACTCTCTGATTACCTTCATTAGCACAGTTTGAGGAGGAACTCCCTTCGTTGTTGGGACGCGTGGAGGTGCACTGGTCGACGGCATAGCACGTCGGCCGTTGTCCTCGACGCCCTCCGAACCTTCAGCAAAGCCCTCATCTTCATCGCTGTTGTCTTCGTCATCCTCCTGTACGTTGGTTTGAAGTTGCTTCGCGAAACGGTTTGGTAGCCAAGACGGAGACATTGGGCTGGAATCTTTGCGATGCCCTCTTCTTCTATGACATACATTACAAGTCTTCGCATTGTGCTCTGGAGCACTGAAGAACAAACGCTCCAGCCTTGTGCCACGGATCTGAGGGAACGGCGTTTGTGGGACCTCGTCATTGTCCCTGTTCGGATGACGAGAATGCGCTGCTGCATGTGCAGGTGTGGGAGCTGTTGGGCGTACTGTGGACGGCGTGGGGGTGCGACGGCGGCGCGCGTATGACGGACTAGGCGAAGAAGAGCGACTCTCGTCTGCCCAATGGGAATTTTGAGACGGGCGATCAAGCTCCGGAACATCTTCAACTTGAACACATGCCCTCCGGATGGTGGGAGATGGAGAACGCGACAACATGGTACTCTGCTCTGCGAATGATTTCGAGTGCTCAGAACGTCGTTCTTCGACGTCAGCGGATATTTGCTCCAATTCATCCCCCTCGATGAAACCTCCGGAGGCACCCAGGTTCGTCGATCCAAGAGTTGCGTAGTCTGTTCGTATAGTCTTATCAGGTGCTCCACCTGTCCTCGATGTGGAGGCAAGCCCGAAATCGTCTTCCTCCTCTGCCGAATTTCCCTCTTCGAGCACTTCCTCTCCTCGACCATGTTCCTCGACTGTTGACGTGCCTTGCTGTTCAATAGCGGATTCAACAACCATGATGCGAGATCGTGTAGCCTCAGAGGCCTCCCTGGCAGCTCTGCGCTCTTTTAGACCTTCTTCAACGACACCTCTCAATACCTCGACCTCTCCAGCGAGACGTTCCACCTCGGCACGCAAAACATTGATCTCTGTCGTTTTCTCCTTTAGGGTTCGGTGGTCGGAGTCACGCAATGATCTGAGCTCGGTCAAGAGCTGTTGATGTGACGCTAATTCAGCTGTTAGTCGGGACAGATGCGAGCGAAGGCTCGTCACAAGGGCTTCCAGAGCTATTCAAAGCAAAAGTTAGCACGCATGAGTAGCATATCGACCTAATCTCACCCTTTTTCTCCTCCACCACTTCCTGATATCTGGACGTATCTTCTCTGGAAAAAGAGATATCTCTGGCCTTGGCTTTCCCCTTGCCCTTTCGTCTTCGAGCATCCTCTAGTTCGAGTTCATGTTGTTGCTGAGAGAGAAATTCTTCTCTTTGCATCAACATGGAATGCTCCTTAGTGACCTCGATCTTGCAAAGTTCTAATTCATGCTCTAGTTCCCGAACGCGACGGCGAGAAATTCCATTCTCGTCTTGTAACTCACGAAGTTTAGATTGAACAGCGCTGATGGCAGATAATAAACGAGCTAGGACATGTTAGCCAAAGAATACTAGCAGCATTAAAACCCACCATCACTTTCCCTGGCTTCTTTGGACGCTTGATATGGGTAATGTTGCAAAGTCCCTTTAATGGGGGATTCCACGGCGCTGGTCAGCCCCGTCACGTCCGGAAGGTGTAGTCTACTCTTGGATGCATGGGCAGACGTTTGAACAGGTTGCCTTAGCGAGCTTCGACGTGGTGTGGGCTGCATACAGCGAGACTGATCTCTGGTTAGATTCCCAGCTTCATAATGAATTGTACGGTCAGCAGCAGAGCTTTGATTATGACGACGACCTTTCTCAATCTCATGATCAAGCTCTTTGTTAATACCGTTGGCGATTTTAGTGAATTTAGAGCCCGACGGAGTAGGAGTAGGAGGATGAAGACGAACTTGAGGCTGATATGGTGAAGCATAGGAAGCATCTAGAACGCACTTGGTCGTGAGCGGTTTAGGTGTGGGTACATCTTTCTCAACGGCAGGAAGAAATGGCTGGCGTCCAAGAGGAGATGGCGCGTGGCGCGCAACGCTGTGATCTTGGGCACCGCGGGGCGACCGCGGTCGTTTTGGAGAAAAGGAAACACGACGAAGGGCATCAGATATCTTTGGACGAGGTTGTTGTTCTTCAGAGTCCGACGAGGAGGATGCTGTATGAGGTGAACGTAGACGAACAGACCGCGATTTCAGAGATGGTGGGGGAACATAACCCGACGCGAGAATGCGATCCAATTCAGCAGTATCATCGACAATAACGGGGTCAAAACTGATTCCGCCGGGTGGCTAGTGCAGACGTTAGATGGAGGGATAACTCAGCTACGTTGTCACGTACAGGATATCTGGACCTCGATGGATCCATATCAAATAAACTAAGCTTGCTGTCAACGCCCGCCATAATATCACGCAGTGGCCGCTCAGGATCATAATCTGCACCACTCAAACTGACATCGCGCCGGTGCCCTCCGCCCCCAAGGCCCGCACTGAGAGTTAGGCCACTGGCATGATGCGCCGCTGTAGACATGGTCTCGCCGACGTATGGATTGATCCCTTCTTCATCATCCTCATCACCAGTGCGATACGACCAAGCGTGATTGAAGTCATTATCAAGGTCGTCCCCCGATCTGTGGATGTAGGAACGGAATTCTGGCAAGGACGCTGGATTGGAATTGTGTCTGGGATACTCAATGCTATCGTTGTGATTTAACTCGCCGTCCTGTGACGAAAGCTGAAGAGAAAGATCTGTGCGCTGTAGGTTGTGCTCTAATTGGATCCGGTCGTGTTCGAGCTCGTCACCCCGGATAGTGAGGTCAAGAACCTGTGCCCTTGGTTGTTTCTTCATGTTGATGAACAGAAAATAAGCCTTTTCCGGGTATCGCAAAGAGAGCAAGGCGGAATCGGGGCGAAGGATGGAGCCGTGGCAGACGCAGTAGAGGAGAACAAGTGCCAAACAGGGCATCAACGACCTCAACGCGTAAATCACGTGTATCGTGGAATCGAAACCACGTGGAACCCTCCGGTGAAACCCTAACCCTACTTTTTCGCTCTTGACTTCATATGGACGATCGTCCTCACAAGCCTCACCGGCCTGCGCAATCTGGCTCCAAGGCTGATAAAAAAGACAAAGGAAAGGGGAAGGAAAAGCAGCATGGCTTCAATGAAAAGGTGTGCACACTTACTTCTTTTCGAAATCGTAGCTGAATGCTTTTCTTAGGCTTTTGCCCCAAGATCGGGCCGTCGGGCTGACCGTCAAGGGAGACGAAACGCTGAGCGCGACCAAACACGACTACATGTTCCTCTTGTGAACAGGACGCCAGACGACGAACCCCCTCCCATTATTATCGCCATTGTAGGACCGCCTGGAGTTGGCAAAACTACACTTTTGAAAAGTCTTGTTCGTCGGTACACAAAACAGACTTTGCACGAAGCCAAGGGACCTATCACTGTCGTCAGCGGGAAGAAAAAGAGACTCACTTTCATTGAGTGCAACAATGACCTCAATAGCATGATCGACGTTGGCAAGATTGCCGACCTTGTTCTGCTCATGATTGACGGTTCTTTTGGTTTCGAAATGGTCTGTGATTTTATCAATGCACCATTTCAGTGACTTAGATTAATATATATAGGAAGCCTTCGAATTCTTGAATGTACTCCAATCGCATGGTTTTCCCAAAGTCATCGGCATACTCACACATCTTGACCTCATCAGAAAAGCTGCCACTCTGAAGGATACGAAGAAAGCTCTGAAAAAAAGGTTTTGGACAGAGATATATCAGGGCGCCAAATTGTTCTATCTGTCCGGTGTCTTGAACGGTAGATATCCCGACAGCGAGATTCTCAACCTTTCTCGATTCGTCAGCGTCATGAAATTCCGTCCTTTAGTCTTCCGTAACACCCACCCTTACCTTCTCGCTGACCGAATCGAAGACCTTACTCCCCGTGAACAAATACGAACATCGAAAGGGAAATGCGACCGGACAGTCACGGTATATGGGTACGTGCGTGGGACCAACCTCCGGATGGGCACAAAGGTGCATATACCGGGTGTCGGCGACCTGGACATGAAGGGTGTCTCCATCCTAGGTGACCCATGTCCAATGCCAGACGCTGACTCTGAGAAACGGCGGAAACTCAGCGAAAAGAAGAAGCTTCTGGTACACGCTCCTATGAGTGATGTTGGAGGCGTAATGTATGACAAGGATGCAGTTTATATCAATGTTCCCGGAAGTTTTACAAGGGGTAACACTAATGGTGAGGTTGCTACTATCTCACCTTTCATCAACTACACTCATGAAATGCGTAGTTCTGCAAGGCGAGGGGGAGCAAATGGTGATGGACCTGCAAGATGCCAGCGCAACTCTTGAAGACGCTGTCGCTCAAAGCCAGATTCGTCTCTTCGGATCTTCTTCGAAGCATCTTGGTGTGGCCGTTACTGTCAATCAGGACGACGGTGAAGACACTGAGGATTATGAAGAAGATGATGAAGTGGAAGAGGAAGAAGATGGTGAAGAAGAAGATGACGATGATGAACTAGATGACGATGATGACAACCCTAGCGACCACGACGAAGTGCAAGACGTCTCACGAGATCCTAGGAATACCGGTCGTGTGTCGCTGCGTACGGTCGCACGTAGCCTTCCTGCATCTAGCAAGAAAGGTCGAGGAGGCGTGGAGTATGCGGATAGCGACTCTGATCTAGGGGAGGAGGAAGAGGGAGGCTTGGGAACTTTAGGAAAACGGGTCAGGCATGAACACGAAGCAGATGATCATGACATCCCTAGCGATAAAGACGGAATGAATGAGGATGAGGTAGACGACGTTCCAAAATGGAAGGAAAATCTCCTCACTAGGGCCAAGGAAACGCTTTCCAAGGGGGGAAGACGGAAGGATTGGACGAACCTCATCTACTCCAGCTCACTGACTCCTCTGGAAATACTTCACGGTGCCTCGTCACCGGCTCAAGAACAGGAAATCGACGAAGACGACGACGATTTTTTTAAGTTGAGCAAGCCAGATCCTATATCTACAGATGAAGACATCGACAAAACCGAGTGGAATGTAGAGCCTGAAGATCTAGATCGCTGGAAAGAGGAGAATGTGTTGGACTCCATTCGCGGATTGTTTATCACCGGCGGGGAAGCTCGAGGGGACGAAGGAGAAGAGGGAGAAGACGGGTATGAAGATTCGCACGGAGAGCTCGATGATGATATACCCGCAGAAGATGAACCATCCGCTTCGAAAGAAGAGCCTTCGCATTCAGCCACGCTTGCTGCAAAGAAGGAAGCTCTGAAGCGCAAATTTGATGAGCAGTACGACGACCCGGAAGCATCGAAACTTGATTTCTATGACGAAAAGAAAGAGGAGATAGCCAGACAGCTCCAGCTCAATAAGGCGGAGTTCGAAGGAGTCAGTGCAGAGTCGCGGGCACTGGTGGAGGGTTATCGGCCTGGTGCTTATGTTCGCATCGAGTTAACAAATGTGCCCTGCGAGATGATTGAACACTTCGATCCCTCGTATCCCATCATTGTCGGCGGTCTTCTACCGGCTGAAGAGAGATTCGGATTCGTTCAAGTTAGGCTTAAACGCCATCGATGGTTCGTCAGGACCCTTAAGACGAACGACCCTCTTATTTTCTCCATCGGTTGGCGTCGCTTCCAATCTGTCCCCATATATTCCCTCGATGATCATTCCATTCGAATGCGTATGCTCAAGTATACTCCAGAGCATATGCATTGTTACGCGACATTCTACGGCCCGGTATCTCTGCCCAATACGGGCTTTTGCGCATTCAACTCTTTAGCCGGGGAGACATCAGGGTTTCGAGTATCGGCCACAGGCGTCGTTCTCGACATTGATCGGTCAGTCAAGATCGTCAAGAAGATCAAGCTGACCGGTGTCCCGTTCAAGATATACAAGAACACAGCGTTTATTAAAGACATGTTCAATTCTGCCCTTGAGGTGGCCAAATTTGAGGGAGCCAACATCAGGACGGTTTCTGGCATTCGAGGGCAAGTAAAGAAGGCTTTCTCCAAACCAGAGGGCACGTTCCGAGCTACATTTGAAGATAAGATTCTCAAAAGTGGTACGTAGGAATCGATGTTATCAAAATGCTTTTCTAAACCTCTATTTTAGACATTGTCTTTTTGCGAGCATGGTATTCAATACAGCCTAGGAAATATTACAACCCAGTCACATCATTATTGCTGTCAGATAAGGCGCATTGGTTCGGCATGCGTCTCACTGGCCAAATACGTCGAGATGAAGGCCTTCAGACGCCTTCAAACCCTGACTCCAAATATCGAAAGATCGGAAGACCGGCCCGGAGATTCAATCCTCTTTTTGTTCCGAAGAAATTGCAGGCGGCACTTCCTTATGCTTCTAAGCCCAAGAAAATGAGCAGCCAACGGAAACAGACGTATCTGCAGAAACGGGCCGTCGTCATGGAACCGGAGGAGCGAAAAGCAATGGCTCTGCTCCAGCAGATGCGTGCTTTACGGAAAGACCAGGTGGCGAGGAGAAAGGATAAGAAGACTGAGAGGAGGGCTATTCATCAGAAGAAGGCTGAGAAAGAGGAGTCCAGGAGGAACGACAAAGAGAAAGAGAAGCGGAAAGACCACATGCGAGTGGCCGGTCAAAAATCTAAAAGACAGACAGACCTGGAAGAGGGTAGATCAAGGAAACGTCGCAAAACATAACGTTTCGCTTTGCCTTTTGATCTTTCTTTCTGCTTGTTACTCCAGTTATGTTACAAAGACTGGCGCTCGAATGATTTGACTGCCAACTTCCACTTTCCAATTAGAAATCACTGTCAAAAGTATGCTTATGATCGAACAATCTCAGATCCACGGATAACTCCTTCCTATCGCTCAACTTTTCTGCCCTGTATGTCGGACTTGCTCGCAATATGATAGGTAGATGCCACTTTCCTCCTGCCTGCCTAAGGTCGTGCTCTGCTTCTTCGACTTTGTGATAAGGACTTAGTCCACTGATCCTATACATCGGAAGTAAGTGGGCCTCAAGTTCTTATCTTGTCCTATCACGCGCATGCCGGCTTTTTTCTGTATGCTTTGCCACCGTCCCCTGCAACCTGTCCCTGCATCTGATCTTTGAATATATACTGGAGCTGGGAACTTTGATAAACCTCACGAATTCGGACCCGTTAGGCGCTCAGCATGTCGCGGTTCCTCTACAAACTGAATGAAGCAGTTAAGCTCCATGGCGACGAAGAAAAGCATAAGACTGATGCTTGGTGCAATCGGGACTTAGTGCCTATGCCTCCCAGTCGGCGTACATGGGGGCTCATGGAATACTATGGCTACTGGTCTCTGTGTTCCCTGAACGTATGTTATGTTCTCTATTTTTACACACATGTTCCCTGTTCTCTAATTAACGGTGTTAACGTTTAACTACTCTATCTAGGTCTCGACGTGGCAGATTCCTAACACTTATCTCACCGCGGGGCTGTCAGTGGGACAATCAATGGGTGTCATTTTGGTTTGTCGTTTCGTCATTGGATTTTTCTCCACCGTCATTGCTTGGTGTGGCCTTCGTTGGCATATCGGGTTCACAATTCAAAATCGGTACGGCATTCTAAGTTTCAATCATATTCACCCCAGCGCCTGATCCCACTGTGGCAAGGTATTCATGGGGCATGCGAGGGAGTTATTTGCCTCTTTTGCAGCGAGTGTTGCTCAACTTTATTTGGAACGCCATTCAATGTTGGAACGGCGGTAAGCTGGTAACTGTCTGTATTACTGCAGTTATACCGAAATTTGCGAACTTGCCGAATCGTACGCTGATTTGCTTTCTTAACCATTCCAATTTTATCAGATTGTCTCTTTAGATCTACCGGCTGGTTTTCCCGCCACGTCGTCTGAGATGGTTGGGTTCTTTGTCTTCTGGCTCTGTTCCGTGCCGTTCTTGTATTTGCCTCCCGAGAAATTTCGCCGGCCCTTCCAGATCACCTGCGTATACTGCGCTATTGGGATGATATGCATGCGTGCGTGATTAGTAGTAGTCTTCATCATCTGGTAGCCGTGATCTGATCCCAATAATCAGTGATATGGTCCTTGGCGATAGCCAAAGGCGTGGGTCCAGTATTCCACTCTTCCCAGGCCACCAGTTCTTCGTCATGGTCTGTCTCATGGATCTTCATGAGTTGCATAAACTCTGGCGTGGGTAGCACGGCCGCAGGCATGACTAATGGCTCGGACTTCTCTCGTTACAGCAAATCGAGATGGGGTTACGTCCTGGGCTCAAATTCCAGTATTTTCATAACTGCCACTCTGGTCAGTTTTGTTGGTCTCGTAGTTACATCCGCATGTCAGCAGATCTACGGCGAGATTTACTGGAACCCGCCCGATCTCCTCATGCGAATGATGGAGTCCGGACAAGGAAGCAGCAAAGCAAGGGCTGGCGTATTCTTCCTCTCACTTGGTTTTGCTTTGACGGTAAGGATTATACCATGATAAGAATATATCGTCCTCTAATGGTTATCTAACGACAATCAGTCTGGATTTGAGAATATTTGTGGTAACGCTGTGGCCGGAGGCGTAGATCTCTCGGGCGTCTTTCCTCGCTATATCAATATCCGCCGAGGAGCCCTGATTACTTTCGTTGCTGCGTGGATTTGCCAGCCATGGCAGCTCATCAACCGGGCCGACACGTTTCTCAGCGTCCTCTCCTCCTTCTCAGTTTTCCTTGCGCCCATAATGGGGATTAGTGAGTCTACTTAACTAAACTCACATCCGCTAGTTTTAAAATACCGAACTCAAGTGTGCTGTGACTACTACGTCCTCAGAAGAATGCGGGTCAAGCTGAGGTATATTATTTTGATGTGGACCGATACGGTTGTCACTAATCTTGGCATGCAGCGACCTTTATGATCTCCATGGTTCATATTACTATACGTGGGGTTTTAATCTCAGGACTATTCCCGTGTGGATGGCTGGTTGGGCTCCAACAGTTGGTGGACTGAGTTACGTTGCGAGCGGGGACGAAAGTGGTCCCAGAGCCTTGTACGAAATGTATTATTGCTCCTTTTTTCTTGGTGAGTATGACGCTGCATTGCTTTTCTAGTGTGATTTTCTCATTCGTTTCTCGACCAAAGGTTTCGGTATCTCATTTATCCTATTTTATATCATCAACACGATCTTTCCTCCAGGAAACTTCGGAGAGATCGACGAAGTCGATTACTTTGGGACATTCACGCCGGCGGAGGCTCGAAAATTGGGTATTGTTCCTCATGCGGCAGGAAGCGTTGCTTCAGACATTGAGAAAAACAAGAGTTCAGTCATTGTCGGAGTGGATGAGGTCAAGTCTGATGTGTTCAACCGTGCACTGTAGAATGCTCCTTGTTGGGATTTTGCTGGAAAGTTCTAGAAAGGGCAATCCGGCATCATGCTGAGAGTTGATGAGAGAAAGAGAAAATTGTAGTAAATTCTAAACATAAGCCTGGAGAGTATAAATACAAGCTTTGTAGGAGCTGTAGAATAAGAAGTTCATTCTTTCTGGCCTTACCAGCCTGGAGTCTACCCTGTGCAACACCGAGGACTTCCAACACTCCTTGAGGTTCCTCGCATGTATGACTTTTGCATAGGTCTGGTGCTTATCACTCGTATTACCATGCCAGTCTTACAGACCTTGAAGCTTGAAGCTTGAAGCTTGAAGGCCTAAGCCTTGACATATGACAAGCCGAGTTTGGGCCGAGTCTCAGGGTCGAGGCGTAGTTTTAAGTGCCGTTCGAACTTGAAACTCCTAAGGTTAGGGTTACACGTCCTGGACACGTCGCCGCTGGAACAGCCATGAACTCTATATTTAACCATCGCCAAGGACCGTCAATATCCTAAGTTTTCTTCAAGCCACCTCGAACTTCACTGGTGCTTTCTGTTTCCTTCTTCAAGGGACATTCTCTCTTTTCTTTTCTTTTGTCGGGGTCGTTATACCCGTGTCGTTATATCGCATACCATGTCGTTCGTGAGGTATGTGCCAGGCCCAGTGCACTTGAACTATCTCATCGGTCATTTTAGGCTGGCCCTGTGTGTTGTAGGGGTATACTCCATGTTCTTGGTGCGTCTTACCGGTTTGGGTGTTTGCCTCCTCTGATGCCTTTCTAGCTTTGGGCCATTGCTCAAGAGCGATGTAAGTGTCATCGTGTCGAATTTTCTGGCGTAATCTGTTCTCACTGCGGTCTAGTATCTGTTCCATTTAAATCCATAGAAGACAACTCGTCCGCGAAATTCCAGTCGGCCATCATCATTGGGACGTGTCAAAGCTTGTTGAGCTCTATATCCGCCCTATTATACATTCTCCTTCGTCGGAACCCTTCACAGACTCTGTCTCAAAGTCTCGGCCTAGAAACAAAGAGCCAGCCGTTATCGAACGGTGTAGCAGCTTCCAATGGTGACGCTCATCACAACGGGAACGCCCACCACAAAGGAAGCCCCTATCACAAGCAGTCGACGCGATTTTCTCGGAAGGCCCTCCTCGTCCGATATCTTCAGTGTTCCGCCTTCATCACCGCCGCGGCACCTTTCGGCTTCGCTGCTCTCTCTTACATCTCTTACCCTGCGATGGTACTGGGAAAATCATGCAAGTTGGTTCCCGTCATGATCATGAATGTTGTCTTATACCGTCGTCGTTTCGCTCCTCACAAATATCTTGTCGTGTTCATGGTCACGACCGGAATCACCGTTTTCATGAGCATGGGCAACGATCAAGGCAAGGGCAACCACAAATCTGCTGCGTTGGAGGAGATCTCGCCCTATGCCAACATCATAGGAATCACATACTTGCTCATCAATCTTGCTTTGGATGGTGCTGTCAACTCTACCCAGGATGAAATTTTTGCGAGGCACAAGGTTACAGGCCAGCAGATGATGTTTTGGATCAATGTTTTCTGCACATTGATCACGACGTTCTTGTCCCTGCTCCCACTTCCTCATATTCCCGTCATTCATCCATCGGCCGGGGGACGGAGTGAGCTGATGGAGGCTCTGGCCTTCATTCGAGCACACCCCTCCATCGTGACTCCTCTGGCTCAGTTCGCCCTTACTGGCGCTCTAGGCCAGCTATTCATTTTCGAAACGCTTCAACACTTTGGATCTCTCACTCTTGTGTAGGTTTTCTTTTCAATTTCACTGGCTAGCCTGACACGCATTTGCATGAAAGAACTATTACATTGACACGAAAACTTTTCACGATGCTATTGTCAGTCGTGGTGTATAATCACAGTCTCACAGCTGGACAGTGGCTTGGCGCTGCCATAGTATTCACCGGAATATCTGTCGAAGCGTTTGTCAAACGTAAAGGTGTGTATTATATTTGTTGCACATTAACTTACTTACTAAATTGCAAAACAGATATCCATGCTAGACGAGTGATCGAAGAGAAGGAAAAGCCCAAACTCAAGGCTCTATAGAAATATGCCAAAAATGGGAGGAGCAACCTAGGGCTTTGAAATCGGAAATACAGAGGGAATGATAGAGACAGAAGGTTCATGACGGGGATGCGATGACTACGATATCTCCATCGCGTTTGGGTCATAGCTGCTACCGTTGTTTTCAACTAGTGTTCGTTTACGATCCATTCGGTCTTCATCCCTAGCATAATTGGCTCAGTTCAGCTGTATACTGATATCGGGAGATGATTTACCCTGGATCATCACCATCGTCGTCCTCCTCCCTCTTCCTTCGTGATACTCCGTTATTACGAGTAGGATAGGATGACACCGCTTGATTTGCTCGGTAGATTGCTTCGTATTCCTGCATGAGATTAAATCGATGATCAACTCACGCGTAGAAGTTGCATACTTTGAGCTGGGTCAGGAACCCGCCATTTGGAGAGATACAATAGCGCCGATTCTGTACCATGTGAAGGGCATCCTCCCATGAAAGTTGGTAGTGTTGCATGACGAACATTACTACGAAGGCAGGAGAGATGCTAATGCCACCTATTACATAGATTAGACCAATGGTGAAAGATCCCGTCAGCGTACATACCATTGCAATGGACCAGCACCTTTCCTCCTCTCGCGATCGCATCATCGATGAATTGTTTGGCTCTAAGAAATAAATGGAGTGTCGAGAAGGACACAGACTGAACGTACCGAGGAAAAAGGCGGATAAGATTCTGTTCCTCGCTGTCTTCGACGTCCAGCACGATATACTGAAAGTGATCCGGAAAACGCGGCTTGACAGAGAACGATTCCTTCACGTCGCGTATACACACACTTGGAGGTGAGGGTATGATTCATCAGCTCAACATCTGCAGAGACACTCGGCCAGAACAAGCACATTACATGTGTGTTATTTGAAGCGCCTTGAGAGTATCGAAGGACTTTGAAACGACAAAGGGACCTAGCAAGAGACCTGGAAGGATTTCCTGGCATTCACGCCGCATCTCATACCTGGGAAGGGTCGGTTAATGGAGCCTGATGGGGCCTTGAAAGGTCGTACTGTACCTCCACTCGACGTCGGCAGGGCCCTGGATAACGTTGCGGAGCTGCTCCTCCGACAGAGGTCTGTTTGAGTAGTTCATGTCCATAATGACGGGTAAGGAAAGGGAAAGGTTGCAATACAGAGGAAGGACCCTGACCGACTCGGACGCGTTGTGACTTTTATTACAAACACAATTGCTTCTTCGTCTTCCACCATCTGACACCGGCAATGGACCTCGACGACGAGATACCGTACGGCCTTTCGTCCTTCTGCGTTGCACACTGTCGTTATATTCGTTTCTAGGACACTTGTTGAGCACTCTAATGACAGGGTGCCGTTGACAATTATATGTGGATTTCTAGGCGCAGGAAAATCGACGTTGCTCAAGTGTGTTCCCGAAATTACTCCTCGACTGTCTGCCTGCCTAACAGATGGATAGGCGCATCTTGACCGAACGGCATGGATATCGCATCGCCGTCATCATGAATGAGTTTGGAGACACCGCTGTAAGTCGCATCGTGTTGACTGTTCACCTTTCGACTTGAACTGAGGAATAGGATATTGAAGGTCGGCAATACATAGAACAATTGCATCGCACTCAACTTTCTTCTCTATAGCAAAAACCATCAATGTATCCTCTCCAGACGACCCAACTGCCGAAGCGTCAGAAGAATTTCTCGAGCTGGCAAACGGATGTCTCTGTTGCAGCATCAAAGACGTAGGCATCGCAGCCATCGAGAAGCTGATGCAGCGTAAGGGTGCCTTTGACTACATATTGCTGGAAACGACTGGCTTAGCCGATCCTGGTCCAATTGCGTCTATGTTCTGGCAAAATGAGGAATTTGCTTCAGGAGTGGGCAAGGATATCGTGCTTGATGGCGTTGTATGCGTTGTAGATGCTTGCTTTGGTCAGAAAGTGAGTGCCTACATACTCCTTCCTAAAGGCCCCCCGGTCTGATCATATTCGTAGCAAATAGAGGAAGACGCTACTTATGACGAAATCGGAGAAAGCATACGGTACGCTGCCTGAGTATCTGTGGTGGATTGCTTCTCATGTTCTCTAGGCAAATTGCAGGTTCCGACGTTATTCTTCTCAATAAAATAGACTTGGTCGAGCCTGTCGAAGCCGCACACCTCGAATCCGCAATACGCCAAATTAATCCAGCGGCACCTTTACATAAAACTGTGCGAGGCCAGCTTGATGTCGGGAGTATCGTGAACATCGAGGCATATTCTACTCGTCCCAAGTTTCCTGTACATGGGCATGACCACAACGCTATACGTGCCGGCCATGATCATTCCGAACAAAGTCACTACGAACTCCGAGGCATTTCGAGTTTGCAGGTGACTTGCCCCACTCTGGGTCAGGAAAAAATGGATAAGTTAGATGCCTGGATTCGCTCGGTCCTGTGGGAGAATCAGCTCCCAGAAGGGACTCAGTCTTCAGAACTTCAGGTTTTACGCTGCAAAGGACTTGTCATCACTGATGCTGGGGATCAATATGTGTTACAGGGAGTGCGGAGTATGTACGATATGTCGTTGGTGGGGGAGGAAGTCGTCGGGGTTCCTGAGCAGGGGAAACTTGTATTCATTGGGAAAGGGTTGGATCTTGTCGTTAGAAAGAGCCTTGAGGACATCGTAAATTCATGAAAACTGTATTTTTTTCGATGATCTATGCTGTCTCGCACAAAGGACAATGGCTGGCTCGTGGCATAGACCTCGATCAAAGGTCTTTGACAGATTCACATGTACACAGCCACATCGTTTCACCTTTGTGCGCCTACTGCGTCATGGAAGCTTCGAATCCTTCAAATGTTCGCATTATCACGACACTGGGTCATGTCGACCATGGCAAGACAACTCTCATGGATTCGCTTTTGGCAGCAAACAACATTATTTCATCACGGATGGCTGGAAAAATGCGGTACTTGGATAGTCGGGAGGATGAGCAAGAGCGAGGAATCACGATGGAAAGCAGCGCTGTCTCCCTCAAATTCCAAGTTATGGGACGAAACGAGAGTGGAGGTGCGCCTCTATGCCGATATAATCGTGAAATACGTGACAGACGTGCTCAGAAAGAACCCCGATATCCTACACCATAAATATGGTCGATACACCCGGTCACGTCGATTTTTCGGGGGAAGTGTCCACCGCATCTCGCCTATGTGACGGCGCGCTCATCTTGGTCGATGTCGTAGAGGGCGTTTGCACGCAGGTATGTGATTTCTCCATTTCTGCCATGTTCACGATCTAAAGGTGGGCAGACCATTTCAGTGCTTAGGCAAGCGTGGAAGGACGGACTCAAGCCTGTGCTGATTATCAACAAGTTCGACCGCTTGATCACAGAGCTCCAACTAGCTCCAGTGGAGGCCTATCACCATCTGTCCCGGTTAATTGAACAGGTCAATGCCGTCATGGGCGACTTTTTCGCTGGAGAGAGGATGGAGGATGATCTTCGTTGGCGGGAGGAGCGAGAGCGTAGGTTGGCAGAAAAGAAGGAGATGCAAGTCAACGAGACTGAAGCCACCATCAACGATGACGAGGAATTCCAGGAGAAAGATGACGAAGACATTTATTTTGCGCCGGAGAAGGGGAACGTCGTCTTCGCGTCTGCGATTGATGGATGGGGCTTTCGTGTCGGGAAATTCGCGCAACTGTACGCGGTGAAGCTCGGTATAAAGGAAGCTAATCTTCGCAGGGTGCTGTGGGGAGATTTTTTCTTGGATCCAAAGACGAAGAAAGTCATCAGTTACAAGCATTTACGTGGGCGCGCTCTAAAGCCCTTATTTGTGCAGTTCGTGTTGGAAAATATATGGGCAGTATATGATGCCGTCGTGCTCAACCCGTACGTATATCTTTGCGGCCAAAAAAATGATGCGCTGATTGAGTGACGTAGGAATATGGAGAAGGTTGCCAAGATTACTTCTACCCTCAATTTGAAGATCCCTCTGCGCGATTTGAAGTCAAAGGATACTCGGCAACTTCTCTCGCTCATCTTCTCTCAATGGCTTTCTTTGTCTACGTGCATCATACAGTCGGTAATCGACGTCGTACCGGCCCCACCAGTTGCACAAGCTACTCGAATACCAAAAATGCTTTACCCAGATAGTCCTGAGCCGCCGATGCCCAAGAATAGGCTTGAAGAAAATCTATATACAGCCAATTACAGTTCGGACGCGTACGTTTGTGCATTCGTCAGCAAAATGTTTGTTGTATCCGAGAAGGACTTACCGGAGAACCAAAAGAAAACCATAACTGCCGAGGAGATGAGGGCCAGAGCACGCGAGGCTCGAGAAGCCCGACAACATGGCCAGGCAGAGTCCGGCGCGGGAGCGGCGCCGTCGGGTATTGACCTTTCTTATAGGACAGAAGATACCAAAGCCGAAGAGACGAAACAAGACTCAGAGATCATACTGGGTTTTGCGCGTCTATATTCTGGTACCATCAAGACCGGCGCCACAATTTACTGTGCGCTTCCGAAGTATAATGCTTCATTGCCCTTCACACATCCGCATAACGTCAAATATCTCAAGACGGCAACTGTGGAGGGCCTCTATGTGATGATGGGCAGGGAATTGACGACTGTCGGTTCTGTTCGGGCAGGAAATACTTTTGCTATCAGAGGTCTTGAAGGAATTGTGTGGAGAAGCGCCACTCTATGTGCACCTGGTCAAAATGGTCTCGAGAATGCTGCGGCGTTGGAAAATTGCATGATCAATCTCGGACGTGTTGATCGCTCTGTGAGCATGAACGGTCTATTCGTTACACGACATACTGATGGGAAACTAGGTACCACCCATTGTTCGAGTCGCGGTTGAATCTCTTCTCCCCGCTGATATGCCTAAGGTTATCAGCGGTTTGAAATTACTTGTACAATCGGACCCGTCTGTAGAGTCTTTCCAGCAACAGACGGGTGAGCACGTTATTGTTGGAGCTGGCGAGTTGCATTTAGAGGTGAGGATATGAGATCTACGTCACGACTTTGGGATTGACAGATGGACACGCAGAGATGTTTGAAGGACCTACGTGAACGATTCGCCAAGGTAGAAATCCAGGCGTCCAAGCCCATCGTTCCTTTTCGTGAGACAGCAGTCAAAGGACAAGGCCGGTACATGTTGTGATTTTTAATCTTATTTTGACAATTGTTCACAGACATGCCCCCGCCCAAAACGACCGGTAGTCCACGTGGTACAATGAAAGGTGCCAGTTCACAAGGTATCGCAACATTTTCTATCCGCGCGTGTCCTCTTCCCAAGGCGATCCTGGAATTTATTCTGGACAATCTTCTCATCTTGAAAAACCTGGAACGGGATCGTCGGTCTGGTGATTCTGCGACAAGCTTGGAGGAACTTGATCAGGATTTTGTAGATGTGAATGGAGAGATCTTTAGGAAACCTACCGTAAAAACAGATCAATTTTGGCCCACCTTGAATGACATCCTTGGGAAGGTTGGCGGGGAGTGGGGAAATGTGTTGGATCGGATATGGACATTTGGTCCTCAGCGGGTAGGTGCTTGCATGTTGATTGATGCAAGGAAGTCGGGGTCAATACGATCGTACGTCAACTTCCTACCTGTGATGGTGACTAGGTTTCATGATTGTTGGTATAGACTAAAACAGCGTCTCGAGAGATCAATAGTAGGAGCAACTGATGTTGATGGCGACAAGACTCTCTATGATCTTGATGACTGTATTGAAACCGGGTTTCAACTGGCGACCTTCCAAGGTCCTCTCTGTGCGGAGCCGGTCGAGGGGATGGCCTTTTTCTTGGAGGACCTGACCATCGACAGAGAAGGGCTTAAAAAGGAGATAGGTATGTTGGCCTAAAGTAAATGATGTATGTGCGGTACTAAAGAAGCACAGAACAAAACCGATTAGCACAGGTAACTGGCTCAATGATAACATCTGTCAGAGATGCATGCAGAAATGGTCTCCTCGACTGGTCTCCTCGACTGATGCTGGCTATATACTCATGCGATATACAAGCGTCCAGTAAGTGATGCTGATTGAATCTGTGTGCAGCATGATCTGACGGGCCTATTCCTATTTTCTTACAGCCGATGTTTTGGGTAAAGTTTATGGTGTTGTTGCGAAGCGTCGGGGGCGGATAGTGGCAGAAGAGATGCGGGAAGGCACATCTTTCTTCACAGTCTCGGCATTGCTTCCTGTAGTAGAGAGCTTTGGCTTCGCGGACGGTGAGAGTGATGGTTCTACCGTGATGATCAAAGTTAACTTCTGAACTGATAGATATACGGAAACGATCATCCGGGGCGGCAAGCCCTCAGCTTATATTCAATGGGTAAGTAAGAAACTCATTTCAGTCGTGCTTCTTTTCTGACACAAATTCAGTTATGAAATGCTAGACCAGGACCCTTTTTGGGTCCCGACCACAGAGGAGGAACTAGAAGATTTGGGTGAAAAGGCAGATCGCGTGAATATAGCTAAGACTTACATGGATGCTGTCCGGGATCGCAAAGGACTATTTGTGGACCGGAAGATTGTCGAATTTGCAGAAAAACAAAGGACGTTGAAGCGTTAGGAACATCTGTTTACAGATGATTAGATTTATTTTTTGCTTTGTCATTATAGTGTATAACACGGTCCCTGTCCGTTGTAGATCCAATCGCTACCCTACGGTACAAAATGAATATTAGCAAACCCTGTGCTGTGAATCCAGCGCATCGTATATGACCGGCGTAAGCGGTGTTCTCATGGTGATAGGCATGATGGTACAATGATACACATTTGTTTCCGTGTCATTGATGAAAGTGCACGCTTAACGCAAGACGGTTTGTTGCCTAGATAATGGTGTAAGGGCGCAATTTAAACATTGTGAGCTCGAGGCGTCGGCTTTGCCAAAAGAAGGCGAACCGACAAATTTTGGGATTTTACTAGACGGAACAGTCATAGATTGACTACAAACTGATGGACTGGATACAAGCTTTCATTGGCAGCAAAAATTGATTATCCGGTGTCATCTGACTCGTCTTTCTAGGAGGGGGAGCGATCGCAGAAGAGAAGGAAGAAGACACTTCTTTTCATCACGGTCTCGGTGTTGCTTCCTGACGAGCTTTGGCTTCACGGACGGGGAGAGTTGATGAATCTGTTGATAGACGCTTGATTAATATCCGGCGACTACGAACTTTCGGAGGGGCAAGCCCTCAGTTCACATTTAACGGGTGAGTAAGAAATGCGTTTCAACCGGGTTTCTAACGGAAGTCCAGATATGAAATCCTGAACCAGGGCCCTTTCTTGATCCAGGAGGAACTACAAAAAATAGATCGTATGAATGAATATGGGATGGGTGGTGTTCGAACATTAGAGATCGTTGGATTTGCGGAGATATAGAGGTTATTAGAGCGGTAGAAATGAGGGTGTACTTGTACAGATAATTAAATTCCGGCCCTTAGGTACTCCTGTACCTTTGGAGGCTGGAATACGACAATCCAGGGAAAAATGCAAAATTTCATTCTATCAGGGGCAATTACGTAATCGCCTAATCCGCGGTTGATGTGTTCTCGATATTCAGTCTCACGTCCGTGCTAGCAGTTCCTCATTCTCTCTTTTTGCACCTTATAATTTCCTCGTCGGCTGCTTGGCCGCCTGGCAGTGGTACCAGCGCTGAATGGCAACGGTCGCGGTCCCTATATTCGGCGGCCATCACGCTTCTTTTCTGCCCAACTCGACCCAATCTTCTTCGGCGGCTGTCGGTACCTCCCCCCAGTCCCAGTCAGCTCAGATGCAAGACCAGGACCTTTCTGAAGAATACCCTATTCTGTATTGTCGTGCCCTCTATGACTACGAGGCCCAGGACGCATCAGCTCTGTCGTTCCGGAGAAACGATATTATCGAGGTCTTGACGCAACAGGCCTCGGGATGGTGGGACGGCTTACTAAGGGAAGAGAGAGGCTGGTTCCCGTCAAATTATGTGACCATCATTTCGGAGGAGGACGCAGAGCTGGCGCTTACTGGATCCGATTTCTCGAACACGGACGCCTCGGGGAATAGCAACCAACGTCATTCCATTGTTGACATATCGCACGCCATGATGAGGGGCTCTCAATCAGATAACGAAGAATGGTTGGACAGTGAACTGAACGGGGCTGGGAGCGGGATCGACGACCTGGCAAATTCGATGTGGGAGGCTGGTTCATCCAGTGATTTCTGGATGCCACAAGTAGATCCTAATGGGCAGGTAAGATACCGTCACCTCTCTATCATCGTAATAAGGACTAATAATAATCAGATATTCTACGTTAATACGAAAACCGGCCAGCAGTCTCGCGACCTTCCGCAGGAGACGGAGGACGAAATATCGGACAGCGATTTAGTTGCACTCACGTCGCAGGCCAGTTCACGTTCCGGTGCGAGTGCGAGACTCGCTTTCGGGTCTAACAATACATTTGAGCCCGCCGCCAGTGACTCCGATACGACTGGTAACATGGCAGGCTTTGGGCTCCCTCGTCGCTCGGGGACACCGGAACCATGGATCAAGAAGCTTGCAGATGATGGGATGTCCTACTTCTACTATAATAAAGTCGATGGCAGCGTTCAGTGGACGCGACCAGAGGCACCTCGAAACCATTCTTCCAAAACACCGACTCAGCCATCACAGACCACGTCTTCCTCTGCACCGTTTCATTCATTTCAGCCAGGAGATACGAATAGGTTTAGCCTGTATTCCGATAGCTCCGACATTCAACCTTTTGATAATGTGTCCAGTGTTCGGCCAGACACGAATGGGCATCCCGAGCCGTTGCAGCGACCGGCTTATGTTGACTCTCTCGTCATGGAACTCACCGGCGCCGAACGAATAGCCCAATTGCTTCAGAAGGCATTGGCACCTCCACCTGCCGAAGTTCTGACAGACTTATCCGCGATTGCAAAGAATGCTATCCAAGCGGTAGTGGATAACATCCAGTTGAATGGTATCGTGCGCAGAACAGAAAATGATAGGAAAATGGACGAGATGATTCATGCTGTTGTTTTGGCGGTTCGGAATCTCCTTTATGTGTCTGCCATCCCTGCTGGTCAAATCCCGAACCACCTCCTTCCCCGGAGCGTCCATGAACGTGAAGTTAAAGCCACACAGCCGACTCCTCCATCTCCGCTGAAGCCAGCTCAACGAAAAGTAACGGCGACATTGTCTCGCCTCGTGTTGTCGGCACGTGCCATGCAATACGATTCGGGTTCATCACTCTCAGATACTTTGAATCGCATTGAAGTTGATGCGGATGAACTCGAACGTGCTGTCATATCGTTTGTGTTGGAGGTGCAAAGAAACCGTTCTTCTTCTGTATCGGAAAAGTCCGACAAGCGATTGCACGGAGTCTTCTCCACCGCTAACATCGGTTTGGGCCTTGTGGGAGCCGGCGCAGCAGGAACATGGAAAGGTTTCGGTTGGGTGTCACTGGAAGCTGACGAACAGAATCCGCAGAAAGTTTTAAGCGCCGAAGTTGCAAATGAAGTAGGATCCCATGTGGCCCAACTGAATCACCAGTTTGTCCAGCTCGGCACCACCCTAAAATCACTGGACTTCGGTGCAGGTATGTTTTAATGATATAGAAAGACACCTGTATTGATCTCGTATCCTGTTAGTTCGATCACAGACAAAAGATTTCATCGCGCAGGTGTCGTCGTTCCTGTGCTTTGTCACAAATATCCATATTGCACGCCATGTCGATATCGATGGAATACGGCAAGAGTCAAATCATGTTCCAAATGATTTGTATGTTCCGAGTGTCATCAACGCTCGATTACTCGTTCGGACCTTGGAATGCGCTGTGCAAGCTCTATACGATGATGGCGCGGCCCTATTTTTGGCATCTCAGTCATGGCGGGAAGGAGACGCCCATGCCGTTTTTGACTACGCTGACATGATTGAGGCGTCGATCCAGGCTAACTTGACTGTTGTCCAACAAGCGCTCGATGATCTTTTGTCGATTGGTCATGACCAGGCAGAAATTGGCCAGGGTGATTACAATGGATCGATTGAATGGCGCATGTCGCGTTTGAGTATCATTGATACTCAGCTTGGAGGTTCCGGAGGTTCTGCACGTCCAGTATCGCCTATGCCTGGCGAATATGAGACACCTGGAGACGACGTGGTCGATATAGGATATGTATTCAGCAGACCGCCAGCCGCAGACCGCGCCAGCTATCCAAGGCCTTATCATACACCGAATGCCTCGATGACGGTCTCTATGAATGGTAATTCCTTCGCCGAAGCAACGGAAGAGACGGTGGTCGGATACGAAGACGACGACGTGCATTCTACATTTCCGCATGATGAACCCAGTCCATTCTATGACGAAAGTGAGACGCCTTGTTGATATCTCAACAGTGTACATTTGTCTAAATTATTATCTGTAGCGCAACCGCCAAAGACTCAGCGGAAAAAGGATCTCAAGGGTCTTCTTGGTGACGAGTACAAGGAAGCACCTGAGCCTCCCGAAACACCATGGTATCTGCTTCCTAAGTACGATCCAGAGGATATTTTGATTGATACCGACAACTCTGTTCGTGGAGGGACTGTACCTGCCTTGGTGGAGCGACTAACAGCCCATGAACAAGCTGGTATGTAAGATTACCTGACTAAACCGTCATACTAATGGTTTCGCATCAGATCGTGCCTTCATCAAGGCCTTTATGATGACCTTCAAGTCCTTTACAACGGTTGACACGTTGTTCGATTTACTTGTTCGGCGTTTTAGGATACAGCCGCCACCAGATCTGAATCCAAAAGAGCTGGAAAATTGGGCAACACTAAAGCAGCGCGTTATTCAGATGAGGTCCACTTGCACCCCTGTATCTCATCGACTCTGTCCGCTCACTGGTACGAAACAGGGTCCTAAACACATTTAAGTCAATGGTATTGGATGACGATATTCTCGAAAAGGAGGACGTGCACATCCTGCAGCAGATGAAGGAGTTCATATCATCAGATGAGGTATCTCATTTTGCGGCGGCGAAGCAATTGATGCTTCATATCGAGAGAGCGGTCAGTGTGTCTAGCAACAGATCTCTGCTTAATGCTCAACCTCTTCTTTTACAGCAAAAGGGCGGCGATCGCGTCAAAATCGTCCCGGTAAATCTCACCCAGGCGCCGCCTCCTATATATCCTAAACAGAACAAGAAGCTAAAGTTGGCGGATATTGAGCCTTTGGAATTGGCCCGACAGCTCACTATAATGGAGAGCAATTTATTCCAGCGTATCAAGCCTATGGAGTGTTTGCAACGAGCACGCGAACAAAAGACTGAAAACTCTGATAATATCACCACTGTAATCCATGCAAGTAATCGAGTAGGTTATATTTCTCATCTGCTGTTCGAACTCATGAACTCACTTTCGTACTGAGATTGCAGACTGGGTTGCGGACTCTATCCTTACTAAGGAAGATTCCCGACGTCGTGCCTCAACAGTCAAGCATTTGATTAGCGTGGCTGATGTACGTCCGGCCTCATCTTGTGTTCTGTGGCAGCGCCTAAATTACTCCTTATAGCGCTGTCGCACGTTGAACAATTTCTCTACCATGATCGCAATAACATCTGGACTGAACACTCCACCCATTCGACGGTTAAAGCGAACATGGGAGCAAGTCAGCCAACGATACTTGGCTCAGTTTGGTGCCTGCGAAATGACTATTGATAGCAACAAGAACTTTAACAAGTACCGTTCTTTGATGGCGACTGTGACCCCGCCCTGCGTACCTTTCATTGGTGAGATCGTTACCCACTCATGGTCCCCTACTATATGTAACCTTTTCTCCAGGTGTGTTTCTATCAACACTACAGTTCATTCAGGATGGGAACCCCGATAACCTTCCAGGCGGTCTGGTCAATTTCAAAAAGCGTCAAAAAGCATCGGAAGTCATCAGCGATATCCAACGTTGGCAGGCCCAATCGTTCAACTTCCAGCCAATACCCACTATTCAGCAGTACATTGAAGATTCATTATCACAATTCAATGATACGACTAAGGCTACCAGCGACATGTTCTGGGCACTCAGCTTGGAACGGGAACCTAGGGAGAGGGAGGATGAAAAGATGGCCCGGTTACTTCAAGAGAGCGGATTTTTGTAGTGTGTTAATTTCTTTTTTGCTTTTATTGACGGGACGGTGCTTTTTGGCAATCTGTATTATTGTTAATCCTGGTACTGGTCTGTATATGCTTGTTGTGTACAGTAGAATGACATCTTCTAGAAACACTCTTTTTTCTGCATCATGCTAGCGTGGTATCAGCTATCCTCAGTGTTTACCTCGTACAGAGGTAATTGCTGTAATATCTTATATGTATGCGTTAACTATACACCCACCGAGACCTTGGTTTTTGCGGGACTACCTGCAGCCGCGATAACAAGAAGGTATATATTACTAGAATTCACTCACTGCGATCTGCTGAACTCAGGCTAGAAAGACTTGTTGCTAGCGACAAGCCAATGGCTATGAAAGGACGTTATCGGTGCACAAAGGACGTTCAGACGATGCATGCGTCTCCCACAAAATGGGAAATAGATAGTCATGTATATCAAAGTGCGCACCGTTAGAGCGCAGAAACCAAACTAGGGCGGTAGATAAGTTCGCCACAAGCATATCAAGGTCCAACCTAGGTGGCAAGTGGATTAGCCTCCAGCATTGTAGCAGTTGTTCTATCATATTTATATGTACAGATTTCTCCAGTGATTTGTTTCATCGGAGTGACTGGATTGACCCACAAGTTCTTGAGAACCGTTCTTGAGACATGTATACAATACCACACTCCGATGACATTAAGAATCATAATGCTGCATGAAGTGCATGCGGTGACTGCTCCTGCGTACTGTTGGCACGGGTCTCGACTACAACAGAGACAGAAAGTTACAGCTTGCAGCTCGCCTCAAGCTCAGATAGTACTTAAGTAATTGCTGCAATTTATTAGCGCAAATTTCGTTGCTAGGAAGTAGTGTAAGAAATAAAACACAATATAGTAAGTGTTTTACAATGCATATCCTACTGAACAGAAAGATCTTAAATCGTTTCGATCTTTTCAAAATACCCAGCATGGGTATCAAACACCGAAATTATACCCTGGGCATCGCCTCTGAATAATTTTGTCAGTGAATGGAGCAGAACGGATCAGCCATGACAAACTGACACTACTAAATCATACTCTCCCTTCAATCGGTCGCCGATACTGAAGTAAGCGATGTCGGAGTTCATCTCAACGAGAACGGTACCATTATTGGAAGAGACTGTGGGATCCCACATACGCACCATCCCTAGCGCTCAGATGTGAGTATAAGAATTGCGCAAAATATGCCATACTCACCATCTTCGCCACCTGTAATTAATCCCATGCGGCCATTCGACTTCAGTGTCACCCACTCCGAATGAACAATACCGAAAGAAACATTGCCGGGCGTAACCTTGCATTCATCCTGATGTTCAAATTCCTCCATGACTCCTTTATCTAGCATTCGAAGATCGTAAACCTGTGTCTTATTGTCATTCCTAGACACGGCCAAGAAACGATCATTCGGGCTGAAGGATGCGCAATTGACCTCTAGATCAGGTCTACCAGCTTTAGGTTGATCAAGAAAAATATGTTTAGAGGCTCTATTGCAGCGATTGCGAATATCATAAAGTCGAAGATGTTTCTCGGGTTCACCAGCTGTGAAAAGCGCTAGCCATGATCCTAGGTTGGAGGACGATGAATACATGAGGTAACTAAAATCTCGCTGACGCGTACCTTCTGAATTGATCGTCATTGCATCTCCCGCTTCCTGGGCGTCGTCAAAATTATAGATAGGATCAGGGTCCTCATACGGATTCCATGCCTTATGGTAACCAACACCGGCTATGGACTTACTGAGCGGTTCGGACGAGGCAAAGATGGAATTGGCCGTCGGACCCCTCCCCCAAACAAATGCACCGACTGAATGACGACCTGGTTGTCTATCCGCAATTGATAGCTCTTCATGTCGACGAGAATCAGAGAAAATGTCCGTGTAGATACATAATTTACTATTTGCACCACATATTCAGAAAAAACGGATTTTCAGGAAGCCCTGCTCACCTAGAGGCAACTGCGAGATCGGGGGTGAGTGAATAAGGGTTGAAAGCGATGTCATGGGTTACACGTGTATGGTCGTAGTCTGGGGCAGAGGTTGAGCAGAAGAGTCGCAGTCATCAGAGACAGTTGACATACGAAATATCTGTTCGCAGCTATTTCCTGGTATGTCCGGGCTGAACTGCCAAAAACGTACATTTTTGTCCTCTCCAGAAGATGCAAAACGTTGACTAAATATGTAAGTTTTCGTGTCTAGAAGTAGAAGAACTCGCACCTTTTGGCATCAAACGCGATGTCGTTGACGGAAAAATATTTGTACAGATATTTTGGTCTCCAACCATCTCTGGCCGAACAATGGGGATCGTTACTGTACTCATATTCGATCCGTCCACCTTCCGATTTTTCATCCTTGTCCTCAAGCACTAATCATATGAGGATCAATATTCTGTGCCAAACGGGATAGTTTCTCACCCCTCTTGAAACCGTTGTGACCCCATGGCCAATAATGCTCAGTGTGTTCACCGTTCCCTTCGTCTTCCTCACCTGGCTCACACTTTGTCTTCAACGTTATACGTCTATCTTGACACCACAAAAGCAGCGCGCCATTCTTGTTATATGTGCAGTCCGTCTCTTGGTCTCGTTAAAATGGTTTGGAATTTCGTACTTTTAGGTTGCGTACCTCTGGCGCTTCCACCAGCTGTAGCACTGCAAGCGGCAATACAGCCCTTGTATTGGATAATCTTATTGATAGCTAAAAAGGAGACTAAGGACAATGGAGACTAGTAGAAGATCAACTCACGTCCGGCCGCAGCGTATTCCCACCTCTGTGTAATGCTTCTATGAGGCAAACTGTATCTAGCAGGACCTTGCCCTTCAAGGACAAAGTTGTGTGGATGTGACACACGTTGTGAAGGAAATACTATCCCCGTATCGTTTAGCTAAGAGCCAGATGTTATTAACAGGGAAGCCACAGGCCATAAAACCGTACCATGTCCCAAATATATTGTCTTTCGTTTGGTGGCGCACGAGGAACGACTTGAGGTTGATATGGTCGGTTCGTTAGACGCAGACGCCGTTCGCAGGGAGGCAACTTCTTTGACGCTGACTCGAGGTTGGTAAAGGGTTGAGAAATAGCGGATTCCTCTCCTCCTGCTTTAAATGGGATTTGATGCCACTATAGTGTTTTGCGTAAGCCTCCTACAGCATTCCCTATAAGCAGCAAAACATACTATGTTCTGATTCGCCCACGTCCCCTTGACATACTCGTCTTCAACATTATCTAGTTCGTTCGATTGACGGTGCGACGATGGCTGATCAGACCATTTCTGATGCACAACAATCCTTATCGATGACTTTCTTGGTGTATGCGGGGAGAGGCTGCTGAAATCGTCTTGTGAAGGCAGAATAGACTTTGCAACGTGTTTCTGAGGCATGGCCTGAGTTGAAGGGATAAAGAGACAAAATTTCACACACCAGATGTTTCGCTGGTGCCGTTGGTCGCTTGGTAAGTCGGGAGGCTTTGTGGTGCGATGAGGAGGAAGGCTGGGGTGTGTGTTTCTGACGATGAGAACTTGAGGCCACAACGGATTTTGCAGGCGACTGGGACTTGATGAATGCTGGTAGTTCGTCGTCGTCGTCGCTCAATAAGAGAAAAGGTCTGTCCTTGGACCCTTCTGCCCCGGGCAACGGTGTAGTTGTGGACCTTGGGTGCTTTCTCGAACCAGAGGCGACAGGTTCAGATGGCCGTTTCTTGAACCATTGGAATATTGACATTACCGTGGCGAGTCAATAATGAAACCGAGTCTCACCGAACGCAAGGGAGTCTGGATGTTTGATATCCTTGGATTGATGGTGCTTGATATGTCGTTACTTTTTGCGACTGTCAGTACGACATCAGGGGGAACGCCGAAACTTACCTCGACCTAAAATTGACCGTCTCTCGGTTGCTCTTCATCCTTCGTCCAGTGAGGTCGACCTCGTCGTTGTCGACATCCGTCAGGGAGTGACCTCTACCGAGGAACATTATTTCTGGATCATGTTGCGGCATGTGTCCAAGCGTACGGAATTGACGCGAAACAACTAAATTCGAGCTGAAGGAGTAGCAGTACGCACGAAGAATGACCAAGTGAGGCAAAGGAAGGTAGTGGCGGCAGTGATGAAACACAGCAGTAACCTTAACCCTAACCCTAGTGAGTTTTTTTTTAACCCCTTACCATCATCCATGTCCCAACCAGACAACGAGTCCACTTTTTTCGAGCGAGAACGCGACCGTCTGGCCCGAGAAATTACATCCGTGAATATTCTTATTGCGCAACGCGTTTCACTTCTGATATGCTGCATTACAGAGCTTCGAGGAGTTGCTCACATCGACCAATGGCTTGAATAGAAAGCTCGAAGAGGTCCTAGGAATGACCAAGGAGTACGATACTATCGCGGCATTGTGGAATAATTTCTATGAACTCATGAGACAGCCTGATGCTGGTGACGTCTCCGTGGAAGAAAGGTCGCATGGCCTGTCTGGCACGGGTGGCAACATTATAACGATGAAATAGCGCAGGTGAGCAGACTAATAATATTGATGTTATTTACGTAGCCTAGAGGTACTCAAATACAGGATGCAGACACAATACTAATCAATGACAACAAACACAAGAGCAGCCATGGTCCAGTTGCACGTCCTACCCTACTTACATATTCTTCTGCACCTTCTCCCTTCTCATATATCGGCCCAACCCGCAACATAGGAGAACCCATTGAATTCTGCTTGGTCGCGCGAAGAGAGTTGACCATGCACCGGTGTTAGAGTTGGTTGTTCTCGAGTGAACTCCTCGTCAAAGTTACTGGTATCAGCACTGCCGTTCTGTAAATAGGTTTAATCCCGGTCCTGATGTTAAATTTTTCTTTACACTTACAATTGTGGGGAAATAAGGAGGGGGTATGCGCTTGTTTAGTACATCGTCGAAACTAACATCTTTAAAGAAAGGCTGCTGTTTGATCTCTTCAGCATCTTCTTTTGTAGATCCCAAACGGCGGTTAGGATCACGCGTCAAGAGCTGTTAGATTTCAATACAAAAAGTGATGACAGAACAGCTGAAGGTTTACCTTCTGTAAAATGGATACGGCATCCCTCGGCATCGTAATCGGATACAAAGGCTCGTCTTCCAGTATGGCGTCGAATATCTCGTCTTCGTCGTCTCCACGGAAAGGCGACTGCCCAAGCAACATTTCGTACGTCAGCACACCAAAGGCCCACCAATCAACGGCACGTCCGTAGCGCTGTTCCAGGAGAATCTGATCACAGCGTTAACACAGAGTTTTCATCCCAGAATGGGCAGGGTCATACCTCCGGAGCCATGAATTCGGGAGTACCACAGAATGTACTAGTAGTCTGACCGAACCACATCTCTTCCTTACACAAGCCGTAATCGGCTACTTTAACGTGTCCATCCAGTGTTAGCAAGATGTTGTCGAGTTTTAGGTCCCTTTCATCACACTGTAAGTTCAAGTCTATTTGAATCGCGTGGACCAACTCACCGGTATATTATACCATTGGCATGGAAGTACTCGAGGGCCAAGAGTACTTCTGATGCATAAAACTTGGCCTGCCGCAGAGAAAACTGTTTCCTCTGAATGTGCAACATGAGATCACCTCCACTGACATACTCCATAACGAAGTACACTCGTGTCTCTGTCTGGAAGCAAGAATGAAGACCAAGTAAAAACGGATGACGCTCCTTAGCAGCAGCCAAGAAAACGCGCTTCTCCGAACGAGTGCTAGAGGATGTGGGTTAGAGAGAAACAAAAGTAATCATAAAAGAAAATCTTTCGAACCTCTCTACTTCATCATTGTCTATGATGAATTCCTTTTTCAGCACCTTGATGGCATAAAGACCGTTCGTTTTCTTTTCCTCCGCCAGCATGACCTTACCGAAGTTACCCTTACCGAGGACAGCCAAGAAGTTGAAATCGTCCAGACCGACTTTTCTCTTCTTGGTAGCCTGTCGGACGGGAGGTTGTGCAGGAACAACGCGATGGCCTGGGATCACCTGGCCGGGACCTATGCTAGGAGGTCTCTGGGCCGGTGAAGGCGGAAGGCCGGGTTGCTTGACGGGAGCAGCGGTCGGTTGAGGAGGCCTCTGAGGTTCCTATGGTAGGTGTCAGTGGGAGTAGCCATACAATGCATAAAAAGAAGCAAACCTGATAGCCACCCGGATATTTGTGCTGTTCCGGGGCCGGTTGACTAGGTAGAGGTCTGCCCTGTACTGGCTGCGATTGCACCTCGGGATACATGGGAGGTACTGGAACTCGAGCAGGTCGAGGTGTTTGCTGTTGGCCGTAAGAAACAGATGGAGGCTGTTGTTGGTATCGAGAATCAGGCATCTGCTGAACTGGCGGGGGAGGTCGAGCATATGGATCAGCTTCGTTAGCGAGGTTGATACGACTAAGAGGCGCTGATAGTCGATCACCCGACGGCTGTTGACTCTGCTGGGCCTTTTTGATTGCGCGCCAGTCTGAGAGTAGGGTATTGGCGGTTTCCATCGACATTCCGCAGAAATCTGGAACGAGATGAGCGCAATTAGCGTGACATGTAAGTTCGCATTCTGAGCATTTGCGCGCATTCTTGCGGCCCAATGGAAGCATGTAACCGCAGTGACAGCACCAGTTTGCACCAATATTAGTAAGAGGTTCAAAGCGGTGGGGAATACGGTGATTAATCTTCTCTTCGTCATCCTAGAAGTAAACATGAATGCGGTTGAGCGATCTGGAGAAAAAAAATGAGTTGACTTACACCGGTGTTCGACTTTGATATACACTTAGTGACTACCTTCTCGTGGCACTTCTTGTGACATGTATATCGGCAATCTTCACACTGGTAACCAGTGGCGTTCAGTAAGAAATCACTGCAGAAAGCGCATAGCATAAGCTGATAAAACTGTTTCTGCACAAATTTGTGTCCATTCATCTCGTGAACCTCGCCCTTGCGTTTGCGGACGGCGCCTTGACGACCCAGACCTCCCAAAGGGGCATCTAAAGGTCGTTTTCGAACATTTTCCTTGACTATGTAATCTGTTAGCACCCTTCAGCTTAACCGATGTGAAAGACCTACTGAAGTTGAGGTTTAGGGCGATGGCACCAGCAGGCTCAACGGAGAACCATGCGTCGATGCCTTCCGTCGCAGAAGGACCGTAACCGGAGGCGGACCCGGGCGGTACACCACCAAAAGTTAGAGGCGCATTCATGTCTGCTGCAGCATTTGGGTGCACAGGGGGACCTGCCTGGTTATCACCATGCATTGCACCTGCTGTTACCCAACCTCCTTGTCCGCTTTCCATAACTACTTTCTGTCGCCGTAACGCCTCGACTAGGTCGCTAATCCTGATCCATAGCAACCCGATTGGAACAGCATGCTGTTCACCAACCTGTTTGTCATAAACAGCAATCTCAACTTCGTTAGCCTTGTCAACGGTTATCTCGAAATCTTCGTTCCAGCGATCAGTTCGAGAAGGATGGGACCGAGCAAGCTGTGTCCCTTCGACCTTCAGTGAGACGGATGTTTCAACGGTCTGCTTGGATGCCGAACGGAATCTGGCAATGATGGGAGCATGGTCAAGTTCGCGCGCGCCTTTGACGGTGACCTGAAGTATTCCGGACAACGGTTTCGACCGTAGGTTATCCTTGCGCTCGCCGTCAGTTCCGGGGCTATCTAAGTGGGGGTGAGCAGACCGGCGTGGCCACAAACAATCAGCTCACTATCTTCTTCCTCTACAACATCATCTAAGATGTGTAGGTTCTTATACCGCTTGAGAGCGCTCTGAAGAAGTTGTATCTTCTTCTCACTTTCGACCTTTTTGCTCTCTGCATCGGCTCTCGACTTCTTATCTCCATCCGCCTGGTATAGTTTAGCCATCTTATCGATACCTTGCTTGTACTGCATCTCGACTTGAAGTTTGAATTCTAACTGATGCAACATCTTTGATATCTTGGCCGGGGTGTGAGGAGTATCGGCTTTGATTAAGTCAAGATTTGAATATGTCTTCGCCTTGGGTGGCCCGCGTCCTGGTCCACCTCTAGGGCCAAGCTCTGGAGAGTTGGGCGCTCGTCCGCGGCCAGAAAAGTCGTACTCTTTTGGAGGGACCTGGATTGCACATTCAGCGATCTCGAGCAGATATGTCAACAACACCACTCCCAGGAAATTGACCAACCTGAGGGCTTGCAGATCCGCCATACCGCTGTGGATCTGGCTGCGATTGCTGCAGCTTGCGAGCCTGTAATTCTCGTAGGGTATCTTCAAAGTAGGAAAGGGATCGCTCCGTCTCCCTGATCTTAGCTTCATTACGCCGGAGAACGTCTTGGTTGTTGGTAGCTTGCCGGAGGAGCTGCGACGCCTCTAGAATTTTGCGCTCTGTCTGAATATGCTTGTAGACATCCTGTATCTTCTGGTCTAGCTCATTTGCCTGGCATCGCCGTTATAGATGCTGGAATGAAGGGAATCAGAAAAGAAATAAGCTCACCATCGCCGTTCAGTGCAGCACGAAGAAAAGGGCAAAGAGAAAGGGAAAGGAGAATCGTGGATTACCAGAAAGCAGGATCGGTTGAGCAGGAGTGTACTATCTGAAATCAGGCCTGTGGCTGGCAACTGCACAGCCGCTCCATATCGGGTTCTCGTGTTCGTCATTGGCCACTGCATTTGCGGCTCATTGCTTAGGCAAATTGCTATGCCTTCACTAGCTTACTCGTCAAGAATCAAGGCTGTGGACGACCATACGAGCGTAGTTCTCTTTTCAAAGCACTGTTTCGTACAAGGAAAGCCTTCCGATACTGTGTACACTGTGAAGCAATCGCGCATTCCCGATAATGTCGACATCCTCCTAGCTTCGAGTCTCACGTTCACGATATCGGGTCTCTTGGACAAGAAGAAGGTATCTGCAGACTGTATTCAACGCTCTCATCTGGCTCGCCATATCGTGGAATATCTCAAGACTGTGCGGCATATAAATCACGTTAATCTTGTCACTATAACTTTCGTTTTCAGAATGCGGCACTGCTTGGGCTAAGCACAATTTCCGACGTACACCTGGGCGATGACAATGGCGTGCCGACCTGTGAGTCATATATGCGGGCTCTAGTTTTTGTGTTTATGGATTACGCCCAGTTACAGTACATTCATCTCGTTGCATGCCGTCAAGCTCAGAGATGAAGTCAATGCATCTGACACTTACCACCATTCATCTGCGATATGAATGGAGGGATATCACAAGTCCAGATTCATCGAACCAACTTAACCATCCATTTTCCCCAAATCTATCGTTGCCGTTCTTGACCTTGTTGGATAACGTTATTGGTCGCTTTGTAACATGGCATCTCGTAAAGTGGGTTGCATACTTATTCGACTAGTCTCTGTATAAGTGACACTTTTCAAGGCGCTACCCTCTAATATTCGGTACTTGGTTTAAGGTGTGTGGATGTAACCAAGTCGTCTTGCATCAGTTGTCACCCTATTTTCCAGCAACTAGATCTAGAAGCCACATTCTTCCCAAAAATTTCTCGAATGCTACTAGAAATGATGAAAAGGTCTCCCAATCCAGAATTTCGTTCGACTTGCAAGCGTCTTCTCAAAGTAGGCGGGTTCCATGACGAATTCATACCGTACCACTGATGGATTTTTTTTTACAGAGCATCAAGCGAAAACAACTGTTGAGAATCTCGTTGTCCGACGCTTCATTATCCAATTTATTGTCAGAAGTTGGACAAGATCACCTTGATACTCTCAGGGAGCGTGAGATGGTTCCTGAGCTTAGTGTCGAAGATGCATTCTGTCTCGCCATGGATCACTGTTATCGCCGTGTTATCAGGCGTCCCACGTTCAAGGTATCGTACCTCTGACGCCATTCGCAACGTATATGCGCTGATAAATGGTCCCTAGACCTTGAATCAACTGTGCATTGCGTCAGCTGATGCAGGAGACGATGATGAACTTGCCTTGGACCAAGTACCTCTTCTGCAGACAGCGTCGGAGCCTCTGCCCAAACTGGACAATTTGTTGAACTTTCGCATGCCGGTTACTTTTGCACAGCTGGACCCGGACCATACCATTTCTGCTTGTTTCTCAGACGACGACTGTTCTGATGGCGCTCTCATGGATATAGGCCTAGAGAGACATGATTCAGACATCGACCTCGATAGCCAGAGCGATGTTGACCTTGCGGATTCCGACTTTTCATTCGGAGAGGGGCTCGGCGTTGTCACATCCGATGGATCTGTAGTTTGTCATGCAGAGCCTTGCTATGCGATTGAAGAAATATTCACATGTTCGCTCTCACCGTGCGACCAGGGAGATTTTTCGTCATCTTGGCACTCTGTCAGCGACTACTCGTCTTGTCCGTTTACGGGTCTTCGACACTTCATGGATATTGATTCCGATACGGACGAAACCGGTTTTGATGGTCTAAGCCCAGTCTCTCAGGACGACGCTTCTCTCTTTGGCACTCATCTTGTTCTGCATTCTGGACTTGAGATAGCCAAAACGAACTTTGTACCCCCCATTTCTCCCGCTCAAGAACCGCCAGATGCTGAACACGTCGAAGACCTCGACTGTCTCATGTTCCTTGACAATTACGACCTAGGCTCATTAGCTGACGATACCTTCGATACCGATGTCGGTATATCTTTAGACCTGGACGCAGATGATCACACTTCGTCGCATTGTTCCGCCGCGTATTTGGACCCCGACGAAGAAGCGCTCTTGGACGATTGCGAGGATATGGTCATCGACCATGTTGACTGTCAGCTGGAGGATTCTTCTGAGGATGAGGTCACGATGGTTGAGAGGGAGCGACCTGGTTGATGACTGAGATGAAGGGTGACGCCTGCTTTTTCAAGCAAAAACTATGCTTATCGTCCTTTTCGATTAAGAATTGTTGTTCGTTTGCCGCAGTTACAGTATGTTCAAATTCCGGTTTCTGCCATCTATGGATACGATCGTTGTAGAAGAAGACTTTAGAAGGCTTGTCCAGAACTGTCAAAGCTGCTTCCGACTGCAAAGCTCTCACTACCAGGTGACTGACCCAGGGTTGTGGCTCGTTGTTTGAATCCGCTCTCACACGGCATCAACCCTCATTTACTGGTAACTGCGATCATCAGGTGTTGGAGTATGAACCAAGCAGACGAAATGCGAGAATACTACTTATAGCTGTGGACCTGCTCATCCATATAGCAAGGAGTATTTTACTCCACCCAAAGTTTCGGTCAGACGGGCGGAGCTTTGGGAGTGAGCTAAATTGGTCTGAAACGTGTCGAAAACGGCCAGAAAAGTTGGGAAAAAATGGTGAGCAGCTGACTAAAGATTTACTTCGAGAGAAGACGGCTAGTACCGGCAGGTCTAGACACCACCGAAATTGTGACTCCGATCAATGTCCGACACAAGGTCCGCAGGCTATAAACTGAAACTTATATAACTCTTTCGCTAGAGCAATTCAGTTCATCAGTCCAACCGTGTCTTACCTTCGAGTCCATCTCGGCACTCTCTTTATATCGCTATACTGGTCCTTTCCTCACAACCATCATGCTCCCTGCTCAGCGCAAGAAGGTTGACATCAGTGTCAGTATTGGTCCTTACGTCTGCTGTACTGCATGCTCATCCAACTCCGTAGAAACTCTCGGACCAGGAGCAGATCCTTTTCGCCAAGTATGGAAAACTTCCAACACACAAGAATGTCTTGATGAAGATGCAAAAGGTTGGTCACCCACCACCGATGTTCGAATGTGACGATTAATCTGTATCTACAGGATCGAAAGTATTTCGACTCGGGAGATTATGCCTTATCGAAAGCCGGCGTGGCGCCTCAAAGTACAGTGGGTACTGCGATACCTAATCCTCAGAAGTGCGTATGCAGATTCTGCTGCAAATTTGTTGCTTATAGCGTTCTCGGCACAGTATCCCTCACGCTTCGTCCCCTACCAACGGTCATCAAGGCCTCTCAGTATCTCCTACAAATACCACTTGCCCCGTCCTGAAAGAAAGCAGTCTCTCCCAGGATGAAACCTCTGCGGATGACCAACCGACAGCCGACCCGGAGTAATCAGTGTCAGTTTCTTCAGGGAACCTCTACGTTGCTTTCGCTATCATACTATACACTACTCTAGGAATCCCCGTTCTTAATTATTCCTGGCCGATCGCTAAGCGACGGTCCTGGTGACCCTCCTATACTTGGACGCATCAGATTCATTGACATGCGAGGTTACCCGTCCAGTTTGCAACTTATGTACTTGAATCTTTTGGATTCTGTATGTATAAAATATGGCGAGGCAGAGAAGGAAAGCCTGAAGGGTGGGGAGGTGCCATGAGACATTTTCCATGTAACATTTGTGTAGAAATTTTGCGGATCTAAATGATTCCAGGGTCGTGATCAGCTGTTGCCATGCCCAGTTAGAGGAGGAGCGTGTTTCTAAAAACAGTACATTTAAAAAGGTATAACGATTTCACGAGCTATCCATTTTGACGATCTCTAGCTTGATGACGCCACCAAGTCCCATTTGAACTACAGCATACGTTCCTTTGGTCAAGAACGAAGGGTTCAAAACTGAAGTAGTATCTAGGGACTGTAATAAAGTGTCAACAGGATAGGCAAGAAGAGGCAAGAAACGGGACCTTTGAAAAATGCTTAAGACGACTGGGGATAATTAACACATCTGGAGCGACATTCTCATTGTCTGATTCACCGAGTTTCAGCAGCTGCGAATGAGTGACGTCGAGATTAACTTCATGAGCCAGTTCCTGGGGAACAGGAAATAACGGATAAAAACTGCACAGAATAAAAAATCATGGCATCAAAACGAGGCAAAATCCTACCTTCGCTGTTGTAGCACATGTCGACATGTGTTTGCCATAGAGTCCGTGCCCGTGTCTTCGGGAGATGAAGGGACTATTGAGTCTATTTCTTCACCCCGTTTCAATAGCTCCTCTTTTCGAAGGTGAAAGAGAACATCCACGCTGGTGACGGCAACCTTTATGTTGTTTATGGAAAACTGTGCTGGATTCGAAAGCAGATGTATACGCTAAAGGAACATCAGTGATAAGGTTTCAGTGAAAATTCAGTAATACACACGGAATCACGATTGGACACTTCGGAACTGAACTCGCACTGTGGATATACAGCGTGGAAGCTCACGAGATCACGGACACTGGGAACTAAGATAGCGATACTACCTGGGGATGAATCGAGATAGGATCGTAGGGGTTTTGTAAACTGCGCATGGAATAGCTTGAGAGGAGTAGTGTCAATGGCCCCCGCCTTCAAGAGAGGGTGGGAAGCATCGATGAATGGACCGATCTGCAAACATAAACGCTGTGGTAATTAAAGCATTGCTGGGTCTTACCAATACTACCACTGTGGGCTTTTTGGACTTCAGAATCGGGAGAAAAGCTCTCCAAGGTTTGAAGCCGAGATCTAAATCCGAGGTATACGGTCCGCTAGCTATATACATCAAGAACGAAGAATCTGAAAAATTAGGATCCGAAAAAGCCCTTGAAGACCGTGTGCGTAGAGGTGGCGGCTATTGACTGCGTCAATGGTTACCATCGAATATGTAGAAATATAGCATACTGCGAGGACTTCTGAGGCCAAGAACGAGCCTACCCCCCCATTCTTGCCTTTCAAAGCCACCAATGCGCCTGGGAAGAAACTGATTCCACCGGCACCCAAAGCCCCCCCACGTATCTTTAAGGAAGGTGTAAAGCGGAGGGGTACTCGCGATCCTGAACCCAGCATTCGGGATGTCTCAAGAGTCAATGAAGTCTCCGTTAATTTGGTGCCAGGTTCTGATTCTGACTCCTGTACTATGCGTCCGACTACCGTGACCTCTTCCTGTGGGCAAAGAGTGAGGTAAATATCAATGAGAGAGGAGAGATTCTCGCACATCGGTGGACGAAGCTGGGTCGCTGAATCCAGAGACTGGGATCTTGTAGTGTTCACGGATAAGCTCAGCGAATTCGTCTATTTGCTCATCTAAAACTATATTGAAGCAAAATTAGCCCACAACGAGATGTGCATGTAAGAGAGCCATGCCTTCACTGCGTTCGGAAACCTTTTCATACATATATCGGTCTGCAAGGCATTCTAGCTTCATAATAGGAAGAATGGCCAGCAAACTTACAAGCACGTCTCTTCCTGGACGCCATATCTTCCTTTGGGCCTTTGTATGTCACAGCGGCAGATACACTCGCAGGAATATCGACCACCATCGTGTCTGACTCGGTTTTCACTGTTGTCCCATGACTCGCACCAGAGTAGCGCGCAGCAAAAGCAGGATTTAAGTTACGACCTCCTCTCATTGTCTTCGGCTTTGGCTGGGCCTTCTTACTGCCTGCCGCGAGCCCGCGGTTCAAGGACGCTTTCAAGGACGCGACAGAGTCCATGGTGAACGGTGGCCGGATTTCAGAGCGTGAGGAAAGATTGAGATGTATGGATTCCCATTTATAAAAGAGGTCTTCTGCGCTCTGCTGGTAAATTTTGCACATCGAGACGCCTGCAGAATGGGGTTGTCGCGTCAAATGAACAAGAATGGGATGCACACACATTCTTCGACCAGCTTTTCATCCAAATCATCACCAAACTGTTCCCTTATTTCTCTCACAGACATGGTAGAGGATCTAAGTATCGATAGTGGCCGTGCTTGGATCGACGGGAGAGATTGTCACAAACGCGATGTGACTGTCACTGTATCGTGACGACGGACTCGGGCAGATCTACCAATTTATACTACTAGTCCTCCTTGAGCCCACCCACTGCCAATTGCTCCCATTGGCGTCTAGCCTATTCTGCTATGGGGGACGATACCAAACGCTTCAAGCACAAGCACAAGCACTCTCATGATCATGATACGGAGCGGCACAGCAAAAAGAGGCATAATCACGATAATGACAGAAGACACAAGAAGAAGCGGAAACATGGTGAGGATAAGGGAACAAAGATTATGGACGAAAGTCTAGGAGATGAGGACATGTGGGTAGAGAAGAATATCGACATGGAAGGAGAACGGGTAAGCCTGGTCATTGCTAATCGCTTCTTGTCTGAACCGTTGACAGCCTCTGGCGACGGACATTCCGACTGCAGAAAGCTTGAAGTTGGCTTCATCCGCGACATCTGGGTCGTCTATCTCTGCTTTCCAGCCCTTGATACCTACAGAAACTAAACCCAAACGAGATGACTGGATGTTGGAAGAACCAGCCGCTCAGGTTTCTCGGCCTTCATCGTCTCGCATTCAACTTCAGGACGACGAGTCCTTCACGGAGGATTACGGGGAGGCGTCTGGAGGCCGAAGAACGATTGGTGGAGGAGTAGATTTTTTCTCTAACCTTGGTACAGAAGTTCACAAAAAGAATTCGCATCCTAACAGACCCGATCCAGACAAGGCAAGTTTCATCTAATTAACACCCAGGTATATCTTATTTAGCATTGGATAGCCGGTCATCAGCTCAAGGGAGCTTAATACAAGTCTCAGAGATAACAAATCTATCGACGAATCCGCGGCTCCTGCTCCCAAACCAAATGTTCCAGGAGGTCCTGGATCACAATGGAGGATGATCCGGCTTCGACGCGTCTTCGAAACCGCAGAAGAAGAAGGACTACCTATTGAACAACTGGCAGTTGATCGCTTTGGCTCATTGGAGGCATTTGAGGAAGCCAAGGAGGAGCGGCGAATATTGGATGAACGAGAGGGTAAGCGGCCAGATCGGGCTGTTGGCTCTGAACGGCGTGGTAGGTCTGAGGGGGAGAAAAAGATAATGTTCAACGACATTGGTGGAAGTGGAGCATCTAGTCGCAGCTCTTCATTCCGTCGGCCAGGTGGTCATGCCGATAGCGCACCATCTACACCAACCCCAGGTGGTCGTCCTCCAGTGAATCGGCGATTGGACAGCCTACGTTTGCCTTCACAGGCTGCATCCCCTTTGCAACAATCTCGGACACCTATACCTTCGGTGTTGACTCCACCCACAGGAGTTCGCGGTTCCACGTCACGAGGGCTGTCGCCCTCGTCTTTGAATAAATTGCAGGCGAAAGTCCTTCGTGCAAAATTGATGGGTGCACCTGATGCTGAAGAGCTAGAGAGCGAGTATGAGGCTGCTTCTAAGGCGACGTACCGCAGCGACGAGGGAGGAAACGTACGGACGAAGGTTGAAGTTTTGCCCACTCTGGATGGGCAGGGTCGGCTGTATGATATTGGGCATGGCAAAAATGACGAAGCAGCCCTTTTTCCTGGGAATCGTAAAAAGAAAGAAAAGGTTGCTTTGTACCCTTGTTTTCCTTCGGGCTTCTCTAAGCTTTTGTCTTAGGTTGAAACAAGAGATCCAAAGACGGGCGACTTGGTCAGGATCAATGCAGATGATGATTCGACCACTTTGGGTGAGATGCTGCGGCAAGAGAAGTTTGGCGGTGGAATGTCGGACCAAAAGAACTTGGACGCTCAGTTTGCCCGTGCCATCATGGGAGACGGCAAATTTCAGGTAGGCTGCTCTCTGTGTCTCTAGGACAGTCACTCGATACGTTTTCTAGAACGACCTTGACTACATGGATGAAAACGTGGAAAAGCTCAGTCGACAAAAGATGCGTTCAGATGCTATGAAGCGCCAGTTCGCTATCCAGGGTATGTACGATTCGCTCAGAGGGGATCATGAAGATGACTATGACTTACAGACTACAAGCGTACCCAGCAAGTCCTCGCTACGTGCCATTTTTGCTTTGGAGAGGATGATTCACCTCCAAAAGCGCCAGTTATTGCAATGGGGACCCGGGCGTATCTTTCTTGCACCACAAATGAGGAGCTGGTCAAAGGACATTGTCTGATAGTGCCGATACAGCATCATTTGACAATGCTAGATGGAGATGACGATGTGTGGGACGAAGTTAGGGTTTGTCTTGCTTTCCTTCTTTGCTATCACTTCCGCATCATGCTCGTTCTAGAACTTCATGAAATGTCTGATGCGTATGTTTGCCGAGGAAGATCAAGGTGTCCTATTCTATGAAACGGTCATCTCATTGAAGAAACAAAAACACACCTGCATTGAATGCATCCCTTTGCCTTGGAACCAATATGACCTAATCCCAGGCTACTTCAAGGTACACAAGCAATTCTCAATCGCCGTCAGAGTGCACTAACACGATTTCAGGAATCAATACTGACGTCGGAGGCTGAATGGTCACAGCATAAGAAGTTAATTGACTTTTCCAAGCGTCCAGGTGGTTTTCGGCGTGCGATGGTCCCCAATTTGCCCTATTTCATGGTTCAGTTTGACCACAAAGGGGACAAGGGATACGGACACGTCATCGAAGGTGTCAATGATGGCGCTGATGGAGAAGAAGGTATAGATGAAGGGGAGAAAGGTTCTGGGGAATTTCCATGGTAAACCTTTCGCGCGTCCTGCATATGTATTTGCTCAAAATATACAGGTACTTTGCTGGGGAGATCATTGGAAATATTTTGGAACTGGAACCCCGTCAGTGGAGGAGACCGAGACGGATAGATTTCCGAATGAATTCAGAGCGCGTGACTGAGTTCAGGAAGAAGTATGCCAAGTTCGACTGGACGGGGATGATTGGAAGATAATGTATCATGTATTTTTGGACCGAAGGCTCTATACGCGACGTTTAGCGATGCATTCCACTCTGGCGGGGCCAATCTGCTCACAAAATCTAGATGCATCAAGCTAGGAAGTTTGGAACTGCCTACAGCCGCACTTAATCTCAAACACTGCCCGTCCTCGCTGCCGAACAGCGAGGAGTTGTCGTAGTGATTATACCGATGCTTCTCGATGGAGTATAAAAAGACGTGACGATTTTTTCTTGGATTAACGTGTTTTCTCTACTTGCAACCTTTGAACTTTGGGTGGTACCAGCTTACATGTTTTTGTTCTGGCTGTTAGCGTTTCCTTCTTTTTATTTAATTCAAGCGGAGAAAAGCGATGCAGTCTGTGAAACGGACAAAGTCGCTTCAGCTTGGTTCACTGGCTGGCATGCCGACGAGGGCCTTGATGTCAATGACATTCTCTGGTCAAAGTACACCGAGATAACCTTTGCGTTTGCGTAAGTGCTGCGACACGACTGCAACTGGATACGGATTCTTACCACGAACGCAGTGAGACAACGCCAGACGTTAATGTCGTCTCTTTCAATGGATCAGGTTCCCAGAACTTTCCCCAGCGAGCAAATTCTTCTCGGTGTCACAGCCTATGGGCATAGTTTCGGTGTACCCAAAGTTGATGCATTCTCCAAGACTTCGGATACGCTCGCTCTATACGCACCTTTCGGCTCCTCCGTCCATCCCGGGGCTGTGTCAATGTTTGTGGCGCTGATACTACGACAGGGGGAGCCGTCAACTTTTCGGGACTTGTTGAGCAAGGTTATCTCACTGAAAGCGGGAATGCTGTAGATGATGTGCTTTATATATTCGACAACTGCAGCCAAACGATCAGTCGTTTGATTTATCGTTATGGGGATACCTCCTTGTTCTCATGCGTTTTCATTACAGCCCTTTATCTACAACACCACTACTCAAGTGATGATTTCCTACGACGGCGGCGAGTCTTTTGCGGCTAAAGGACAGTTTATCGCAGACATGGGGCTGGCTGGCTTTGCTGTGTGGGAAGCAGGAGGCGAATATCACAACATTCTGCTGGATTCTGCTCGTGGACAATTATTTGCATAGCCAGTCGTTTGAAATATTTTCTTGGTTTTATTTATCGCATTTGCCCCTCATCATAATAAAGTTTACGCATCTCCGGGACTCCGGCCCGGTACTGACATGAACGTTGAAGAGCCGTCCGAGCACGCGAGGACAGCGCTGTGAGGTATCGCTAAGTTTTTGAAAATTCGCCCTCTGCATAGCCAAGTTTTCATTTTTTTAAATATGTAAATTATCGCTCTATGTACTTAAAATAAATAATATTTTGGAGGAAACGGCGGGAGATCCGGGAGTCGCGAGACGGTTTCCATTTTGAGGAGCTTACATCATCGTCACGGAGGGCGAATTTGAGGCAACTGCCAGCACCGTTTCCCCCGTGTCGCTACCTCCCACCCACCCATTGAGTCTTGATTTCAGGGGGGAGTGCGTCTTCCTCTGGAATCTCACTCACAGGATAAATAAGCCACCAGTTGCCTCTGGCGATCATGTTTTCCATTCAAACTCTCCGGAACGTGTCGATAGCCGGATGGGCTTCAGCTCGATATCTCAGCACGGACACGGCCTCTACAGCGTCCCTAAAGAGGTCTTACCTCTATGTCCCTTCCTCCTCCTCTCGCATGCTTGAAAAGTCGCTCGCGGTTAATTCTGATATGATTATCTACGACCTTGAAGATAGTGTTTCTCCAAAGGATAAAGTCACTGCCAGAAATAGACTCCAGGGTTTTCTAAAAGTCGCTCTCTTTCACTCAATATGCGGGTTAAATTTCTTACTTTGACTTGGACAGAACGAGATGCTCTTAACTCCTTCACGAATCGCTGTCAGGATTAATGATAGAACAACGCCTTTCTTTGTCGAAGATCTTGCGGCCATTGTAAGATATTAATCTCCTGATGATTTTAACAGTCGCCGATGGTAGTGGCATCATTACATAGGTCCGTTTGCCTACTGTAAGATCAATTGTTCTGCCCAAAGTGCATTCTGTAGAGTACCTCACGCATGTGGCATCCATCATCTCCGAAACTCGACTGACACCTTCTCAAAGCCTTCCCTTATGCCTGGTAGCGAGTATTGAAAGTTCAGAGGCGGTGATGAATGCTTCCGCCATAGCTGCATGGAAGCCCCCGATTGAAAGCGCCCAAGGATGTGTACTAGGCGCCCTTTTGGTAAATACGTATTTAAACACTTCTCATGTCAGTCAGACGATTAGTGCTGACGTTCACAAGTTTGCTGCAGAAGACTGTAAGAACAGGATCCTGTTGTCTATCCTTTGCAAACTAATGTTCTCACAATCCCACAAAAGATTGCGCTGATACCTCCATCATCCGTACTCGTTCACGTCAAGAACTATTGTATACTCGTTCCCACATAGTCAATGCCGCCAGGGCCAATAAGCTTGAAGCTATTGATATGGTAAGTTGCCGATTAATCTGCTCTTTCATACCTTGACACCGCCCAGGTATGCGTAAACTATAAAGACGAAAAATATTTAAAGGAGGAGTGTCAGGAAGGAAGGAGAATGGGATTTACTGGAAAGGTCTGTCATCTTATCACCTAAACCGTAATCGAATTCTACAAATTAACACCTCACTAGCAAGCCATCCATCCTTCCCAGGTAGACACGATTCAAGCAACTTTCGTCCCTACCACATTTGGTTAGCATCCACAAAATAGATTGAAATTACTTATGTGTTTTGTATAGAGATAGTTCGCGCGGCAAAGATCGTTCATAACATGCAAATAGCCCATGAATCTCAGAAGGGCGCCATCGGACTTGAGGGAGAAATGGTCGATGCTCCGATGATCAAACAGGTGTGAAATAATACTCAAATTTGACTCATATACTCACTTGCTCGTGCTAGGCTGAGAAAATTATCCAAATTGCGAAGGCGGCTGGTCTTGATATTCCAGATGTGGTATGATTGTACATATAGTAACACAATCAGGGTATAATGAATTACACTGTGAGATGCGGTCAGACGGCCCCGGTGAATAACGTACTGACTAGTTACCACGTTATTCATAATCCTACCATCCACTTTATAGCGTCTGCAGACCTATGGGGAACGCTACCAGCAGTACCACCGGACCCCTTCGAGGCAGTATGGTAGCACGTAACCGCTTAGATGGTAAAGTCATCGAAAGACCGCCAATCCTTCAAATATCTCAGATGACAGAGATTGGCTATTTGAATGAAAACGTCAGTGCATATTGATCAGTAAAATCCCATCGCCGTTGCTCGTTGGTAAGGTTTACTGGTACGACTCTCATCAACATACGAAAAATGGTGGGTATCGTGTTTTCGAAGGCTTTGTGAAACACTCAACGTGCAGTTACCGCAGTTTTTCGCCTGTGGCAGTTTCATTATCAATATCTAGGATAAAACAATACATGCAGAGCCAAGGACACAAATCCGATATATGGAATCGGAACGTGCAAGCCAGGACAACCTTTCCCCTCGAACTTTTGGAGACTATCTCCGCCGAACCTCATACAACTCGTGTAAGCGAGGTCAGAAGCCATAAGGATTCGTCCTTGGAGACCTCGGGCTGTGTTGTATAGGCAACGCAGTATTCCAGACAGGACTCGGAAATTTCGTCTTCGTCGCAAGCTTTGAGTCTGCCGCACCTTCTACATAGTCTCTGGTCACTTCCCATGAGGCGATTGCTAAGAGAGTTTCTACCACTGGACATAGTTGGGAAATTATAGATTTTGACCTGCTTTACATACATGATCCGTATTGACTGTCTCCGTGACACGTATGCAAAAAATCCTCACCCGCTGGTCCGCATTGACGAGACTTCTAGGACTATATTTTCGTAGCAAACCTGATTAAAATCTCTTGCTGCTCTTGTCTGCTTCACTATCTACCTCCGCATTTGTCCATCCTCGTTTTTTGCACACTCGGGAGGACTTCACGCGCATTAAAAACAAAGTCGATGCACAAGAAGAGCCTTGGTACACTGCGTGAACCACGCTAATTGCCAATAACCATGCCCAGGCGACCTATGTCATGCGGGGACCCGTCCAAGTCGTCGTTCGTCGTGCGAACTCTAACGATGGTGCCCAGAACTAGCATCCACTTCTCCACATCGATATCGTTGCCGTCTATCAGCTGGCTCTCCGTTGGCGTATCTCGAGCGATAATACGAACTATGCCGATACCGCGGCCGCCATCCTTGGTACGTGGTCGAGTACGCTTACAAAGATCGATGGAATCGTCAGACAAATTTTTGGCTTTCGGAATATATGGCTATGAGTTTGCCAATGCACCTGATCTGATGCGCGACTATTCTGGCTGGTCGGCGGGCAACTTTACACGTTTCCAGAACAAGATTGCTGACCTGTTCTACCCTACCCTAAGGACTATGATTTCTTGGAGAATCATAATGGGGCAGTTTGGTACCATTATCCAGCCAATTGGCGCATTTATCGTTTAATTCTCTCTATGGTACTTCTGAATAGTTCCTTTTCATTTGAACAGGAATATCTGCAACATGATGTCGGGAATGTCCATCGGGATTCTAACCGATAACCAGACTATGTTCAACTATGCTGTAAACGCATTCACCATGGCCACCGGAACGGGAAACATCAAGAATGCGATCTGGTTTATTCACGAAGAGGAAGGTAGTGGGAAACGCCTGGGGGCAGAATGAGGAAGCTGGGCGAGATCAGGTACTTACTATTCTGACATAACCAATTAGCGTGAGCTCACTGGGAAATCTCAAGGGTCATGCCATGCTTGATTTTTTGTTGTGGGGCGCCTATGCCACAAGCTGCATATAATCAAGGCGTAGATCTCTGCTTATAATGGCAGCCAAATCCTCACAGGGTACGCAATCACGCCTTTCGTTGAATTACGCCATTTGTCTATATTTTACAGCGCTGAATATGTGGAGAAGTATAATGTCGGTTTCGATGTTCCATATGTTCCCCATATCAACGGAAACTATAACGAAACAGTCATTTCTGCATCTGGTAAAGGCAATGTAAGGCCTTCGTGGGAGCCGCTATACGCTCATTGCGGCTCTCTCAAAGGCCTGAATGCTTCTTGGACTGAACAGATGCGCGGCTTGGTATTAGACTCATCGACGAACGGTGTCGAAGGTGGCGGAGGTGACTATGGTTACGACCAGCTGGGATACGGGACATAGTTACATCGCCTAGAGGTGAGCTTTATGCTTAAATTTTTTTGTCATCACTTGGTTCTCATCTCAATGGCAGTAACCATCTGAGTTTCTGGATGATGGAATCGAATCATCAGTTTCCTAACTACTTGCTGTTCTTCATCCTTCTTGCAGTACGAGTGAAGTCTATACGTATGATTCATTTCAATTATTTCCCAAATGATGGGTTCAGGCCAGTCCGACTACCCATCGCAATTTTCATTCAAAAGCTTTCTCCTACATGTCTGCTACGTGAGAGATTTTTGTGAATCATGAGTGGAAAATTTTCCCAAAAACGGATCGTATCTGTATGGTAATCCGGGATCGCCCTATACTAGATCGCGGGTAGTATAGGACGTGTCCCTGTCATTCAGAGATTCGCCCACGTGGCGAGGCGTAGTTCGCAGAGTAAAATCTATGCGTCATTGTTTTGTTCTCAGAGTATTAGGACCGAACGACACAAGCAAACAAAGAATTCTCCGCGACTGACTCTATCGCGGTTAGCCTCACCCTCATGTCCTCTGAGCTTGAGCGGTATATCAGCGACAACTCTCTTCGAGTGCGTGAGTATTTGTAACGTGTCTGCACCACCCAACTGACTTGAATGTCCTCCAGTTATTTGGCGTCGCAGACCGTAGCATTATTGACTATGTGCTAGCTTCAGGTCGGTTTCTCGATTATTCTTTTCTGTCTTCACTGTTTACAAACGTGTATCTAGCTTCCTCGTCAAAGACGCCCGAGGCCCTTTTCTCGGCCCTGAATGCTTCCGGATTACCAGACACCGCTGATGCTCATGAATTCATAAACCAAGTATTCCAGCAGGCACCTCGCAAGCACAAACATAAACGGACAGCTGCCGAGAAAGCTCAACGACAGGCCGAAAAGGAAGCCAAGGCTCTGCGCTCACAGAAGTTTGGCCTACTTCTGGACGACGGAGTTGACGGTGTAGCTCCGTTGCCCAAAGAGAAACGGCAGAAAGAGAAGAAACACGATCGTCAGACACGGAAGCGAGAATATGACGAGAAGGAGTGGGAGAGTGACGAGGAGGAAAAGGCCAGGAAGCGGTGGAAAGGTGATAATGCCGAGGATGAGGAGGAACTTCCGGAGGACGAGGAGATCAGGAAAGAACGAGAACGTCTAGAGGATTTAAAGGACAGGGACGCCTTCGCTGAACGAGTTCGAGACCGAGATCGGGAGAAAACGAAAAAGATTGTAGAGGATCGGTCATCGAAAGCCTCGGGCGCTGCTGCCGACGCCGCTCAGCGGCGACAGCTCGCTGACGATGCTGAAGCCCGCGGGATCGCTCTTCCGGGACTCCGATTACATTCGCGGCAAGAGTATCTAACGAAACGTGAGATTCAGCAAATCGAGCTACTTCGAAAAGAAATAGCCGATGATGAATCTCTATTCAGCGGCATGAAGATATCCAAACGGGAGAGACGGGAGCTAGAGCGGAAAAAGGAGCTCCTCAAGCTCGTTGAGGAGCGACTGAAGATCAACGACAAATGGGATGGTTATGCTTTACCAGAGGACTATATCACGGAACAGGGCAAAATCGACAAGAAGAAGAAGGAGAACGCACTATACAAGCGGTATGAGGAAGCTAAGCCGAAAGACGACCAGTTCATCACCGATGTCGACCAGTGGGAAGCCAGTCAGACTAAGCACAGTACTTTCAAGACTGGTGCAATGGATAAGAAGGAGATCGTCGTTGACTACGAGTATGTCTTTGACGAGAGCCAAACAATCAAGTTCGTGATGGACTCCGCGTTACCTGGAACGAAAATGACTGCTGCCGAGAAGTTGATACAAGATCAAATCGATGCAGCTGAAAAGCGAGGCGCGTTGTATACCGATTTACTTGTTCATGCCGCTTAATTCATTTTCTTTAGCTCGAACTATTGAAGAAACTCGTAAAAACCTCCCCATCTATGCGTATCGGGAGCAGCTCATTGAGGCCATCAAAGAACATCAAGTCCTCATCGTAGTGGCTGAAACGGGATCGGGGAAGACCACCCAGCTGCCCCAGTATCTTCATGAGGCTGGGTATACAGCCGGTGGATTGAAGGTCGGATGTACCCAACCGCGCCGTGTTGCTGCGATGTCTGTCGCCGCCCGTGTCGCCGAAGAAATGGGTACGAAAGTTGGATATGAAGTAGGATACTCCATTCGGTTCGAGGATTGCACCAGCGACAAGACGGTCCTGAAATATATGACAGATGGCATGCTGCTTCGAGAGTTCTTGACGGAACCAGATCTAGCTGGATACTCCGCCTTAATCATCGATGAAGCGCACGAGAGGACTTTGAGCACAGATATTCTATTTGCCCTTGTCAAGGTACTTTTTCGTTCCCTGTAATAACTTGAAATGAGCTGATGTCCATGGTATCAGGATATTGCACGTTTCCGTCCAGAACTCCGTCTATTGATTTCGAGTGCTACAATGGATGCCGAAAAGTTCAGCGAGTATTTCGATGACGCACCGACTTTTTATGGTACGTTCTTGGTAGAGTTGAGGTTTTGACATTTACCACTTGAAATAGTTCCTGGTCGTCAGTTCCCCGTCGATATTCATTACACCCCCCAACCCGAAGCTAATTATCTTCACGCTGCCATTACCACCGTGTTTCAAATCCATACGACACAACCGAAGGGCGATATTCTGGTGTTTTTAACTGTGTGTTCTATGTTGAAAGTCTATTTGGCTGGCTAATAAAGGTGACAGGGTCAAGAAGAAATTGAGGCTTGTCACGAAAATCTTCAAGAAACAGCCCGCACATTGGGTAATAAGATTGCGGAGCTGATCATATGCCCCATCTACGCTAATCTTCCAAGCGATATGCAGGCGAAGATATTTGAACCTACTCCTGAAGGTGCTAGGAAGGTGGTCTTGGCTACGAACATCGCTGAAACGTCCATCACGATTGACGGAGTGGTCTTTGTAATTGACCCTGGTTTCGTCAAGCAAAATTCGTACAATCCAAGAACTGGAATGTCGTCTCTGGTTGTCGTTCCTGTAAGTTTATTTTCATTGATTCTGTCTCTTCTTTGCTAATACGATATCAGTGTTCTCGTGCTTCTGCTAATCAACGAGCAGGAAGAGCCGGTCGTGTCAGGCCCGGAAAGTCATTCCGACTTTACACAAAATGGGCATTTTCAAATGAGTTGGAAGCTAACACTGTACCTGAAATACAACGTACAAATCTTGGCATGGTTGTTTTGCTTCTCAAGTCGCTAGGTATCAACGATTTGATTGGGTTTGAATTTTTGGACCCACCTCCGGGGGAGACCCTGATGAGAGCATTGGAATTGCTCTATGCCTTGGGAGCCTTGAATGACAGAGGAGAGCTCACAAAGCTGGGCCGGCGGATGGCAGAATTTCCTGTTGATCCTATGTTGTCCAAGGCGATCATTTCGAGTGAAAAGTATGAGTGCACTGATGAGGTTTGTCCGCTTATACGTCATTCGATACGTAGCGCAGTCTAACAGCTGTCATAGGTTCTGACCATTATCGCCATGCTCTCGGAGTCGGGATCACTTTTCTACAGACCCAAGGACAAGAAACTTCACGCAGACCAAGCACGACAAAATTTTGTTCGTCCTGGCGGAGATCATTTTACCCTTCTGAACGTTTGGGAGCAATGGGCCGAAACGAATTATTCGCAGCAGTTTTGCTACGAGCAGTTCCTCCAATTCAAGAGTCTTAGTCGGGCACGCGACATCCGAGACCAGCTAGCAGGGTTGTGTGAGCGGGTGGAGATTGTGATAAAGTCGAATCCCAACTCGAATGATATCACCCCAGTCCAGAAAGCCATAACGGCTGGCTACTTCTATAATACCGTAAGTGCGATGTGCTTGGTTGTTTGGCGCTTCTTTAACGTGCCTTTCAGGCCCAACTACAAAAGAGCGGTGATTCGTACCGCACACTGAAGACGAATCATACAGTTTATATTCATCCGTCTTCGAGCTTATTTCAATTCCAGCCGCCTGTCAAGACAGTGCTGTACTATGAGCTTGTTATGACGTCCAAGTCGTACATGAGGCAAGTCATGGAAATTAAACCTGCCTGGCTCATGGAAGGTATATTTTATGTTATCTATGTGTGATATAACTGCTGACGTGTTTTGAATGTAGTGGCGCCGCATTATTTCAAGCCTGCAGACCTGGAACAGTTGGCTTCGGGTGACAAGAAAATGCCGAAGAATGAGGCTGCATCTCTTAGCTCTGCTAAATCTTGATGAATTTATATGTATTGGAGTCGATGTATATCATGTATTGTATTTCAGTAGGGACGATGAGGAAGTTGCATTTGACAAGAGCACGGCAGTGATTCATGCGTGGTAACGTAGTAGACATTTCTTGCTGTATGATATTCAGCTCTTATTTTTGTAGTTTGACTCGAGAGTCGCATCCATATATAGCTCTCTAATTTCCTGGTTTGGTGTGTATACGTGTTTATCACTACGCTTTCTTCCATGAACTATAGCTCGCATTCACCACCTCCCCTCCGGCACCCAGTGCCCACCCATCCTGCATATATACCAGAGCCCCCATTGACGCCAGGATCTCCTCAAGGCTACCAGCGATTTTCATCGTCGCCTCAGCCTCAGCCTCAGCAACAATACACGCATGTGCCAGCATATTCCTGTCATTTCCAGCCACCACCACCACCGAATCCCAACGTCGGTTCCAACTTTGTGCAGCCTGATTTTGTGGCATGGGGTATGAATGATGCCACAACGCAGCTGGGGTTACAGCTGGGTAACAGTGCCGTTCAAGCGGGCCAGGAGTATGTCCAGCGGAATGTGCGTTACCTCCCACCGTACCAGGGCTTCAGCTGAATGGTTTCTCAGTTCGGTGGCTTCTTCCCGTTGGCGAGCCTCAAGCACCAGTTCAACGTGTCCAATTCCTATGTCATGCGCAAACTAAAACTCGTCATTTTCCCTTGGGACCATCGTCCGTGGTCGCGTAGGATTCGACGCTCAGAACAGGGTGTGACTGAATGGCAGCCCCCTCGAGAGGATGTGAATAGTCCTGACTTGTACATTCCGCGTGCGTCTTTGCCTTTTCTCCACTTTTAGCTTACTTACATTCTTGTAGTAATGGCGCTCGTGACTTACATGCTCATTGCTGCCTTCCATTCCGGCATACAAGACCGTTTCCACCCAAAGGTCCTCGGCGAACTCGCTTCAGGCGCATTCCTCGTGGTGCTTGTCGACTTTGGTTTCGTATACCTAGGATGTTACTTTTTGAATATCCAAGGCTCAAGTCAGGCCCTGGATATCATCGCATACTCAGGATACAAGTTCGTGGGGTGGGTGACTTCTTTTTCTATCTTCTTTGACTGTTAAAAGTGACTTCAGCGTGATACTTACCATTGTCTTCGGATTCCTGAACATGGGCCGGACCCTCTACACGATCGTCTTTCTCTACTTCTTTTTTGCGAATGCCTTCTTCCTAGTGCGTCCCTCGCTTTTACGGAGTCTAATATACCTTAATCTGAGGGTACAGTTACGTTCTCTGCGGTCTGTGGTGCTTCCAGATCCGTCAATAACAAACAACGCGAATAGCACCGCAACGGTCAGTGCGGCGTCTCGAAGACGCCGCATCATATTTTTATTCCTAGAGGCCATCTGTCAAATACTGTATATGGGTATTCTTGTGCGGGTGTAGGCTTGACGACATCGCTCGTGGATCAATAAAAGGCTAGTTCCAGCTAATAGGCCAAGATTCCCTAAGAGAGGAATACATTCGTTTGAAGATAAAGGTAATTTAACTCTTAACATCCTCTACGCTTCGTTTCTCGTCGCTCCTTGTAACACTCGTTGCGCCATCTTTATGACTCGCCACAGCTGTATCCTCCCCATGATCTACTAACGTCATATCGTCCGACAATTTGACATCACGGATAAAGAACATGAACAGGAGATTGGGAACCATCACGGTGAAAGCAACGATAGTCAAAATCCTCTGAACTTGCTTGTAGCTCAATACAATGGCGTCCCGTACGACGTCTCCCCCTTGCATGTACGGACGGACACTCGGACAAGGGATCGGAACGCGCGGCTGGACGCATTCCGCACCGCAGATGGACGTTCACGGCTTCCACGGGAGAATACGTCAATTTATGTGAGCCAGCAGGGAGGTTGCGTGCATCTGTACATCAAAGATTACATGTACCCCATCTCGTACCTCGGTTCCCCGAGCATATTTCATGGCGACTTTGATGGAAGAAAATATCGTTGACGCCTGATCTTTGTAATCCTCGGGCAAATTCTCCACAAGGCACGATGGCAGCATGTTACTCCAAATAGCACCGGAAATCCTATTCGTGGATTCAGCAGTGACAACGCAGAAAAAGGCTGGTTATACTGACGCAGAACCAATAGCACCGCCCAGAGAAGTTAGAGCAAGAATAATCTCAACCACAACTGCAACATCCTGTTGTCTTGCCAGGGATTGTACGGCAACCTGGCCCGCGGGCTTATAAAAGCTTCTCCCAATACCAACGAGAATCTTCGCCACACAGAATTCTACGGCGGTGGTTTCCCGGCCTGGCAGGACGAAGTATATCAACAATCCTTGACCGAGTAGTATGGATGGGATGCCGAGGTAGTAGCACCACTTGTGACGTCGGATGTACTTCAACGCCAATCCACAAAGTGGAGATGCTACCTAATATGCTACACGGTGCGCATTACTATCGCATGTTGTTAGCTGGGATATTAGGCTGTGAAAGAGATTCACTCACTCTATCTGAGAAGCTGTGGTCGCAGAGCGATAAGCGGCAACCTATTGGCTGTATATAAGCGACGTTGAAGTGCGTCATAAGAGGAGTAACCTACCTGGAGAAATGAGGGAAAGAAAGATGTGAAGGTGGCGTCATGGAGGAAGTCCAACATTTCGGTGATGCAAGCAAACACCAAGGTATACTCCCTTGCAAGCCTATATGGAATCAAAGGCTTGGTAACAATCTTTGCGTCGTAGGAAATATACACCGCAAAAATAACCGCTCCGATGACGATCATGACGATGATTCCTGGAGAGGTCTGCAGACTATCTGTGCCCGTCAGAGTTAATGGAATGAGAATCAACGCTAACGATGTTACGAGCAGAATGACACCGACGAAGTCCAACTCGATCCACATAAGCTTCCATATTTTCATCACCGTGGTGGGATTTGAGGGATCGTCATGTAGAGAGCATCGAGAGCCAACTGGTCTTGGTGTGAGTGAGACGATTAGCTCTGCGTTGGCACAAGACGAGGATAAGAAGGAGGGGGTGCAGCGGATACGGGAAGTATGGCCACCCACATCCCGTATCCCCACCGCCAGTATGGACCGGCGAGAACGGCACCGTCAATGATGCTACTAATGTAAATTCTCGGAACCAAAGCGATGGTTTCAGGAACAGTGGTCTATAGTCCACGATTGAGGAGGGTGGTCGTATCGGCGATGAATATGCTAAGTAGTGAAGCGAAGCCCACATCTCCCATGGTAAAAAAGACTCCAGCGGCCTATGTGATTTCAGTTGACCTGTCGAGGATTTTGCGTGAAAATATAAACATACCACCCACGTCTGGACGTTGAGGCTTGCGGCCTTCATAATCTCGCCGAGGGCCATCAGCCAAATATTCAGAACAAGGTCTTCGGTATGCCCAAAGACATCGGATAACTTGGCAATGATGGGGTACGCCACGATTGTAGTGATATTCTCAAGGACATCAGAGGTTGTGAGTAGAGAGTGTTTCGAAAAGTCACTCGTAGCATAGGCCGTGTAGACCTTTGTCGTATACTGTTCTAATGTCTGTCTAAACGTTGTGAATGCCAAGCTGATAGAAAAATATCAGCGCAAATAGCAATGATTGGAAAATTGAATGAACGTACGCAACAAATGCGGCTGCCAATGTCTTCTTGGTCCATGCAGCACGTAAGATATCTGCACTTACTACACCAGGTTGTTTCGATAGATCCTCAGACCCGGAAGAACTTGAATGTCCACGAACTGGAAGCCGCATTTTCACAGCAGCTGATTTGGAGGGACGTAGGAAAGATACTTGTATCAAAATTATAAGACTTATCCTTCGGATATTTTCATTTTCCTTCGGAGCATTCCAGAGCAAGGAGGATGCTCCGTAGACGCGATGTGGGCGTGCACAAAAGTCGTTATCAGCAGTCAATCAGATAAGATAATCCATTATCTTGGTACTATCAATTCGAATTTTCTCGGTTACTTCGCGAAAATTGTTCCTGTGGGATCCGAGAACGATGACTACTATGGACGAGAACAAGTTGAGCTGTCCGCCAAATGTCAGACCTTCCCCGCTAGCCAAGAGGCCAAGAGAAAGGGAAGAAAGAAAGGGAAAACGATAGAGGACAGGAGGACAGGCACAGCTGACATCAAGTTGGACGTTATCGATGCCACCTCTGCTCTATCGTCAAAAATTTGTGGACATTGTCTGCAGCATGACTGGAAAATCATATCGTATTTTCGTGGCTTGGCCTGAGAACGTGGTTCCAACTGACCTGTGGCAGACAAAGATGGTTTATCTTCTGGATGCCAATGCGTACTTTCGGATGGCAGTGGAGACAGTGATGCACAGTCGGCTCTACGGCATTATCATAGGCGTTGGATATCCTGAACCAGGTCCTCTCAGTCCGCGTCGTAACGAAGATCTTACACCGCCCTCTTCGTCTTACACGCCACCCATACCGCTACCCGAGACCTTGCATGGGGGGTACAGCGCGTTTCCTGGCGTTCATACAGACACAAGCTGCATCTGCCGTCGATGATCTGTTGCAGAAGCAATGCCCACATCATATAAGCAAACTTCCAAGAGGTTTTGTGGGCCATTCCTACGGTGGACTGCTTTATTCGACACCTTCTGCCCGATCAGTCCATCGATATGGTGGAATGACCGGCATCATGCAAGAAGTAGAAGAGTGTTGTGCGAGGGAGATTGAGCCTCTGTACAAGCTGAGAATGCTTTTCTCATATGGGGAGTACGAACAATCACCTCCACATGTCACTGACCAACATGTGGATGATCGCAATCAGAGGCATGCGCGTCGACGGGCAATGAAGGAAAATGTGATGGAGGTGTACAAGCGGTTCCAGGAGAAGGACGGATTGTTTTCCTAGGCGTGTATCCACGAGTCTGGGGGAGAGACACACGGAACTGTAGCAGGAGCCGGATTGGTGAGAGCGCTGCATTTCGTCCTGGATCCGGAAAATATAAACTTCGGGTGATGGGTTTGTCAGTCCTTACCGCATCGCCCCTAGGAGCAGGTTGATATCTGGTAGTAATTGTATAACGTTGGACTCGTCGAGGTTATCAGGGAGGACCTACACAACCGTAAAGCCGGCTCCTGGCATCATTGCTGGTCCTCGTTCATGACCAGTCCGCACGAGGCCGAGTATTGTCATCCATTAGACCAGGATGCGAATCGGATCAGTGTGAGATCCATCTTCCAAAGTCAGAAATGGTTTATTACCAGCACCCGGCCTCATTGAGACCTTCAGGAACGGTCGGGCCCGTAACGCAGCTAGGGCTAAGTGGTTGGAACCTTCGCGACCATGTGATCAGCGCGTGTCTACAACTAGAAAACTATCCTCCCCCATGGTCGGCTGAAAGTCGCCTGCATTTGATAGAATCGATTCGAAAAAGTACAGTACGTCTGTGTAGACCGCGTTCATCCCCCGCATCCGAGTCCATGTCCTTCTCCGGGATCGACCAATGTATTTCGCCCTATCTGCGAATCCTGAAGTCGAAGGCACTGGTTATTGACTGAATTGCTAAAATAGCGTCATGCAAGTTGGAACCATCCCTGGCGTCAAAAACAAGCTATGCCGCTCTCAACGGCTCGCATTGTCACCCGTATTTCGGGGTTCGGTCATATGCAACTCCACGTCTCGATGTGATGAGGTACCACCGGGTACCTAACCGCCCTCATCGTCCAAATCATCTCAACTCGGAAGATAGCACAAGGTTATGATGATCAGCATATCATACACTCGGTGATGTCTTCCACCCGAGAATTTACCGATGTGGTGCGGGGCAGCGTAGGCGGGATAGATGAAGTGGGTTGAAACAGGTTCCGCAGACAGACTATATGCGTGTCATGATGTGGATATTTTTTCAGGATAGCAATCAGATGTATCATGTTACGATTCCAGACGAAGATTGAGTATTCGAGGTCACCCACAAAGCGTCATCAGATGGCGATGGTGGACACGGAGCGGAGTGGGGCTCGGGCATGTCAAGGGAGAAGGTTCTGTGGCCAGGTTAAATAAATATCAGTCGACATACGTGAAAAGCATGACACATACTCGGAAACAGAGCATTACGCTGTCACCTAAAGATGAGCTGAGTATTTTTTTATTCGGTAGTTAGAAGGATAACCGACCTATGAAACCTCCTCTAAGTACCCTTGAACGATGAGGTGTTCGATGTCTGCCCTCCGGACCATAAATCGTTGATCCTTTTGGAAATCGATGCTGCCTTGCTCTGTCTGGATAACCCCGCAGTCCCTCACGACGTGCACAAGGACTAAAAGGTCCTTGGGCGGATTTGTGATTCCGGCCATGATGTCGAGCTCGTATGAAAATTCTCCTCGAAACTCCATGACGGTGCTGTTATACTGACGTAAATAGTCGACTTCATGAGGAGAAAGTTTGCCCCGGATATCGGAGTTGGATAGAATGTGAGGGAGTGCCCCGCCCACTGCCCAGTACATGTCTTTAAGGTGGTCGAGACGATGGGTGTGATATGCCAATAGACAGCGCTTGTTACGACTGATTGCAGTCTGATAGATAAGCAGAGCAGGGGGCAAATTGTCGGGATCGGCCTCGATAGCGAGTGTTTGGGCAGCCTTTTCGAGGTCGCGCTGTTCGCGTATGATAGAGCGAACGAGGGAATCGTTGTACTTGAGCAAGTTGTCGGTCTGCGTCGAGCGACGTGACTCTGTGACGAGCTGGGTGGCGAGGTCGCCAAATTGGCGCGTGTCGTTCATGGTGGTAGAAGTGAAAGAATATACGGTCACGTTATACTCTCTCCATTTTGCACTACCACCACCATGACATTGACTCTCCGGTACATCGGCAACTTTCGGTGTCTACCACTCTCAAGACGATGCCTGTCCACTGTCGAAGCTGGCATCGAGCGACCTGATCAGTATTGTGCCGACTTGGTCCGCAAAAAGGACTACGAATCTTTTCTTGTGTCGCCTTTCTACCCGACAGAACTGCGGCCCGCCTATTTTGCCCTTAAAGCCTTTTCTGTGGGTGTACATAGGTTCCCAGATAATATACGCTTAGTTCTGGTAGGTGGAGTTGGCAACGGTGCAGGACAACGTCTCGAATCCCATGATTGGCCAAATGCGAATGCAGTTTTGGCGGGATGCTATCAAAAGTTTCTCTGATGTGCGTCTCTTGGCTCTGTTTCCGAGGCTGGAACTTTGGTTGAGGTCACCGTTGCAGGGCAGTCCTCCCCGGCATCCAATTGCTCTGGCCTTGTATGATGCTTGCCAAAGGGCGCACCTACCTGCATACCACCTCAAACGTATAATTGACGCGCGTGTAAGGCCTCTGTACTTTGTGCTGATTATACTCACTCTGAGTCAGTTCCCATTCCAAGGAAGCTGAGCTGTATACTTCGGTCCACCTAACAACCGATTCTCTGACGGCCCATGCGGAGGCGACCTCTTCCACACTGTTGTATCTTCTGCTTTCGCTATTTTCGGCCTCCTCCTCATCTACTCTGTCACATGCCGCGTCTCACCTGGGCATCTCCCAAACCCTCGCCACGCTCTTACGAGCACTCCCCTTCCATGCCGCAAACAGTAGGATGATCATACCAGCAGAGATCACTGCAAAGCACGGGGTCGTACAGGAGGATGTGTTTCGCAAGGGTGGCGATGCACGGGGTATCGAGGATGCGGTGTTTGAGCTGGCTACTTTAGCCAATGACCATCTCCAGACTGCCCGAGGCGTGTTCAAGGACAACGAATTTGAAGGTAAAGTCCCCCGGGCGGTGATGCCGGTCTTTATGGCAGGAGTATGCTCACTTTAAATTTTTCTTCGATCTAAGCGGAATGCTTATTTTTTGCACAGACACCTGTCGCGAACATCCTCGGTCGGCTCGAGATGGCAAACTTTAACGCTTTTGAACCAAGACTGCAAGTGAAAGACTGGAAACTACCATGGAGAGTATGGAAAAGCTACTTTGTCCGAATGTTTTGAATAGATTCAACTCTGAGAATATCGCGAGAAAGGAAAAATGAAGGACATTGAATGCGATTGAAGAAGATGTATTTGAATTCAATGTTTCTTTCAATCAGGAAACGCCAGTTCCTTCTATATGTCATGGCCGGTCCGGGGGTAGGTCACCCAGATTTGGCATCTGTAACAGTACTACCGTCGGATCGGAGTTGCTGCACCAATTTGCTCTCTTGACTTTTACCACGACTCTATTCCTTCCTTGTCATCATCTTCAGCAGCGAGCTCAGCGTTTCTCTTCCCCTCATTCCTTTAAAGACGCCTGAGCCGACGACTTTAAGCTCTTTCTCTCGATATGGAACGTCTCTGTGGTCAGTGCGACAGACCGCCTCCATGCTACAACCCGTGTCTCATGATGTTTATGCTTTTTCTGGCAGACGATGTCCTTCAGCTAATATTCTTCGAGCTCACTGACCCAGGCTCTCTTACCATGGTCTCCAAACGTTTCTACCAGTTCTCTCAAGTCCCTTACGTCCGGGCCCATTACTTCCTTACCCGCTATGGCCCAACCCAGGCCATGTTTCAAGCCCTCGGTCGAGGGAAAATTCTCACAGAGAGTGTTCTTGACGTGCGTTTGATCCTCTTCCGTCGGTTTTCAGGCAACTGATGCCTTCATCATTATACCTGTGATTACCTACGTTAGATTTTGATGACCAGCGGTGCACACCTCTCGCGATATCTAATACAGGTTGCCTTCCATCACTACTTCCATACTCGGTCGCACTTCATCAAAACACCCTGGGTGCGGACCGTCCCTCTCTCGGTATTCACGTATTTTCTGAAGCTGGCGGCGGATACGTACGGTGATATACCTCGAGGCAAGGTACGGCGCTCCCCATTTGCAGTCCTATCATTGGACTTTGATCTTCTTGGCAGTCGGAAGACGATGGTACCATATTCACATGGTTTCTCCAAGAAAGTCGGTTCCCACCGCAAGCACGACGAGTTAATTGGGAGACTGTACGGGATATTCTCGACAAGTACAATGTATGTGTCCCCCATCCTCATTCCCTAGGCTCTACTGACTCGTTTCAAGTTCATCCCCTTCTCTCACAAGGTAACCATCATGGCTCGATAATCGCTCATTCTTTCTCACCGATAATAGGACCCTCTGATGGCCCAGTTTCCGTTGGCACTGGCATTAGAGCCACGCTTGCTCCCCTATGCGGTATCTAATGGTTTCTTCATGGACAGCAAGGTTTGATATATTGTCCCGTCCCTTGATGGTGTAGTAACAAGTTTGCAGTACCGAAATTTCATTTTCCGAAAGATGTTCGAAAAAGTGTCGGGGAGGAGCGTTGATGATGTTGTAAATAACGTCAAAGAGCTTTGCAGGCTTGATCTCACGTATGTTCACGCGTCCTGACATTTTTTATGCTTTATCCAATGATTTATATAGGATGTATATGAGCCGCACAGTAGCCGCAGAGGTATGTATGGAGGCGAAGTACAATGCTCATGGCTACGCGGCTTTGAAGCAGCTAAACAAATCAGGGAACTTACTCTTTGATCTTTCGTGCGTCCGTGTCTATGAATTACTTGCAAGCATTGACTTCTTCAAGGACTCTTGTCGAGGACCTTTTGAAAGTATGACACAGCCTTGTGATTTATATTGTCCACTTAATGTCTTTTTAGCTCTTTCTGAAAACCTCGTCAATAACATTGCCGCAGACTCAAGAGGCTCTTCAACATCTCTACGCCGATTTCCCTTCTTCTGATCCTGTTGTTCGGCTGGTCATGCTTATGACGGTCTTCACTCCTGGAGACTCCCGGGTGAATACCGCCACCATCCAAGAACGCCTTGACACTCTGAAGATTGGTGTGTTGACCAAGACGGACCTGCACAATCTCCTAATAAACCCCTACACGGAAAAGTATCAAGGACTGATAGAGTACATGGGCAAGGAAATGATTTCAGAGGTGACCGGGCAGAAAGGAATGACCGCCGCAGAGGTAAAAGACATTGTCCATGAAGTTACCGGTCGATGTATGGAGATTGAAAGCAAGGTGCGCCGACTTTAGAATCTAGATTTTGGCAGCATTTTGTGATGCACGTACCTGACACCAGGGCAAGATGTTGAAGAAGCTCTATGAGGAATTTTCTTGTGTCCGTGGCGCCATCATAAAGTCGGCTCTGGGTACTCACCAACTGCACTTGGCCGATCTGCCTGTCGGCTGTTCGCGCTACCACGCTAGACTCTGCCGGTCTTACTTCAGGACTAATGACGACAATGAATACTTCTGGAACGGTCGTCCGAATCGCAAGGTTATTCCACGCGAAACTCATGGCAAGGGATGCTCTTCTTCTGAGTTGGCATCAGCTAGTTCCGCGGAAGAGGTTGACCGTGAAATGGTCTCTCCGCGTCAGGTTCTTGTGCGTCTTGCACGTCCTTACATGTATTGCATGAATAAGTTTAACTGATACGTCCCCAGGGTCAAATTGGGCAAGAACCTTTGTCGGCTATGATCCGACAAGATGAGTTGACCCCAGCAAGGTCGCGCCGAAGAATGATCTTTGACGCGATACCTGTCACCCCTCCTACATATATCCCTCATGGTAGGTCTGAAAACTGCTCAAGTACCTAAGATACTCATCAATTTTCTCCAGACCAAATGCATGTTGCTAAATGGATTAAAGCTGAATTCGGTCCCAGAAGCAGCGTAACGGCCGTTTTTATGACTCACGCCATTATTAACGAAAATTCAGTGGTATGTGTAATACCTCTTCCTCTTTAGCGTTGCTAACACCTTTGTAGATTCTTAACGACTACCTACTTGTTGCCGGACGTGCTCAACGGGTACCGATAACGCTCAAACACTTCCAAATACTCGCCCGCCTACAAAGAGCACCCGTGAGTTGACTTCATCAACTCGGTATCGTAACTCTTCTGATCAATTGACACCAGTGTAATCAACTATACCGTGAAATAGAGTCGGGTGCAGAGTTCTTCTTGAACGAGGACGAATACATACCCAAGTCCGACCATGCACGGAAGCTTTACACTAAGGTTGAAGTGAAAAAGGAGTCTTCGCCGGCCAATATCCCTGTCAGTTCAGTGACACAAGAACATGACGCGACCTCTGGGTCTCCTCGTGGGAGGAAAAGACCCCGTAGGAGTACGGCGATCACAGTTCGATCTTACTTTGTTCCCGGCTCAGACGACGAGGCCATTGCTGTTGAAGATGACGAAGACTACGATATGAAAATGAAGCAAGCGGAGGAGAACCTGCGCCTGTGGGTGAAGCATTTGGCCGAGCTGTTGAAGACGGAACAAGCCAAGGTCTGTATTAGCTGAAATTTGCGTGGAGATAGCTTATGGAGCCTCACAGCATCAAGAGCAGAAGAAGAAGCTCATGAAGGAGGCCGGACCCGGGGCAAGGGTCCGTGTGTATAAGGTCTGTTGTTGCCTCGAGCCACTATCATTGATACTGATTTGTCGTGCCAGAATGAGTTTTTCAGATCTCTGTCGACACATCTACGTCTGTTACGCAAGATTGACGAAGACAAGCGCAAAGGACTTGATTATATGACGGATCACGGTCCTAGTGACGTGGATGACGAGGATTATTATCGCCAGACTTCAAGGTCTAAGAGACGCAAAACCTCAAAGTAACGATTTTTCTAGTTCCTTGTATCATTGCATTGCATTAACCATTCATGATACTTATATATCCACTCATAATATTATATATCCACTCCTCATCATGCTCATAGGGCCTCTTCATCAATATCACACTTTTATCTTACTGTAATATTCGTATTTAATTATTTACATGCACCGTAGTCATAAGACGGATCGGTAATTGATATCACGGTCTCCCTGTTTGGGTCTGTCCTCCTCACGGAGATCAATCTCTTTGTGCAGATCCTTGTTTTTGACGCTGAACGCTCGTTTTCTATTCTCCTTGGACATCTACAGCCACAGGTATGCTGTTGCTGCAATGGCGAAAAGGAGGTAACAAATAGAATTGATATGAGGCTTGCGGTAGTTGTGTGATGCGAAGTCTGGCCGGTAAATAAACGCTAAAACACTCATCAATGGACGCCAGAATAAATATACACATCGAGATCATCGGCTCACCCTGCTACCGCGCCCAGGTCGCCGATGGTTATTTGCATGGCCACTGTTATGGCGCGTTTCGTTTGGCCTGAAACGTTCTCCCCAGGCTAGCTGGAAAAAAAGATCCATCAAGTTCACTTGTTTTGCGATCTTGCCTCAGAAAGAGTGCGTTGCCTGTATATACTCCGGCTGCTGCAAAATGCACGCCGGTGTATTGACCGCCAGTTGAATTTGGAGCGTGAGGCGTGTCACTTGAATACAGTCAAGTGATAGCGACTTAGGAGTTTTTGCGGTGAGTAAAATGACGCAGCCTGTACACATGTGCAAGTGTGTGATGACCGGAGTACATCCAGAATGATGTTATCACATCAGTATCATGTCCTGATGAAAAAAAAAAGATTTGCGCACCAATGATGGCCACAATCGCTGATGCGATGATGAACGGTGCTCGGAGATTGTATCTGGAGGACAATCATATAGTTATCCAGATGGACATACTCGCAGGGGTGTTCGGTGGTACTGTCATGCTGTAGTAATATCTGATATCAGAAACATCGAGAAAATCTTCCAATGCCAGCTCGCGAAACCGAGACTAATAATGATGGTTGGCTATCATCAATGCAGTAACTTGGCAAGACATCTATGCCATCATGGACTTGGCATGAAGAGGCTGAGGGTGTGGTGTATAGGACCATGGAACAAGATTACATAACCCCAAACAAGGTGATCACGGATGACTTGTTTTGAACGTAAAACCACTTGAAACGTTCCCACCTGAATCGGCTTTATCGTGGGAAGAACCTGCCTTTCTGAAGCGTCTCGTAAGAACACAGGTTGGCCTTGTATGACATCCATGGAGGCCTTATTTTTCAACGTACAGCGTCCATTTTCTGTATTTTGTTTTCCAAAAGCTCAACTTACACAGCTCTATTGCAGGTCGACAGTGGTTTCCTTGAAGGCACAGTCCGGGGGTACAGGGCCGGCATCCTCACCCAAAGCCATTACGCCAACCTGACTCAATGTGAGACGTTGGAAGGTAAGCTGCGCTGCTGTCTGGATATTTCGATATTCATGGTTCTCCAAGACTTCCGAACGCAGCTGGCCGCGACCGACTACGGCAACTTTCTGGCTAATGAGCCCCTACCGATTTCCACCTCGACCATCACCGACAAGGCAACTCAGATTCTTGTGGACCAGTTCAATTACCTCAGAACAAATGCTGTAGAGCCTCTGAGTAAATTTCTGGACTACATCACGTTAGTGCGCTGTCCTCTTCGTGCTTCGCGCGTTCTCATAGACGTCAGGTATGCGTACATGATCGACAATGTTGTACTTCTCATCACTGGAACGTTGCACGAACGGGACACACACGAGCTTTTGGAGCGTTGTCATCCCTTGGGGGTGTTTGATACAATGCCCGCTCTCTGTGTGGCGACAAATGTGGAGGAACTTTACCAGAGTGTCCTAGTTGAAACTCCCCTCGGTGAGCTCTTACAACTTTCTCAGCGAAACAGCACTTCATAGTCAAAATAGCGCCGTATTTCCGTGACTGTTTATCTGCCTCTGACCTCGATGACCTCAATATCGAAATCATCCGTAACACGGTCTATAAGGCCTACCTCGAGGACTTCTACACCTTTTGTTCAACCCTCGGCTCACCCACATCCGACGTCATGCAACGCATTCTATCTTTTGAAGCAGATCGCCGAACGGTCAATATCACCATCAACTCTTTCAACACGGAACTCAGCAAGGAGCAGCGCGCCAAGCTCTTCCCTGCGATTGGCCGACTCTTCCCAGAAGGCAATAACCAGCTTGCGAAAGCAGATGACATTGACCAGGTTCGACAGGTCTGCGAAAGCGTGTCGGAGTACCGGTCGTTCTTCGCTGAATCCTCACATTTGGACGGCAACGGCGATGACTTGAGTGCAGTGTCACAGTTGGAGGATCGCTTCTTCAACACCGAAGTGCATCTCAACAAGCTTGCGTTCCTTCAACAGTTCCAGTATGGAATCTTCTATGCCTATATGAAATTGAAGGAGCAGGAGATTCGGAATCTGACATGGATAGCGGAGTGCATAGCACAAGATGCAAGGGATAGGATGCAGGACTTTATACCCATCTTCTGATAGGATTTCGTCTGCTATCAAATAATACTGAACTTTCATTACTTGCGATAGCTAAGTCTAGGTAGCTAGCCAGAATGAACCGGAAAGCAAATGAGAAACTCGGAGTGCTATAAATACAAAAACTGATACAGATGTGATACAAACCAATGATACAACAAGTAGATGAAAAGGAAAGAGTTTTATATGTTAGAACAACCAACATCTGGATTGTCAAGGTAGCGCCTTCTGGTCTCGCATTTGGTACGCTTCGATAATGGGCTGATGCTTCGCGTCTGGACAGACCGGGAGATCAAATCAGAACACACGGCCACCTTCGACATGACAGTAAGATCCTTACCAAGGTGAGGATTGTAATTCCTGCCGATGACGACAGCAGCTGCCCGAGTACGGCGTCGTTGATATGTTCGCTTCTTGAAGATGTACAAGAAGAGAGCAAAGATCGTGACAAAAACGACACCTCCGACGACACTTCCGGCAATAGCACCCACGTTTGTCGTCTTTGATGAAGAAGTGGTGGATACCGGTGAGTCAGAAAGAGACGGCATGGAATCAATGCTCTCAAACGACGCATTATAAGTGATGAAATCAATTCCAATTTGCCGCAAATTCAGTACGAACGTAACGTTCACAACGAGGGTATGCAAACCATCAGGCACATTGACACTGAACAGCTGCGCCATCGGGATAGGTTGATTGGTGCCATTAGCCGAAGACACCGATGTAGTCGCTTTCTCCGCGTCCACGCTGTACGAAATCACGATACTACCGTCGGTGTCGGTCGTATTGCTGATGATGCCGTACACCGCAACGGATGATCCTGTTCCGATAAAACTGAGGTTAGACACACGAGACGCAGAGAAAAGCTATGTACCATAGAAACGAAACGATAATGAGTCCCCAGCAGTGTTACTCCAGTGAGCGGTGCTCTGATATGTGCCAGTAGAATAGTCGAACTTGGTGGGATAGAAGGCTACATTGGACCAATTGCCAGAGAATGTTATGTCAGGGTCATAATCATCGACGATGACAGTGCGCCCTTTCATCTGCGTCGATGAACCTGCTTGGACGGTCAAATAGTCAAAAGCAGGGTGTAGCTCTTCGTGGCCGATGGCATAAATAACAGTGTGTTCCCCATCGTGCAGGAGGCCGGAGGTGTATATGCCATTGCCATACTCAATGAGTGCACCGGCAGAGTCCATGTTCACCGTATAATTCTGCCCATACTCCGTGTTGGGGGAGAATATGTACACCTTGGTACCTGCACACAAGATCGGGTGAGATAACGCCTGGCAACATGAAGGACATAGCCACCATTAAACTTGTACTGGAACCAACCATCTGCACAGTTCGTGCTGGCTATTGATGTCCAGGTATCGTGGAAGTACGAATTAGTGACCCTCTGATGCGTCGATGCACACAGGTACCCGATAGCGCTGTCACTATCGTCCACGATATAGGTGACATTGCTGGATACAGACATGATTGACTCGGTGGGAACTATCCTGTAGATAACCTACCACCAAATATTCTGGTGACATCATGTCCCGTGCTCCCAGGTGGTACACTCGCAAGGTTCGCTGCTTAAGGCTCACTCTCACCATGTCTGCGAAGATAATAAATCTTGAATCTCGAGAACCGAGAGTTGCCGAGGTATCACCAGATAAGTGAGATCCCAACTGGTAGGGTGTCTTCTAACCGATGGAGAGGTGTTTACTCCATGACGAACAGTCGCCACAAAGTCGAACATCCTGGATGAAAAAATAGAAGGGGCATTCAGGTCGAGAAGGTAGGCGCCAGAATTCGAAATACAGCAGTCCGACCTTCGCAGACAAGCCCCGATCACCATACTAGTACATATACATTGATTGGCAGACCGAAAGCTACTAATACATGTTCTATGACCAAGAAACGACGTTCAGTATCAAGATTTCCAACGTTCCCGACGTTTCGGGAAACTTATATACTGAGAATTTTTCTACTCAGCGCTTGCGCTGGCAACAAAAGCGTTAAAGTTATATGTCTGTGGGCTGCCTTGGAAGGTAAAGCTGTCGGCGCTCAGCTCAACCACAGTCTGGTTGTCTCTGACAATTGACCCTTTCATGGTATCACCGGCGCTGATAGGAACAGAGAGCTTGCTTAGACCGGCAGGAACATCAAATGTTTGTGACGAAGAATCTGAAGTGCTCAGCGTCACAGATGACGGAGCAGTGGTGAGGACGACAGCCCACACATAATCTTGGAACTAAAGATAACATGAGTACCTGAGGAGATAGAAATGCGCAAGATGCGCACCAGTTGGTAATTGGTGGGCTGGGGTACAGAATCAGGTGCCTCTGCAGCAGCTGGATGAGGTCGCGACCACATGTAGATCTGGTCCTTCTCGATCGTCGGGTAAGTTCCAGTCTTGAAGGCGGAGGCATAATATGCAGTCAACCCCAACCATGCTGTAAGGTATTCAATATTGCAAGTTGTAACGGGTTACACTCAAACATACCTGTGTGGTTCATACCGTCCGTCCACGCTTCACTGTTAGGTTGAGCACCCTTAATGGGCCCAATGTAATGAGATTCGCCGTAATCGTTCCAAGTGTTTATCTCTGCGATGCTGATAGAATCCCTAGATTCGATCAAGGACTCCCAGCGCCGGGAGTATAGGTGATCATCAGATAGGTAGACGAACTAGATAAAAAGTAAGGAAATTGAACGGACACAAACATTTACAGCACTGACATTTTTGTTGTAACTATCGGGACCATAGTGTGTGAAGAACCAAGGAGAGACAGCAGCTATGTATGCAAGCTCTGAACTGGACTCATCTCGAGAGGATAGTCCCTCTGAAAGGGCTGCCAATCCTTCAAGATGTTGTTGATCTGTTTCCGTCGAGCCAATGAACTGACTGAACACCGATTCGATGGTGGATGTCGCCGAAACCACAGTAGCTACAATCAGGGAGGCGTTGCCTGTACTCTCGCTGGCAGTAGAACTTGTATTCGCCAAGATCGCATCAGCAACAGACGTCGTCAAATCAACAGGCCAGCCAGAATTCCACTATAAGAGTACAGGTGAGTAATGGGTAGCGGGTATATGAAAATTTGGAGGTTAACTGACATTATAATCTCCGTCCATGACATCTTTGTAATCCGAGAAGGTCGATGGGTCCACGAAGAAGGACGGAACAAAAAAGATCTGGCCTTGAAGGTCGGAATGTTGAACAAACTGAGACTTCCAACCCTCTGCAACGCTGCTCTGGCCGAACGTGCAAGTTTCTCCGGAGAATGTGGAGACTAATGCACGGGAATCATACATGAGCTGATTACTATGCGTAAGATACGTCTGAACCCATGATCGTATCGACTGGGCATTATCGGCCGTTGCACACGCCAAGGACCTACGGAAAGGGTGAGGAAACGCATCGAGGACAATTATTATGTACATACGTCATGTCAAGAGAAAGGAACAGCTTGAAATCCAAACCTGACTGCTGCGCAGCTTCGTATCTAATTGGTGGAATTAGATTGGAGAAGACGGCGACTTCAGTGAAACACACGTACGCAGCAGCAACTTGATCTTTTTGAAAATCGTCGATGCCAACGTTCAGGGCAAAGCCATCAATTCCAGATGCAGAAGCGAGAGATATGTCTACTGCCCAATCATCGGACGTGTATGGGTACGTGTTGCCAACCATATGATGCGCTACGACAAATTTTCTTGTGGAGTTGTCAGATGAAGAGGCAGTTGCAGTTGAAGACGAGGAAGTGAGTGTTGCAGTATTGACATCTGAAACCGGAGTGGTTGACGAAGCTACTTCCATCGCCGACGAAGAAATAGTCGTAACGGTATTAGATGCTGTTGAAACGAGAACCGTCGACGAGGCAGTTAGAGGTGCAGTCGAAGAACTGAGTGCTGCGCTGTCTGTACTATCAGAAGCTGTCGAAACGGAAAGCGTCGATGAAGCCGCTGAGGATGAAGATGGTCTTATTATACATGACGATGCAGACGCAGCGACGGATACAGACGAGGCGGGCGTCAAGATAGAGCTAGCTACCGACAAGGAAATAGTGGAAGAAGGGGATTGTCGAATTCGAAGTTTTCTGTTTCTGCCTTGGTGGAAGTGCGCCCGTCTGAAAGGAATGGCAAGGGCATTAGCGAACGTGATGAAGATCAGAAGCCGGAGAACGAATGTGAAGAACAGCATCTTTGAAAGAATGTGGGTGACTGGCGCAGCCGAATGTCGAGGAGGAGATGATGGTAGTAAAAAAGAAAGAAGAGAGGGAAATCCGGAGGGAATAAGTAGGAGAACAATACGTACTGAGGTCCGAATAATGGCTTCGCATGGTCCCCGACGCGTCAGTTCCTTTTGACAATGGTTACAATAGTCGACAATTACGCGGCTGACTCAGCAGCGTTGATAGAGCGCGGAGGCAAGCAGACGCAAATATTATAAATCGCGTGTGATGGGTTGTGTAGCGCGCGGACCGGCGCGTTTTTGAATTTCGTCCCACCGGCGCGCATATGTATCGCCAACCGTCAAAGACACTTTTGACAATGACTGGGCCCATTACGCCGTCGCTGTCTCCCCCACAGTCCCCTTCGTTCTTTTCTGCACAATGGCGAACTCCAGGTTCGGTGCCACTGCAAAAGCGCCGCCGTCTGTCTACACCGGGACGGGCTACTTCGTCTTCAGTGCAAGACCAGCCTATCGGTTTTGACCAGGCAAAGGCCGAGTCTGAGAAGCGCCTGCTGGACGCATGGGATCGGCTTGCAGAACGCTACTCTCGGAGAATCGACGAAGACGACATTGTGGACCTCGTCACAGGCGATGTGATCAAAGATAGAGGGGTCCTAAGATCCATGGAACGGTGGGAAGTTGGACGATTCGCCGATGAAGATGGGGAAAACGATGATAGGATGGCTGGAGAGGAAGAGGACGTCCTTGAGGAAGAGAGCACAGACGAGCTGGATTGTCTTGGTGATTCTGTTGAAGAGGCTGATCTTTCACTTCTGGGGCGATCTGTGGTACCTTCCCAAGCTATCGATCCTGATGATCCTGATGATGCAGAGCTTTTAAGGGAATTTTCAGAGGCAGAGAGGCGTCGGAAGGAGACATGCGGCAGCGAGGAAGAGGATGTGCATACGACTGACGAAGCAGACCACCGTACGGACGGTGATGATGAGACGGAAGGCGAAATACGGGTTCTGGAGAGCGTGCCACATATACCGAATCAAGATCACGCCTCGGACTCTGACGATGATTTCTGTCCATGGGGCGAAGATGTCGTTTTGCAAGTAGAAATGACAGAAATCAAGGATGTCGAGCCCGATGTCGTCCCTGTACTTCCATCTTCTACCCCTACTGCCCCACCTTCTCCAAGTAAACCCTATAAGGCTTTGCGCAAATCTATGTCTCCTGCAAAACCAACCAAAAAACTGCCTCCTCCTCCTCAGCTTCAAACACCTCCTCGATCGTCTTCGTCTGTTCCACCTGCTGAGGTCGAGGACGTTAAAATCCCATCTCCGTCCCATTCATTTACACCGGCGCTTCCTGAGCCCAAACGGCCCGTTTCGCGTCCAAGAACGCGTTCGAGTGGACCCGTACCTAGATCACTCAAATCCTGGACCCCTTTCCGCGTCCAAGACTCCGAGACGCCACCTCCTCGTTTAGACTTATCTAAGATGAGTGGAGGAAGCAAGCGCCCTTCCGCGATAAAGGCATCGAAGAAGGCAAAGTTACAGGCGGGGGTCGCAGAAATTCACCAACTGCAACCTGCAGTGCCGAAGAGACCTCTTAAAGCAGAGGTTGTCATTGTCAAGCGGTCACGGTCACAATCTCGGGCGAGGGAAGTTCAAGTAGAGAGAGAGAAAAGGACAGAAAGGGAGAAACAAATACCCCAAGGAAAGGGGAAATCAGTGTCAACTCCAGAGAACGTCGAGGAAAAGAAGGCGCCTCAACGAAGCAAGGTTCATAATTTGGACCTCAGTTACGATAGCGATGATTCTGATGTAGAGAGTGATACATCTCTTCCAAGCTCTCCGTTGAAGAGCAAGGGTAAGGCAGTCACTTTTCCCACAAGCCGAAGGCGAAGTCAAGCTCCCTGGAAGAGGACCGAAGACTTAGTATCAGTAGACGAAGGTGGAACACGAAAGCGCAAACGGGTTTCAGATGTACACGTTGATCCTGGTCCTTCGAAGCCTGACATTTCCTCGCGATATTCTAGACCTGCTACTCCTACTCCGGTCAGTGATCGTGAATCGTCTGTGGAAGGTGGGTTCGTATACTTTAGCCTTCTTATCGTTCCTTATCTATTCCCGTAGAAATCGAGAGGCCTCCTAAGCAAAACATTACACCGAAGCAACGGTCCAAGACGAAGCGCAAGTCACCTGAATCAGAAAACGAGATATATTCATTCAATCGGGATTTACCAGATGCCACACCTCGACGGTCGCAGAGTTATTTTAACCCTCTGCCTCCGTCTGAACATTATTATCCATACTCTCCCGCCTACCCGCCAAGGGAACATGGACATTACGTGCCTTTGTATGACCCTCGAGCGCAGTACATCATTTCTCATGCGATGCATCAACTCTCTGCTTTGGCCGGCTCTTGGCCAGGGGTTGAGCATCACCCGCCGCCGCCAGTACCTCCACCATATACACCCAGACGTCATCACGGCTTTTCCAGCTCTGCGTCCAGTTCCATGTACAATACGCCCACTCAACGCATGCATCCTTACCCTTACGAGTATGACCCCAATCTATCAAGTGGCACTCTACCGCCACCATCGCCTGATGTGCAATCGTCACCGGCCCCCGAGAGAGTACAGGCTTCCAACCGGGCGGGCTCCTTGGTGGCAAGAAGTCGGTCAAGAGGAAGGCGCGTATCGTTTCGGATCGAGGAGGAGGCGGACATAGTAGAGTTGGATTCTAGACAAGTGTCATCATCACCGAGTGTGCGCAAGCGGAAAGACGAGTGTCACTCTGTCAGGCAGGACAAGGGGAAAGGGAAAGAGATCCTTCAATTCGAGGAGGTGATTGATGATTCAGAGTCTGAACCGGAGCCCATAGAAGAGCCGATTAAAAGGGGGCGTTCAGTAGGGAGAGCGCAGACGCCCGCACCGCAAAGGCCTTCCACAATCCCCTCCGAACCTTTCAGGAGGGGAAGAAGTCTTTCCGCAAGGCCCATAGACTCTAGGTCAAAGTCCAAGAGGATTCGTTAATTTATTATTGTTATATCTGATTGTATTTTGTACTTTAGTAGCTTATCAGTGGGTCTAAGTATTTCAGCGCGGACATCTTTTTTTCTAGCTGGTACCGAGTTTCTGAAGTTTGACAAATCAGGAATTTGCCGGAATCCGGATCGACAGCTGCGGCTAAGGTTAGGGTTAATTTTTTTGTATCAGACTACGTTCTCTCTCGGCTTCGATTAGGTAGTGATCAGCAATCACCACCTCCCAGGCATGGGACCTGCTCCGCGAGAGCGGCATAACGCAAAATCAAGACAATCTACTGCTGGGTCAAGGAAGAAGGGGAAACGAAAGCATCGGGACGAGGCTGAAACTGGCGATGCCAATGCCTTAATTCACGTGCCCAAGACCAACGAAGAGAGGGAGCTCACACGACGGGAGAAATTGAAGCAGGAGGTCAGGCAATACTCGATTATTCAAATTCTTTCAACGTTCTCATTTCTCAAATAGCTCATTGCTGAAGGCGACAGCAAATGGAATAGCAAGAAAAAGAAGCGTCTGGAAAAATACATTGTTCGTTTGAGTTGCTTGGACTTTTTCTCTCTTAATTACGGCAACCACAGGACAAGAAATTAAAGAAGGAAGAGCGGGTTCAGATTTTGGAAAAACTATCGTGCGTGAAGGCTTCGTCTCAGTCGCATTGTGCTTCATGTTTTTTTAGCCAGAGTCAGGCTCAGATCACGAGCACACTACACCTGCAATCTTCTTCTACACTTGGAACTGGAAAGGCGTCGACCCATCGCGAACGCTTAGACAAGCTAGAGGATATCGAGGTCCGCAAGGCACTTGACGGTCGAGCCGGGAAACGTAAACGAAACGACGAATACATGGTAAGAAATGCGGACGAAGACGAAGACGATGACACCGAACTTTACTCTGGGCGTGATGGCCCTTCGGAAGATGAAGAGGTTGCTGAAGTCAAGATAATGGACGTCGTTCACACCGAAGCTTCTGTTCAGCCCGTCGCATCTACGTCTACAGCAGTTGGTAGCGCCCTACAGCGGAATCCGGATGGCAGTGTTATTGCTCCTAGAATTCGTCCAAAGCGACATAAAACAAAGGTAAAAATATCTGTCTCGCTTCGTCATGGACTGACCCAGTGCTTGTGACCAGTCGACTTCCCGTAGTTGGGAGAAATCGAAAGCATTTGCGAAAGAAGACGATTCTGACACGTCATTTGACAGCTCCGACTCTGAAAATGATACCTCGGAAGAGGAGGATACATCGGAAAAGAACATGGCACCGTCCCCGCCCAAGCGAAGCCTTGGTTTCAAAGATTGGGCTATGAAACAACTCGGCACCGCCAAGGGATATAGTACTGCCGAGCAGAACACATCGCTAGCACCCATGGAACCTGGGCCACCACCAAACAAGAAACGAAAACTATACAAAGATTCTGGGCCGACGGGGATGCGTGGACCCTTGGGCGAAGACCTTTCACTTCCCGATACTTCTTTCGCACAGAAACTAAAAACTCCAAGTGAAAGTTCCGCCACTATAACGAAACCCACACCTATATCTATAACGCGTCCTACAGACGTTGAAGAAGCTAGACTTCTCCTTCCCATTGTCTCTGAAGAGCAACCAATCATGGAGGCGATTTTGTTGAACCCCGTGGTTATCATATGTGGTGAAACTGGCAGTGGTAAGACGACTCAAGTTCCACAGTTTCTCTATGAAGCCGGTTTTGGTACGCCTGATAGTGGTATGTCCTTCACGATAGCTTGCCCGTATAAATCTTGACCGATCATTCAGAAAATCCGGGGATGATTGGGATTACACAACCGCGGCGAGTGGCTGCTATGTCGATGGCCTCACGAGTTGCACATGAATTATCTTTAACGTCATCTCGAGTCTCGTACCAAATTCGGTACGACGCAACGGTTTCTCCTTCCACTTCCATCAAATTCATGACGGATGGTGTCCTACTACGAGAGCTGGCAACTGACTTTTTACTCAACAAATATTCTGTCATCATTATCGATGAGGCACACGAACGGAGCATGAATACTGACATCCTTATCGGCGTATTAAGTCGTGTTCTCAAACTGCGAGAGCAGCTATGGAAGGAGGGTAAAGAAGGTGCCAAGGTGGTTGTTGTCAGCCGTAATTACGTACCTCTTTGCTGAATTTCCTTTGTACAGCCGTTGAGACTGATAATTATGTCTGCTACACTCCGTGTAAGTGACTTCGCAGAAAACAAGACCTTGTTTCCAAAACCTCCACCTGTGATAAATGTGGCGGCTCGCCAACATCCTGTGACTATTCATTTCAACCGTCGAACTGTGGCCGATTATGTGACGGAGGCTATTAAAAAGACCACAAAAATTCATACTCGTCTGCCTCCTGGTGGTATTCTAATCTTTTTAACGGGCCAAAATGAGATACAAGGGGTGTGCCGCAAGTTGGAGAATCGATTTGGGCAAAGAGTACTTCAAGAGAAGCGCAGGAGGCGAGATGCACTGCAGGCCAAGTTGCAAAACCCCATGGATCTAGAGGACAGTCAGGATATTCGCACAGTTGGGCCAGCTCTAGGTATGAGGCACGTCTCCCTCTTGATAACTTTCTTCTGACGAAATTCTTTTCTAGCTGACGTTGAAGCTGAAGATTTGGATCTGGGCAATCCCTCTAAGAATGACGAAGATCTTGCCATTGATGTTGATACTGCGGATATGGAAGAGGATCCGGATGCATTGGATACTGACGAGGAAGATGAGTTGGGAGAGGAACTGGGGGTCGAGTTTAATGACAATGATAGTAAGTATGTGCTGTTTTCTCTTCAGGCTCCGTTTGACACTATGTTACAGTGCCGATGCATGTGGTTCCTCTCTATTCACTTTTAGCCAGCGATAAGCAGATGAAAGTCTTTGAACCGCCGCCACCTGGGACTCGTCTTGTTGTCGTTTCAACCAACGTGGCAGAAACGTCGTTAACCATTCCTGGAATTCGATATGTCGTAGATTGTGGACGTGCAAAGCAAGTAGGTTGGCAATTTGGGACTCACAACCGAGATAAAGGTTTGACTTCCTGTGTAGCGTCGATATGATGTCGCCAGTGGCATACAGTCTTTTCAGATTAGTTGGATATCGAAGGCTTCTGCAGCTCAGCGCTCAGGACGAGCTGGACGCACAGGTCCGGGACACTGTTATCGACTACACTCGTCGGCCCTTTTCGAGCACTATTTCGACCCCTTCTCTCAGCCCGAGATACTTCAAATGCCTATCGAAGGTGTAGTACTACAAATGAAAACGATGCATATCGACGCAGTGATCAATTTTCCCTTTCCGACACCACCCGAACGACAAACACTTCAAAAGGCCGAGAAGATTCTCACTCACCTCGCCGCTCTGAAGAATGGAGAGGTCACCAACTTGGGTCGCACCATGTCGCTATTTCCTCTGTCTCCGAGGTTCGCGAGGATGTTGGTAGGTGGTCAACAACAGCAATGTATGCCCTACGTCATTGCTATCGTTTCTGCTCTTTCTGTTGGTGATCCGTTCCTCCGCAACGAGGGCCTTGCGATGAAGGAAGATGGTGGTATTGACGGAGACGATAATAACGATCTTGGTCATCTGAAGAGCGAAAGCGTGAAAGTCAAAGAGGCTCTCCGCCTGCGTCGAAAAGCCTTCTTTCAGTCCCAGCAGACGCACTCCTCTCTAGGGACGGGAACAAGCGACATGTTCCGTGTGCTTTCTGTCGTTGGCGCCTATGAATACGCAGGCGGTGGCTTGAAGTTCTGCGGCGAGCATTTCGTTCGACCGAAGGTGAGCAAGGCCTTCGAAGTTGTACTCTTACCGTGGATTGACAAAATGTACCGAAGGCTATGGAAGAAATACACAAGCTTAGGGCTCAAATCGGTAACATCGTTCAAACCAACTTTCCCGGTGTAAAGGCTGGTTTTGAGCCTAATCTACGTCCCCCCAACAATCTTCAGGTACGTCGCATCGTTCTCTTTTACTTTATTATGCGATATTGATGTTTATTCATTAAGATCAAAGTGCTCCGGCAATTACTTGCTGCTGGATTTATTGATCAAGTTGCAGTAAGGAAGGACCGGGTCGAAAAGGTGTCCTCTGGAACACAGTACGCGTCTTCTAAGGGCGTGCCCTACAAAGTGATCGGAATATCAGAAGATGTTTTCATACATCCTTCATCTGTGCTAGCTTCCAAATCCCCACCGGAGTATGTCGTCTTCAACGAAGTTGTTCGCACCTCTCGTATTTGGATTAAAGGTGTGCGGAAACCATAGCAGCTTTCTCTGACGTATGCTCAACTCGCTTCAGGAGTTACTATTGTCAATCCGGTCTGGCTAGCATCACTGGGGAAGGGATCTCTTTGTACTTTCTCCAAGCCGGTGAAGAATAACGTTGGAAATATGATGGTCATCCCGCGATTTGGACCAGAGGCTTGGGAACTCCCTGCCATCAAAGCCGACTTAGTACTATCATAGCACATCATATCATGGGAACTAGGACAGAGCCCAGTCATTCTTAGCACGCCTGTATTTGTTACATTAGTTTTTGTTTTGAGAATTTACACGAAAAATCGGTGCAGACAAAAGGCTAGTGTCGCGACCGACCTTGTTCGCGTTTTTTTGTGGGATGGCACGTGCCGATGATAGATGGAGTTTCTTCTGACTCGTCTTCATCGATTCATACCGCGATTATCATCTGCACGACCATCTACCATGTCTTTTGTGGACTCTGTATCAAAGCTCAGTGGCTCTGTAAAGGACCTGGTCCTCTCTGCCTCGGACAACAGCATCTCTCTCCTAGGACAAACAGATGCTGATAAGATTGAAGTCGCCGGATGGATTGAAAAAGTCGGACAAGGTGATTTGGTGAAGGAAGACAATTTCAAGGTAAGAAAACATTCCATCGGTTGTTGTAAATGCTTCTCATATTCTACAGACTCTCGATACCCAACTGGTCCCTCGCACATACATTGTGAACAATTACTTGACCGCTGCCGACGTTGCACTATACGGGGCCCTACACCCTACCTTTGTCAGTACCATTTCAATCTCAACTACATTTTCATGCCTAATAATCCAAGTTATCAGTCAAAATTGCAACCAACGCAATACTATTCACATCCAGCTTTGACCCGCTACTTCGACCATATCCAGTCGAGTTCTCCCGTCCGAAAAGCTGCAGATCCACTCTCTACCTTCCCCCTCGTTACATTTGACTTTGCTCATGCTCCTAAAATTGACCGGACTGCTGAACCACCCAAAAAAAAACAGAAAACACCCAGTCCACCAACCAAGGAATCTGCACCACCAGCGGAAAAGCCGTCTAAAGGGCCTTCACCTGCAGCTGAAGGCAAACCTCAGCAGAAAAAAGAGAAGAAGGAGAAGAAGAAAGATGCTGCTACCCAGGATTCTGGAAAGAAAAAGGGTGCTGAAAATGCCTCTGCCGCAGATGAAGGAGAGCCCGTTCCCTCTATGATTGATCTTCGCGTTGGACACATTATTGACGGTGCGTGTCTGTTTCCTCGACTAACCTCTTTTTACTTATGTCTGTGTAGTTAAGAAACATCCCGACGCCGATGGTTTGTATATCGAACAAATTGACATCGGGGAAGAAACGGGTCCTCGGACTGTCGTTTCCGGTCTTGTGCATTATATTCCTATCGAAGAGATGCGAGACAAATACCTCATCGCTGTTGTGCGTGGATTCATCCCTTATACCGAAATTCGTGTTTATTCCTTTACCAGTGTAACCTGAAGCCGGCCAACATGCGTGGGGTCAAGAGTTTTGCGATGGTTCTTGCCGTGAGTTCAGCGTATCTGATGCTACCACCTCAATAATGGTAGCTTTCTTGCTAGGCAACCCACAAAGACGGTAAAGACGGCGGCATTGAGTTGATTCAACCTCCTGCCAACTCGAAGCCTGGTGATCGAGTGTATTTCGAAGGCGAAGAGTTTGAGAGTAGGTTGTGCTATTTGACCTCATTTACAGTGAATAACCGAACAAAATAGACGCGACGGCTCTTTCTCAATTGAATCCAAAGAAGAAGATTTTTGAGACCATTCAGCCTGGTGAGTGGTCGTTTGGCATATCTGTATTACGTGATGGCTCAAGTTGTCTGAAGGTTTAATCACGTTGGAGACCAGAGAGGCGGCGTGGGTGAACCCTGACACGAAGAAAGTACACCGAATTAGAACTAAAGAAGGAGTGTGTATCGCCCCAACCTTTGTGGGCGCATCATTGTCGTAGTATCGATACCCTCGGCGTCGTAGGATAAGTTAGTAATGTCAATCATCTAATTGCACGATTTTTTTTGCGCCGCACTTGAGTAGTGCGGTCAGAGGGGTATGGTGGGATCGAAGAAATTTTGTGCCAACTTGACCAATGGGGAGCCAGTACCTCCATCTACCTAATTTTTGAATCAGGCTAATCTTGACGGAAATCATGGGAGTCACATCCGATACGTTCTCGGTCGTTAGAGAACGCAAATTTTAATAAAGAAAATTCAAAGTCGATAATCTCGACTCTGTCCAGGAACACGTGGCTGTGCAAGTTCAGCCCTTTCTTTACCATGTTTCTTCGCACTAGGACCGCGATCTGTATACGACCCTGGACCTAATGTCGGACACTACTCTGTCCGCAACGTTCTCTAAGCAGTGGCTGTATACTTATCGCATAATTTCTTCCCAGCAGTGGTTGTCTCAACGTAAGGCACCGGCTCTTTCCGATTTCTTTTTGGAAATTGTCGTCGGAAGCTGATGTCGACGCGCTCAAGTACTCGGTAGCATGCCCTGACTCCCGTTTTTCCTTCTTGTCTGCCCACCATGTCCTCGACTTCAGATGCTAGCTCACTCGCGGTTGTCGAGAAAACTTTTGGCGTCCTCTTCATCGGTTTTGTGATTTCGATGATAGGCTACGGTTTTACTTTCTTTCGTGCGTATTTTCTAAAGGCCATTAATTACAAGCCTGAATTTGAGCCTCCTTTGTAGAGACATACCTCTATTTCAATAGATACGACAAAGATAGTTTCGGATTGAAGGCAGCTGTAAGTTCTTTTTCCTGTCCGCTGCAATGTTGTCACTTACATGTACATCTTGAAATACAAGGTTGCTATGCTATGGTTGGTACCTCCAATTCAGGAACATCTCTCATGCCTCATCCGTCGTATCCAGGACATTGGACACCATTTCATCTGGCCTGAGTAAGTCTCAGCTTCTTCGTTCTAAGCGCGTAACTTATGTGTTTGGTACAGTGTCGCAGTCGTAAGTCAAAACGCTTCCCTGTTACCCTACTTTGCGTCCTAAACAAAATAGGGTTTATTATTATCTTGTCACGACGTTCCCTTATGGTACCCAGATGACAGACGCGACCAGGTAACTTTCCTCGCACCTTCATTGCCTTTTCCCATTAATTTACTTGTTGTAGAACCTTCTGTGTACGTTCCTTCTCATATTGCTGCGTCGTCTTATTAAGCATCGATGTCACCCCTAGGTTGAAACACTTTTTTCCGTGAGTCCTTCAGTTCCGTTCCGCGTAGTATCGTCGCGACTGACAGCAAGTCTAGGCCCTTTCGATATTCATGGTCCAGCTGTAAGCTTCCTTTCATCGATGGCCCATCCGCTTATTCATCGTATGTCAAAGGTTCTATTCGACCCGGGTATGGAAATGTAGGTACTGCTATGTTGTCGTCCTGACGGCCACCTCACTCCGGCTTTTTTTCAGTGGGCGGAAGTGTATTCTCTGTTTTTCCAATTGTAAGTTCGATATCTGGCTCAGATTATCGCCAACGAGCTCATATGAATCTGAAACCAGTGTCTTTTGGCCACCGTCGGGTTTGGTGAGTGCCTCTCGAGCGCTGCGCCGAGCTGTCAAATATAACATCAAATTTCCAGGTCTTGAAATCGGTATGTGGGCTTTCTTTGACCCGCCGTCGTCAACGATAACACCGATTTTGAATAGCCGTGTCAGCTTTGATGTGAGTGTATACCCTAAACGTGCAGTAGAGTTCTTCGATACTGACCAGACAAATCAGGTTCGTGAATCCCGAATTCGAACATCTTTATGCACCCTCGGTCAAAGTAGGCGTTCGACTGTTCTGCTTGTCTCACATGATGTCGAACATTGGTTTAGCCAGTTGTCGCCGCGGCCCAAACAATAGTATTCGGTGCTGCCGTCTATACCGTGGGGGCCCTCACGTTCTTCTGCCAGTGGGCTGACAACACGCCGTATGTATCAACTAGCATTCTCATGGACCTTCAATCAGACGGTATCACTGACGCAACACTAGCATTCAAGGATGGTTCAATCAAGTCAAGGCCCTCTGCTTTTCTCATGGACTTGTGGCAGCAGCAATGCAGCTATCGTATCTCATCGCGGTATACTCTCTTTCTAGGAAGTTCTCTCTCAATTTCTGATACTTGTCTCTCTAGTTTGTCGCGTCGCCCACTTACTTTATCTGGATTCCGTTCCATTTATTGACCACAAAACGTGTGTTCTATCTGCATTCTTCAAGTAGAAGACACTTTCTAATGAAATCGACACTAGTGTTCATCAACTGTTTACTGTTTATGTAAGTACATTGGAAGCAAACAATCAAGCAAAATTTATACGGTATACCTAGGTTGAACTCACGACAGTCCTACCATGGTCATGGTCTTGACCACGAGGATAGTAGCACATCATCGCCTAGCAATTCCCATGTGATCACTACAAAGAGAAAGGGTAAAGCGGATGTTCATTATAATATCCCCGACACCCGTACACCCATCAATATCGAAGTGGCTCGTACTGTAGAGCACGCTGTTGATGAAAGGAAGGCCAAAGCTAGCGGCGATTCCACCTACGACGATGAAATTGTGGGTTCTCTATGTTCCCCTCCACATGACGGACTGAGATTTTCTCTGGTAGACCGAATTTGATTTCCAGATTCACAAGAACGAGTTCGCCGTGAAGGCCTCTTGAATAAAGAGTGTATAACCCCAGCAGTGCCAGCGGTTATTATTAAGTAGTGTTCTATCTTCATGTGTGTTTTATTAGGGCAGCATTTTTTGTTCCTTTAACCTCAAACCTCTCATTATGCAAAAGGCTGGTTCATGTCGGGTTCATGATGTATGATTGTTGCATACAAATGAGACGGCAGGAATAAATCTTAATCATTGAGCTTTCAGGGCGCATTCGTGTCTGATTCTTACATCCTGGGCCTTCTAACAGAGGGTTGTTTTTTATTGAATACATCTATACTCAGCTGCCATTTTCCCGTGCTCGAGAGTTCGTTTCCATGGCCATTGAATCAGTCTCCTTGTATTGGGCGAAGGCCTGAGTGAAAATACCCAATTCAAGGCAAGAATGGTGATGTTTTTTCAAGCTAGCCATCCCATCGCCATTAGAAACCGGGTAACATTGAAGGCGGCGAGTAGCAGGTGGTTGTGGTACAAAAGACTTCGGGCTTACACTGTGACAAGACATAAGGAGAAATCCACCACTAATTTATTGCCGGGGTATTATGCTAGAATGCGAGCACTAACTGGAAGAGACAGATGCTGTGAAGTAGCCTCAGCGTCTACGCTAGAGCTCAGGCCGCCGCCTCACACTCGGTAGACTGCTCATCACAATCACCCACAGTGATATCGGCACTTCCACTATTTGCGGCATCGGCACATGCATTATGCTGGATGGAACATGACCTGGTGAGAGCAGCACCAACGTTGAGGAAATCATCAGAGCCTGAAGCAGCAGATTTTAGTATCCCATCTGATGAGATAAGTCACCAACGTCTTACCTTCAACCACAAATCCTCGGCCGCCCGCTGTCACAGCAGGTGCTGCTATGCCCCCAACTATAGATAATCGATCTGAGTTCATGCAATTTGCACATCTCATAGAAAAGGCAACTCACGAGCTCCGGTAAAAGTCTGCAGGTTTGTACCGGTCGTATCAGCGGCGGAACCTGCAGCGGCACTGGAAAACAGGGATAAACCAAAATACAATTCAGAACAAGGCACCAACGTACGAAGCAGTAGCAGTAGAGTCAGAGCGAGCTGCGACGGTAGCAGTGGCGGCTGAAACGAACACGAGAACTAAGAGAAGTTCAGAAGGCCAAAAATACCAGACGCACATGTGGCATCTGCTGTGGACGTGGCAGAATCAGCAGAGGCGGCACCGGAAGCGTTGCTTGAGTCGTCAGTTGTATCACTATTATAGAATCTTTAGCATATCAGTGCAATGATGCCAGGGGCCGAACGCACCTCGTGCCTCCCGTTGCCGCAGCGTCGATTTCATCGGCAGTAGCGTCTTCTACCAACAGATTCTGGGTGAAGATACAGCCGACAGGGTCGTTGGCGTCATCGCAGGTGTTGCCAGCAGCAGTCGGGTCTCCGATCTTACCAGGCGCGAAAGTGCCAGATTTAAGGGCATCTTGTGCGTTGCCACCGACAGCAGCGATCTGTTGTGCGAGTTCCAACACAATGGCCTTGTTTACGGCTGCAGCATTGTCTGAAGCGGGGTCCTACGCCTCTTTTAAACATCATCGTCGAGCGTATATCCAAAGAGAAACAAACCTGGTGCTGTTGAATGGCAGCGATCTCGGGGTTCACAGCTTGGATACTGGTGCAGGCATCGGTAGTTGCACCAACGGACCCTGAATTCCTCTCCAGAGCTCGGTAGATCAAGGCAGCAACCATGCCGTCGACATCTCCCGCGGCCTTCGCATTCGTGAAGGCCTGGTCCGCTGTGGCCTGTTGGAGACATGTTGCATCCTAAACGATGGTGATAAGCTTCAGGTTTGGATAATTAGTATGCAATGCTTACGGCGATGTTCCCCGCACCGGCAATAGCAGCAGCATTACCCAAGAGACCAAATACAGGGTCTGTAATGTTGTCAGGATTGTTAAGCGCCAGGCTTGCCCCGACAGTAGTTAAGAACTGTTCATGAGAATGCTCTACGAACAGAACAAGTATAAGAAAGCAATTTAGTATTAGGCTGAACATGCTTTTACCCTGAGGCACCTCTCGACGATAGATGGGTAGAGCCAAGGCAGACACTGAAAGCGAACCAAGCGCGAAGAGGGTCTTTGAAGAGATCATGTTGCAAAAAAAAAAATACGACTGCAGGATTAAACGAATGGGAACGCCCGCGACTAGGACGCGCACGAGATGAGTGGGAAGATTCGAGTGAAAAAGGGAAATCCTACAAATGAATGAAAAGGAAGAAAACGCTTGAATCTAGCAAGAACCTGTCTTGACTGGCAAAATAAAAAGTGGAAGAAGTTAAGACGAAAAGAGGTCAGACCCAGCCTTATAAGTGGGAGACTTCACAGGGGGTATCGTTTGTTCCATGATGCAGGGAATATTGTCCGTTGCTATGAGAGCGTATAAGACCCAAGAATTACCCCCGCGAGCGGCGAAATACAATCATGATCTCGGAAGTTTGTTGTTGGCATCTAGGACGGATTCTGGTGCTTGCCACTCCTAGTCACACCTAAAAACCAATTAGTTCATGCAAGGCATTCGAACAACGAAGAGCCAGGCTGCTTCTTTGTACTTTCATGCTGATTGCGTCAAGCAACTTGGAGATTTCGGCGAGATCCTGATCATGATTTTGATCCTCATCACCGATCAACTTGAACGTGGTCATCCTGCAGCCTCATGCGTGTGAGCGTACTTAGCAAAAAGAATTGTGCCAGCTCCAGAGAACCAGTAAACTAGCTCATATTGTTGTCTCGAAGGACAACCCGCAATGTCCTACAGATCCCGAGGATAAAATCTGCCTGCCCTAATGTTACGCGCCAAGACAACCGTAGGAAGCTTACCTCACCGTCACAAACTGGAAGTGGGATGATACAAATTGTTGAATAATCAGTGCGACACACATCAAGGCCTAAGATCAGATATGGCGGAAGCGTGAGAGTTGTAAGCCAGAAGAGAATGCCAAAAATTCTATAGGTTCTTTACTACACTGTACGAACAGAAGTCGACTCTTTCTTTGATAACGAGTGTAAGTCTTGTTCTGTGTTTGGAAGACAGTCAGTCAGACATTGGCGAGAGAGACAGAAAAACTCACGAATACCCCACACGTGTGTACGCAAGTCCAAAAATTCTGTCGGACAAGATGAATCCATGGAGTTGGTACAGGAACCACTGATGGTTGCGTACCAACATGAAGACCGCCGTAAAGCTTTTTCAACTCGGCGCGAACCCTTGAGATGTCCTCCTTGGACGCAGAGGCATCCGACAGTGCTTTCAAGTCCTTCTCAACAGCCTCAATTCGCCTGACCTGTGCGGTGACCTGTGATGGTTGTTTCATCGGCCTCGCCGGACATTGCAGGAAGAAAGAAACACACGGCTTCGGTGCTTAACTGCAGCTGCTCCACGCTAACTTGAAGAGCTGCCGATGCTTGCTTGAACTCCTCTAGTAGGTGATACGCCGCGAACGAAGAAGCCAAAGAGAAACCAAAGAGAAAGCCGACAATTCTACGAGCACATCAGGAAACTATAAAGGTGTAAGGATAATAAAATGTGAACGCACCCGCCGCGGAATCCTCCTACAGGTTTCTTTTGAGGAATGCCGACAGGTGTCTCATTCATGACTACTCTCGTCGTCGAGAGCAAGCGAGAACGACAGACCAAAGCATTGGTCCTTGATATTGATGCAGGTCGGAGCAGAAGAGAGGCCATGATAGGTTCGACGTCGATGTTGAGGCCTTGAGGTTCGGAACGTGTCGGGCATGTGACCGGGAAAGTCCCGATGATGAGCTGAGCGCTTTCAGTGGTTATGCTCTCCTCAAGCAGTCGTAATCCAAACAATATGGCCCAGAAACGTGCAAATGCCGGCGAAAGCATTTCTGGACGTGAAAGAAAAAAGCTGAAGATGGCTGATGCGCGTACAATTGCAGTTCAATCGAATGTAGAAGCAGGATCCTCCAGAATGGATAGTACGCACCCCCAAAGCCATTAGTTGGATTCTTTTATTGATATTCTAGCAGGTATGGCTCGTCTTCCAGGCGTTATCGATGTCGAGGCGTTCACAGAGGTTCGGGCTTTTGTTCATCGACGGGATCTCACTTGTTGATAGTGAACTAGGCTCGTTCGTTTGAGATCAATGCCATGCAGAATGCTATGAAGACGGCAAGGTAATAGCTATTCGGCTTTGACTTTATCGAAGCTAACAGATCGATCAGCTCGAGCTCAACTCAAAGGGCGTGGCAAGCCTTGCCCCGACACTTGCGTCGTAGAGCTGCGAGTCATGATGTTCGCCGAGTGCCACTTCGTTTACGCGAAAAGGCAAAGGCAGAGGCGCGTCGCGTACATATTCCAATTTCGACCACATACTAATCATGTTCGCAGATGGATATCAAAAAGGTCATCAATCGCCAAAAGCCAAAGCGTGGAAAGGATAAACGGGTTTCTAAAACTGAGTCTTTTTTGAAGCGTCAGAGTAAGCTCTTATGGTGCTCTCCATGCCCAATGCAAGTCTGACGTTTCTCGTCTAGAGGACAAAACATGGCTAGAGACTCACCTTTGGCACGCTAAAAGAATGAAAATGGGAAACATGTGGGGCTACCGACTGGTACGATTTTCCATCGTATCATTTGCATAAGGGTTTGACTCCTTTAATAGGCTATTCATCCCTCGGAAAAGGCCTTTCGTCCATCTCACCGTGCCGCGATTCGCGGGTCCATTCTTCATGATGCCTCATACCAGTCCTTGATCGAACTGCAAGGTCCCCAAAATGTTCTCACAAGAATAATGGACAATTGTTGCGACCCTCAAGAATTGAGCCCGAGTAATAGGCGGTACGCTCATATCTTCTATTACAAGTAGATACTCGTTTATGTCTATTAGGTACGTTCTTGGTGCGCGCACCTTGTCCACGCACATGTATCTACCAACTCTGTATCCCCATGGTCTCATCGCTCCCATCACCGTTATGTGGAGACCATTCACTAGGGATAAGTCTGGTGCGGCTCAAGAATCGGCAGAAACCAGTGCAGAGCTCCTTCAGGCAAAACGAAAACGGAAAGGGAAAGGGAAAGGGAAAGAAAAGGCCACCGAAGAAACAGACATTCCGAACGAAGATACGATTCGTGTGGTCTGGATTCGTTCTCATCCAGCAACCCATGGTGAGGTTTTTAATGCTCTTCAAACAGCTACTTCATCGGTGTTGGATCGAATCAACAAAGAATCGACGTCGGATCAGGTCGTGGATGTTGAGATTGCTGACTTGAGAGGAAAGGTCAACATTTTTGAAATCATGGGGCCAAAATCTAGTCAAGTTCTTAAAGGTGCTTTACAACCTATTGCCTCGGACGATCGAACCAGTTTCAAAGAGGTATAATTATTCACACTCGCTGCTACTGTGTTGATAATTTGAGCAGTTCTGGTCCTCCTTGGGTGATATCCAAACTACCGGTAGTTTGCCTCGCGGAATGATAGTTGGATTTACTGCAAATGACCCGAGGCTCAAGTTCGTGTGACTTCTAATTGTATCCTTGATGTCCTGTTACTGATTTTGTCCTAGATTTCCTCCAAAAAACTCCAAGCTTAACATATCCACTGCTTTGAATATTCTCACCATGCCCTCATCCGCATTGGCGCAAAGTGACGTCTGGGACGAAACCACTCGGAAGGCTTTGAAGACACCTAGATACAAGAAGAAGGATCTCGATGAAAGGCGCTCGAAGGTACTTCCATGCATATATTCAGCCTCATACGCTCTTATCTGTTCTCTGACAGAATGCTATCCCCGGAACTCATCTTACTGCTCTCCGTCAAGACGACCGTGTTCCTGTCATTCTTATCCAGCGCTCACTGGAAAATACCTCCAATGGTGAAAAACATGTTCTGGGACGCGCCGGAGACGGCGAGGCCATTCATGGCTGGACCTTGATAATTCCTGCGGGGTGGTCCATGGCATTCTTTTCTTCTCTCACATACACGGGCACTCGTGTCGGCGGACAACGCGAACGTCAATCGCAGGCATTCGAATCCGGAGTCTCCTATTTTCCTCGAGATTATCCATTCACAACCGCATATGAAGAGTATGCTCGAGAATGCGAGTCCGTGGCGAAAGAGAGCTGGGAGCGGAAGCCCCCCGCGAAGAGACCGAACTACAAAAAACTTGGAACAAAAAATCCTTGGCGTGCTAATTGGGAAGCTGTTTTGGGGTTATCGGAAGGGGGCGCGGGTGATGGCTATGTCAGTACGCAGAGGGAAGAGGCAGGCAAAGCCATCCCTTGGCTTTTACGCGGTCCTACGGCTATCATTAATAATCTCTCAAATCTCTTCAGCCCCGATGTTGGTCTCCTAGCTGAGGTGAACCGGGTTCGATTGAAACGTGGTCTGAGACCTCTCAGCAGCACAATTAAGTCTGAAGACTTGCTGAAAGGAGCTTTGGTTGCTGTCAAAGTCAGGATGTACAAGCGAGGTTTACCGGATGATCTGGCGATCATATATTCGATGTCTGATGATGAACTGATTAGCTGGGAGAAGTCGACTCGTAAGTCTGTAACAGATCTCGTGGAAGATGATGGTGCTTCCGAGGTAGGCTCTCAGAACCATTGTTTTGTCCCTTGTCTGAAATACTATTAGGAATTGGGATACAAGCCCGAGTCTTCACCCATCATCGGGTACGTGACGACCGGTCATTTCTCGCTCTTGCGAGGAGAAGGGTTTGCACTAGGTGCCATTCCGCTAATGAGATTTCTCGAGTTAAGAGATCAAGCGCGAAGGTAGGTTTTTTTGTGTTCCTCAATTTTCAAACATTTGGCCTTTTCTCCACAGACTATGTTTCAAATCGGAGTCCGTTGTCGCGGTCAAAATTCGCAATCCGGCCTCAGAGTCATGTCGAGCAGCTTACGTACAAATTACAGACCTATAGTTGTAAATCAAATTCAATTTGGACTGCCTTTGGGGTGTCCCGCTCGTCGTACGAGGAGAGAACCATTTTAATCACTACTTATACCGCCACTACCGGATTACGATAGCTGGTAACTCATGAGGTTCTTGCTGATCTTTCCAGACAGTGCACATCTTCGTCAAGGTCAGAGCACAATGAGCTCCGAGAAGAGAATTTTACATAGATATTCAAATTGTACATGCTAAACACCGCATTATGGGAACACTCATAGCCGTAAGTTACTGACACTCGACCCAGTCAGACAAGGTATTAATACAGAGAACAACTTCCAGAGCATCTGAATACATAGAGGGATAAGTACTGACACTAGGATGGTATATCTAGTGGGGAGAATCAAGAAACACACAAACATAACTCTTCCTCTCATCTTTCAACTACTGACCACTTGACGACGCAGCCGTGACAGAAGGTCCCGGTAACAGGCTATCATATGCCGGCGGAATTTCACTCGGACCAGCATCCTGGTGCTGGATGACATCGCCTGAGCCGCTCGCGTAACGATCGTCCGGATTAACGACGCCCATGTGTTGCCTCGCCTCACGCTCTTTAGCCGACATTCCACCCACGCCGCTCGAAGACGGAGCTGACGGAGGAGCCTGAACCTGTGGTTGAGGTTGCAGCTGGGACTGGGGCTGAACACCGGGTATCAAAGACTGTGGTATTGGCGTGGAATATGGATTATACAGCGTAGGGTGTGGTTCCGCTGAATACTGCGCCATCGGTGGCGGGGATGCAGGCAAGGCATTGTAATAGTTCCCATAGCTCTGTCCTGAGCTTCCATGGCTATTGTCGGTGCTCGCGCTCATAGGGAATGGCGAAACCACCCCAGCACCGATGTCCGTCCCCCCAAGCCGCCCACCCATACCGTCATCCTGATCCACGTTGACACCAACGTCCGGGGGCCGCGCCACTCGGTCGGGGTCGAAGTTTCCATCAAAGAGATCATCGAAACGCTTCTTTTGGTGACGTTTGTAGAAGAACCAGACGACAACGAGGATGAGGGCGAGACCGGCTACACCACCTACGGTACCACCTACTATGGCACCTGTATTTGATGATGACGATGACGATGAAGAGGATGAAGACGAGGATGCAGAGGCTACGGCTATAGTGGACGTAGATGTCACCTGCTCTCCGTTTGACAGGGTAACGACTATTGTCGTGGCGATAGCAGACGTTTGGTGCTGGGTGCTTTGCCCACTACTTTGTCCTGAACTGGTATTACTGCTAGTCTGAGTAGCAGAGGCGTGTCCCGCGGTCGCGGTATCAGATGAACTCGTGTCAGTCCCTGGGGTGGTGCCGCTGCCGGACGAAGTTGTACCCGTGGGTGTGGGACTGTTGGTGCTACTGGTGCTGCTGGTACTGCTGCTCGTGGAACTACTGCTACGGCTGCTGCTCTCTGTCGAACTCGGCGACGTGGAAGAGGAAGTGGTTACAGAGGACGTGCTCGATGCCGAAGTCGTCGTGGTGACCTCAGTGCTCGATGTCTGTGCTGAAGACGACATTGGAGGCAGAAATTTTTGAGGTGATGGTGAAGGAGTAACTTTGCTGCGTTATTACATGCAGAAGAAAAACGTCGATTTACATATTACCGCATAGGTAATGCGGTGTTCGGCCCGGGTCATGATTAGTCAGCAGCACAACGTCTGAGTATACCACAATGTACCCTTTATTTGAAGGACGCATGGGTAGGCGAATCATGCGCATTTCTGTGCCGAACTGACCGTATTCGATAGCATGTTTTAGTCCTTCTGTTTCCAAGGTAATTATATCGGCCTGGGGTAAGTTGTCTGGGCCTCGATGCGATATTGGATAGCATTAACAGACGAACAGTACAAAATGGGGGTGCCCTCACTCATTCAATCCAAGATTTTTACCGAGCCGACTTGTTCTTCTGTAATGGCCTAGAAGATCCGTGGCTGGCGAAGTGTGTCATTACGGTCCTGTTCAGCTCGCATGCGCTTATACTCTCAAAGACTACTTGCCAGATCATTCATAGTTTGTTTCCTTAGCAGGATCTGGAATTTTGTCTTGATTCATGAATAGGTCATGCATCCCAACTGGATTCTCAAGTCCATCTCAGAGAATTTTTCTATGCCTATATCCAAATACGTACTCGATGGCACGTCGATTGTTCTCATTTTCACCCACAGGAAGCTCTGACGAACGACCTGCAGACCTCTTTGATTCCCATAAAATCACCTCGAGATTTGCTGAAGACCAACTGAATGGACCTCAACACTCCCGCGTATCTTCAAAGTCCAAGGTGGAAAGTTGGCAGGCCAACCTGATGAAACGGCCTCACGAGGATATCGAAGACTCTTTTGCATCTATAGACTTGTGCCCTCCCAAGAAACCGAAACTGGAGCCAATGTCAAAACCTCTTCGTGCTACTACGGTCTCGGACACTCTGTCTCTGCTAAAGACTCGGAAGCAACAATTCAGCCCACCGCAATCGCCTCCTAGACACATTGACCTTGCTAGATATCGGCCGCATCCTAGCTGCACCGTTGAAACCTTCAAGAGTTATATCAAGATCCTTCCGTATGCCATTCTCGGGCTGTTTTCTGTTTATTCATTCTGAGACAATCGTCTAGTTCTCACGAGACGTTCTGGACTGCTTTGCATGATGAATATATCAAACCAAGCTCGGTGCGAATGCCTATGACTGCTCTTTTGAAGGCACCGTCAGTAGAAATGACGCGATTCGTGCCGAGGAAATTCTATCGCCAGAAGGAGTTTACTGCTACAAAGAGATGATTTTTGGTTGCTTCGGCACACTCACCTGTAGAATTTCCATCTTGCTCTGACTTGAGCTGTGCTACTGATATCGAGTCTCTGTATGCCATCATGCTCTGTTGTATTAGAATGCTGAAACGAGTTAGGAACCTGTGTGTATCTCTATAAATTCCGATTTGCGTGAATTTGACAGTAAAATAGCCAAAATATTCGCCAGTGCACGTGTCACGCGTCACCCCACCAACGCGGATAATAATATTGAGTATCGTCCGATGTCCTCTTGAACCTTTACCCTACCCTCCGCGAGATAATGGCAGCCTCAAAAGATGTTTACCTCATTATTGGGGGTAGTGGATTTTTAGGCCGGCACATTGTGAACCAGCTCCTCGAGAGAGGCGACAATGTCTCTGTTTTTGATATCGTGCAGAGATACCATGACGTGCCTTTTTATTCTGGGGACATCAGTGAAAAGGATCAAGTTGCGGTTGCTTTGCGAAAGGCAAGTCCTATAAATTGCTGCTACTTAGTGCTCACGAATATTCCTTGTAGAGTGGTACGACTTGTATAATTCACGTTGCCTCTCCTCCACACGGCCTCAAGGACCCCTCTTTGTACTGGAAAGTCAACGTCGACGGCACCAAAGCAGTAATAGCTGCTGCCCAGGAAACCGGCGTTCAGAAACTTGTCTTCACCAGTTCGGCAGGGGTAGTGTTCAACGGGTCGGATATCATCGACATTGACGAACGGTTACCTCCACCGGAAAAGCCTATGGATGCGTATAACGATTCCAAAGCCCACGGTGAAGCAGCTGTCCTGGAAGCCAATGGTAAAGGGGGACTATTGACTGTTGCTTTGAGACCTGCTGGAATTTTTGGGTGCGTGCCTAGTCCATGTTTTTGACAGTTTTTCTCATGTAAACGACCAGCCCTGGGGACCATCAAGTCATGGCTGGCCTATATGCAGTCTACGAAAAGGGACAAACACACTTTCAGATCGGCGACAATACCAATATTTTTGATTGGACATACGTTGAAAATGTTGCTTATGCACATCTCCTTGCCGCAGACAAACTGTCCCTTCTTCCACCCGCTCCACCTTTTGACGAACTACCTGAAGACGAGAAGAAACATTACAGTCTAGAAAGGCTTCCCGAACTTACCCCTGCCGAAAAGAAAATTTTGGAGTACCCTCTTCCATCCATTGACTTGACCACAGGCACGCGGCGGGTACCTACCAGCGATGCCCGGCCACTGGGCCCCTACATATCACCAGCTCCCAACGCTGAAAAGCTCTTGACAGCCTTCCACGACCCCCAGTCCGCCTCTGCTTACCGTCCAGTCGTCCGAACGCGCTTCGACGCGCTTGGTAACTCTGCAGTTGCCCGCTCCAAACTCCTCTACCCCAACCACAGCCCCCTCACCGTCGCTGGTCAGGCCTTTTTCATCACCAATGGCGAGCCCTGTTACTTTTGGGACTTTATGCGCGTTATATGGCACGAGCTCGATCTTATTTTCCCGGATAAGCGGAAGCCGAGGTCACCCTTTGTCCTGCCGAAGCCGGTAGGGATGGCTGTGGCGACGCTGCTGGAGTGGATTGGGTGGGTTACTGGAAGACCGGCTGCACTGACGCCGTTCAGGGTGACGTATAGCTGTGCGTCGAGATGGCATAATATTGAGAAGGCCAGGAGGGTTCTGGGATACGAGCCAAAAGTGAGTTTGGAGGAGGGTGTGAAGAGACTGGTGACAGTACGTCATTTTTCCTTGCTTTAGACCAATGACTGAACTTTTGCAGTGGTGGCGGGCGGAATATATGGCCGGGAATATCAAGAGAGGACACTAGGTGTCACTTGGATAACGCACTGCATTATGATACCATTATCTTATTTTGCTTACATCTACACCGTGGAATATAACAATTATGTCTACGACATAAGCAAAGTTTACAAGTACAAGGATTAGATGTAGCTGCTGATTCTACAGCTTCTAGGAGAACAATAAGGTGAGTGCTGAGATAAATGCGATGAATAGAGTAAAACAAGGACATGAAAGCAAGGCGATGAGAAAACAATGCGGCGATAAGCAAAGCGGTAACTAAGATGGAACGTCCGATAACGATGATAATGGATGCTGGAGAGTCTGATAAGATGAATAAAAAAATGTTGCGCCACGATTATTCGAGCTCGTGCGACAGGCTGCTTTTGATGTATTCTTTCTTCTCTCGAGATCTCTTGGCCTTGGCGCATTTCCGATGCGTATTCCCTCGACTGAGCAATGCAGCAGCAAGCTCATACTGGTGCACGAAGTCAGGATCCTCCTCCGCTGCAGGTATATGGATAACAGGTGGATACTCGTGCGTAGCCACAGGTGGCTCAGGCTCGGAAAGAGCGAGAGATGGAATGATGGGAGGGAAAACATCGAAACAACTGCGATGCGACAGGATAAGATTGTTCATGCTGTCATATGAACTGGGACGGGCATGAGTGATACGTGGGATGTCCATTCTGAACGAGTCAGAGGGCAGCAGGTTAGTGTACAGAGCAGGGGGAGGGGGGCTGCAGACATGAAAGAAGGTGCGCTCAGGAAAGCCTTGCGCACTGGGCGGTGGCGGGAGAATGGAAAGGCGCTCAAGGTGGCGCGAGAGCTCTAAAGGGGAAAGTGAGAGCGACGGAGACGTAGGCTTGTATCCAGTCGTCGGAGAGATGGATCTCAAGGAAGGCGAAAGACTCCTGCTCCTGAGAAAAGACGAAGAGCCAGAGCCAAGTCGGTACGAGATGGAGGCATTACTGCTCTCTGTGACCCTCTGGGAAATATTGCGTTTCATTACGGAGAGTATACTGTTCGTGGCGGCGTTAATTAAAATGGGGCATATGCGTTTCTTTGGTATGATGAACAGTTTTATAGAGAACCTGTCAGAAATTTGAACAATGGAAAATTTCCTAGAATCCCAATGTTCCTTGATTGCAAGAAACGCCGCGGGTACCCATTGTACAATAAGAGGTCTTAAAGGATTCTTGTTTTCTGATTTGATATCAATTCGACTTGCCCCTTCTGAGCTGAGTCCGACAAATCTTATCGATGAAATGCGTTACGAGAAGATTCCCATTGCTCACAGCCTCCAGTTTCATGATGATATTACTGAGTAAAACGACAAAAGCAGCCCTGGAGAAGTAGTAAAAGTGCGAACAACGGCGCGATTTTTTTTTTGATTCCGTTCCAATAGCCGCGAAGCGAGAAAGGGAACTGAACTGTTCCTGTAAAAGGTGGAAGAGTCACTGGCGAGTCTCGGATGTTTCCAGATTCGGAGCCGGGCCGCCATGAGAGTATCGCGTGCACTTTCGTTTCGGATGCGACCCCGCCAATCTGCTTCAAGTGTTGGTCCGTAGCAACTGTCCTTTTACAGCTTTCCCGCTGACATATTTTCCAATTTTCTTTTACATTTAATCTAGTGGTACTCGTAGTCGTGGCTGGTATAATCCCCACCGTATACCAATTCTCGGTGAGCACACTTTTCGTTCCCGATGACTTGGTGATTCATGTCCTGAAAGCCATGGCACCAATCCTTTCAGTTGACCTGTACCGATGCATTGTCGAGTACTACACCCAGGAAGATCGCAGGACGCTTCTCTCCTTGATGTTCACTTCGCGTGCATTTAACTACGAAGCAGAACGTATCCTATATCGATCGTTCAATAACTTCTCCGACATCACCACCCAAACACTCTTTCTCAACCGCGTAATTTCGTGTCCACGCGTGGCTAAATTCGTGCGGAGCTACAAGCTCTTTATCACCTTCACTATCGATTCAGAATTGTTGTCGGAATTTCTGACACTCTTACATACTGCCTTCCTCGCACTCGTCGAGCTCAAGTATCTCGGTTTTCGAACTCTGGGGGGCTCGTCCGCTGCGCAGGTCCTCACAGGGTGCACGTTCCAGCTAGAGGAACTCGACTGGGACTGTTCTTGTGACGAACACCTTCTCATCAATTTTCTATCGACACAGAAATCGCTCCAGTCGTTCGCGAGCTGCTGGGATCCCTCTCATATTCCTCCACCTCCGGATATCGTTCCCTTCCTCACCTCCCTTCGTGGGAGGTATGGTCTCATACAGGCGTTCCTTCCTGGGCGGAAGATCACGAATCTAGACTGGATACCAGACATCGATGATCCAGACCCAGATATGGCCCTTCTTGCTGATTCTCTGGCAAATATCCATACGATGACGTTTGGAGGTTATTTTACGCGTCCAAACCTGTCCACAATCGCACAGTATCTGACTCAGGTTACGAACTTGGAGTTGAGAGGGGTGCAGGTATGTAGTATTTTACCCTACCCATATTTGTCTAATGAAAAATGCATATCAGGCGGACGACTTGGACTGTGTCCATCTGATGCCCAATTTAGAGGTGTTTACGATTTCTATGCGACCCGTGCCGGGATTTTTGATCCCCCGGAACGACCCAAACGCCGTCGTTGTCAAACTGTTCAGCGGGTGTGCCAAATTAGAGATCATCACCATCGCCTCCAAAAAGCATGACTTCTGGCCGCAAGATTACAGAAAGTGGGAGCGGAAGGACTTTACGGCTCATAACGGAGAAGGTGGGTGTTTCAACGGTGGTTTGAATGTATCTGATTTTGGGTTAATTTATAGGAATCATTCCGTGGACAGATATCCCGTATGTTGTAAGTGAATGGAAGCGTTTCAACCTGCTTCAGCGTGAAATTTTGATACCAGCTCACTGGGTAGCGTCCCCAGGCTGTTTCCCGGGTCACTATTGTGGAGGCTACGACATATGATCCAAGCCCCAGCGGATGAACGTGAGAAACTGGTGTGTCTCGACTCTTTGCTGATGGATACTCGGAACTAACATGCCGGTGTAGCCTTCGTAAGTTGAAACGCGCCTGGACGCGTCGGATATGACACCCATACTTTCAAGGGATACGGGGCTTTTATAATAATCGTAAGGGTAATAGATGTTGTATTATTAGTGACTGCATTTACGAATAATGAGATTGACATATTCTCTAGTTAGTGGCGTAAACTTACCGGTAGATCAATTCGCGCCGGTGCCCTCAGCGCCTGTCCTTAAGTCGGCCAAAAGATTTTGTAATCGCCGGCGTAATTTAACTACAAACTCTTCGTCATCGCAGGAGGGAGGAGGCTTAGTGCAACATCGTAAGTTTATCATCCAATCACACACAGAAATATACCAGTTGGTCTAGAAGATACTAAGATTCCAAGTCTGAGCATTTGACATTTGTGTGGTAACAGAACCCACCTCTGCTTCGTCTATGGTCTGTTACACAACTTAGCAAGCTTTTGCAGCAGAATACGGAAGAAACACACCAGTACGATGGGGCCTCTACCATGGCATGTAAGCCAGATCATCGCCAAACGTTCAAAGAACTACTCGCCTATTCATTGCCTAGTGTCTTGTCTTTTGTCTTAAGTGGTAGTACGAATGGGTCCAAGATGGGCGGCGGAATCGGCACGAATCCCGAGACCGGCCCTCAAACGACGCGCGGCACGTGATCTTCCTTGTAGTCAACCGTTACCATTGCCAATGAACCATTCCCCCAACGAGCTCCAACGTTGCTTCGATGTCAGCGATGGAATTACCCAGCATGAACAGAAAATACAGTGATGAAGAAAAGTCCCAACTCATCGCAAATCTCAATCTCGAGGGTGCGTAGTGGCAGACACGATATGTCAAGCTGACTGACGCCGTGGCAGTTGAACATCGTACCCGTCAGCTCCGGTCCTGGCTCTCGGGTGGGCTTGAAAATTTCAAGATACACCAGGAAGGACATGTCTCCCGAATACCGAAGCAGGTTCGCGGGATAACGATGCGCGAGTTTGGTGAAAAGTACAATGGAAATGTGCAAGCTGCCTTGCGGGGAGTACAGCGAGAGAAGCTGGCTAGCGCAGGCAACGATCCTACTTTTGGAGAGCTTGACAAGAATATGCGGAAGAGAAAGTGGCTGACGAGTCAGGACCAGGAAGCTACCGCAGATCCGTCTGAGCCAAGAGCCTTGAAGAATGGTGTGTTCTGTTTTACCTTTCTCTATAATTTCCTTATTTCTATCGGTCTTTAGCTCGCATGGAATCACCACAACGAAAACCTGGTTCATCTACTGATCCTGGTACGGCTCAACGAACGCGCCTTTTATCGGAAGTAATAAAAACGTCTAGCAAGGTGCGCCACTACTTGCAAGGTTTTCGGTATCTGATGTGCAGTAGTCCCAGATTCGACCACTTCCTCGCGTTCCGCAGTCTCCCAGCCCTCAAAAATCGAGGCCCCCTTTCAACGCTGGCCCCGGAGCCGCCTTCCAATCCAAGCTACCTTCACCGAGTAAACCTAAATCAAACAATCCTCTCACCCGCTCTCGGGTCCCTTCACTATCGACTTTCAACCCTGTCTTACCACCAAAAACGCCCGGTTATCCAGGTAGCAAACCGCCAAATAGCAATGTGTTACGCTTGCCTCGAAGAGACGAAAGCATGCTCAGTGTCAATGGCTCACCATTGGCCAATCCCTTCGAATTTGGCATGAGGTGGGTCAAAGGAGCAAATGGCAATGCAGAGGAGACTGCACCCGGCGCCAACAAGCCCGCACTTAAACGGACGAAGAGCAATATTACTATTTCTCGGGATCCTTCATTCAATACAAATAGATTACACTCTCGGGCGCGCTCACAGAGCAGCTTGCGACCTTCGTCCTTCCAACCTTCATCTACGGCACTTTCACAGACAAACTCTGACGCGACTCTTCCATTATCTCAACTAAGTCCCTCACATAACTTGTTCACACCCACACGTTCACAGCCGACACCGTTCCCTAAGGACTCAGATCCTCCACCACTTCAGCTCCCTACCTCGACGAGGTCTTATTCAGTTACGATCTCGACCAAAGACGGTCATCTTTTGGAGTTTGATCCTCTGCAAGCTTCGCCTGGTTCGCTTGATGCCCTTGAAGGCATCTCATCCAGTGCTAAAAAGCAGGCGAGAGAAGAAATGGGTCGGCTTGTGCAAGCTGCTGTTGACAAATGGAAGATACGTTGAGAGGCACGCGGTTGTTTTCTGTCTCTTATTTATTTTATCCGCACACTTTTATCTGCTCCCGAATACCATCTCTGCACTTGTAGAAACACGCAATGCGCTGTAATGTATTATTGTTCGTGTCCGAACATTCCAATTTTGTTGGCCTCGGTGTCTTATTTTATTACTTGGATGTATAATGGTGCGGTACTACACGGAACGTTGCCTTAATCTCCGCGCTCGGAAGGGCTTCTAAGTCAGCTACGCAAAGTAAGCGGGTAAAACAAGGGTGGTTAGCCGACGCCTGTTACGGCCGTAACAAGTACCTTACCGGCGCTTAGTGTCGGTTCACGACGATTTCCGTATGCTCCGGGATTCGAATCCAAACTTGGATGCGTCATAATTATCGGCAGTTCGGCAAACAACTTTTACGTCATCGCATCTCCCGATCATCAACAAGTTCTGCTTGTCACGGTGGCGGCCAGGTCGGAGTCCCATGTCAGCTTGGTCAACCGGGTCTCATTTAAATAATTGCGTTCCTTGTGCTGCCAATCCCACGTCAATGGCTCCCCACCGCCGTGAAGACGAGGTTCTCTCTATCTTTCGGAAGCAGTTGTTCGATGAGGATATCCTGCATGAGGGAGACTCGGTTGGCACGGACGATGAGACGCTTCTGTACGTTCACGGTGTCGAAAACCAACAGGTGCAAGAGACTGACACATGTGCAATAGGAGATTTCTGCGGGCCAGAAAATTCAACTTGAAACATGCGAAACAGATGTTTCGCGACTGTCAGGAGTGGAGGGCTTCGGTAGAAGGCGTGGGCATCGATGGACTGTACGAGACGATCGATCCGTTCGATGTCTGTTTTCTGTCTGGTATTTAATCCCCCACTGTTGCTGATAATTGGATCCAGTATCCCGAACGCCGGGCCGTGTTTGATTGCTGGCCCTTATGGTGAGTTCCTGAAAGCATTGCAGTCGTCCTTCGTTTATTGAGCTTCGTCGCCAGGTTTCACAAGGTTTGTACACTCCTAATATTCGTCAACGAATCTCACCCGCATGTAAATGCTATACTTAGACAGACAAGGTACGTCCATTCCTATTTCTGGCCACACCTGTCGCCCATCTAACTCACTGCAGAAAGGTCGTCCGATAAACATCCACTTCTTTGGAAACCTTGATATACCTAAACTGTATAAGCAATGTACGCCGGAAAAACACTGGCAGACTGTACTCGTCAACTGCGAGTCTTTGACGCGAGAAGGTGCCTAACGTATCCACTCAATCTAACTGTAGGCACTGACAATGATTCTAGTTATCCCTGCGGCCTCTAGGGCAGCCGGAATGCCCATAGGCACAGTCTTAGTGATCGTCGATCTCAAAGGCTTTGGATTAAGTCAATTCTGGCAAATGAAGTCTCTCGCTCGGAGTTCTTTCCAAGTTTCTCAAGATTACTATCCCGAAACGATGGGTCAGCTCGCAATTATAAACGCTCCATCATCTTTTACCTTCATTTGGTCCGTGATAAAACCGTGGTTATCGAAAGAGACTTGTGAAAAGGTCGACATCCTCGGAAGTGACTACCGAGAGGTCCTTTTAGATTTGATTGACGCTGACGCGCTACCCAGCGTATTGGGGGGCGATTGTCGGTGTGAGGAGGCAGGGGGGTGCCATCTAAGTGGCGCTGGTCCCTGGTTAGAAGGTCGGAAAGGTTGGGGTCCCAAGGCTCAGGCTGACGATGACGATAGTTCGACAGACATTGGTACCCCCATCAGTAAGAAATCTTTGGAATCTTAAAAGTTTTGGCATCTATTCTTAACTTGTATTATTATTACAATAGCTATTACTACATTGCAATTTTGTATCATATGCAATTTTTTGAAATCATGATGTTCTCAGTCTCAGCCTGTCTCCTCCAGAGACGAAACTCCACCGACTGTGAATCAGTTGATCCTGAGATGTCTTTCACTCCCCATTCTCACTGCGATGTCTGATAGAATGGAAGAAAAGGTCTCGTGTCTTTACGGGATCGCGAATATTGTGAACGGGTGTTTTAAGTTGCATATAGCCGGAGGCAATCATGTTGTTCGCACCTAAAAATTCAACTAAGCATGATGACTTCTCCGCTTTTCTTCACCACTCCATCTTTCTTTACTAGCCAGTCAAATCCTACCGACAGTCCAGATGAGAGCGCCATTACTACGGATAATCTAGACGAGGGCTCAGCATCGTCGACATCCATATTCAACACCATGAATCTCGGAGATTATCCAGTGTTATTTTTCACCAGCCCCTCAAATCCCACTATTACCACAGATACATCAGATGAGGCCACCGTCACTACAGATAAACCTGGCGACCCCACCATTACCGCGGATAATCCAGACGAGCCCATCGTTAGTACGAATAAACCAGACGAGGACACCGTTACTACAGATAAACCAGACCAGGACACCATTGCCACGGATAGTCCAGACGAGTGTTCGGAACCGTCGAAATCCGTCGAGGCGAAGAAAATCGGGGATCGTACAATGTGGCTTTTCACCTATCACTCAAAGCCCACCATTATCACAGAAAAAACATACGAGGCCACCGTTATCACGGATAGTCCAGATGAGCGTTCAGCACCGTCGCCATTCATATCCAATGTCAAGAAACTTGGAGTTTTCACCCCCCACTCCAAGCCCGCCATCAGTGCTATAGATAAACCCGACGAGCCCATCGTTGCTGCGGATGAACCCGACCAGTCTACTCCTACGGACAAATCCAACGAGCCCATCCATACTACGGATAAACCAGACGAGTCCTCCATTCCTATGGATAAACCAGACGAGCCCACCCTTACTACAGATCCAGAGGAGCCTACCGTTACCACAAATAGTGCAAACGAGCATTCAGCACCGTCGGGATTCACAGTCAAGATCAAAAAATTCAGAAAGCATTCTAGGTTATTTTTTACCCGTCATTCAAAGCGCACCGTCACCACAGATAATCCAGAAAAGCGTCCAGTGCCGTCGGTCATGCGCAAGAAACCCCGAAACCGATCAAAGCTATCTTTGGTTAAGAAGAAAAGTCAACCAAACGATCGTTCGCACGATATGTATACCGTCGCTACGGAAGAGCTCGAGAATACTCTCCACCAACTCTCCGATTACACGCGTTACCCCGCCGAGTGCTTGCCACGCCGCAGAGATACTGCGTTGGCCAGCAAAGGATCGTTTAAGAAATCTCTGCCGAGTCGATCGTCATCTTTAGCATCATTTTACACGGCACCGTCCCATCTAGAAATTGTTGTTGACGGTTCATCGAGGGAAAGAGAAGAATGGGTCGCATGGCCATGGCCATTTTTCTCCGTTTCGTCGTTCCTTTCACGATTTTCTTGATCCTCTTGGGGGTGATTTGGACAGATTTCACATAGACATTTCATGATTTTCTTTTTCGATAGTCTCAGTATTGTTAGCAGCGAATTTTTATTCCTTTGAAGATACTTAGATACTGACGCCGTATCTCGCACGCATTTAGATTGTACCCATTAGATAAATTTAACATAGGCCATCAGTCTTTGCGGTGATTCTTCAATACACAGTATCAAGTGCATTGCAAGGACAACAAAAGGAAGCGTGTTAAAGATATGACACTCCTGCAACCAGAGAAACGCGAACTTGAAAACCAGCGGCTAAAGCACATACGACAAGTGCCCTATGATCTTCTTCCTCTTGATCCCGACGAGGAGGAGGATGAACGACTTCTGCTTCGTCGTCGCTTTCGTTCGCGACCTCGGAATCGGCTAGACGATTCCGAGGAAGCCGACTCCGAATCACTGTCAGAGCCAGACGACGAGTCCGAATCCGAATCTAAATCTGAAGTTGAATCTGAAGAAGAGCTTGATCTTGCCCTGCTACACGATATGAGCGAGTGCTGGACTCTCTGACGCAAAAATTACTCGCCTCTTCTTCCGTTTTGAGCTCCCAGCAGCAGCAGCAGCAGCAGCAGCAGCAGCAGCATTCTCCTTCTCCTTCCTCTCCTTCTCTTTGGTAGCTAAGATCTTATTGGCAGTGCCTTTCCTGCTGACAGCCGGTCAGCTTCCACAGCGCAAGAGAAGGGTTGGCCACCTACGGGTTTTTAAACTCTTCCGGCACCTCCACTGAGGGCTTTCCCTCTGCCTTCAACTTGGCCAGCACACGGGGATTCTCCAATTGCTGTGTCCTTGACGGTCGCGATACGTACGGGCGGGAGTTCTTGCACTGATATGTGAAATGTCCTCTCCCTAGGCACTTTTGGCATATAGTAGACGAGGTCGCACTAGGGTTGTTGGTTGAGCGATGATGCGGGGCATATTTGGACATGATGGTTCGGGTCAAGGAAGCAGTTAGGGTTAGGGTCTATTTAGTTTATTTTCGAGTTAGGACCGCGACGCGTTGATTCTTCGTGGGTACTTCTTCGTTCTTATCCACCACCATGGGCGGTGGTGCATTTACCTTCATCGGCCCTTTTCCTCGTCTCTCCCGAGACCTTTACGCAGCTCTTAAAGCGCGCCATACTGCCGCACTTGGCATCGTCTATACCCAAGTCTGCACCCCCATCGAGGCGCCAGAGAAACAAGACCACGGGGATATAGATTTTCTGGTATATTCACCAGAAGCCCTCTTACCGTCGCATGACACTGTCAAAGGGCTGCTTGGCGCTGCACATGTTCTGCCAATGCCAGGACCACGAACGTCGAATTATGCTATCGCGATCCCGGAAGATGAATTTAATGCCCAGATGCATGAAGGGTGGTACCAAGTTGACGTCCATGTCTGTGGGTCTCCTGAAGAGTTTGCGCGTGTGAGATTCTTTCATTCGTACGGTGATATGGGCATGATCCTCGGTCTGGTCGCACGGCATTCCGGATTACATCTCGGCGTACACGGGCTGAAAGTATGTTTTCTCTCGTCGTACAAGGGCTTGTTTAATCCCTGTACGTAGTACCCAAATCCCCCGAATCCAGGCATCATGCTGTCAACCGACTTTGACGTTATTGCTGACTTTATCGGGTGTGATATGAAGCGATATGAACAAGGGTTTACTACAAAACGAGCCTTGTTCGAATGGGTTGCAAAGTCGCGCTTCTTCACCCCCCGCATGTTTGGCAAGAGGGACGCGGAAGGTGGTAAAATAAAACAGGACAGAAAGATGTACTGGGAGTTTGTCGCATGGGCGCAAAGCCAACCAAATTCATCCAGTAACGAAAGTCCTGCCGAGAGACAGTGCAGGATACGCGAAGAGGCTTTGCGTCACTTTGGCAAACAGATCGTGTTGAACGTGCAGATGAATGAGATCACAGCAAGGTCCAGATTGAAGGCCGTATTTAACGGAAAGATAGTCGCTGAACGAGCTGAGATGGGTACCCATTGGCGTGGTGTAAAGATGATAATGGATCGTGTTAGGGAACAATGTGGTGGCGGCGACGAATCTGTTCTGAAAATGCTTGACAATGAAGAGGATGGAGAGAAGAAGCTCATGCAAATGGTCATTCAAGCTAGAGAAGACTTGGGTTTTAGTAAAACTAACGACATTACCTCAGGAAACTAGCCGATTGGAATACAAATAGCCCACAAAATGAGATGAATGTTTTTCAGACGTCTTGGCGTAGAGATAGCATGTCCCGTCCGCGAGAAAGGTTTGTTGTATTGACTTTGTAGTGTATCACGAAAGTGATGGCTGACCCAATGCTGGCCTCGGACCGCGCAAGTTCAACGTTGGTTTTCAAAGAGTCGCAGGAGAATGTCAGAGATGTAGGCAAACGTGGTATCATCATTAGAACTAAAGAATCCAAAACTATATGTACACGTCCACAGTGTACGGCGGAGAGTTGTTTTCTCAGCATATATCGAGTGATGATGCCTTGGAGTTCATGATTAGTGCTACGATTAGTCTGTCGAACCAAGTCATCAGATGCCACGAGACGAGGGACAGAAGAGATTGGCTACGTACCCGTACAATCCTAACACTTCTGCAAAAATGAGTATCAAAACCATGGAAACAAACACTCTGGATTCGTGAACATATGCTCGTACACACTGCCTCAAAAGACACAATGAGTAGAATGACGTGGAGAAGGACACAGGAACGCACAGAATCCCCAACAATCCCAATGGCATAGCCAGCTGTAAGGCCTGTGAATCCACAAGCGAGACCGGCGCCGAGGTGAACGAACCCGGCAAAGAGGGGGTACCCATTCGGTTTCACTACGAGAAATCAGTCGACGTGTACAACATCAGCAGACGCATACCCACTATCCCCCGATATTAGCACGGACACCACAAGTCCATACACGGCAATAATTCCAGACATGACGACTGGTATAAGGGACTAGATGATGCAGCTCGTCAGGAAACAAATTCGCCGAGTGCCTAGCGACCAAAGCACCTTCATTATGAGTTCAGGCTTGAAAGTACCGAGACCTGCAATTCCAATCCCAGCTTTTGCTGTTCCAAAGGCAGCACCGACGGCTAGACAGTACGCTGAGAATTGGGTGTCGCCATGTTAGCGGAGATACACGTACTGCTGAATATCATCTAAAGGACGTCAACGCCAAGACACAAACAAAATAAGAATTACTCACGGCTGAGGCGACGCCAGCGAAGCCAAAGAATGGCGCATACGGTGGACACACGGACATGACGGAGGAGACGCGATGGTGGTGCTTGGCTGGATCCTTTCCTCCTGACATTGGCTGTATTTGGCTGGACCGTCCCCGCTATTCCTCTGTCCGGCGTCGCGATGAACGTCGCGCGTCGAGCATTCAGCACCACCACCACCGCCTTCTCCCGGATAGGGAAGACACCTATATCCATTCCTCCCAGTGTAGCATATTCCCAGACACTCGACGCTCTCACCGTCACCGGCCCGCTCGGGCAAGCCTCCATTACACTCCATCCGTTTATCACCCTTACCCCCAGCAAGGACCCTGCCGCACCCAGTCTCACCGTCTCTATTGCCGACCACGACGAAAAAAGGCAGCGCGCGATGTGGGGCACGACGCGCACGCTGATAGCCAACGCCATCACTGGCATCACGGAAGGTTTCCAAGTTCTACTTTACCTCGTCGGCGTTGGGTATCGGGCCGCTATGGAAGAAGACCCACGGGGGACAATGGATGGGGGTAGCGGGAGGAGGTTCAACATGAAACTAGGATACTCTCATACGGTGTACGTGCCGGTGCCGCCGCATATACAAGCAGAGGTACCCGCACCGACGAAGATTGTACTGAAGGCCACGGATAAACATGAACTGGGACTGTTTGCTGCCAAAGTGAGGAGCTACAGGCCGCCGGAACCGTATAAGGGCAAGGTTGGTGTCCGTCTATCTGGTCTACGCTCGTACTGATTTTTTTGTAGGGAATATTTATTGGCCGTGAGACGATGAGGATGAAGGCAGTTAAGAAAAAGTAATCTCTTCGAGACGCCATCTTCTCTCTCCATACGAAATTAGTTTCATAATTCGATATTGAATCCGTTGTCAATATTTCGACTCGACTTCAAAGGACTAGCCGTTGTCTTACGGTAACATCGCAAAGGCTGCCTATATGCTCATCCCTTTTTTGACTACTGGGTTCCAAACTCGCTGGCAATCACAAGTTTCGGAAGTCCTTCTTTGAATAGACCATGTCTTGCGAGCAGCCCGCAAGAAGACAGGAACCGACCGGTATTTAGTAGAGCTCTTTTTTGAAGTCGCATTAAAATATCTTGGTACAGTGTGGACCAAACAAGACGGATTCAAGAAGGATCATGGCTGGGAACACAGACCCCTATTTGACTGGACACTATCTCACGGAATTACAGACCTACAACCAAACTTATTTTCATGATGGAAACGGCAGACCCGAACCCTGCAGTTCATCAAATCTATTACGTCCTGAGAACTGTGCTTGCGCGTGCATTTAAAGGCTAAAGAGGTTCATTGGACTTTGAATCTTGAGTCGCACGAGACAACCTTTTATCATAAGTTTCTGCACCTCTAAATTACTTCTCTCGGTGAAAGACAGACGGTATGTAAGCTCGTTTCAAGTCCCATTTCATCCATCAAGAAGCCAACGGCAACCAAGGGAGCTCAAAGTTGAAAACGTATGGAAATGACAGAAGCATCTTTGAACGTACCTTGGGAGCACGGGAAGGACGACAGGATTACTATCGGCGTGCCTACACCCAGGTACTGCTATGGCGGTAGGGGTTCAACAGGCGCAAGTATGTTTCTCCGTAAGTGTCAAACACTGGGTTCTGGAAAGGGCTGATATCTTGTAAACTCGACCCAGTTCGCACCCTCAATGCAGTCGTGAAAAGAGAGAAAATCTTGATTGGTGAAAGATAAACATCACTCATCATTTCCATTTCAACTTTGGTACATCCTATATCCGTCCCGACTGTACCTACTACCTGGTCGTCGTTCCTGACGCCCGATACTTCATATCATACTTATAAAGGCGCAACGGTTGATGCTCGATGGATTCATTACCTTCCATCATGTCGCAGGATAAACTGGACTCTGATATCGAGGCCAAGGGATCTCCGAATGACTTACCACCAAAGTCTGAGGTCCGGGCCACTGAAATCTCGATCTACTTGTATAAAGAGCTTGGTTTATCGCCGGGAGTATAGCCTTGGCCGGCTTCCCGAGGTCTGTTCATCTGTCTTCACGTAAATATTAATAACTCTGACCCTTTTCAAATAGTCCCTTTCCGGCTACGATGTACTTCCCTGCGATTCCTCGCTTGACCCAGATCTTCCACGAACCAACTGATCGATTGAACCCGACTTTGACCATTTTTCTGGTAACTCAAGCTGTCTGTAAGTCCTTCTCATTGAAATATCCGCGTGAGTTGCTCGTTGATTTAGCATTTTCCAGATCCTATGCTATGGGGTCCATTTTCAGATAGATTCGGTCGAAGACCATCCATTAATTTATGCTTTGCTATATTGATTATCTCTTGTATCGGTCTTGCCCTGACACCTACGGACGCGTTCTAGCTTCTGTTGCTGCTACGATGCATTCAGTCCGCGGGGTGTACTGGAACGTTTGCGCTAGGTTGGGGAACCGTTTACATCCCTCAGACTGATGCACTGTGTTGGAATCTGCGAGAGAGTTCGAGCAATCCGGCATTCCGGCATGCTGAGTAAGGAAGGAATCCGAGGGAAATTGAAGGAATTAGGTAGAAACTACTAGAAAAGGAGTAGTCTAGTATAAATACGAGAAGTCAATGGGGGAACTTCTCAGGAGTTTGTAACCCAAAGACTAAAGGTCTTACAAGCATGTACTCTGGATACAGTTCAAATCTCAACACACTGAATCTCATTTAGGTGCTGGTGTGATCGCTGACATAACTATCAGGGCCAACCGCGGCACATTTTTTGGTGCATTCAACGTAGGTCCTATGCTTTCTCCCGGCATTGGCCCCGTCGTCGGAGGTCTACTTTCCCAATATCTTGGCTGGCGGTACATTATTTAGTGCACTTATTTTATATATCTGATTCGGAATAACAATGTCCTTCACAGCGCAATCTTCTGGTTTTTAACGATATTCTCCTCCGTCTCGATGCTCGTCATTCTGGGGTATGTACTCTGACTCTTGGTAAAGATTTTCCTGGCAATGTATACAAGTTTCTACCAGAAACGTTACCCTGCATTGTGGGTAACGGGAGCATCCGACCTTCATTCATTTATCGAGCTTTGCTTCCTGTTGTCGGGAAGGGGCGCATGACTGAGGACTCCCAGCTCGTGCAGAAACCTCGCCCCAAACCGTTCCGGAATCCGTTTTTACTCTTCCTGAATGCCGATGTAGTCGTAGCGACTTTCCTCACAAGCGTAATATTTGCCATGCAATACCGCATATCAAGAACCCTCTCCAATGCCTATACAATCCAATATCCTTTTTCTCAACAGTGCCAATATTGGCTGTGCTACTTACTCGATGGATTAGGCCTGGTGGGTGGTACGATCATTAACGGGAAACTGCTGGATATGGAATGTCGTCGCAGTCGCGCCAGAGCTGTCCGTGAAGTCACAGAGGACACGCTCGACTACAGGGAACACCATTCACGGTTTTTCTGTTCTCAGCGTGTATTTTCGGTTGGGGCTGGTGCATCGACAGATCAGTCTCTTTGGCCGGACCATTGTTATTCCAGATTGCCCGTGCGTTTTCTGTTTCGCATCAGTGCTAGGACCTTGCTCACGATGTATAGTCGGATTTTCTTCCATTTGCGTGCTAGATACTACAACGACACTCATGATTGATCTCGTCCCCGACCAGAGCTCTGCAGTAACTGCTTGTGTATGTCGTCTGATCCGTCATTGTACGCTCTCTTGCTCATCGATATTTGCCTTAGACCAATTTCTTTCGCTCAGCGGTTCGCTGCCATTCTAGTCGCATTCCAAGAGAAAGCCATCAAAAATCTGGGCTATGGGTTGATTTGACGTTTGTAATATTTGGATGCATCTATGTTTCAATGGCTCCGCTGGTGTTTTTAGAGTTAAAAATTGGCCTCACTTTTCGTGTTCGAAGATTAACCAGGGCATCGGAGGTGCTGAAGAATGAATACAGGCGTACTTAGATGTACTAGGAAGGGTATTAACTATGCAATAGATGAAATTAGACGAAATGTCGACAGCTATAACAAAAGCCAATAAATTATGTGCGCGTGTCCAATGATAATGGGAAGTGAAACCAGATGATGCAGTGCAAATGAAGAGAATCTAATTCAACCTCGGTCTATTTGCCGATGGTCCTGCCCCGTGATTATCGTCCCCACGCCGCTATAGATTTATCAGTGAAAGACAACAGTAGTTTGGACACGGTGCGTGCCTTCTTTGGAATGAATATTGAGGTCTCTTTCTTCTTCTTCTTCTTGTTGTGAGGTGGAGGTTTCGGAGGCCCTTCATCATAAGGAGATGATCGTGACTGGTGCAGTGGTTGCGGTTGGGTTGGAGGCGGCATTTCAGTGCTAGATACTTTCCGCTTAATACCTTTGGATAGTTCAGTTTCACTTCCCGCAACCTGACTAGAGCTTTTGAATGTTGACGACCGGTCTACAGCAGCCTTGAGTTGCTGAGGAGTCACCAAGTTCGATGGGATCGCTGGTGCTAAAGCGGCTAGGGCTTTCGAAGAAGACTTCTTCTGGACCAGGGTGCTTTGCTGTTGTTCGGTGTCCGGCGAAGTAAAGTAATTTACATCAGCCTGTTGAATATACATTAGCTTCAGATACGTAGAAGAGGAAAGCAACTGTACATCAATAAAACAGTTCCTATCTCGAGCATCGATTACAATCTGCGTCCAGAACCCGTCGCTCCTCTCGAGGGTCGGCGCATGTCCCACAATGAAGACACTGGATTTGGCTCGAGTTAGCGCAACATTCATTCGTCTTACATCTGTCGAGAGTTCATACAGGCATTTCAAAATAAAGTGATGCGAACGTACCAGCCAAAAAACCTACGCTCATTACCCCCGGCCCGGCCCTCACACACGAAAGTATGATCACATCCTTCTCTTGTCCCTGAAAGCCGTCGACCGTGTTGAAAGCTACCTTGTTCGATATCTCTCTCCCAAACTCCTCTTCAAATAGCCTACGCAGCTCGAGGACTTGGCCCCGGTAAGGAGTTATGATGCCCACCCGAAGGTCCTCCTTATCCTTGAACTGCTTTATTAACCGATTGTACAAAGCACGGACAACTCGTGCCTCAGAAACATTCTTGTAAGTCTTTCCCCTAGCGCCCTCCTCTCTCGAATTGGCGACGTTGAAGAATTTGTACACACCGAATTTTGACGATTTGTGCCATGGTTGAAAGGTATTTTTGTCCATCGATGGGCCATCAAGAAGACGGCCATTGTAGAATAGGCGACTGGGAAGACGGCTTATCTCAGGGTGCATCCGGTATTGTATGCTGCAGATGACATGAATCAGATTAACTTATCAGGAGAGCAAGGCCCTTACCTGAGAAGATGAACGGCTTCCGGTCTCGACCGCTGAAGACGAACAAAGAGAGACTGGTTATACATGTACTTGGTCGCCTGTCAAATCAATCAGCTCCAGCTCTGAGAAAAGTAACTTGAATGCTGACTTCTGTCGACAGCACGGTGGGTGGTAGCTGCTGGGGATCTCCTACCATCACACATCTTGTACACCGATACTTCAACGGGATCAAGGAGCTCAGTTCTATGGCTTGGGCAGCTTCATCGATGATGACCATATCAAAATCCATCTGCTGTGCCATGTCCCTGTGGCCTGCACCGCTCAAGGTGGTACATATGACATCAACTTCAGCCATGACCTCATCTGTAGCTCTACGTCGATTGGTATCCATTAACCTCGAATCCGAACGTCCTTGATCCTTGACGCTGTCCAACCGCTGCGATATGGCCGTTCGACGATTGTTCAATTCACGGATTTCTCCGTCCAAGCTATGTTTTCTGGCCACATTATCGCTCACTGAGTCCAACTCTGTTTGCTTGAGGGTCTTCTGCGCTTTGATGTTTGCCAGCTCCGTCTGAAGTGCAGCTAGCTGGTTTTCCATATCCTTCAGCGGCTGTGCCTTGTTACCCAACTTCTCGTCTACCAAAGCATCCAATGATGCGTCTTTCACCATCGGCGATATAGAATTTATGGCGCCCGTACGCACGACTTTGATAGGCATAGGGGTTTTCTGTGATCCTCGATAACCCTCTTTGAGGCGATAAACAATCTCATCGATGGCAGCGTTAGACGGGGCACATAAAAGGATCTTTGGGACGAGAGGTGGTGGTTTTCCAGGATGGGTAATTGGTCGTGGTCGCCGAGATATAGAAGCAGCAATAAGACCGCAGATCGTGGACGTTTTCCCAGTGCCCGGGGGTCTGCAGCAAAGATATCAGTCTCAGAGGAAGATAGAAAAACAATATAAACAGACCCTTGAATCAGAACAAATCCTTTAGTCTTCAAAGCGCTCTCAATAGCAGCGGCTTGAGGTTCATTGACTCGATACATTTGCATTGTCCGTTGGATGTCCTTAGGGTCCACTGACGGCGGAGGGGCAAGCTGAGGCCACAGTATAGTGTCAACATTATCGTAGTAAGGAAGAGTGACGAGAGCAGAATATTCGCGATGAATGGTGCTTAAGCTGAAAGACAATACCAGTTAGGAGTAGCAAAATAATTCCCACAGTCAGTAGATACCTGAACAACTTGGCAAGCTTCCAGATAGTGTTAATTTGGAGTCCATGATCGTTTCCGTCGGCCACAATACGAAGTCGACAAGCGAGGCCAGAACTGCTTTGCTTCGAGCCACTCGCTTTGGCCATGATGGATTTGTTGCTTTCACGGCTTTGGAGAAGAATGACGTCACTGTCCATTAAGTACCAGTCCTTCTGAACTCCTTCCTGGACAGCAACTTCAATATCGACCCAGGTGTCACTGTGGCTTCTTGCACTGATGGTACAGGAATAGAACTCGAGAGCATTCTGCTTGGTATCTTCGATTTGGGCCCACAACTCGTGTAACAGGAGAGGCTCAAAGATTCTTCCGTAATGCGCAGAATCGGTGAAGTTGTCTGGTACACGCATCGGCCGTAGATTTTCGCCCGGAGGAATAGGTCCTTGATGGCTGTAATCCCACGACAGAAGAGCACGATGAAGCCCTGATACATCAGGATTCATCCTCGCGGACAATCGCCGCTGTGCATCTGCTTCGCGCTGCTGTCTCAGCCGTTCTTCCATGGCGTTCTTTCCAGTTGCTACATCAATGGTTTTGATTTGACGGCGTTCGGGTACTTTCCGTATCTTCGGCAGCTGGCTCAGAGCTTTCTTCTTGTCAGCCATAGAACGTAAAATAGCGCCTTGAGACTCTTCCTCGCTCTCTTCCTCGCTAGACTCTGAGTCATTTCGAGAAACAGTGGTGGCTCTAGAAGAGCCTCCATTCGTGGAACCGTCGCTGGGGCGTGCGGGAGGGAGCTTCGATGAGCCGGCCAGTGAGGTAGAACCACTCGGTCTGCGGAATTTTGGGATGGCAACAGTTTGGTCCAGTAGTAGTTGGTCTTTCTCGCTGAAATAGGATGATTTTGGGGGCTTGAAAGGCTTGGAAGGCTTTGTGGAAGTTGAACGCGAAGGAAGGGCTGCTTTGGCAAGATTTTTGCCATCACTGCGTATGGCCTTGACAGATTTCCCTTTGTTCTTGAGTTCCCATTTCTCTACGACCTCCACGTCGTCATCATCGTCGTCGTCGTCGTCAGTGGAGATAAGGATAGGCTCCGGCTTAGGAACAACCGGTACAATTTCTGTCTCTTTCTCTTTTTCATCCTCGAAAGAAACGAGGATAGCTTGTAGCTTGCTGAGCTTACTCGGTGACAGACGAGTGCGAGGACTATCCGGTGTATTACTTTCCCGTGCCTCTTTCAGATACCGCTTCAACCTATCAACGACGTCCTTCTGGGGAGCGACTTTGTTCTCCTTGAAGCAGATAAAAAGAGATTCAATGAGAGTAAACGATTGATGCAAGAGTTCTTCATCCGTGAGGCGTAACCAGCGCGTCAGTTCCGTCAAAATTTGCTGCATGTCGTTCAACATCCGTTTGGTTATACTGCTCTGCAACCGTGTAATAATGGTGCTTGCCGCCGATTCGAATGCACCGCGCTCTGCTAGCATTTCGCGCCCAAAGATGAGGGCATCCCGCATCCAGACAATCATCTCTTCGTTGTCATAATATCGTGCCCATAAAGGTGTACGCTTAAAAATGAGCGCTAATGTTTGGTTCATGGAGGTCCAGAGCCACGGTAACTGTGACGCGGGACCCTGAGGATCGGAGGAACGTAAGAAGCGGGCATTGTTGAGAAGCCCGTTCGGAGTTGCGCACAAAACCTCCATGATATCGGTCAAGCAACGGACGAGCGACTTCGACTGACTGCACGTCTCGGGGACGGTATACGAATGGTCTCTGAAAGTCGACAGGTATTCAAGGATTCCTTCCAACGTCGCATCTGGATGATTTCCTAGCAGAGCGCGGAAACAGTCCATACGTACATCAGCATCAAACGCCAGGCCCACCACGGTCTGTCCAGCTAACTGCAGGTCTTCTACGGGAGAGAGCATCAGCTTAACAACACTCTTGACGATCCCCGGTCGCTGAAGAACTTCGAGAGCAGACGATGAGGAGTTCCGATCAGAATAGTTTGAAATGGAAGCAAGAAAATCTGTTTTGACGGCAGCCAGAAATGTGTTTACTTCTGACAGAAGATTCGAACCTCTTGAGATGCTCGCAACTTTACGAAACGCAGCTTCATTCATGCGATCCAAATGGGCGACTTGGGCCATAACGGGCAAAATGACTACGATTCCTTCATCGTAATTGATCTGCAAAGCAGCAAATGTTCTCTTCCATATGGAATGTCTGAGATCCAGCGACGCAAAGTTTGACCGCGCTTTTTTGGAGGCTAAGGCTTGAGCAAGACTTGACACAGCATTGAATATGCCGGACAGATCCTGACTCATGATGACTGTAATCAGATCTTGTGTGTCTGTGCGGGCCCCCTTCCATTCCACCCCGGCGTACAAACTGGAGAAGGCCACGGACACCAAAGTCTCAGCGTGTATTCCCAGAACATTTGTTATCGCTACGTGATGATCGTCCTTCTTCTGCGACTTGAGAAACTAGAATGATGGTGAAGGAACGCAACGTGTAACTAATTGAATGCTCACCTTGGCGGCTAACGACATCACTAATGGACGGGCATCTCCAAAACGTTCTACTTGGAGCTCTTCACATACATAGTTGGCCATTTTGGCAACGACTTGCGCATATATGGCCGTGTCATGTATCAATGAAAGGTATTCCACAAACCACGAAAGAAACCACATGTTCCTCTCTTTAGGACACTCTTCAAGCAATCGAGTCATTCCTATGTCGTTGTCCTTGACTGAATCGAATATGACTTGTGGATATTCAGGACCCTCGCCAAGCCATAACCTAACGCCTAGTCGCTTCATAACAAGGGTGAAACAACGCAGAATGACTACGAATTCTAGAGCGCAATGTTGACATAAGGGTTTGATTGAATGCAAAACACTACTAACCAGGTCCTCGGTCAGACAAGTGCCTAACGACAAGACGGCGCATATCGATATTTTGTGAGGTCACGTAGAGCAGTTCCTCGGGGGGTATCAACCGTAGTGCGTGAATGAATCCATCCCAACGAGTTGAGTTATCAGATGAAAGCGTATCGAGCAGTGCTTTGGAGACTTTGGATAATGTCCCGGGAACGAGATCTGTATTGCCTGAGAAGACGTGTGCGAGGATGTCCAAAACACGATGATATGGTCCACTGAAAGATTCTTTTGACAATGGAATCTGTGAACATCTGGCAAATTGGGCTTTTGCCCACTGACGAACACGTAAATTCCGATGCATAAGCAGAATAAACATGCCCGGAGGAAAAGGGTCATTTGGCCAGCCGGCCAAGGGTTCCTCTGGGGTATGCTTATCGATGATTTCGAGAATAGCATCATCTTGGAAGATAGCGAGATTGGCAACTATGCGATAAACGACGCCAACGGGTACATTGGACAGCAACTTCGGAGTGGCAGCTGGTCCTGCAGTAATCCCCATACCAGACAAATTGTCCAAAACAGATTGGAGCTCCCATTGCTCAAATTTAGAGAAGAAAGCCTCTTTTGTTTCCTCGGTAAACGCAGCGAGATACCTAGTTGTCAAGTTAGAAATGCCAGTCGCGAATCAAGGCAATGTAAGCGAGCTCACGTAGTCCTGGAAGAATATTTTGCCCGCTCCAGTCCACAAGCACAATCGGCACACCTCATCACGCACACAGATAGTCTTTCCTTCCAAGTCAGCACTAAGGGGCTGGTATACGCGAATAGTCTGATGAGGAAAGTTGCAGCTGCGATGGTGGTAGTAGTGGCCCGACCACAAAACCAATGGATATCTTCCCCATCCTTAGACACGCCCATGAGGTAGTTGTATACCGGACCCAGGACGTTGTCGCCGAGGTTGTTGCTGTCGACGGGACTATCGCGAAGTTTGTCGAGGACATTTTGGACCTGCGTCGCTGAAATGGCCCCAGCCATGATAAACGAACAAGAATGAAGAGAGGACGCTGTAAAATAGCTATGGCGTCGTCAACGTTGCTTCCGGCATAGAAAGGGAGCGAAGGTGGTACTGGCAGTGAGAGTCGCGAGTAATTTTGCGCGCGTGCACGTGAACGCAGGGTTTCTGAAATTCAATATTATTTATTCTAGTAATTTATTCAGAGACATTAACATCAATCTGCGACCATGGATCCTCACGATTTGGAGAATCTAAATACGGCGCTAGACCATGAAGCCCAACTTCGAGAGGTGAAATTAGATGCCTCTGGCGGTCTGGACTTGCCACAATACTTTCCTAGAAAATCAAGGAACAAGTTGTCGATCTCGACAAGAAAGCGCGTACGATGGTTGGGATGCTCAACAAAGTCCATTCGATTCCGTATTCCCAAGGTGCAGCATCTGATATTCTTCCAATGTACTTTTCGACCTCATCCGATTCTAGTTGCCGGGTTGGTAGATAGCGTGTATCTTGTCCTCAGAAGTACCAATGCCCCACACACTGCTTTAGCGGACCTTGTCCCTCCCAACCAATTTTGGAGATGGAAAGACATGTGGACAAATTCACTTCGAACCAGCGTTTTTGTAGCCGCTTTCTTGGAATATCTATCCAAGGGAACCTTGATCTCACTGGCGTCGACATCCGAAGCCCTTGGAAGTGAGTCATTTTTGTATTCGGCAGAACACATTAGCCGACGTTTCGTATAGTCCTTGATGAATGGAAAGATCGTTTCACCCTGCCCATTGAGGACTATTTACACGGGCTAATTACGCTTGTGAACGAGTTGGTGAGGATGTGGTTTGTCTTCAACAATCCGTGTCAACTGACTGTCACTCCAAGTCGCGATTGGCTGTCAATGCAGTCACTTTAGGTAATTTCCAGGAGCCAGTCAGAATATCTATCTTCGTGAAAGATATATTCGCCGGATTTACAATGGTAGTGCCTGCTTTCCCTCATGCTTGCATCCTGATCATGTTTCTCCACAGCTAAATCTGAAAAACGACCAACTGCGTCGGAGGTTCGACAGTCTAAAATATGATATGAAGAAGGTTGAAGAAGGTGTGCTTCGATCTTCAGTCTCATATCCATTGCTTACAGCCCACCCAGTCGTTTACGACGTTTCCTTACGGAAGCTGGCGCAACCTCCGGACCCACCGTCTGGTTGAGTTACGATACTTTTGTTTCAATCCGTAGTCTGTTCTCCGTTTTCTTTCCCTGGCGCTTGTAGTGGGTCTTTGTTTTATCTCCTAGTTTCTACCACGACTCTCGGGTGATCAGGCTTCCCAGTAACAGACTAGTCACTTACTATACGTGACGCCCGGAAGGTGTGTCGTCTAAGGGGTAAGATGGTACCCATTACTCGGACGAGCCAGGGCCCTGATCATGGTCATCTGCACGATGTACGAGTCGCCAACCAGTCTGAATGGCAGTCACAGAGACTTCCATACTTCATTGAAAATTTCTTCACGAACCTGATGAATTACCACCAATGATGCATCCATCTTCATACATTTTCTGGAATGTTCAGGGTTTCACTTGGTAATTTGCAACGGCTCGGGTTCGAACTAGTGTACTTCATGCGTCATCAATTGTGTTTGGCCTTCCAAGAAAAACAAGGGTTTGCGGAGTTTAAATACCCAATCGGGCAACCTGAACGTTCACGTAACGCTGTTCTCTACCAAGTGATCAAACGTACTTCGTTTTCACTTGATGCGCTATCCACGAGACTCAGGCTGCATAACGGTCTCATAGCGAGTATTTCATGGATAGAAAGCGAGGCGTAGCAACGCGCCCTGCCGCTTCCGAAGGTAGGTTGCCTCAAAAAAGTAACTGATTTAAGCTGCCACTAAAATGCGCGTTCAGAAATTGAGTTCTGGAACCACGCCAGAACGTCTTTGTTAACGCTGTCCAGTATATACACCAATCCTGCCACTGCAGAAACAATCGGTCGTGTGAACCGGCTGATCTCCGCGTGGCCAAGTGACGACACTGTGCCGTCCGAGGGTCTGGACGGTGTCAAGACGATATATAAAAAACTGAACACAGGACTAAAGGATATAGAAACAGCATCTAATAATGAAGTCAAGTAGGTAGATTTTTGAGGACTCTTTCATGCTCGTTATTCACCCTTGGTTTTCCAGAGCGATCGACCAAACCCTAGATCAGATTGGTATACTCATTGCTCTGAGGCAAGCTACAGAAACCGGTAAGTTCTTGTTTCACCTATAGCCGTTAGCCACTCCACCGAAAAATATGAGCACAGCCGCGGACAAACGAAATAAGCGGCCTAATAGAGGTCCGTCACCGTCTTCGACTCCTACCCCAGCAGGTGTTCCTCCCGCGTCTGGCACTACGCGTGGTGTTTCAATTACTCTACCGCCTCGGAACTCTGCTGGAACCCCGCTCTCGGTCGCCGTTTCCCGTGAGAAAACCCGCAGGGAGGGTATAGCCCGACAATTACCCCTTCGAGAAGGCCGAACTATTGCGTTTCACCCTCCTCCTAAACCTATCAAAGACGCTGACCAGAGCGATTGGATACTTGCTGTCATCACGAGGTGTATTAACGCCGACAAGCACAAGTATGCCCCCAATTGGTAGGACTTGACTGGAGCTCATGAATCTCTCGTTCTTAGGTATGAAGTCCGAGATGTCGACGACGAGAATACAGAGTAAGTGACATTGCGGCTCCCTTGGCCCACTATCTCTCACTTGCCTTCCCCAAACTAGGACGTACCCTACGACGCTGAAATCGATTATTCCTCTCCCGGATCCAAATGCACCTACAGGGACCCCGGAGAGTATCTCCGTGTGTCCCGAGTACGGCAAGGGAACTATCGTGCTGGCCCTTTATCCTGACACAAGCTGTTTCTACCGGGCTGAGGTAGTTACTCCTCCCCGGGACATGCAACCAACCGGACGGGTGTGTTCTCTTTCTGATGAGATGACGTCTAATTGACTCATCCACTCAGTCGTATTTGCCCACCTACGAGCTAAAATTCGAAGACGACGAAGAGCAATCTCAAATAATAAGTGCGCAATACGTCGTCGAGTTTCCTAAGGATTAGGATTATTTACAGTTTTACGATTTATGTTGCATTGTATCATCATTGTAGGTAGGATACCCTTTTTTGGAATTTGATGGGCCAATGGCGTTGTTGGGCCCCTGGTGTAAATATCTGGACCGAAAGACTCTTAAAGTGTTTATATGTAAGTGTGAGTTCGTCAGAAGAGAGGAATAATTCTAGTGTATCATCTATGGCTTTGAGAGTTGCCCAGGAGGGAACCATCAGTAAATGCTGTTTCACCCGAAAACTTTGATTCATAACGTGGTTCCTGCCACCCTCCAACTTGGCGCTGAAGGTGTATCTAGCATAAGCATCAATATCTGATTATACAAGAAAGAAGGAGCCTCGAGCCGCAACCTTAGCGCCTGCAGTATTACCGACTGTGGGAAGTCCGTGTGGGCAATAGGTTTCGACTGGAAGGCGAAAGCTCAGACGCGTTTTGTCACGATAGCTGTATGGCGCTCTACTACTCAAACGCCGCCTGGTTCAGATTTCGAGCAAGACCTTGCCATGACTGTTGGATTGGAAGAAAATGATCCTGCCGTTAGGGATTTTTGGAGAACTTTCGTCGTACTCCATCCATCGCTCGTGATGTCATCCTGCATTTCAGCTCCGTCTCTTTTCGCCTTGCTTCCTGCGTGTGAAGTCTGAACACCTCTAGTACTAGGCAAGCTGTAATACAACGTGTAGATAGGGCCGACTACGCCAACTTTGCAGTAATCATCATACACTCAAAATCTGCCAAAGTCATTGACTTGTCCGGCGCAGAAGAGAAATTTTCGAGCATTTCGATAATCTTATGTATCCAATGTATAAGAATGACGGAAGAAAAGCAGGACCGGAAGGAATATACCTCTTCAGCTTTCAGTTTTTCATTGAGCAATTTTGCGACACGTTGGATGTCGCCGGTCATTATTTTCTGGCGGGGCAAGTCCTCAGGCGTAGCGTTAGGGAAAAAGAGCGCAAAAGTTTCTAGGCAAGTTTGCTTTTGTCTTTCGGTCAACTGTTTGGGCTTCGTAGAATCCGAATCAGAGTCCGAGTCGCACGCACGGGCAGCAGTACGTGTGCGCCGACGCGATGGGGCTGAGTCCAGATAGTCATCATCTGAAGCATTATCTGATTCCTCCATATCAACGTCCACCGCCTGATAGTCACTCCCTGGATCACTGACTGGACGGGAGATCGCGTCTCCATCGCTATCTGTATATTCTTGGGCATAGTGTTCGAGCAAGATGGCACAAACAGCGCGCCAGTCATCCAAACTGACAGACAATTCTGTGGACACAATTGCACCCTCATCCCAACCCGATGCAGCTTGGCGAAATATGGTCAAGACTTGTTCGTCATCGGGAGGCAGGTCAAGGAGTTGCAGAGCAGATGGAATGGATGAAATTGGAATATTAGGAATTTGAGACGCGTCTATCTCATCTTCTGCTTCGATTAGGACATCCTCGACAAGAAATCCGCCGCCTCCGGACGAACTAGGAGATGCAATTTGTTTGTTCTTCTTCAAAGGTGGGGCCTCGATGAGATGAAGGGAATTTGCAGTGGAAGTGTACACCTTGTCGATTCGACGCTGAAGATATCGGGGAAGTACAGAGAAAGCTGAAGCAGCCATGATTGTTACTTGAAGGACGAAATTGGAAGCTGTGCTTGAGTTTGGCTTTAATTACGCTGGCGCTCGGCATCTTGGTGACGTCACCCATTCGTCACTGGGGGGTTCCAGTATGTTCTCGTTTTGTGTGCTAGAAATGCCGTATTTGTGAGTCCGGTGAGGTATAAAAGAGAGAGATTTCCGTGTTTTCAGACAGCAATATTGTCCCCAAAATGTCTATCACTAGACAGCTGTTTCGTGAATTCCGCCCTCTCTTCCGAATGCTCGAGGAGCCTATCACTCGTGCTCCTACCTCATATTCCTTGAGGTCTCACCCTTTCTTCGATGACCCCTTTTTCTCATCCCCAGGTTTTGGCCGACCTGCTGTTGATGTGACAGAGCAGGGCAACAAGTATGTCGTTGAAGCTGATCTTCCTGGTGTCGCGAAGGAGAACGTCGAGGTTCGAATTGGCGAAGGAGGTCGCAGCCTTACTATCGAGGGAAAGGTAGTGAGCAAAGCACCGGAACTGGAGCCAACGCAAGCCTCTGAAGGCGAACAAGCGTCTTCTACAGAAGGCATGTCTTCTTAGTTTACAATGTTTTCACTTGGCTGATAATATTGCGTTTGTAGTCACTAAAACCGATGCTCCCAACCAAATTTCTGCTGAAAGGCAGTTCTGGAGTAATTCTTCATTTACTCGTACCGTCTGGCTGCCCCGTCTAGTCGACAGTAACGGTGTTTCTGCACAGCTCAAGGATGGTGTTTTGACCGTGACCATTCCAAAGGCCGAAGACAAGGCCAGCGTAGTCGTACCTGTGCAGTAGAACATTGTTTTTTGTAGTATACTTGTATAGTAGTATCCTTTGTATCCCAAAATCTGTATTTCCCCACTCATGCAACGCGTGATCCTCAGGTCGGAGCGAAAACGGCGAAAACGGATTTGGGATGTCGGCTTACCGCCCTACGTCGCGTGGACCAGATTTTCACTGGGCCAGTATTTTGATCTCCCGCCTTTGTAACGTGTCGCTTTTTCCGTCCTTCCTCCTTCCGGTCTTTCCTCATCCACCACCCAAAATTCTGTCTGCTACTGTCCCCATGGCCTCCCACCACCCTCCTATTCCTCTTCTTCCGGCTGAGCTGATCCTCGTTGATTCAGATGTCGAGGCAGAAGTCGACCAGCTCGATTCTGATACAGAGGGTCTTGACGAGCCTGATGTCAACGGCGCTTCAGCCTCCGCGAACGACACCATGAGCGGTGCTCGGAGCAGCAGACCAGTTGGACAGACTCTTTTGCCCGGTACGAAGTTGGAAAATATCATATCGGCGGACGGTGTGTATGTTTCATTCTCTGTCTCGGTTTGTTCGCTGGACAGTAATCAGGAGTGACGGGGAGTCTGTCATTATCGAAGGAGGCCCTCTTCGTACTGTCCATCGCTACTGTATGCGTCTTTCGTCGCTGATTTTTTGACCCGAGAAATAGTTAACCTTCTATACAGGAAGAGTTCATAAAACGACTCGCCCAGGGTGGACTACGGCAAGCTAACTCTGAACGACGGTCTGCCGTGCAGTACCAGGATATGGGTGCGTATCGGACCTCGCTGTGAAGTCGAGTGCAACCCTAACAGTGCATACATCCAGCTGCTACGACTCTTCAATACCAAGAGTTCAGATTTCTGCAAGGCGTGTTCCGCATCCTCTTCTTTTGCGTCAGTCAAATAACAATCCATGTCTTCTAGATACGATCCCTACAGCCATATCCCTGGCTGATGCTATATTTCTCCGCGAAGAGATGGAGAAGCAACTTTTTGACGAAGAACCTCCTCCTCTCAAACCTTCTACATCTACCGTGAACTACACATATCCTGTCATCCCACCACTTCCCTCTACAACCTCCCAACCTCTGAATGTGTCTTCCAAACCCAAGGGCAAGAGTCGCATGGCGAACGGAAGGGAAAAAAGCAATGGCAGCTCCAGCTGGGCTAACGGAAGTTCCAGTCATAACGAGTCTACCTTCAACGAGATTCCTAACTTCCTCCTGGATGCCAGGCCATGGTGGCACTACTGGCCTAAAAAGCCTGCTGAAGTGCAGAACGGACTTGGGGAGACACGACCAAGCATACCTCATGATCCAACAGGTGCAGGGACCTCACCCCTGCCCACTTGCCCGCGAGTGGACGGAGCCAATGCTTCACGGCCAGGTACTCCGAGCGTCACTGAAAGTCGGAGACGATCTGCCTCTCCCCGTCCTAGCCAGTCACAAACCCCGCTAAGCGAAGAAATATCACCAGAACCTAGACAAAATATCAGCGAGATACGAGGAACCACTGCTGATTCCTAGTTGGGTCTTCTGGCCGTCTCACGAGACCCTAGAGATTTGTCTGTAGGTTGCTGAGGCGCTGTAGTTGTATTTTTTGTTAGACTGGTTACTGTACACGAGAGTCGGTAATTGCACAGACAGCAGGTAACTGTGTACTAGGGTGGTGTTCGTAATATCGTTATTAGAAGAACGGGATAGCACCCTATTTATCATTTCTACAATATATCTCAGTTTTGCGCACAGTTTTCGATGATGCTGCCGCCTTAAGTCCAGAGTCCCGAAACCCTCCTTGAACCAAATGAAGACGTCCTTCGCCAAGTAGCGCCGCTGACCTTATGTACAAGATTCGAGGCATTCTGATACGGTCGATCGGCCTTCTCCGCAGTACATAGTATCCAGTACACGAGCGGACCACGATGTTGTTTCCTAGTTATCTAACACGCTGTTAGAGACCAGGATGGGAGAAAGTTGTGGTCAAATTTATCAATCACGTCTCGGAACCTCACCCAAATGGTACGTTCTGTCGTCAAAGCAAGCCTCGCCTTAGGGTTAACATTGCGTCAGATCTGGATTCATATTCCTAATGATAGACCATTGAGACAGGATGGGTCGAAGCAGACTGTACTTGAGAGTATCATCGAGAAGAAGACAATGATCAACTTGATCCAAGCCTTTGCTGTTTCTGTCAAGGTACTTCTTACCGAGTAACCCTGTTACTACTTTCCTCTAATCCTTGTTGGGATTGGATAGCACTTCCTACGAGGCGAGACGGGGGTCTACTATGAAGATCTCTACCCTCATCTCGTTTTTGCCCCAATTTGCATCAGAAGCGGCAACAAGCTACACCGGTGATGACGCTGCGCCTCCAAAAAGATAGAACTTGCCAATGGTGCTGTTGCTCTCGCTGCCACCGACGAAGAAGCTACAAAATCCATCTTTGTTGGCAAACTTTCTTGGGGTGTTGATGACGAGCGACTAGCGACCGAGTTCGCTGAATGCGGCGAGGTCGTTTCTGCCCACGTTCAGCTTGACCGCAACACGGGCAAGTCTCGTGGATTCGGATACGTACACTTCACCTCGGCAGACGCAGTGGAGAAAGCACTAGAAATGTCTGGTCATGAGATCGACGGACGTGCTATATTCGTCGACAGATCGCAACCCCCCTCTGCAGATCGCACGGCTGGTCGAGCCAGGAAGTTTGGTGATGAGACAAGCGAACCGAGCAGCACGCTCTTCTTGGGTAACCTCAGCTTCGATGCGAACGAGGACAACGTGTGGGAGTTCTTCAACGAGTATGGCGTGAAGAACGTCCGACTTCCAACGGACCGGGACACCGGGCGCATGAAAGGGTTTGGATACGTTAAGTTTGAGGATATTGAGGATGCGAAGAAAGCATTTACCGCCGCGCAAGGTCAGGAGATCGCTGGTAGGACTATCCGGGTTGACTATTCGCAACCGCGTGATGCTTCTGGTGGTGGCGGACGTGGAAGAGGTGGAGGCCGTGGATTTGGTGATCGCGGTGGACGCGGCGGCGGTAGAGGGTTTGGTGATCGTGGCGGACGTGGTGGTGGCAGAGGATTTGGTGGCGACCGTGGCGGACGCGGTGGAAGGGGCGGACGAGGAGGATTTAATCCTCGGTCAGGCGGTATCATGCCTTTCGAAAACAAAAAGATCACATTCTAAACCTGATTTTCATCTTGCATCCATGCTGATTATGTTCATTTTTTACTACCTCATTGTCCTCATGCTGTTAATGACCAATGTCTAAGACATTTACATGGATGAAACATGGTTACATTCGGTGAATTCATACGAAGTGATACAGAAAGGAAGTTGGATGGACCATCAATACAAACTACCCGATGTCTGTGTTGTCTGAGGCTTTGGGACTGGCAGAGGCTAAGAATATTGCCTTGTCCGCGTCGTTCAAGACTTCTTCAAGCTGAGCCATGACCTCTTTTTCTTCTTCAGTGTCTTTGTGCTCCCAATACGTCCTGACGTAACGAACAAGTTTTTCTTTCGGTGTATTTTTTGCCTCGTAATCGTCAAATGCAATGAGCATACCGTTTCGACTCAGCCACCCTATGAGGTAATCAATATCAAACGAATCGGTGAGTGCTTTCTTCAAGGTTTTGGGACGGAGAGATTTGTAGATCTGGCACCAGCGCTGGAGTTTGGTGAGGATTAAAATGGTGGGATGGAGGATGGGTAAAGCTAAAATTTGACTGTGAGAAGAACAAGACAATATAGAGAGGGAAGCACTTGCTCGTTTCGGAGGAAACAATACATGGTATGTTGTAGACATGATCTACTGAATCTGGGAGACCAAGAGTTCCAGCTGAAAGTGTCTCGATAAGGACGTTGCTCTTGCTCCGGGAAAGAAGTTCAATTCCGGTGAACTTTGGACTGGACTTGACGGTAACTTCTCGGTCGTCAGAGAATGCATCCAAGTCCTGTATAGAGCCAATTTGTCAGACCAGATGTAGATATTGTACAGGTGATTGAGATACCTCAATGAAATAAAACTTAAGAATGTTCTCCATGAATCGTTTGTCAATCTCTGATACTTTCTCTCGCAGAGTCGAAAGGTCCAAGGCGTTTTTGGGGATTTCTATCAAAATATCTATATCGTATCTAACACAAGAACTGTCAGTCAATTATTTAAAGAGACCTTTTTTCCACCTATCTCTGTGTATCGTTCACTACCAAGGAGACGCCAAGCAAACCCACCGATGTAGGCATGACGAATAGTGAGGTCGGTCAACATACTGGAGAGTGTTATTGCTGCATGTTCTTGTGAGTCAAGGCTGGTAGTTATGTGGATTTCTTTGGGCGCCATGAGGATGGTTGATAATGTCGAACAATGGCAAAAGACGAAGAGAGGAGTTCTAGCACAGCCATCATCGGGCTGATATTTCCGCTTTCACGTGCTTTCAAAGTCCACATGATTCTTGGCGGCACAGGTTTCGGAACTTGACCACAATCCACGATAATGTCTATGCAACCATCGCACATTTCTCTGCCCAACACCATTCGCACTATTATGTTCCCCAGTTCTGACGCTAAAGGAGACATCAGTCCATTCTCCCTGCCTCCTAAAACATTGGTTGACTTCTCTCTGTGGATGTTGAACAGAGCTGGGATAGTCGTGACGGAGTGGCGGGCTTTACTATATAGGCGGATGAATGTGCCATTAGTTCCTTTTGTGAGTATTATTTCTTATCATCGTCCCTGTAGTCTAAACCTCTTCAGAACTTTTCCTACATCGTTCCCGATGATAAGCTGCAAGAGGCGTCAGAAGTCCTCACTTCCATGGGCTTACCGCTATCTGTGCCCGACCCGCTATATCTTTCCACAGGAGGAGACTTATTTGCAAAGGCCCTCCTTCACAGAATAACTCTATCAGCTAATCTCGGGCCAGCGCGGTTCATCCTACTCTACCCATCATCCTTTTGCCCATTTCGTCCTTCCGAGCTGGAGTCTGTCAATCAACCCCTCTTTGGTCTTGATTTTTTGTCTGTACCGCTCAATGTGCCAACCGCATCAGCGACTTACGCATCTCTTGTCCGTACTGTAGCCGTGTACAAGAGGCACAATGCCACGAGGAAGACGCTGTTAAGCGAGTTGGCTCAACTGGCACTCTATAACCTATATGACGGTGATTATGGGAAATATTCAGGAGACGAGGATGACGACGAAGAAAGCGAAAGGGAAATACAGCAGGCCGTCGCTGTTGTACGTGGGTGGACTTGGAATGCAGATGAAGAATGGATTGGTGATGCGCTGGTGGAAGTCGTTGCTACATCTGCATATCGTAATCTTCCATGGACGGACTGTTGAGGGTGCAGGCATTGGTTACAATATCAGGTAAGCTTTGCCACTACCGCACCTCGTCAATATCAGCTAAGCCCTAGATTTGCAGTCTGAGCAAGCTCATACCAGCCAGAGGAATACATATAGCAACTATCATGTCACGATCACGTACGGACATGTGTGGAGCCACGCCGATATTACTTGTTAGAAACCGGCCTTTCACAATTGAATGATGATGGTATATTTTTGCAGATAAGGGAAAGGATTGCCGATTTATTATTGCTGTAATAACGAAGCAGAAGCTTAGGCATCATTTTCGACGACTAGGTCTGCCCTGGCTTCTCGAAGAGCTATTGAGGGGCATAGAAGAGGGTGTTTATATATTTTTATTCTTTTTGTATGATTCATACAGTCAATGTTAATGAACATCCATTTCATAATGATACTGTACTACTCTGACTACAATGTTTGGCCCGTTAGGATCGAGGAATGTTGCGTCGCCTTCATGGTCGTCGATTAATTTCTGTTTTCCAAGTACATAAACTCTGTAAAAGGGTTCATGAGTAAGGGAAAGTTCTGTGCCACTTACAGTGGAATAAGAATGAAGGGCGGCGCGCTACATGTTCTCCGTATATGGAGTCTCTTATTCGAATCTTCCGTTCTAGAATCTTGGCTGTTATTGTGTCTGGTGGCGCTCGAACATTGGTCTTTCTTCAAATATCTAATCTCGATAATCCCTGGCTCTGATGCCTGAACTTTGTTGGAAGATACCGAGCACTCAAGTCATCGAACCGTAGTTTAGGTACTGTTGCTGTGAGTGCTCCACTTGCTCCTGTAGGTCGACTTACGACTTACGACTATCTGTTGCCCAGAAAACGCGATACGAGTCCACTTTGTGTACCAGTGCACGCTATTTTAATGTCATGAAGTCCCACTCAGGGTCTTCAGTAATCAGAACGGGAACTGCTGATTTGAGGTGCCTTCTCTTAATGCTGCTGATCGATCCCTCAAAAGCTTTCATAGCCGTGTCGGTATGACAGTTGTGTTGGTTACTTCCGCCAGCCTCAACTAGATGTTTTCAACACTACATGCTACCCTCCGACTAGGCAAGGGACGAGTTATCAAAGGTTACACTGTCGTGCGATCTGAGGCTCTTGGATGCTTTCCCAAATCATGCATACAGCTCATAATACCACACTGCCTGCAATGTGCAAAATATCCCTCCCATTGAAATGTTGACCAACGATGTGATGTATCACGCATTAAAAATATCGAGAACGTTCTCTCGGGGAGTCAATAGCGGACAACGTCGAGATACTTTTCATCCGGCCACGACAAAGCCACTAATCATGCTTCACCTCAGTTTTCATAAGCGCATGCAATAGCTGTGCTCTCTCCATGTAGGGCCCTTGTAGCTGTACAACAATGTTCATCGTCCGTTCAAGGGACAGCAGTTGTCAATGAGCGGCGTCGAATTTTGATCAACATCCGCTATGACACGCAGTGTGCGGGGCATGTGATCCCCCTCGTCCTAACCCTTCGTTATTAGTTTCACCACAAAATCCAGTCAGCCCTGTTTGAAAATTGACTACCTCGACATGCAGGTTTTTTTCGTTTTGATGCATTCAAGACGCGTAAGTGTCTTCCATGACAAGGCAGCCGGAGTATCATCGTCAACCGACCCATCACGCACTAGTTACCCTGATCATCGTAGATGGGCGTCCACGGGAAAGTTCTCACATATATAAATGATGCCAGAATTAATGTTTCGTCCCTTTCCTCATTTCGGGACCCTTGTCATTCTTGTGTTTCCCCTTTCCTCTCCTTGAACCCTCGTTGGTCGACCCTCAAAAAGGCTTCACTTCGCCATGGTTGCCTATAACCCCGTCCTTCGAGGCAAGTGGACGTTGAAGAAGTTTAATGCGACCGTGATCAATGACATCTGGCCGGAGGTGTTGTTTTTTACCGCCGTAGCAACCAGTAAGTCTGTGGTCATGCACCCGTTTTTCGTCGTTTTAACGTTTGTTTTTGTACAGTGGTGACGTTTGTATCCATTAAAACACCACACTCTTTGGCGGTTAACCCGCAATTATTGACTGTACTGGGTACTGTCCTCGGTTTGGTGATTTCGTTCAGGACGTCCTCTGCATATGAGAGATCCGCTGTCTTTTGTGTCTGTTCATTCTGACCCGATTCCAGCTGTTGAAAATCCAGAAGCATTAGTAGGCCTATGCTGAGTGACAAAATCAGTCATATGAATCACACTTACATCCTCCGCTCTTTCGTTCCTGCTTCTTCATACAAGCTATCATCCGTTCCATGACATTGTAGCAGACCATGCAATTGACGCATCTGTATATAAACAACGTTTCAATGACATACATAGATGTAACATCCAAGACGCTCGTCATAAGTTTCGTCCTGAAGCAAGATGAAGGCAAAGAGCTGGCGGTATGTTTGAAGAACTCATAGAGGTTTATAGCTAGTAATGAAGATGACTGAACATTTGATAAACTGACTCCAGAGACAGGAAGGGTTTCGCAAGTCCGTGGTTAAGCTGTCTAGGACTTCAAGCTTCAATAATTTGTGGACTGAAGAAGCATAAAGTAGTCTCACTACTACAAGTCAAAGCATAAGATGTCGCATTCTGGGCCCTATTAGGAGAACCTGAAGAAACGGAGAAAGTAAGGACAGGATTGTCGGACCTCAGGCAGTCACAGTTGTGGGGCACTAGTAGGATCGTTCGTACCGAGGAGTAGAATTGACCAGTGTAGCAGAGCTTTCTATGTAGCAAGCTATACCGACAGCTTGCCTCATACACAGGATAGTTACTAGACGGCTGTAGGTGTCTCCCATCGAAGTTGTCGGCCTTTCGGGCCGAACAGACATTGAAGGCTGACGCTCGTAAACATTCATTTATGCGACAATCAACTTTATTACTTGCTACTACGCACAATGGAAAGCTTTTAGATACTCAAAAACAGAAGAAACCAGAAATACTTATTCAGAATTCCACGCAACCGTTACGTAGTGCCTCCACCGGGAGCAGGGATGGCATAGAATGATCAATTGCGCTTTGGCTTGTATGGAGGTTTCGGGCAATATTGCAGTACGCTGTCTTCATAATCGTCTTCATCCATTCCGCTTTGTTCTTAGGTAGGGGTGTATTTGAGCATTTATTTGTCTCAGCTTCGTCTCCAACCTGTTTTGTCATGCTTTCCTTGGTATCTCCCGAGGCCAGAGGTAGCTTCATCGGTGGCAGGTCCCGTATCCATCCCAAAGGATCTTTCGTCGGCTCTTCAAGGATGTCCGGCACGTTCTCTTTGTGTCATCTCAGTTTTCCTTGTGCGGTAGGATAGTCCTTCGCTTTCGCTTTTTGGCGCGGGCTCTCGATTTCGCTTTCGCTCACCCCTTCTTCTTCACAGCTGCTATAGAATCCAAAGGATCCATGTTTACCACTTCGGCTTCGACTAATCGAGTTGGTAAAATACCCCTCAGAAAGGGTTCATCAGGCTTACCTTCATCAGAGGCGGCATTGAGATTCTCCGCTACGTCAGGCTGATCGTCGAACTCCAGTTCATAAGGAGCATGCAACGCAAGATAGTCTTCAAGGCTTGTTATGTCGACAAGGATTCACCGCATCGATGCCGAGATTATGCACACGGCAGTGTTGCTCGGGAAGAGAAGCATGAGGTTCATGTGGAACTACTGTCGGATGAAAGGCCTGTATCGAACGTGGATCACATATTGTAAACCCAGGAGCACAAATTGATTCCCTGTTTGTAAACTGCTTAGTCAGGGAATCAATGGCACCATTCTCATCGAGACCAGTTGGCAAAGGTCCATCCCTACTAAGCACGTCGTGGAAGGGACGCGCTACCTCAGACGCTTCTCTGAAGACAAGGACCTCGTACGTGGGGGTTTCACTGCCGGAAGGCAATCCCTGTCGATTGCCGCTAGCTGCAGGCGATGAGTAATTGTCTAAACGACATGAGTCAATCGATGCAAGCAATTACGATTTTGTGCGATTCACCTGCTATAATTTCCCCTAGGTCATTGAAATATGTCGATAGCGACTGGGAATGTGGAGAAAGAGACATTCTGTCGATAACTTCTGCTGGCATGTCTTCCTCGGGATCATCCTGACGCTCCAATAAAAACCATCGGCGCTACTGCGCCACAGCTCTTCGAACAATCTCGTCATGGACATGCCAGGTAGGACATTGTCGGGAAAGGCAGGTGCGATGTGTGAAAAAGAAACCCAGCGGCAGATGGATGTGTCTTGCCCAGAGAAGGTAATCGGCCCGATGAAGGTGCTGGAAATGGGGGTGGGAAGTGTTTGTTGCTGGGTATCCTTGTCGACTGAAAGGCGTTGAGACGTACAAACGGCAGTCAAGGCACGATGAAAGACCTATTTCACTAAGGCAGTGGAACAAAGGACAGTGGTGGCAATTACAGATGGGCAAGATCGAAGTTTTGTTATCCTCCATAGCTTTGGTACTAGACTGAAGGCTTCCAAGGGTGAACTTCAGAAGAATGTCGGAAAAGCAAGCACATGACGGACATAACGGCATACAGGCACGAAAACATATATACAGATATCCTAGATAGAGCCGTGAATGTGGAGGCAGTCGTGTAACAGTATGGCTACTTACTAATGAACTTTATTCGTCTTTAAACCGGTTCCCAAGCTCCTTTCTGAGAAGTTGCGCATGTCGGTCCGTGAATCCTTCACATTCAGACACCGTCACTTCGGACAGAATAGCAGGCGATGAAAGGCTGTCCGTATACTGGACACGAGAGTTTATGACATCGACCAAGATATCACCGGTCAGTCTGTGACAATGGAGGAGGACGAGGCGTTGTAGCAGTGGCAAGCGAACCTGCATCTCTGTGTGATTGTTGGCCCAGAAAGGGCGAAGATGTCTGATGACAGTATCTGACATATCTGATGCCACGATAACAAAGTCCTCGAGTGTGGTGAGGCGGTCGAAGACGTACAAAAAATCCTTCGTCCGCATATCGCTGTAGTCCATTTCCAAAATTCTGATGGGCGGATTACAGCGTGAGATGAGCTTTCGAAGACCCATCCCAGTTGCATGATCACTAGATGGTGATCGGGAGAAATCGTTGGCCTCATCTTCGCTATCTCCATTGTCATATCCCTCTATCAGGATGTTAAAATCCACGTTTAGGTAAGACAGATATAGTTCGCTGAGATTGGGAGCATTGATAGCTGATAGGATAGCTCGGGTAAGGCTGGTTGACTTTAAAGACAGAGATGAAAGATGTGGAAGTGAGACCGTAGGCGACGGTAGGCTGTCTCGCTCATCGGAATAAATATACGCCTCAAAATCCAGAGTGCGAAGCTCGGGACAGGCACCCAGGAAGTTGAGGATGGCCGACGCTGTAAGGTGGATTTGGAAGGACGTATCGACGATAGTGATTGTCGTGAAATGAAGAGGCAACAAGGAACGAGATGGGGGCAGACCTGTCATCCATACATTCATAACCGCGTCGCCCGGCCACATAGGCGAATGCTCCAGGAAGGTAGTCCGAGGTAGCTCTGTAACTTCGAAATCTCCGTCGTCCGAACGAATAACGATGTACAGGCGGTCCATGGATTTGATATCCAGATCAGTTAGACTGACTGATTCCTGGCGGTGACCTGAGAGCGTGAAACAGTGCCAACGACGAATTTCGGGAAGGCATGGGGAGAGAAGAGGGAACAATACATCTGGGGAGGACGCATGGAGGTTGACGTCGAAAGGAAGGGGAGCTGAGCGCGCTAACCAAAGGCTGGCTTGTCGTTGCGCAAACGCAACAGAGCCGACTCTGTCGTCCAAGGTGATGACCTGCCATATTCGAGGTGAGAAATCGACGACCTCCTTCCAGAATCGACAGACGCTGCCCAAGGCGAGTGGCGACAGCGCGTCGGCCACGGCACATAGGGTAAACACCTCGATGAGCAGCTCTGGTGGAAGTTGGGCAATCGGTGAACCCAGCAACGAACGGTTGGTCACCGCTGTGTCAATAACGCGAGTCTTCACCACCGTCATAGGAGGTGCTGAGATCGTCATGCTTGCTAGACAGCGGGCCAGTTGTCGCTCTAATGAAAGCTTGAAATGGTGTAATCCCAAAGGCATTCTGAACACGTGCAGTCGGAATCAAATTCGAGTCCTTACCTCAGCCTACCGTCGGATATATATATGCATTGCGTCTGCAAAATCCTACGCGATGCTGTTCGCACTGCATGGAGGCCCAGGTAATGGGAGTAGCAACAACTGTGCATTGTACCCAGCCCCGCTTTCCGTGTACGACAGCTTCACGCACTGCATACAGCAGAACTTGCTGCGCTATTGACTGTCTTCAATGCAAGCTGTCAGAAAGGAGCATGTCGAAAAAGTTAGAATTTATCGCCAATTGAGATAGGAGATTCACCACTACCGCCAGACCCGATTCTATTCATCACGCCGTTCTAGGTGTGCGTCGATATGGCACCACTAGAAAGGGACATTGCATTGGAAACGATGGACACAGTACGAGGAGAGAGTACGTTGACATGGTAAATTACAGACGAAAGCACATCCAGTCACCATCCACAGCCTCACCTTGAAATGAGCTAGATACCATCGTTGTCTATATTTTGCCCAAATCAGTCCTAATTTAGCCCGGAAAATCCTGCAAACCTTGGTCATCAACAACTGTACAGTTACCGGAATATGCCGAAAGCGCGTGGCTCAGCCTGTACTTTGGGTAATACACAGAGAAAGTCGTTATCGTCGCGCTCGCCGTCCTCCGCGTTCACCTACATCAAGACTTCGATATAAGATGCCGGGCGTAAGAGATGTCAGGTGCGTGTGCTCTCCACTTTTACAAGCAGCAAAAACTGATGATTTTACTGGTCCACAGTGCTGAGGCATTCATTGCCGCATATGCTTCCCACCTAAAACGATCTGGAAAACTTGAGGTTCCAACATGGGTTGACCTCGTCAAAACTGGCCACTTTAAGGAGCTTGCCCCCTACGATCCCGACTGGTACTACGTTCGTGCAGGTACGCCACGCGTTATACCAGCTACGGCCAGAGACTTATTATCGCAATATTTAGCTGCTGTCGCCCGTCACATATACCTTCGCAAGGACGTCGGTATCGGTGCCCTCGCAAAACTTCACGGTGGCCGTAACAGGCGCGGAAACCGTCCATCACACCATGAAGACGCATCCGCCTCTGTGCAACGGAAAATCTGCCAGTCGTTGGAGAAAATCGGTGTCCTGGAGCAAACCGAGCGGGGCGGCCGTAGGATAAGCCAGGACGGTCAGCGAGATTTAGACCGGATTGCAACTGCTGTCGTTGAAGCTGCTCGTGAGGAGGAAGAGGACGAAGAGGAGGAGGAGGAGGAAGCTGAGGAAGACGATGAGTGAATTCTTGTCGCTCCCTTTCCTGTCCTTCGCGTACGGTCTTGTGCATCTTATATTTCCACTCTGGTATGCGACATATGCGACTGAAAAATATTTTCCTTTTCTCTGTTAGATTCAGTGATAACGTGTATCTGGTGCGCCGCGAAAAGGTATTTAAATTTCAGGAGGCGCATCCCAGTCCTGGAAGTTTATGGCTTGAATAAGATGCTTGCCTCGAAAGCTTTTCTCTGCAAAATTCCTTTACAGTGCAATGCATTCAGTGAGCAAACCGACAAGAAGAAGAATTTATGTCAAAAGCTTTGACTTTGAACAGGATTGATTTATCCCTGCCTGTTCAGATCCGTATTTGCGAAAAATTGGACGACGAATGCACGAAAGACTTGAACTAACATTGCGACTTGAACGTAAGTCCTTTGACTGGAGCTTGCTGCGTATGAATGAATTGTTGCTCATCTATATGTTTTGCAAATCTAGAATTTGATGTCGATGTGTTGTGATTTTGCCGTTTTGATTTCTTTCGGCAGCACTCGCCAGTTCCATCTCGCACCCCTGCGCCCTGCGCGCCGCCTATGGTGACCACTTTGACTTCCCGCGTTCAAGATTTGAAACACATGTTAGGTTTGTGTTTGTTCTCGGAGCTCTGCATATCCTTTTGGCAGAATCCATCAGGATTTCAGTATTGCCGGCGATGCTGAAAGGGCGGGACCTGGACCTAACGATCAAATTCATCCAGCATCAGGCTGACGGGTCACATCGCGTGCATCCAGTTCAAATATTGCAATAGCCTCTTGACATTACTCAGCTAAGTGGACGGAGCCTCTTACTAGGGATAAAACCAGCGCCTGTTCTCAGACTTATCTTTCATGGTTGACCAAGAACTGAAGCTCCCTATGCCCTCTGTGAAGTCCCTACCATTGTGGGCGAACCGGGCGATTACGCAGAGTCCTTTTCCTGGGACATGGCTGTCACACATAACTACTACCTCAGAGGATTTAAATTCTGCCTGGATCAACGCGCCCAAGGCAACGCCTGCGGACGAGGCGTCATTCATGGGTTATTGTCTTGTAGTAAGTACGTGCAGTTTTCGTCTATTTAGTGCTTTTGACTGTTTGTAGATTACTCAAGCGGTTAAAGAATACCACGACATGGAGGAGGAAGTCGTGTTTCCTGTCGTGGAACAAAAACTGGACATGCATAACAATGAGGAGCAACACAAAGCCTTCCTGCCTCAGATGATCGAGTTTAATGGGTACTGCATGATGGTCCAGGCAAAGGAGAAGCATGATGCAACAAGGTTCCGAACCGGGGCCCGCTTCGAGCCTTTGGAGACAGTTGTGCTCAACACCTCTTGGACGAGGTAATTTGTTCGTCCCGGTAGCAGAAAGCTCGTTTAAAAATTTCCTTTAGATTCTTACCATTACGCCTGATAAAATGCACTAGTTCGACCGCGCCACGTTGGACAAGTTAACTGAAGGTGCCTGCTGCGTGATAAACGACGGCGTGTATGATGCTGACCTTGTCTGATAAAGATATAAAATGCACACGTCAAGAAAGCAGGGCCACTGACTGTCTTTCCTTTCACAATCACGAACCATAACTACAGCCAGATACCGCGATGGGTAAGTGTTTATATCGCCCAGTGCCCTTTTAGATATTGTTAATTTCCTCAGCTGCCTGCGCCTGCATCCATTATGTGGATGGTCCGTAACGTGCTTGGCCGGTGGAACCAAAGGTACTATATACTCCGCATCAACGGAACAAGAGAGGTGACTTTGTGTTTTACAGGCTTTGGAAATTTCCTACTTTTGACCTATGGGGGAACCCGCAATCCTACAACGGATAGATAGATGTATCGCTTGTATTGAAAGTATTCTGTTCCTTATTAGCTAACTATGCATGAGATCTTCAGTTTGTACATGGAGTCCATTTATTTTTAGATCGTCGGTGAAGTAGCGCACGTGGATCATTTTGGATCTGTCCACCATCAACACTGTCAAGCGACACACCCCAACGCGACGTCCCTACATATCGATTTTAGTATGACTTTTCCGGCGAAACACATATTCTCCCAAAGCGCGGACATGGAAAGGGCAACAAATGTATGTTTCTTCGTGTCAAAAGCTTACGCTCAAGTTGACTCGACAAAGACATCGCCAGACAGAAAGGATACCCCGCTGTATGCACAAATACGCTTACCCGTAGGAAACCGCAAACCGCTGGGCTCAGTACGCAACGTTGACCTCAGGAGACTGCTCAGCAACGAAATCACTCTAACAAAGTCCATGCCAGATGACTTGGAACCCGCCCGGCGAATTGTATCGGATCCTCTACCTGCGCGGCCATCCACTTTCTCTCGTGATTCGCCAGCTGCCTCGTCGTCAAGCCGCAAATTTGGTACTAATGTATCCTCCATGACCCGGCTGGAATCGGAGGCATGCGAACTCTTCTCTGGTTCTCAGACTCGACCAAGAACTTATTCAACAACACGCGCCTTACGTCCCTTATGTGAACCCGGCTCGGACATGATTCTAATGGACCATTCACCTCTAGAAAATGACACAAACGTCCAACCAGCAATGCACAACCCTCAAAAGTTAGCGACAGATACTAACCCAATCTCTATTGGAACGACTCGTCCAGCTGCCTTCAGTACCTCTATTCTCAATCAGAGATCTCATAAGACGGTCCATGGCCAAGTGACCATCCTTCCTTCTCGTTCATTACTTGTTGATTTCAGAGAAGGAGAAAGGCGGAGAGGCATGGCTGGCGACGAAGTACTTATCATCAGTCCTGACGGCACACAGGTGGATATCTATCTTTTTTCAGTAGCTTGTATGCTCACTATTGGAAGATCAAAGTTTTCAGTGCGCCTCACTTGAGCACTCCGTGTTGTCTAGCGGAGCCTATTGCTGAATTCTATATTGATCAATTACCCCAAAAGTACTGGAAACAATATAACGATGCCGGCCTACTCATCGATAGAATCAAACAACGATCACCGAAGGTCGGTCGAACGAAGCTAGAAACTCTGTTATCTCTGACTAGTGACGGTTGTATAGCTCGTTTTGCATGATCCAGACGTAAAATACACTCTTATGTCCAATGAACCTGTCGCAGATGTCGAACTTCTTTTCTTTTCACCTGCTATTCTCTCAGAGGCGAACACAACAAACAAGGGCGACGTTGCTGATCCTGCCCGAATGCGAATCAGGTTATCACGAAAGACTCGGTCAATGGAAATAGCGGTATGCAAGTCTGATACGCACTCTAAAGAGTGGAAGAAGGAGACATTCCAAACGGCAGGGTTCGATTACTCCATTCCACCCTCGGATTTTGAAGATTTGGACCAAGATGAGCGAAAAGGACTGGATCTACTGGCGAAATTCCTACATCTTTGCGATACCTACGAAAGTCTTGCGAGCGAGTCGCTGATTACAACTCAAAGCAGGCGAGATCTTGTGCGTGGCCGCCGCCTGAACGCTGTGGGAGTCTCTTGCAGCGAGGGGAACCGCTTGGAAAGGACAGGATCGACTGCGCGACAAGGAAATTATACGCGGACTTTGGCCTCTTCCTCTTCCTTGACTACCAACAGAGGTTTTGCTGTTCCTCCACGCCCGCCGAAAATTCCTCTTACGACTTCTGTGTCTCGCTGCGCCCAAAAAACGACGCATATTAAGGAAAAAGAAAATCTCGATCCATCAAAAAATCCTTTTGACAGCCTAGTGACGAACTTTGCGATGGTCGATGATACTATGCGGCAAGGTTTAAGCTGCGCCTCTCAAACCTCAAGAGTCGAGTCCCGATTCATACCTTCTGTGGGATGGTGTGTCAGACAGGGTTCCCGTGTATCTCAAGGCGGCCATTACAAGATCATGTTCATAGACGGCGCCGCCTTGGATGTTGACGTTGATGAAGAATGGGCTGAACTTCGTGATAAGTTGGGCCATGTGATGCGGTAAGTGATTACAAATTTCTTTGCAGCCGCTTGGTCTCAAGAACATCATATAGGTATCACATAGCCGATGGCCGTATTGAGCGCACAGTCGGTGATAGGATGAAGGTGTTCAAAGAGTTTGTGTCCCTGTTTGAGTCTGACGAAGAGGCCGAATAAATGACACTAATATACATTCATTTCGTTCCTTGATTTCTAGAGCAATCATGTGGGTGTCATTACTACATAATCGATGCCAATCGAGGTCGCCCTTGCGGGTTTTTACGGGTCGTTAGGCCGACTGTGGGGTCTGCGAGGGACCAGACTTTTAAGTCCAAGGATGCGTAGCTGTGCTTCTCCCCCCGAGGTGCCCTCATTAGCCTCGCAATTTGTTGCGGATAGGTTGCCGAATTTCAGAGCGGTGCCAGAAAAATATTTTTTGTGGGACAAGATTTCCACTTCCTGATACTTGGATCGGAACATCACCATCAATATTATAAGTACCTCACGATTCATTCGCATCAGTTAGCTCCGACTGCCACGACACTAGTTCCGGTTGTAGGGAGGTAGCAAATTACCAGGCTAGAATTCCGTCTCTTTTTTCCCTTTTTCGTTTGCAAATTTTCTTGCACAGACGTCTTCTGAAAAACCGGAGATTCGCCTTTTGTTTCTCGACCTCTCTCATCATGTCGACCTCGGAAGCAGCGGAATCTAGTATAGGCGACACGTTTGGGGTCCTTTATATAGGCTTCATAGTCTCTATGATAGGCTATGGATTCACTTTCTTTCGTGAGTTCTGTTTCGATCTCGTCATATACTTTGAAGTCCTGATTCGGACTTGATAACAGAAACTTATGTCTACTTCTCTCGATATTCAAAAGACCTTTTCGTCATGAAGGCGATAGTATGTTTTTGACGTGTTTCTCCTGTGGCTGGGACCGCTCACGATGCTTGCCACAGGTGGCATTTCTATGGTTCGTTGACTTGAGTCATTGTCGTGTCGCTAATTATCTTTATCTTTCTAACGAAGTGTACTCGATACTGCTTCATCGGCTCTAAGTACAGCTCCTTACTGCTCTAAAACTGCTTGATCACTTAATGCGCGGCTTGTGCACCCAGTTTCACAAACGTTGGTCTTGGGAGTTCCTTTGAGCTACGAGGATACTGACGGACGGGTAGAGCTTACTATTACTTGGTGACGACGTTCCCTCTGGCATCAGCGATGGTAGACGTTACGATGTACGTGTTTTTGCAGTTGTTACAAGATCATTTACTTAACTGATGCTAACAGTTCATTCTGCGTACGTGTGGTATTTGCTCTCCGATATTTTTTTTCTGAAAACGAATACTCGCTAATGCAGGCCGAAAACACCGTGGCGGTATGGCGATGTTTCGTCCTTAATAATGCTTATTTCTGACAAGAATGATTAGGCTGCTTTAATTTGTATTGTTCAACTGTTAGATGTTCTATCATTATTTGAGGCTTTGGTACTAACATGTATGGTAGATTCTATGCATCCCGAGTATGGAAGTGTATGTGTGATTTCTCCACATGCTCATGAGCTATCAACTCACTTCATACGGGCGCAGTGAGTAAAAACATAACATTGACCTCCACCATTGTAAGTTGGCGCTTGTCTATCTGTCACTAAGCTTCACATCTTTTCTAGACCCTTTTGTGTCTTGTTGGATTTGGTAAGGATTCCGGTGTTTCTTAATCTTTCGATCTTTGGCTCATTGCTTTGATGATGCCTAGCTCTTACTCTTGGTAAGTTCTCCGGGACTGGCGTTCAACGATGGCCTGATGATGTGATTGCCAAATCAGCCATGACTGCGATGATGTACGCTTTTCACGTACTAAGCCCATTTAGATGTGAACTCAGGTGAAATAGGGTCCGCAATACCGAGTTTGCTCAACTCGCAACGTCGCCGAGTAAAGTATGTCTCTTGATGCTTGATTACGGACCGCTTCCTGATTGTACTAGGCAATCGTCGCCATCGGGCAATCATCCGTGTTCGTTTGCGGATTAACAACGTTTACTGCCCTCAGACTATGCTCCCATGGTGCTTATTGGTCTGAAAATACGCAGTGAGTGCTTTGTTTTTTCTCCACCACGTCAAGTTCATATTGGGTACTAGGCGCGATGACTGGTTCAACAAAACGATCACTGTATTCTTCTCGCAAGGATGCAGCGCGACATTGATGCAGATTACTTATTTCGTTGTGGTTCGTTGATCTCCCTCGAGAGATGCCAGCTTCTAACATATAACGCAGTTCATCGCAACGCCTACTCGTGTCATCTGGATTCCCTTTCATTTAATGTCTAGCAAACGTGGGTGATACTTTATGCTAGGGTCTCGATCTGACAGCGTCTTATTTTAGTGTTTATCAACTGTCTGCTATCACTGTCAGTATAGCATTTGGAAAGGATACCAATAAACTAAATTCTTTCAGGTTGAACTCTCGGCAAGCATACCATGGCCATGGTATTAACCATGAGGACAGTTCGATTGGCCAGCACAAGTCGAACATCAGTGGCTCCGGAAAGCCAGGTGTTCATTTCAATGTCGCAGATGCTCAACCTCTCATCAATATTGAGGTCTCTCGTACCGTAGAGCAGGACATTAATGTAAAGAAGAGCACATTTGATTCCGACGAGGTAAGTTCCTTGACCATCAGTGACTTTGAACCACTAATATCATTTCGGTGAAGACAACCTTCGACATAGACGAAGTAATTCTCCTCCCTTTGCTTACGACGAGTTACTGTCTAATGATCATTTCAAGGTATCAAAAGGAGGGCAGGGTTATGCAGTTTGAAATGTTAACAAAGGTAGAATTCCGTCTTGGGTGCGTGTTGTAGTATATTATATCCCTTTTGACCCTTGCAATTCGGCCGGAGTAGATTTATATGTTCTCCATGGCAGACTAAACTGGCTTGGAACATACACCTATAGTTTCCACAAAGATAAAACTGTATGTATGTAGTTTTCCACTTATTTATATCCATTTAATACTTTTCCTTGCCGTCCGAAAAATTGTTCCCGACTTTGTTCAGCAGAAAGTCGCCGTAGACGACAGGCTTGTACTCCTTCCCATCTGGATTCGGCTTGTCAGCCTGAATGCGCAAAGCGGCGGCTAGCGGTTTTACGTGCGCATTGAAATTGGGCTCGAAGAAGAACGGAATTCTAATGTCACTCAGAGCAATAGCGGCTCGAAAGGCATCGTCACTTACGATACCCTGATAGCTCACTATTGAAGGGTGAAATCATGGAAATCTTAGACCACTCACCTGTAATTCATACTTCTGTGGACGACGCGATGTAGTGTGGACTTGTATAAGCCATTAGTCCAGATTTCCCACACTGACACAAGGTTTCAGGGTTTTAGTCAGGCAACATCCTAAACATCAAAGGATCTCACTTTCTCCGATATTGCAGATCACGCAGCCCGGGATGGGATTTGCGTTTATCCATGAGCCCGGTTGGGATCCTTGTTCGGCAGGAAGACCAGAAACATCAGATCCGACATCTACTTTGTGTGTGAACACTTGAAGAGCAGCAGGGGTAGGATCCGTATACAGAAATCTGGGTGGAATCGGGAATTAGGAATATTGAGTTCAAAGTATCGGAGATGAGACGGACGTAAGGCAGCCATAGTCCCTGCCAAACAAGCTCATAAATATACAATGGAGAAGAACACAAGGTACAAACTTGTGAGCACCGCAGGAGAATCCATCGTGATCGTTAGGCAGAGGGGGATAGCCTGGTACATTAATGTCAGAAACATCACAGGATCCAGAGAGATGAGATGACCTATAGCACGCATCACCCAAAAGCTATCGTCCACTTGGCAACTCAAGTCCTCGCGTTCTTCAGAAGTCATGCTAAGGCCATCAGCCATGCTAAATTAATATTAACTTTACATTCTTACACCAAAGATAGTGAGAATGTACTTACGCCCTCATTACAATCACACCTAAGATCTTCATCTTATTGACCCACCTCTCGTACTTCTCGCGGAAGGTGGGCACAGTTGGCCATTGATTCTCCCCCCAAAGGGGCTTCGTCTTGTCTGGATTTTTGACGGGGCGGTACCAATCAATGCCCTCGTGGTTATCAGCTTTGCCGTTTGTAACATTCTCTTTCAATCTGGCATAACCTGGGGAACGGGCACTTCTACGATGATGTCGATATAGGGACGACCTCCGCACCTCTGGCTTGATCCTCGTTCCTAAGTGATATTTTATCCTTCTCTTCCTGTGGAAGGGAAAAGAATTGCCGTGCCAAAGCAATGAGCTCCTCGGGTTCCTGTGGATCAACATAGGACGATATATTGAGATAGAAAAATCCGTAGTCAACACAGGCATTATGGATCTTGGCGGCTACCTCCCTTCGTTGAGCCTCGTTATCTGTAGAACGGTCGTCCTCGAGATACGGCAGGATATCAATTATTGGAAGGGACATTTGGGAGAAGTAAAAGTCGATGGCCTTATCATCCTATCATTCGTCTTGATCGACATAAAGTAAATAACTAATTAATTAAGACTTAACGTCATGTGATCGTGTTTTCCAACGAGCTCGACAATGCGGCACCATTGTTGAAAACATTGGCGTTGTCCTTTTTTTGCAACCGTCATGGCATCGACTCCTCCTCAAGAAAGACACGAACCTTCTGCCTCGCCTGCCTCCACCGAGTCCAGCGACTCCTCCTTCCTTGCCGACCTTTCTTTCGACTACGTTTACGACGAAGATGGCAACTTCGTGCGCTTATCAAAGGGCTCGCCAAAATCTCACAGGCAAAGCGCGGAGTATTCTCCCGCGACCTCACCTCTTGAGAAAGAACCATTATCAGAGCCTGTCGCGTCATCACCTTCGACAAACAATGTCCTAGAGCCACACGGGCCATCGGATCCAGATTTAGTGTCACTCACCTCTCCCCGACCAAGCTCCCTTACGAGGTCGGAAAGCGCGTTTCCTATCCTCAATGGGCATAATCCGCTTGCGTCTGAACGGGAGCTTGACAAAGACGGTGCTTCATCGATGGCTCGGTCATTTCAACGCGTGGCCTCAGGACCGGCCATCGCAATGAGCATTGCTTCAGCCAACACCAACAGTGGCCCAAAGCGCCTGTTTTCGCGTAGGGCCGCTGACGAGCTGCAGGAGGCGCGGCAAAAGAGAAATGGAGAGGAGCTGCGGGCCAGGTTGTCCTCGACCGTCGTCGACTCTCAGGGTCAGCAAATGTTCTCCTACCCGGATGAAAAGGAAAACATTGGCCGAGGTGGGAGTGACCTTCAGAGCGTCGAGGAGCTGTATGGCTCAAGTGCAAGGGCCCCCGTTGGCAGTACTCCGGCAGCTCGGTCGCTCGCTCCATCGCGTCCAGCCTATGCCTCCCTTTCAACTGGTACACGCCCCACTGGCGATCTCGGATCATCGAGGCGACGAGTTTCTTCCTCAAACTCTGCCAATGGGACCAGGAACTCGAGAATAATGAAGGGATCCGGTAAAAGACATGTAATTGATAGGATATCGCAGCTGGACCAATCCACAGACGAGGAGGCCTATGGTTACGAGCAAGTTGGCGACCACGGTCATGACGATGGTAGTGACTTAGGTTTGTCTTCTTTCACATTCCCTCTCTTCGTCAAGTTGAGCGTCAGTATCTCGTAAAGATGAACCACAGGTAGAACCTGTCAGCAGCGCACCTTCCCGAGAAGGAGGTTTATTTCTCAGTCAATCCAGGCCACGGAGATCAGCAAGTCTTAGTGGTAAATCCCTAACGCTTCAATCTTGCATTTTCTCAGATCTGTCGTAGGGTCAGAGGAACCTTATCATAGCTCCCAACAATCTCAAACACGACTATCCCGTCCAGGAACCAATTTGGGTCCCCACAGAGAGACGGGCCTTCTTCCTCGACGAGTGACTATGGAAGAACGGAAGAGGCAAGAGATGGAACAACGTGCCGAATTCCAACGTGAGTCATTGCGTCTGCATTCCTGATCTTATAGACTTACAACTACAACTACCTGACAGAGTATCAGGATGCTGAACGTGTGTATCAATTACATTCAATTAGACCGTTAAAAGCTTATCCTTCCTTCGCAGGTCGTCTCCAGGAACAGCAACTTAAAGAACAGTATCATCCTTCTCAAGCTCGACAATCACCGTCACCGACACATGCTTCTCCCCATGTAACCAACCTCAGTGAACGGCCGTCGTATGCGACTCATAGACGTAGAGAGTCAGATACTCTGAAGAGCAGCAAGGCCTATTCTGGTTCACCGACAGCAGTTGATGTACCTCCTCCGAAACATTCTCCTTCTGCAAATAATCTTGCGGCTTCAGCGTCATTAAATGTTAAGCATCGAAAAAGTCCCACCGCTCCGGAACCTCCCACAACCAGCGGGAATCTACGAAATGGTAATGCTGGCGATGATCAGCGAGAGAAAGAGAAGGAACGGTATCGGCAGCAACGACAGCAGTCAAGTAAACAAGTGACATCGTCAGGATCAAGTCAAGCCATCTCGGCTTCGCTTTCGCAACAGCAGCTCGCTGCGGCGTCCATGGGACCTGGGAACCGGCATTTGGTGGTATGTTTGGCTTCAGTGTTGTCATTACGCCTGTTCCTTGACTCTATGACCAGGTTAATAGGAAACTCTACGCACGGCTAGATATGATTGGCAGAGGCGGCTCTTCTCGCGTATACCGTGTGATGAACCATGCCAACGAGTTGTACGCTATCAAGCGCGTGTCGTTGGACAAGATTGATTCCGATACCATGTCAGGTTATATGAACGAGATTGCACTCTTAAAGAGACTCGAAGGCAACTCTAGAATTATCGGCCTAATTGACAGTGAACTCAAAGCTGGGCCCGGCGGAAGCAAAGGGCATCTGCTTCTGGTGATGGAGTGTGGCGAAATCGATTTTGCCCGGCTATTGAGTGAAAGACAAAGTCAAGGGTTGGATATGGTGTGGGTCGCGTACTACTGGCAACAAGTTCGTCCGTTTTTGTACATTTTTCATGCATATGCTGATGCGATTCGTCCAGATGCTCCAAGCTGTCCATGTCATTCACGAGGAGAAAATCGTGCATTCTGATCTGAAGCCAGCCAACTTCGTCCTTGTGAAGGGACAGCTGAAATTGATTGACTTTGGTATCGCGAATGCCATCGCCAATGACACGACAAACATTCAGCGGGATCATCAGGTGAGCAGATTACAATCATTTTTGATAACACCATTGATGATGGTGAACCCTCAAGATCGGGACGGTGAATTATATGTCGCCCGAAGCTATTGAAGTGCCAAATGGTATGAGAAGGCTGAAGGTTGGCCGCGCTAGTGACATCTGGTCACTGGGTTGCATTCTTTACCAAATGGTCTATGGTCAACCACCCTTTTACCATTTAGCGGTGTACCAGAAAATGAAGGCGATTCCCGACGCGACGCATCGGATTGATTTCCCTCTGTATGTGACGCCGACTGTACCTTCGTCGAAGGCATCTCCGGGCCACGGATCACCGCCAAAAAAGTTGGAACACCTCAAACGGCGGATACGGATGGATATCATTTTGTCTATGCGGACCTGTCTAAACCGGAATCCCAAGGAACGGATGTCAATCCCCCAGCTTTTAGAACAAGATTGGTTGGCCATGAAAGATCGTGAGTCATTCATATGCTTTCCACCATTGCAAGGTCCTGATTGAATTTCTATAGCGCCACCGACCCCTACTATTGTGGACCTTCTTGGTGACGATGAAACGGTGATCACCCCGTTTTATATGAAGCAACTACTCGAGTACGGCATTAGGTTTGCCAAGGACCTCAAAGGTAAAGAGCCTCCTGAAGGTCTCTTGGAGGAGGATGCCCAGGTAAACCATCCTAGTTTGTTTAGCCCCAATGTTTGACTAACTCCTCGGTAGCGACTGGTAAAAGAACTGCGCTGCCTAATCGTTAACAAAGAAAGGGAACAATAGCCCGGTTAAGCTGTTCTTGGTCTTTTTATGGGTCATCGTCAAAGCACGTATATTTTTTATATTTATGCATTTTTGTACTTTACTTCGTGCCGCTCTTTTTTATCCTTCTTAAACATACATCTTTCATCCTCAGCATAACCCACATCCATCCATCCATCCAATGTTCCCCACTGAGACCCAGTCATCCTTGCAAATGTCGTAGCATGCTCTGTATATTTAACAATGCTATCTGCTATCTTTTATGTTTGTCGATGTCCGGCATCTACCGGACCGGGGGAAGACACGGGCAAACAAAATATTTTCACGCTGACCGCGTCTTGGTGCACTCTCGATCTCCTTCACGCTAATGCCACCACCAGTCTGCAGCCCATATAGCCGGCTGGTGATGGCGCCTATTAACCCGCACCAAAAACAATTCGAGCAGGATCTAGAAGCAGGTGTCGCCCAGTACATGCGCGAAAACCCTGGGATGACACCAAAAGATGCCGTGGAACGAGTAACCTCTTCGATGCTTGCCAACAACCCCTTCGTTCCACCCCAAGGGTGCCCTATCAACGATCTACCCAATGAGCTGTTAGCCCACATCTTTTACCTGGGCATGAAGATGCAGGAAGAGTACGAGCAGGACGGAGACCTTGATGAAGATGACGGGTTCCAGGATGGGATTGACTTGACGGAGGGATGGAGTAGCGAGTCGGACGATGAAGACTTGAAGATGGGGTCGCCACAGAAGGGTAAAGGCAAACGCAAACAGTCCGAGGAACCGACTGAGACAGACGAGGAAGACAAGGAGGATGAGGAGGATAGGCCGGAGCTACCTTTCCAGGTGCTCGTGTCGCACGTGTGCCGGTGGTGGCGAGAGGCAGCCATCGAGGAGCCATCCCTTTGGACAACACTCGGGTTCTCGTATGGTACCCCCATTGAAAAATCTAAGGCTTGGATAGAACGTTCCAAGGGTCTTCCTCTGGATATCGTTATCGATTGCACGACACCAGATGACTGGGAGGGGACGGAAGGGGACCAGGACGAGGACGAGGACGATGTCATGTATGATGTCCAGGATAGCGGTTCAGCACAGGTTGTTGCATTCGACGCGCCAGACTTTGTACACGCCCCTCCTTGTCTGTCTACAGATGACTTGGGGCCTATTTTCGACCTCTTGCTTCCCCATGTCGGGCGGTGGCGGCTATTAGAAGTCTCTGTCAGCGAGTACGAGTCCATTTATACCGTCATGAAGCGGCTGGCGGTCTGTGCTGGTGCACCTATCCTAGAAGCCCTACAGCTCTACCATTACGAGGACTGTGAAGACTACGACGTCTTCAGACCCACAGAATTCAGAGAGCCCCTGCTTCTGTTCCAGGGAAATATTCCGAAACTCAAAGATCTGGCTTTGTGGGGTGTTCATATCGATTGGGTCGCGTCGCTTTCATTTCTGAAGGATCTACGTGACGTTGAGCTGGCGTACCATGCTAATGATGTGCGACCGTCGATGGAAACTTTTGCCTGTTTCGTGCACGCCAGCCCGGAGCTCCATACGCTTTCTCTTTGTCTTTCGGGTCCTGCCGGGCCATCAGAACAGCGGGGAACAGATCTCATATCAATACCGTCACTACATGACCTGGTACTCGCGCACCATGAGCCCGAATACATCCAAAGCCTTCTTCCTATATTATTCGTTCCCAATGTTCAGCACCTGGCGTTGGACTTTGATTCGGCGGATTATACCGAATTCGTAAAAGTCCTTCTCCGGCCTCAGGCAGGGCAGAAGAAATCATTATTGGAGGGTCTGGAGCACCTGAAAATAGGAGGACTGCCATGCGATCGCCAGTGTCAGGCAGCATTGCTATTGCAGTTGGGAAACTTGCGGTCCATTAATCTCAACGCTTTTGGTGAAGAGGAGGAACAGTTTTTCGACGCGCTGTTGGATTCTGCTTATGGGACCAAGGAATCGGGACAGAAAGTCCTGTGTCCAAATCTGCACACTGTCACGACCACGGGGATCAGTGGGAAGAAGATGAGATCATTTGTCGAGGCACGGAAACGGGCTGATGCACCAATCTCCAAAGTTCTGATGAGTGAGAGAGATGATGTCGAGGAGAAAGATAAAAAATGGCTGTCTAGCCACCTCGAGGAGTTTGAATTCTTTGAGCCGTCGGATTCAGAGGAGGAGTTGGATCCACTGCTCGAAATAGGCGATGACGAGATAGATATTGACGACTAGAGATGGTACGTTGGATCCGCTGACTGATTGATATGGGCTGATTGTTTCGTGTGCAGGTGAGACTGACATGGGTGCATATGGTTCGTTCCCGGACCAAGATGATAAATATAGAGGCAGGTACAGGTAATTTAGTAGGGATATAAAGTAGGGTCATGGTACAGACAAGAAGGGTATCAATCACGTCAACAAGGGGTCTGCTCTGCATCTGCTTCAAGTATATATGGTCGCCGGGCGACACCGACAACAATCTCAGGTATTTCATCGTCGTAGGAACTGCAAGAAGGATATCTGGGAGAAGGCATGGCGATTAAGACAGATACCTGAAGAATGGGGTTTTGCGAGTCTATCACGTAGACTTTTGGCACCTCTGGTTCCGGTAACCGTGTGTCAGGTTCCCGGAAGTCCCACCGGACGAAATGCCTGAGGCGAGCATCCATAGCGTGTTCACGAGCCAACCTGTCTGCAACGACCGGATCGCTGGAAGGCTTGAGCCGCCTTATAGGTTGGGCAGAAAGAGGCTATAATAATGATGAGATACTGATGAAACGAATGTGATATATACTTCACCATCATATCCTCCCAGGTATCAGCACCGTGACCGGGGACAATCCAGGCTTCATACATTTTTGGTTTCCTCCCCAGCCGTTTCTTCCTAGAACCTTGATTGTGGGGGGCGAGAATGACTCCCTGAGCCATTGCTTCTTCCATATGCCGCTGTAAGCGTCGTCGCATCACAAAGGTCCGCAAAATAATGGAGGAAGATATTATCAGCAGCAGGAACAGTGTGGCAAGGAAAGTAAATCTGAAAATAGTTGATCAAAACATGGAAGAGGTAGGCGCCTTGATCACTGACAGATAGAGGCTGCTCGACGTGTCCTGTCCCGCAGTACCGCCGCCGCCGCCGCCGCCACCGCTGCTGCTGCTGCTGCTCGCCGCGGTAGGCTCTGTAGCCTGCGATGATGAGGCCATATAGCAAAGGAGCCCCAGTGGACGGACGAGAAAGGAGACAGTCCAAATTTGGCCGTCATCCAAAAAAGGCATGAAGACCCCTAAGTCGGCATCAGTCCGACATCATCGTCGATATAAACAAAGCTCGCCCTCATCCTTCTTGCTTCATCGCCATCATGTCCTCCTCCCTGGATCTACCTGCCTCCCTCGACCTCCCGCCTCACCTCAGTGCTCACAAGTATTTCTTCGTCTGTACACTCACCGTCGCCGCTTGGGACACTCTCGTCTTGTCACCCAGAACGTGGAAGCTCTTCCGAACACCAGAATGGCCGGTCCTCAAAATTCTTTTCCATTTCATGCGCCTATTCATGCCTATTGAATTTACTATTGTCGGTTAGTACTCTTCGTTCTACACTTTTCATATCTCATCTTCGGCCAGGCGTTGCTTTCTTCGATACCAATTTCTCTACATCCGTGAGATTCGGTTGCCGTCCAAATCGCGGTATATTGATGCCTCTGCTAGTCCTGTGAAAAATTCTACCTCTTTGAGCCCATCTGCACTGCTATACTTCTCGCCGCCGCTTCAGGTACCCACATGGTTGCTATCATCAGCAGAATTATTGAGTGTGTGCCCAGCTGTCCATGTCCTCCGGATCCAGGCCATCTATGAGAAGAGTCGCGCCGTGCTCTTTGGAATGGGAGCCCTGTTTGCCATGCAAGTCATCGTAACCGCCGTGTGCTGCGGTTTCTACCGCGGTAAGCGGAGTGATATTCATCGACATCCCTTGGTCTTTTAATTGACATGTCCTATTAGCCGTCCCTCTTGAACCAGGTCAAGGTTGTATTGCTGGTATCAAGCACAACTGGGTTGGAATCTACTGGGTCTTTCCAACGCTTCTCTACACCGTCTCTGTGAGCTTGAGCGCTTTTGCTTTCCTCGATGTCATCAATTGAACCTGTATCAGTTGGCGTTGGCTTTGTTACGCTCGGTGAAATCACTACAGGCGAAACCACTTAGCCCGTGGCGGTTGATGCTCCGTGATGGTCTTAACCTGTATGGTGTATGTGTTCCCAGGCTCTTATCTTGAACTCCGTATAATTGACGCTCTATACAGGCCATTTGGATCGTCAATATGACCAACATGCTCTTCTTGTTCATCATGAAGCCCACTGGTGAGAATGATCCCGTCAAAACAATTATTACGAGGTAAAGTCAACGGCTATAATGCGGTTTCCAATAATTTCTGTTTTCTCGGTTTTATTCATTACATTTATCTCCAGCATGGCCGCTGTACTAACCACCTCCATGACTCTACGCATTATTCTTAATGTTCGGGGAACACTCCACCAGGGAGGCACCTTTGTCATGGGTTCCACAACTCACACATCATCGCGGACTACGCATGTTATCTCTACGCGATCCGGTGTTCCCACGAACATTTCACGCGCCCCTCACACGTATACCTTGGATGAACTGCGTACTAAACCCGAGGGAGAATGGACCGACAGCGACAACAGGTCCAGTGTCAAAGAAAATAAAGAGTCCTTGATCAACTCCCAAACTCCCGCCGTTAAGGATGACGGCAATGTTGGAGTAAAAATCACGGTCGATAGGGAGGTTGGATATGATATGCATGCTCACGCCAAGTAAGCGTATACTAGGGAGAAGAGAACAATAAGATGGGTGGATCCATTTTTTTTTATCTAGTACATGCTATTTTGCTGTCATCTGCTTTGCTTCAGCTACGTGTATTCTGCTCGATTATTTGTTAATTGTGTAACGCCCCGCGATTTAACTTATCCGTCTTGACTGTAGAAAATGCCGAAGATATACTTGAAGCGACCAGCACATAAAAGCGGCAGAAAATCAAAGGATCCACATTTTCACCTTCTCTATGTCTGCTCGCCTCATTATTACTGACCGTTATGCACCATCAAGAAGACGGTCATTTTTGTATAGGTTCGTTCCTGTCGTCGAAGACCTGATTGTCCATTCCAGAACAGACGCGTCGAACACCGCGATCTCCAAGTGGAGGGGGAGAAAGTCGACCACTGCATCGAAAGGACTGAAGCTACAAGACGGTCCATTCTGATGGATCAGAGGTATCACATCACGTACCTGGTAGAAACTCGAGTTATACCCATCATCAATTAATGGATAAGATAAATGCAGGCAGAGAAGATGGAGGAAGGGAATGTCTGGAGTCTCCAGAGTGACTTGTATCAAATTGTATTGGTGACGGGTACTGTGAGGACACTAGAATACAATTAGACATTTATTATGGTGATTTACCGAGAAGATGGGGTCCTGAGAAAGGCTCATAGTTGGGAACTTTGAAGTGAATACGGACTCGAGGCCAATTTTTTGGAAGGGTGAGCGTTCAAATTGAGTCCGAGTCCAAAATCACGATGCGAAATAGGTCCACGGCTTGAGTGTCTGGGGAACAAGATTGCGGGGAGTGAAGGTCCGAATCCAACTGTATCAGACACTGGAGGTGGGTGGGTGAAAGAGAGTAATGAAAGAGTTCAACAGCGAAGCAAGTCAGAGTCGCTGTCAGATTCGTCGTATTTACGCGGGCTGCGGAGTGGGAGGCGAATCCAATGGTTGATCCTTAGCAATTTCATTCGAGTATTTTGGCAAATTGATTTTCAGGTGATTATTTATACAACGCTTACTAGGGGTTCCTACCTTGGTGTCAACCTGAACACTATTTGGAAAATACAAAGTTTATTGCGTAGACGTCCTGGAAGGCTTACTGATCGCAATGAAAATGCTGTGCAGCCTATTTGCGTCGGCTTGGTAAAAGCTTCGGATGACCACGTCCGCTGTTTCCGTCAACTTCCACCGTCGGTCGCACCTCTACCCTTTTCATCGATGCTGTCGAGTCCGACGACGTCAAACTGGCTTCGGACTTCGCCACTTGAGATTCTCATAATGCGCTGTTGCGAACCATCATTACCAGAACCAAACTATGCTCTCCATATCGAGGTTGCCAATTATATCAATAACAAGAAGGCCAATACGTGCGTACCGTTTGTCGATGGTAATTCTGGTGGACGGCTTATCAGTTTGTTGAAGGCCCCGGGAGGCAGCGATGCTCACAGCGCGCCTTGCAAACAACCGTAATCCGCACATTGCCATCCTCGCTCTCGCACTGCTAGATACCCTCGTGCAATCATGTGGATACCCTTTTCACCTTCAAATATCTACCAAGGAGTTCTTAAATGAACTCGTACGTCGATTCCCCGAGCGACCGCCTCCGTTCCCGGGCCCGGTCATGTCTCGGATTCTCGAGCTCATACACTCCTGGAAAGAGAGTATATGTGTGGAATCTAGGTGGAAAGACGATCTAGGGAATATCAGGGATATGCATAGGCTCTTGACGTTCAAAGGTTACCGATTTCGAGAATTGCCTCAGGCGTCGTCTTTGGCTACGGCCGCGGTGCGTCCCACTGATCTTAGTCACTTCGGTATCACTGATAATATTTCAGAATCTCAAAACCGCCGAAGAGCTTGAGGAGGAGGATAGAGAAGCGCAGTCGGCCAAGTTGCAGGAACTTATTCGTAGAGGGACACCCAGAGATCTCGCCGCTGCTCAGGAGCTCATGAAGTCCCTCGCTGGGGCAAATCCTGACGCCAAGCCAGATTACAAGACACAGGCTTTGGCTGATCTCAATAAGCTTGAATCAAAGGTGGTCCTGTTGAATGAGATGCTGGATAATGTGGATACGACGAGAGGAGAAAGGATTGTCTCTGGCGATGTGTACGAGGTAGGGCTTGCATCCTATTCTTCTGTGGATTCTTCTTGACACGCGAATGCAGCAAGTAGCTTCGATACTAATTGCTGCTAGGCCGAAAATACAGAAGTGGATATCGGATGCGGAGACCCACGATCCAGAATCCTTGGGTTCGTTAGTCTTTCGATCTTCTGTAACCCCGCTGACCATTGTCTTCAGATACATTCCTACAAATGAATGATCAAATAAACACCGCACTGGATCGTTATGAAGCCTACAAAAAGGGAGACTACGCCACTGCTGCCAACCCCATACCCACCGAATTATCTTCTACCCGTAATGATCTCTCACTGATTGACTTGGACGACCCGGTACCATCAAGCAGTAGCGCCCCAACGGCATCTGGTCCAGACGACCTTGCTGGGCTTTTCGGCTCCCCCCAACCTCAACCCCAGCCTCAACATCAGCCTCTCGCCCAACACTTGAATGCGAACCTCATCGCGACATCTACGTACGCCCCGTCTCCCATTGGAACCAGTGGCGCCGGCAACTTCAACCCGCTATTAAGGCCCACTTCGATGTCACCTCCTGCATCTTCTACTACACCACCTGCTTCCATTATGCTACCTTCGACGCCTGGGGTAGGTTCGCCATCTGTCCCGAATTATGATGTCGGCAATAGGAATGGTTCGACGGGGATGGGGACAGGACAAGGGCTTGGGATTTTGCATCCTACACCTCAGCAGATGTTCGCCTCGCAGCAGTCGTCCTTTAGTCCGCCACAGCAGTCGTTCAACCCAATGCAAGGTAGCATGCAGCAGACATTCCGAGCCTCCACGTACTATCAGCAGCAGCAATTCCAGCAGCCGTTGCAGTCTCATCAACAACCGCAGCAGCAGCAGCAGCAGACCCAAAGGAAGGATCCTTTTGATGATCTTGTTGGATTGTTCTAGTACTTTATGTCGTGGCGGGATAACAGGACTACTGGCTACTATTGTACTATTGTCGGCGATTTATTTTGTTTATGGAGACGCAGTGGAATGGAGTAATAAGAATTTCGCTAAGCGTACCGGCTAAGTAGCAGTATTTTATCATGCTCAATGTTGCCGGAGGTATTTATAACCTTCCCTCCATCCGGAACTCGACCATCATTCCAGTCTCTCCTTTGCTCGTTTGTCCTTCCTGCGTCTACTTCATTGCCTTGAACATGATTAACACGGCTGTAACAAAGATACTAGGGATAAGTGTGTACGTCGAAATCGTTGCCAGTAACCCAGGGCACCGTATGCTAATATCAGCGCTCTAGTCCTGTAGTGCAAGGCGGCATGCAATGGTGAATAAATACACTGAATGCATCCGGTTCCAGAGCCTGAAACAGTGCATTTTCAGGGTGGGCGTGCCTCAGCTCGCAGCAGCTGTATCAGAGGCAGGCGGCCTTGGTGAATACCTTCAGGCTAATGGCGGAATATCAACTTAGCGTTCCGCAGGAATTCTCACTGCGTTAACACAACCGAACCCTGCAGCTCTGCGCGACGCTATTAGGCAGACGCGTAAACTCACGTCCAAACCATTTGGCGTGAACATTACGCTGTTGCCCAGTATAAATCCGCCGGACTACGAAGGCTACGCAAGAGCCGCCGTGTCCGAGGGCGTTCGTATCTTTGAAACGGCAGGAAACAACCGTACGTTTGAGGTTTCTCCTGGCGGGTATCACTTTGTGGATTAGGTTCTTTTCCTTTACTTAGCTGGACCCTTGATCAAATTCTTCAAATCTGAAAACTGTGTCGTCCTTCACAAGTGTACGACCATACGGCATGCCAAGGTTCGTGATTCTATGGAACCCACCGTCAATCCCGTTGATGGACATGCAAAACGGCAGAGTGCGCAAAAGATGGGCGTTGATGTACTAAGTATTGACGGGTTCGAATGTATGTTCCTTGTGATGGATGATAGTCTGAGATTGAAAACTATTTCCAGGTGCTGGCCATCCGGGAGAAGAGGACATTGGCGGCTTGGTATTGGTCAGTATACAATTTCAGTTTCGTTTCTCAACCCCCGTTCTCACGAACCTCTGACCCGTCCAGCTCGCGAAGGCCGCAAAGGAACTTACAATACCATACATCGCATCCGGTGGCATTGCTGACGGGCGAGGTCTCGCTGCAGCCCTGGCTCTTGGTGCTTCGGTGAGTGATTTACGTCCTCATTAAATAAGAGCAACAATTTATCGGAAGATCCCAGGGCGTTAACATGGGCACTCGCTTCATGTGCACGGTCGAAAGGTCGGTTGTTTTCCTTAGTTCATTTCCAAGAACCTGGCGAATAACTGCCGATTTCCCAGTCCGATCCACCCCAATATCAAGGACAAGATCGTCGCCTCGAAGGAAACAGATACAGTCCATATTTTCCGTACGCTACACAACACTGCCAGGGTTTTCAAGAACAAGATCTCAATGGAAGTAGTGGCCTTAGAGCGGCGTCCTGGAGGCGCGAAGTTCGAAGACATTAGAGATCTGGTTTCGGGACAGAGGGGTAAGACGGTCTATGAGAATGGGGATCCAGATTATGGGGTGTGGTCTGCCGGTGTCACTGTAGGACTTATCGATGATATTCCCACCTGTAAGGCTCTCCTCGACAGGATGGCAACGGAGGCAGAGAGGATCATTGGGGGCTTGAATGATTCGGTTACACGAGCCAAGCTGTAGGGCCTTGATAATATAGTGTATAAGTGTCCTTCAGATGTAAGATATGCACAGGAATTGGATCTCTCATGTAAGCTCCACGTCTGGACCACTGCAATGCACTTCTCCTTGTCCCTGCGTTAGCTGGCATCTTCATCTCGTATAGGCTCCGAGATCTACGCGGTTTTGTCACCCTCTTTTCCCAGCGTCTCTAGTACCCTTGAGACAAACTTGCAATGCGAAGCATAATTTATCGACGTCGTGTCGAGAGCGTCTCTATTGTCCAGCCCGATCATTGTTGAGAAAAGCTAAATCATAGAAGGGAAACCGTACCGTATAATCCCCTTGCTGTCTATCACAAAAGTTACCCGTAGGTCAGCCAGACCCCATAACCCTCGGCCTACATGATATGCCCGACGTGCTTCTCCTTTTTCATCACTGAGAACGGGGTACTGAAAGGGTCCATGTCATCAACGACGCACGACATCAACATCTTCTCCACTCACGGGCAGATTTTGTTTCTCGACAAAGAGCTTCTGCTTCCATACTGGATCTGGGCTAATGCCGATGACTTGTACTTTTCCGGACTGGAATTCTGGTTGTTCTGTGGCGGGGGGGAGGGCAAGGGCGTTAATTAATTGCTCGCTTCCAAGGGACGAGGACAGCCTGCCTGCTATCGCGTCTCTAAACTGACACGCCTGTTTTGTGCAACCCCACGCCCCAGATCTTGGATAGAAAAATATGGCGGTGGTGACGTCGTTGTCTCCAGGTTTGAGGGAGTATGGCTCGCCTGTGTAGTTGGAGAGTGTCAAGTGCGGTGCGGGGTGCCCAATGAGCGCCTGATGGGCCATAGCGAGGAAGATGGAAGGAAAGAGCAAGACAAAAACGAGAGGGATTTATTCCTGTGCAGCCCGAAGTCCCCTCATATATATATATATATATATGTTCTTCCGAGTGGGAAAGCGATGCGAACACAAACTAAACGCAATGCAGTTATGATTAGGTCCCAAAAGTTTCTACAGCTTCGATTCTGCCTTCTGTGGTCTGGTCCCCTACTTGTGTCCAACGTATTGTGTGCGTATATCTAAATCCGTAGGTGACAACAGACAGGATAAACCGATAACTACTTAACGGAGGCTCGGAAAGAGGAAGTTTGAGATCAGGGTCCCAGGCTCGATCTATTTCATCTCGGGGCAATCAGAGTCCGACATGGTTCTTGGAGAAGCTTCGAACTGTTGCCTGTTCCCTCCTTAGACGTTCTCAGACTTGTGAGAGCCAGGGAAGAGCACCACAGCGAGAGGAAGAAGGCGCGCGAAAGTCACGGAGCTATCCGACATAACACCGAAGAATTCCAAATGCATTGGGAAGAGGAGCTGGGGGAAGCATATGTAGCCCTGGTACCTTACATGCACAGAAAAGAACCCCATAACGTGGTGTGTATAGTATCTAACATGCCAACCATGGCAAGGGGCTTTGTCACGGTGGGATTTGAGCGGTGAACAGCCGACTCCGGTAGTGAACATAGAAGACAGACGAGGGTTATAGATAGTCAGTATTGGGGGAAAACAATGATTCGGAATCCGGGACGGTGGTGAACGAAGTCAGGCCTTAATGAAGTATATCAGAAACACGCGTCTACAGATCAACGCGTTTCGGGTGATATTGCACCTAAAAGTTTCTGCGAGTCCTGTCTGCGGTACGGGAAAGAAATCAGGGCGCGAAAATTTAACAAGGGTTTTGCCTGCCGATGTCCCCGACACGCATCGTCAACATGCTCGATGTTGTTCCCGCACAGCATCGGTAAATCGTGGGGAGAACAGGAACGGGGTTTAACATACTAGAAACGTCTTAATAAGTATTAATAGAGGTCAGAAAGAAAAGCTGGGCATTGATGGTGAGAGATTTGTCGAAACAGGCGTTCTGGGTAGCACTGGGGGGAGCCACAAGATGGTGTGTTTTCCCTTGGAATGGCGCATGAAGAAGGTGGGCCTAAGAGGCAATCAAAAGCGGCTGAACAGACGGAAACGGGGTTTGACCTACTAACGGAGATGATCTCTTGACAAGTGGTGAGATTGGTGACAGAAAATGTCAAATGCTGCCAACATTGAAAATGGCGAGATTATGTTTTGGGAAAGCAAGGGCCTTCTTCTTGGCGGATTGAGGGTACAAAGACGGAGGAACGGGGATTGCACGCAAGGATACAGGAGAAATTACGTAGTACGGTGTAAAATATTATGACGAGCTTTGGTTTTGCGCGGCACTCATTGCTTCTGGAAACAGGTTCTCCTGAGCACGGTGTACAGTAGGAAAATGGCCTAATGACGCACCGGCGTTCAGCTCTGCGAAACGCGTTCCCACCCTCTCGGCGTGTTTGAGAAACTTTTCCGTACAGTTCGTCACACATTGGTCCTGATATAGTTGGCTAAGAAAAGTTTCGACACGGTCACAAAAAGAACAAAAGAGACCTCTTTCGACGATAGAGCTTTGCTGGTAAAGTCATTGCAGCATGTGTTGAAACATCGCTCTACGATGTTGGCGTACATTCGGAGAAAGTCTTGCATCTTTCCGTTGATGTTGGTTAGGTTGTTCGTAACGCAGCAAAGGTAAATCTAGCTGACCTGCTTTTTTTCTATGACTTTGTTCATATGCACCTGCTCGGCGCTGCTGAGGGAGGAGAAATCCATGCTGAAGGTAACGAAACAAGAGCGAACTGATTGGTAGATTCAAGGGGTCGTGCGTTGGATCACGTGCCAAGAAAGTCGAGTCAAGCCGATCGTAAATCGATCATGTCTCCAAAAAAATTCTTGTTGCAGGACACCGATATATTGGCAGCGATTTCATCCAAATACTTTGATTCTGCGAACAACCCGGAAAAAAGAGGCATCTAATCTTGACTAAACTTTCCGAACAGTTCGTCTTCTATGTTTTGTTGCCGGGCACATATATAACTCGTCTTCCGTTTCCACAGTGGTTGACCTAAACATGGCGATTCCGTTCAAGGAGGCCCTTGCAAAGCTGGAAAACAGCCGCGTCAAGGCTACTAGACCTCTGATTCCACCTCAAATCTTGCAGGAAGACTTGCCTTTGTGCGCATTCTAACTCCCAGGCTTATTGTCGTTGCGTTCCTTACACGTCTATCGACTAGAACTCTTCTAGCTGCCCAGACGGTGGTACAAGGGCGCATGGCGGTCACAAATATACTCAAGGGCGACGATGATCGTCTTTTGGTTGTGGTGGGGTACGTTATAGAAGACACGTTCCTTTTAATCATTTCTGATTGGCACGCAAGACCTTGTTCAGTAAACAACGTTGATGCTGCCAGAGACTATGCCAGACGTCTCAAAGCCTACGCCGACCAAGCTGATAAAGACCTACTAATTGTGATGCGCGTCTACTTTGAGAAACCGCGGACGACGGTCGGCTGGAAAGGCCTGATCAACGACCCCGAATTGAACGGGAGTTACCAAATTAACAAGGGCCTTCGTATTGCGCGGACGCTGCTCCTGGATATCGCAAAGATGGGGCTGCCTGCCGGATGCGAATTCCTAGATACAATCACGCCGCAATATACAGCTGATCTGGTTTCGTGGGGTGCGATTGGCGCGAGAACGACGGAGTCGCAAGTACATAGAGAGCTGACGTCGGCGCTTTCTATGCCTACGGGTTTCAAGAATTCTACAGATGGCAGTGTGGGTATCGCGATTGATGCGTGCCGGGCTGCTCGGAGTGGACATGTTTTCCTGTCTACAGGCAAGGAAGGACTGAGCAGTATTATTGAAACTGAGGTGAGGGTCGGGAAAACGACGGCTGGGGATCGCGTGCTCACCTTGCCGTTAATAGGGCAATCCTGACGTGCATATCATTCTGCGTGGGGGTACGCATGGGCCCAATTATGGAGCAGATTTCATCCGAGACGCTGGTAGCAAGCTATCCAAAGCGGGCGTAGTTCAAAAAATCATGGTATGTGAGCTAATGTTGCCGACGCCTCACGGCTAACTATCGACTGCAGGTCGACTGCAGTCATGGGAATAGCTCCAAGCAGCATCAAAAGCAGGTAGAAGTAGCTGATGACATTGTGAGTGGTCCTACACGGACGTGATTTTTTGCATTATCTGATTGCCGGTGAAGGCTCGGCAACTGGAATCAGAGGATACGGCCTGCTTGATAATGGGAGTGATGATAGAGTCGAATCTCGTCGAGGGACGGCAAGATATTCCGCCAGCGGGGCCTGCAGGTTTGAAATACGGGCAGTCGGTGACTGACGCGTGTATATCCTGGGAAACAACAGTCCCCGTTCTCGACCGTCTTCGTGAAGGGGTCAGGGGTCGAAGGTTGCTGGTACAACAGCAGGCAGCATGAGGCCCGGGGTAAAAGATGATTAGAGTGGAACGCCGGATAATGAGTGTCGAAAAACAAAATGGATAGTAATTATCTGGATTGAACGGAACACGGAAACGAGTATGGAATTAATGAGAGACTGAATGAGAGCGCTCTGTGGGATCCCGACGCGGAATGAAACGGGGAAACGGGCGGAGAGTGACCCTTGATTTTCTCACAGATCCCCTTGCGAGACGGAGATGACAGCCGCTGTTACTCTGGATAGACTGTTGGAGACAATATAGTGAAGACAGGACATGCAAAGGTGGCACCTCCTGTTTTCTTTCCTCCCCCCCCCTCCCCCTCCCTCCCCGGGCCTGCAGTGGATGCTTTGTCTAAACACTTTAGTCACCTCAGCCGAAAGGGGACGCCAGTGAAACGGGCACGGAGACGAGTGCGATTACGGAGATAATTACTGACTGCTGCTTATTATAATTTCACCGGAGGTGAGCCACTTGTTTGATGATCGAGATAATGTCAATTTAGGACATTCTCCAAGTAGCATTTAACCATGTCATGGTCTGCCTACAAACCAAAACCCTCTTCCATGCCTTTCTCCTTTCTTCGCCGCTCGTCGTCCCAGGCGTCGAGCATCGACGACGACTCCATCAGCTCAGATGATATCACCTCCCCGCCCTCCATCGCCGCCATCTACAACCACGCCGACGCCTACGAGAAAGTCCTGTCCAGCCACCCCTACACAGTCGACACCACAGGCTCAGATCCAGAAAATCCAGCAGAGGATGCCGTCTGCGGCTATACCCGCCTAGTCGCCCACGACCTCACCCCTGACGAGCAGGCCGATGTCGACAAGGCAAGAAAGCTGTCCGTGTCTGGCACGACCTGGACGCCAGGCGGCGAGCTCACAGAGGAACCAGAGTCCTCTTCCGACGATTTTTCGGATAAAACAGCCATCAATGTCGAGCGCTCCCCTATCCCCGCCTTTCACCGCACCGCGACCACCGATAACGACGCGTGGAAACTCGAGCCCGCAGAGATTGTCCGCCTCCTGGTCGCTGAATTCGGGCCTCTTGCTGCGGATGGCGAAAAGCCAGAGAAACTCATCTTCGAGGCAGATGGGTGCATGTTCAATGGTGTCGTCATCGTCGTACGTGTTACTTAAATATTTATTTTTTGTCACGCTCAAAAAAAAAGTACAGGGCGTCCTGCACGTGACAACTCATCGACTCGCCTTCCACGCCTCTCTCCTTCCCTCCGAGGAACCCGGCCATACTGGACAGAAGGTCATCAAGGCCGGCTCTGTTACCATACATCGTAAGGGATGGCGCGCCAAAAGACGCCTCTGGATCGAATTGTCTGCAGACATGATGACCACCTGCGCCTCCAGCAGTGAGGAGGACCGAATTCGTCCTCTGCGCACCGTCCTCCGTACGTGACTTGTCCAATTCTTATTTCATCTTACTCACATTCTCCAGTGTCAAATGTCAAGGACGTTCTACCGCATGATCCAGATGATCCTTGCTCAATCCACATCGTTTTTGATCATTTAAGTGATGATTCTTATGATTACGCCGAGTTCGATACTCCAGAGGCGGCGCAAGACTGGAGGCGGGAGATATTAGGTGCGTGTAATCCTCATCTTTAATTCCTGCAGCTAAACGAATACAGGCGCCGTCTTCCTCTTTCGCCATCGACGACGCGAAATCATGGATGCTACGACGACCGACTCGGGCATCAGGCTCAGCTGTCCTCTTGCTCGTATCACAAAGTTCATTTCTCGCCGAACGGATACCCCCGCTTTCCATTTTTCTACTATACACGTCCAGTGCACTGAGACGTGCGGTCAAGACATCGACGACCACGCCTTCCATCTCTGCCCTATCATGCAGATCCCTGCATGGAAACGAATGGACGAATTTATAGCTACAGCCAAAGCCCGGCACCCAGATCTTTCGGCAACCAACGCTATTGTCGCCGACTTTGGCCCATTGTCTATGATGGAGGCTGAGGCACCACATGCGTCTGCAGACCATAAGGAGCGGACCATACGGACTGCGTTGGGTCTCGATGGCGAAGCAGAGTTATGGAGTAAGTCCATATATTCACCAACCCTCAAGCTCCTCTGATATTCTTTTAACCTAGTCGCTCGTGCGCGTATCTTCAGAAGCATCTCGTCTTCTGGCTACTTTACAATTTCCTCCAACTACGTCTCCTTCTGGAGCAAGCAGTTCGCGAGTGGCGATATCCGTTATCGTCTACCTATTGTAAAGATAAAAAATGCAAAGACCTTCCGCACCTACCCCATCCGACTCTTTGGCTTGAGACTCGAGCTGAACGGCCAGCCTGATCTCAAATTCCAGTTCAAAACCACCGAACTTCGTGATGAAGCGATGAGGCGTATTAATACCCTCATTGCGACGCGGACTGAGCATCTACGTAGCCCTCCCTCGCCTGGCAAACCCAGCATGATCGACATTTTCTCCCCGCCTGCGCGTACGGTAGCTGTAGCCAAGGCGACAGAGATTCCCTTCGAGTTGCGAGTGCAGATGCCCAAAGTCATCAACCTTGAAAGGGAGATTGTCAACGCGCGACCGAGGCTTCACTTTGTCTGTCTTACGATTGGGAGTCGGGGCGACGTCCAGCCGTACATTGCCCTCGGGCTGGGATTGATGAAGGAGAACCATCGGGTCACGATTGTTACGCATGAAGAGTACAAGGAGTGGATTGAGGGCTTTGGGATTGAGCACCGGCAGGCTGGAGGTGACCCAGGTGCGTTGATGAAGTTGAGCGTTGAAAACAAAGTAAGAAGCATCGTTTCTGGTCGATTGTATTGCGTTTTGACGCGTCCATAGATGTTCTCTCCCGAGTTCTTCAAAGAGAGTTTGGCGCATGTGAGTTGTCGAGTTTTCTTTTGTCTACCTCTGTGCTGATAGCTGCGATCCTGCAGTTCCGCCCTTGGCTCGACCAATGTGAGATTCCTTGGTTGATCTACTACATTGCTGTCTAACTCCTGATTTAGTGCTTCTCGATTCATGGGAATCGTGTCAAGGTGCTGATGTACTGCTTGAGAGCCCTTCTGCGATGGCTGGAGTCCACATCGCCGAGGCACTCAGTGAGCCGCACTCCCACCTAATGATATATTTTTGACTAAAGGGTATTGACAGATATCCCTTACTTCCGAACATTCACGATGCCATGGACAAAGTGCGGAGTCTTTTCCACAAGTGAACGAACCTTACTGATTGTCTTCGTCTAGAACTGCCGAGTTCCCTCATGCTTTCCTATCCCCTCCAGTGGAATATTCTACCTTCAACAGCGCTTCGTATGTCTATTCCATCGTCACTAACTTCCATCAACGAGCTCACTATTGTTCTACAGGTATGTTCTCTTCAGGTAACGCGCTATGTCGATTCGGCACATGGTGTTCACTGACGAGACATACGTGTCTAGCAATGTGATGTGGACTGCAACATCGAGGCAGATTAACAAGTGGCGGCGACATACGCTGAAGCTCGGTAACACTGACATGGGTCACCTGGCCCAATCCAAGATACCGTTCATCTACAATTTCTCAGCTGTAAGCGGGCCTGGTGACGTACTTGACGTATGTTGTGTTGACTGTTTGCTAGGCTGTTGTGCCCAAGCCCCTTGATTGGAGCGACACTATATGCGTATCTGGCTAGTCCGTCTTTTCATCACTTGCGTGTGCCGGCCAAACTGACGCCCCAATCATTCACAGTTGGTTCCTCGACAACCCAGATCTCAACTGGGAACCTCCAGCAGATCTCCTCACGTGGATGGACAAGGCCAGGGCTGACGGGAAGCCCATCGTCTACATTGGCTTTGGCAGCATAACGGTCCCACACCCAAATCGCGTCACCATGCGCATCATCAAGGCTGTACTAAAGAGTGTGTTGCCTCCAGTTGATTCTACTTGCGGTTACTCATGGGTAATTAGGCGACGTCCGGGCCATCATATCGAAAGGCTGGTCAGCACGGATGAGCCAAGCAGGGGAAGACTCTGCTGAGCCGGAAATTCCACCCGAGTGCTACCAGCTTGACAAGATACCACATGACTGGCTATTCTCAAAAATTGACGCCGCGTTGCACCATGGTGGAGCGGGGACGACTGGGGCTAGTCTCCGAGCCGGTATACCCACGTTGATTAAACCGTGGTTTGGAGACCAATTCTTTTGGGCGTCCCGTGTGCAGAAGCTCGGTGCTGGATTGAGAGTTCCGAGTCTGAGGGTGCATGATCTTGCCGAGGCGCTCACGAAGGCTACCACGAGCCGGATCATGAAGGAGAAGGCAACGGCTGTTGGGGAGAAGATTCGCTCGGTTAGTGTTTTTTTCCGGTTTTTCGCTGGGAAAATTTCGCTCATGGTTGATTTACTTGCAGGAGGATGGAGTGAGGACGGCTATTCATACGCTATACACCTATCTCCCCCGAGCGAGTCGGGAACAGAAGACGCTCAAGACGAAACAGTCTTCCAGATGCCACCGCGTCGAGTCCATCCGCCGGAAGACTTCGTTGCTCATCAGTTAGGACGCGAATGGCTATATTGTACCTCTTTGTTAACTTATTTCCGTGTTGTTTATGTGTGCATCTGGTACCATAGCATGTATGATTCCCTCCTCATTAATTATTCCATGTATACCACGTTGATTTGTATTGCTGACGAGATTTAATGACGAATGCCTGTTCTGAGACCTCGACTCGAGATGACCGGTGGGGGCGGGTACTGCCGTTTTAGGTATCGATCAAACGGAAACCAAACACGCCGGTACTTGGGAAGGACCTCCTGTTACACTCTGGCATGGCAGCGTCTGATGTGAAGGCGTTTCTTCCGCCTTTACCGTCGACGGAAATGATTGAAATAAAAGTATGAATATTCTAAGCGTTACGAAATGTTTACTATCTATCACTCTACCCGCTCCCATCTTGACTCGATAGAATTTGCTCCATAAAGGCCAAGAGTGCCGAATATTCCCGATCCGGATTACGTCGGCCGTGAGGCCCGTCTAGCATCTGCATCGTGTCTAGCCAGTTGGCGCTTGGTCCTCACACATAGCTCCAACGATGACTGACAGCGCTTGATACCTTTCCTTTCCTTTCTTTCTTTCGCATCAGTAATGGACGTCCCCATTGACAACTTCCCTTCGACTTCATCCCCAGCTACGCGGGCCATCAAGGATATTGCATTCGGTTCCGTAAGTTCACGTTCACTCGACCAAAATGACTGAGTAAAAAAATGCTGTATAGGCAGCAGGGATGGTCTCCAAGGTCTTCGAGCATCCGTTCGATTTGACCAAAGTACGGCTTCAATCCCAAGTGCTGGACGACTTTGCACGCTTTGCTGGGCCCATTGACTGCCTGACACAAACGTACACCAAAGAGGGCGTGACGGGGCTATACAGGGTATGTGTGCTATGTTTTCGGTCCTCATGCAGTACCTTACGTTTTTCTAGGGCTTACCAGCTCCCATAATAGGCGCAATGGTGGAAAACGCTTCTCTCTTTCTCACATATTCGTCTTTTCAATCCCTGATCCGGACTGTCGCCCATCTCCCAGCCGATGATCAACCGATACTACCTCTCCGTTACCTCTGTCTTGCAGCAGCGGGCTCCGGTGCCGTTACATCCTTCCTCCTCACACCGATTGAGCTCGTCAAATGCAAAATGCAGGTCCAAATGTTGCTTCCCCAAAATGCGTCCCACTCTATACCCCTGCCTGGACCACTAAAAGTCCTGGCGTCTGTCATACGAACGACGGGACTCCGGGGCCTGTGGTTGGGCCACACGGGGACGTTCATCCGCGAGACGGGCGGGACAGCAGCGTGGTTCGGGACGAAGGAATTTGTCGCGTCACGTTTGCTGGCTCGGCATCCTGAGGGTAGCGCTCGGACGCTGGCGCCGTGGGAGTCTGCCTTGTCTGGTGCATGTGCAGGCGCGTCGTTTAACCTGGCGTTGTTCCCGGCGGATACGGTGAAAAGCACGATGCAGACGGGTGATGAGCTTCGGGGCCCATCTGGCCTCAAGGCGAGCTTTCTAAGGACGTTCAGGGAGATGTATGCTGCCCAGGGTATCCGAGGCTTGTATGCTGGGTGTGGGATCACAATTGCGAGGAGTATACCCAGCAGTGCGATTATATTCGTGATATATGATGAGTTGAATAAGCGATTTTCGTAGGGAGAAGTGGAGACCGTGTAGATTAATCAACCTAGATCTTGTATCGCTAGTAACAGCACATAGAGTTTTGCAAACAAGGCATTGTTTCTCCTTTTGAATTCGATGAGCGCTTGGGCGTATTTGGATATGATTGAGTATTGCTTGCAAGCCGTCATTGAACCTTTTCATTCAACTGAAAATAGCATGTACGTGTACAAAGGGGAGAGAGCGGCTATGATACATTGAATTCCAATACATACGTTTCACACCCTACCGTAATGTGCAATTCAAACCTCCCACAACTAAAGACATATGGAACTCGTTAGTGGATATTTACTAGTCCGTATAATCCCCCATCATATTTCAGCACCGTATAATAACATTATTATTACCGTCATTTTCTCAGTACTTGGAGAACGAAGACGGTCGGTGTCAGTAAAATGACGATGTCAGAGATCGGGTTTTGCCGAACACTTTTTTTAACTTTACTTTACGACCACGGTTGGCGTTCTAGCGCAGTCACCTGGGTACTCTAGAGTCGCAGTCGATTTTCAAACTGGAATGATATAGGTATCTATTTCCACCCTATGTTCATCAAAGCTATTTGGGTTCCAAATCTTTGCTCTAGAAAGGCACCGTGGTGGGGATGAAAATCGGTCAGTGGGGCTGGCAGGCAGCAGGAATCCAGACTCCAGAGCGGTTATCGGCTGGGATTTGTCCATCCCATCTGGATCACACCCGCTATTTGATGTGTGTAATAGATTTGGAGCCAATTCAAGGCTGTCAGCGAAGGATTCGACCTCCGCATAAAGGCATCACGCGAGAAGCTTTTTGGACCTTCCGGTACTCAAGCTCGTCTCTATCAGATGCGGTGTAAGTTTTGCGTACACCAGCATATGATTGAAATCACCGTTCTTCTACGTTTGAGACGACATTTCGGTGATCTTTGCAATCTCCTCTTCGAGCCGGATCACTAAATCTCGGATGCGAAGTAGATTTGTCCGTGTTTTCCAAACATATTTTTGGGTGTTCATGACCACTTTTGGGTTCCTCTGACCAGTTGTGTCGAAGTGTGCTCATCATCTCTTTCGGTCTTGCCATCGCTCCGTTGATCCCAAAGTTCGATGTTGACGATCATGACCGTACACTGTTCCACTGTTCTGCTGGTGAGGATTCCCATTCTGCAAAGATCTTCCCCGCTCGTCTTCCCTCAAGGTGCCAAGGGGCAATGACGCTGGTTTTCCAACGTAAAAGCCGCGGTTGCTCCGGCTTCTTTCATTAAGAAACAATTTTATATGTCAAGTGACAGATCTCGGCATGCAACATGATATTTTTGTACGACAAGCGAGCAGGGTCGGTACCGTCACTATCTTATCGTACATCACGACCAGTCTTCTAGCTCAAGACCCTCCAGTATTCAAAAACAGTCCAGCAACGCAGTAAATACAGACGCGAAGACGTTACCGTCCGAATGGGGAAGGTTGACAGGCAGGCAGTGGCCGTAAATGAAACCCAAATCGCAGTTTGCACGTATTTTGGAGGAGAAGCAGTATTATTTCTTGGTCGGCTGCTTCTCTACTCAGTTAAGGTCATGCAGGGCTGACTTTTTACTTTTTTATTCGCCTCTCTTCCTTCCGTCCTTCATCTCTTCGTCCCTACCCCAATGGCCCCTCAGAGACAGCCGACCCTGACACGGCCCAAGGAATACAAGCTGTCCTGGAAAGCCCTCTTGACCCTGCCAGTAAGCTATATCCAACCGTTCCACCTCTTTCTGACGCGCCCGATGCCCAGTTTCGTCTCTGTAACCCACCGCCTGCGGTTGGAAAGGTCAGGTCTTGTGGTGGTGCGTTTCTTCTCGTATTTCGGGCGGCACCAGCTGAGGACGGTCACAGTTACGCCAGCGTTCAACGTACGGCTCGAAGATGTGTTGGACAGGAAGCATTTACCTCCTCTTGGTATGTAGCTAGTCCTGGCTTCGTGACTCCAGACTGATTCGTTCTAAAGGGCTTAAGGATTTCGAGGTAATCATTCTCGTCTCAGTGTTTCCCGTCGACCCGCTAAGCACTACCGATAGGAATGGCTGCTATACGTAGAGCTGGCTCCAGAAAATCTGTACGTTGACTTGGCTATATGCGCATATATAGACTCAAATCCGCTAGTAGGTATTTCATCCTCTGGCTCAAGGAGTACACCGTCAAATACAGGCAGTGGGAAGCTGCCTCAAGATTGCGTCGGAGCGAAACCCCAGCATACCTGGGCGTCTGGCCAAGACACAATTCGTCCCAGCTCACCATGTTCTACGCCCGAGCAAAGCAGACGTTCCTAACGCCAAACGCTAACCACGAACTCAATCTCCCCTCGGACGTCCTCGCTCCTTTCCATACATCAAACGGTTCCCCACACCCTGATCCCGCTGTATTCAATCAAGTAGCCGTTCAAGTCCAGAAGATGCTTAAGGAAAGCCTCGAGCGCTTTGTTACCGCACAATTCAACAATGTCGGCAATAGTCGTGTTTTGTGTGGTTTGATCGCGGGAATTTTCTGCTGTTTGGTGGGCGCCGTCTTTCCCATGGTTTACAATATCGTCAAAGGACACTCGCGGTGGTTGCGTCTCACCGCGTTACCAGGGCTCTGGTTGGGTCTTGCCTTGTTGCTCACGAGCTTGAATGGTGTCTGTCTTGCCATTTACGTGTTTGGTGACTTGCGGCAGCTTAGACGCTTTGAGCTTTCTAGGCCGCCCATCTCGAAACCCCAGCCGCTGTACAGCTCACGTCGACGCCCAATGGTGGCTTCGCCAATCTCCACTGCTACTCCATCTCCACCCGTTCTCACACCTCCGCCTATGGCCCACATTGATTCCTCACGTCCTAACTCTTTGGTCACCATCAGCTCATCGATATGCTACGATCATTCCCATTCGATGACGGATCTTTCGTCTGAAGGCTCAGATATGATTCGCATTTCCCCAGCTTATTATGATGCGGACCCCATCGAAGGTCCAGCAACGGCCCCCGTATCTATCCACAGACCTGGCTCAGGATTTTCTGACGACGAAGACAGCAGCGGCGATGAGACATACAGCTCGACCGCTCTATTCATCCACCCATTCGACGGGTCTACAGAGGACATCAGTGATTACGAGTTTCCTAGCCCGAACAAGCTTCTCCCAGAAGAGCTTCAGCGGATATCAGAATTCAACTTTGACACCCTCCCCAGGCCCATTTCCGTCACCAAACACGCGCATACCGATTCCGTACGACCACTGCAACCTGACGTCCTCTTTATCGAACCCGAGACACCTGCACCTGACCTCGGAAAGTCCCCAAAAGCCTTCATTCGGCGTATTCAGTCAAAATGCAGTATCAACAAGTGGATGGTCATCATTGGCGGAACGCCGGAGGAGGATTCAGCGCCTTCTTTGCCTACGTCTTCAGATGAGAAGCTTCCCGTGCACGACACCGTGGTTAAACCCAAGGTGGAAATGCGAGCGAAAAAGACAGACGAGTCGATAATCCGGAAGCAGTATAAGAAAGTCAAGGCTGTTCCGGCATTTGCTTCGCCGCTGACCCGCGTGCTAAGCCCTGTGGTGATAAGAGGTCAGTGGGAGATCGTGATTCGGTCTTTTGTGATTGCGTGTCTCGTTAGTTGGCTGATTGTGGGAAGCCTTTTGGCTGTTCCAGAGTTTTCGTAGAGAGAGGCGGGTCTTTTTCTTGGTGCGCTGGTCGCGAGAGCGCAGTTTATAGGCTTTTTTTTTTGCTCGCTGAAATTTAAAGTTGGACCGATTGGTACCGCATGTACGCTCATTTATCCAATCTTTGTATGTGTAACTGTTACGTTAATCACACTCTTCCATCGGCTCATCTCGCTGTAATTGTCAATTTACTTACCTTTGTTACTTTCCTTTATTACATCTGTAATTTGTTGCTTGCTTTCAAGTTATCCATATACTTATTATTTCCTGTATTTGTGTGTTTGTAGACCTTGTGCTCAATTTTATGTAATTGAGTATCATACCAAAGAAATTAATGGTGAATCCAGTCTGCATCTCTTACAATACACACCAATATTAGGTGTGTAAATGACCTTAGTATTTATTTGATGCTGGCAGAAGAAACGCCTATTCGACACCAACCTACCAGCCCCGATGCTCATAATCTGCCAGGACATCCTTCGCTGTTTCCTCCATCATCCGAAATTTGATCCCCAGAATTCTCTGTTCCTTGGACATGTCAAAAGTGATTGCACGCTGGCAGATACCAGGTGTTCCTCTGGGTAATGTACGTGAGGGATATGGATTAGGAGAGAGTTCGGAAATGACATCGACTAGAAGGAAATGAGAGTCTGAAACGAGTGGAAAATATGATAAACACGTACGCCAGTCCTGCCATACCCACGACCCGACGCTGATAATGATCCTCTCCCCGCCAGCACTAGGAACCTCCATGGCACGTACATGAGCCATAGCCACATCGCGAACATCTGCCCACCCATGTCCCGGTGTGGTGAGGGGTGAGAAGCCCCCGAAATCCTCTCTGACAATAGCATCGTACCAGTGTTTGCTCGACGCATTGAGACTGTCAACAGTCGTCACTTCATGAATTGCAGGCTGCCATCCATGATTAGATCCCAAAATGGAATAACCACATATACTCTCTCTGACTCACGCCAATAACCCAAGGAGGATTGATCACAGAAATGTCCCATTTGATTTCTGGTTTGTGTTTCTCGTAAAATGCCCAAGCGGCTGCACAGACGGGTCATACACAAGGTGAGAGAATAAATAGGGAAGGAACATACCTTTCTCCGCCAAAGTCTTTGACGCAGAGTACTTGGCTAGGCTGGACGCGTCTCTGCCTTTCTCTTCGCACTCTTTGATCGGGGGTTCATTCCAATCGGCCTCCGAGACGGTTACCGGCGCTGTTGAGAAGGCAACAATAGCAGCAGACGAGGAGGACATGACGATGCGCTTTAGTGAGTCACTGGTATACTGCCAATCAGCTATGGCCAGGCTTGCGAGGGAGGGTGCATACCTGCCATTCTTCAAAGCACTCTTTAGGATCCCTTTTACACCCCCGACAGCAGGGTCAATCAGTTCTGCTCACGATTGTGAGAATCTTTCTTCGCTGTGCAGGCGAAGCGTACCACTGGGTTCGTCGGCAGACAAATGGACGGGCGAAGCAGTGTGGATGATAGCATCAACACCTTTAACCGCGTCGTCAAAAGCACCTCTCTTTGCAGGTAATTTCACAAAATCACCGTAAACCTGAGACGGGACGACATACCTTACTTATATCGCCAACGGCAAAGAGCTTGAGCCTGGCGCCGTAGGACTCGTAAATATCAAGAAGATGTTTTCCCCTTCCTTCATTTCGTACTGCGGCGCGTACAGAGTAACCCCCTTTGAGAAGGTGGCCGACAATCCAGGTACCGATGAAGCCGTTGGCGCCAGTGACAAGGATGGTGGAGTTGGTATCCGTAACCGCAGGCATTGTACTGGGAAGAAATGAATCCGAAGAGACGTTTTGACGGGCTTAAGTAGGGTGTAGCTGATTCGTCTAATGTGCCTGAGTAATTCCCATGGAAATGACGCGTCAGTGCGGCGCATTTCGTCACTGGTCAGCCTGAGGTCGTTAGACGCTCTCCACACTACCAAGTAGCCCTAAGTGGTACTTGGGTGAATTTGCAATAGTTCTGGAGTCCACCGCTCGAAGCCGCCCGAAGTTCTCTGCTCCTCTGTAGGTTTGTCGTTGTTCTGCAGTAAAATAATGTGCTGGTAAGGTCGTTGCAGTCATCGAATAGTGCAGCAATACTTATATATGTTCTTCTCACACAGTTGTGAACGAGATGCGACTCCAGTTCGAGAAAGGTTGTATTCGCGGACATCTTTGGCACCTGGCTAGTATCCAATTTCAGTGGTCTGTAAATGTATTCCCAACCGAATCTCGTCAAGTTTCAATATTCAACTACTGCCAGTACTCATCTTGTTAATGGCAGTGGTGGATAGATAAAACTGGAATCACGACGTCGTTGAGAACGGGAGAGTACGTGCACGTAAGCTCTTTGAAATCCATTCATTGAAACGTACATAGGGATTAACCAGCTAAGATATTCGCGCCAAGACATTATTCGCCATTTCAAAAGGGATTGGAGGCCGGCAATTGTCGGGCGGCCCTTTTTACGAAGTGCGACTATGGATTAGGAAAGATGATATCGCTTATAATGATAAGAGGGTGAGTCGTATCCGAATATCATACGAAAGAGAGACATACGCCAATCTTGTACCATGATCCGTAGAAACCTCAGTAGGAAGATGAGGTGATATCACAATTATCTAGCCACGCCCTGGTGAAGGTGCAGCCACCATACTGCTTTTGAAACACTTATAAGATGTATTGAGAGTGTCGGCTGACGTTCTGAATAACAAGCTGTCATAAAACGCGAGGCGGCTAAGTGCCGGAGCATTCGATATCGAAGCTAGCTTGCATCGCTTTCGTAAGGCTGGGGCAGGGCTGTCGAATCAATAGCTTTGAATACAATCTCAAGGGACGTCTCGAAATGCATAAAGACTGGCACACCTCCACTGATGAGGAATTTATACAAGAACAAAGGCGGGAACAGCATATATGACAACTTGACGCGTCTGTACCAAGGAAGAACAGCAACTAGGGACTGGCTGCACGTAATCCATCTCTTGGTTAGTCTTCGGGCTACCACCGCACCGCCGCGAATTGTCGTTCGATCATGGCTAGGATTGAGAACGGCTTGATATAAGGTTTGAGTTTCGTGGATGATCACAAAGTCTGCAGGATCGCCCTTTTGAGGGAACAGGCCTTGAGGTAGATCGCTTGGAGCAATCCCCAGTGCGCGCTTCGAGGTCAATGTTACAGAACGCTATGTGTAATAATATGAAACAGCAAGTTGACAAGGTAGGAAGTTACTGACTATTAAGGTCCTGATATCTCCAGGAGTGGCAGACTGGAAGAGCGCAACGCCGAGGGTACACAAGGCAAGCGGATCCACCGATCCTTGAGGTGTAAATGCGTTTTCGATGTTGTTGACGCTCATGGCGATCTGCAAGTCATATTTACGCGCAATGTAAGGAACGCGGAGCGTGCTTCTGGGTGGACCGAGAGGTTTATCCATATCCCTGCGGCCTTGCATGTACAGGTCAGAGTTGGGTAGACCGACGAGCGTAATGGGGAGCTTTCCAATAGCCTGCTGGAGTTCTTGCCATTGGTCCGGAGTGAACAGTTGTAGACGGGTTGCATGCCCGATGGTAATGCCACGGTATGATTCATTGTCAATAGGAAGCCAACCGCCAATTCTCTTTGCCTCCCGGATAACCTCCCAAATGAGCGGCTCAGTATTTGGATCGACATTATAGTCTAGATGAAAGTCGGCATGAAGACCCATTTGAGCTGCTAGCTCCAAGATCAGAGTGATATTTTTCTTCGCTTGGTCAATATTTGCCTCGACGTAAGGGGCCGAACCAATGGCTTCTACCTCAGGATCTTCGAGAGCCTGTTTCAGAAAGCGATAATTGGAACCGGGCGTTGTATCCGCGACAAAGTCAAACAACGGTTCTTGCGCAAACACTGTTACGGTGAACAAGATTCGTAACAAACAAAGGAGCGAGAGCTGACCAGCGATCTGTACATTACACGCTGTTTTGAATTCATTCCTCAATCTGACCGCTGCTGCGAGAGAGGATAGCCCAACGATGGAGTCGACCTCAACATGAGCTCGCATTGAAGTAACGCCGCATTCGATGCTTTCGCGTACAAGTCGTCTTCCGCGCCGTAGAAGGTCGTCTGGATCGTAACGAAAATCTTGCTTGGCGCGAGCTGTTACCTTCATGGCCTCCGTGAAATCCCTTGGTAATGATAGGACTGAGATAGACATTAAGGACGAGGATAACGCACCCGATTTCACATTTACAACGGTCCAGTATGAAGCACTTGTCGAGATGGATGTGAGAATGACACAGGCTGGACGGGTTAACGTCCAACTTGTTCGGCAAATGACGCGACTCACGAAGGTAACAGCAAGCTCCCTTTCGCATCAAATTCCGGCAGAGGCACATCATTGCTTCCGTCCGATAACGACACCTGCTTCACTTTCTTTCCTCTGCACTCTACTGTCCACAGCTGCTCCGCCATCGCATTGTCTGTGTGTGCAAGTCGTACATTCTTGATGATAAGGGTGCTCTGGGGAACGTCTGCTCGATCAACCGTTGCCTCTGCTAAGGAGCTGTCTGCACTTTCAAGAGGCTCTCTCCACCATTTTTGAATCCATTGGAGGCCAAACGGTTCCATGAAGACGTGATGAGTGCGGATGAGAGGGGCGATATTGCGTGGTTGGTTATACTTAGGTACCTGACCTAAGTATGATGACATAGCTTTATTCAACCGCTCATCCGTTCGCGCCGTCTATTTAAAACGTGCGCAGTCTTTCGGCAATTTTATCTGTTTCCCTCCACTATACGATGAGCTGCCCAAACTGCTTTAAAGGCGAGATATTGGCTGGCGAACCAACAGGAACGATTTCCATCCAAGGAGCTTACTATGCGCAAAGTTCCGAACCCTCGACGCGTGCTGTGCTACTGCTCACGGATATCTTTGGTCTTCGACTCAAAAATTCCAAGATTCTCGCCGACTTCTTTGCTGAACAGTTGAAGTGTGATGTTTGGGTCCCAGACCTTTTCGATGGTGAGCTCAACTTTGCGACCAAGTGTCCTTTGTTCTCTCACAATGTCTCACTACAGGCAAGCCACCTGTGGAGGTTCATGAAATGAAAATTCCGGAACGTGTTGGCGAGAAAATCGGATTCTTTGGATATCTCACATTCTTCTGGATTTTTTTGAAACGCTTTCCCCTTGTTATACGTAGTCGGCCAAGCGTGGTGGATCAGAGAGTGACTACTGTGAGTTTGGAGCTACCTCTCCAAAAATTATCATCCTCTCACACATGTTCTCAGTTCATAAACGCACTGAAAGCAGAGAAAAAGTACGAAAAGCTAGGTGCCGTTGGGTTGGTCTCCCTACAGTCCTTTTTCGCCCTGACGTTAACTCTACTACCTCCAGATACTGCTTTGGAGGAGCCGTCGCTGTGAGGATCGGAGCCACGAACCTCTTCGATACTATTGTTGTCTGCCATCCCGGCGGGTTGTCCACTGAACAGTTTAAAGCGCTCAAGGTATTCATCGTCAGGGGGAAATTTTGTCCATAAGGACTGACATTATGTCAGGTGCCTTCTTCTTGGGCTTGCGCTGAAGGTTTGATCTTGATTTGGGCCACAGGGAATGGTCTAACGTGTGCTTTCAGAGGACATGGGCTTCAAACCTGCTGCACGCGCCGCCGCCGAAGCAGAACTGGCGGGAAGAAAGGGAAAACCGAACTTTGTAGAATACGAGTTCATTGACCACAAGGGTATGTCTTTTGGCAAGCTACTTCGTGACATTCAAATTAAACCGAATGATCTTTCCAGGGACCACTCATGGATTTGCAGCTCGGCCGAACCTAGCTTACCCAGAGGTGAAGGCGGGTTTTGAGGCTGCTTTGCAGCAGACTGTTGAGTGGTTCAAGAAGACGTTACTGGCATAATAATGTCATTAGCTGCAAGCCTCCATATATCATGCTTTTGGATATTCTCTTTTCGAATGTTTTGACCTGATGTGAATATATTCAGCCGATTTTGTCCCTTGGGACCTTTCTTTTTGTACCAATGAACTCTTGCAAGTCGCGATCACAGTCCAAGCGTGAACAGGTGCACGTGACCGTAAAAACCGATTTGGAAGTTCCTGGATCTTCTTTGTTATTTCCACACCCTCGATGAGCTGTCCAGACTGTTTTAGAGGTGCTGCCCTATCTGGCGAGCCCAAAGGAACAATCTCGGATGTTAATGGGGCATACTTGGCTAGTCGTCCCAGCTCGTCCCGCGCTGTGGTCCTACTCTCCGATATCTTTGGTCTCGACCTTCCCAATCCCAAGCTTCAAGCAGATTTCTTCTCAGAACAGCTGGGTTGCGATGTGTGGGTTCCCAACATGTTCAATGGTGAAGTTTTTCCCCCCTATTCTTGGCCCTGGATGTAACTTGTTCAGGAAATGCACCCGTTAGGCCTGAACAAATGAGGATGCCAGAACGCGCCGGCCAGAGGTTCTCGTTGTGGGATTGGATCAAAATTATTTGGGTCGCGTTACCCACTCTTCCCGCTATATACCGCAACAGGGCTTCAGTTACCGATCGGAGAGTTCGAAGTGTCCGATCTCTTAATATTAGTGGTGGAGCGTTCTGATGCTTATGTCTTTATTATAGTTCATCGATAAACTCAAGTCGACCAAGAAGTATGATAAAATTGGAGCCGTGGGGTGTGTAAAGCTCCGCACGACATTTTCTACTATGTTTACAGACTTCAGGTACTGCTTCGGTGGAGCTACTGCCATTAAGTTCGGTGCCACTGGGTTGTTCGATACCATTGTCGTCTGCCATCCTGCAAAATTTAGTATGGATGAGCTGAAAGCCATCAAGGTCATACCCTCTCCACTTAACGTCACCTGTTTCCATTCAGCTGACTTGTCTAGGTTCCCTCTTCTTGGGTGTGTGCGGAGGGTACGTTAGCTTGTTTCGGCCAGCACATAGTTTTGAGATCTTTTTAGATGACATGATCTTTGGTCATGACTTCCGACTGAAGGCAGAGGCCGCCATGGCTGGACGGAAGGATGGAGTTGCGTATGAGTTCAGAGACTATAAGGGTCAGTTCTTTCATACCATGATGGCAGGATTCGCATTGATATACTTTGTGAAGGCACGACCCACGGCTTTGCGGCACGTCCTAACACCGACTATCCTGAGGTAAAGGAGGCGTATGAAGACACATTGCAACAGACCGTAGAATGGTTCAAGAAAACTTTGACTTCAAGCTCGTGAATTGGCGTCGCCTTAACCGTCCTCTTTTATATTCGTTTTGTCGCTATGTGTTACGCAACGACAGGATATTGAAAGATAGCTACTCCCCAGAATGGTCGAACCAGCCGACCTTTTATAACCAAGTTGGTTTCAGAATCATCGCATCTCTTACTTTTCACTTCTCTCTAGTCAAATCATCTGTGTCCCTCCAGCTGCGCAGAAGCGTCTGTTTGATACTTCCCAACCCCCGGCGCTCGTCCTCAGCGTGTTGATATTCTGATTGGCCCTTGACAAGTTCAGCTGCCGTACGCCGATCTCCCGGTGCGAAAGGTTGGTTCCAGGCAGTGAAGATGAAGGAAGAAGGGTCTGGTAACGGGTGAGCGGTGATTTCCTGAAGTTCTCGCTGTATAGATAAACAAAATCCATCGAGGTCTAGGTCGTTGAGATCATAGTTGAATGGATTCTCACTAACAGAATGCTGAGTGCCCGTTCGTCTGCAATAGTAAAATTACGTACATTTCCTGACCAATTTCAAGGAAACCAAGAAGGAGGAAGGATGAAAACGCTGTTCCGGGGATTGTCAGGTATTTGAAGTTGTCGAAGATTTGGAACTGCCCAAAGAGTGTCAGAGTAGAGTAAGGACAAGGAAGAAGCAACAAACGGGAAGGAGGAATAGGTACACCCAAAGAGACATTCGCAGATGCATTTGATACGCAAATGGAAGCGGCGTGTTCGCGATTCGTGCAAGGTTGCTCAACGTATCTTGGAGCGCGCAAATGTTGTTGACGATGCCCGAGGCAATGGGTGGCTGAACGACGCCAGAACGTATGATGTCTGTAAGATAGCTTAGCATACAACAGCGCTGAGAAGAGAGATATAGACAATTCGCGTAATCCGACAGATAAATTGTGATCTGCAAAGGTACATTGCTCTCTTCGATTTTTGGCCTAATTTTTCTTCCCAGAGCATTCCGTGAAGCGCCTTCAATGACGCTCTTCTTCGTTCGAGTTAACTGTTTTGCGATCCATTTAAAGATCAGAAGGAAGGGAACATAATCGTAAACACTGGTATTTGGAGGGTTACGAGCGGGTTTGAGCGGTCGATGACTGAAGACATCAGGGAGAGCTTTTTCGGGGTCGAACGTCTTCGGTTTCGGCGTACGTTTTCCTAATGAGTGCCAGCCTAATGACGACGGAGCAGGAGAGGCCGAAAAACTGGGAGGGGCTGATTCCGGTCTTGGGGTCGGCGTAGCGTGGATTTTGTGGTTGTAGGGGTGTTCACCGTCTTCGGAGGCCTGCCAGAGAGGGAGCATATCGGTGTAGCTTGTCGCCGCTTCTGATGCAAATTTGGGCAAAAACGAGATGAGGGGGTAGAGATCTTCATAGTAGACACCCGTCTCGCCTCGTAGGAAGTGCTATCCAATCCCAACAGGGATTAGAAGAAAGTAATAACAGGGTTACTCGGTAAGAAGTACCTTGACAGAAACAGCAAAGGCTTGGATCAAGTTGATCATTGTCTTCTTCTCGATGATACTCTCAAGTGCAGTCTGCTTCGACCCATCCTGTCTCAATGGTCTATCATTAGGAATATGAATCCAGATCTGACGCGATGTTAGCCCTAAGGCGAGGCCTGCTTTGACGACAGAACGTACCATTTGGGTGAGGTTCCGAGACGTGATTGATAAATTTGACCACAATTTTCTCCCATCCTGGTATCTAACAGCGTGTTAGATGACAGAATGAACAGACACACAAGACAGCGGACCTCTCATATGCAGAGGACGTCCTGAACGATATCACCAAACCGAGGACAGTACCCAGTACAGTCAATAATTGCGGGTTAACCGCCAAAGAGTGTGGTGTTTTAATGGATACAAACGTCACCACTGTACAAAAATAAACGTTAAAACGACGAAAAACGGGTGCATGACCACAGACTTACTGGTTGCTACGGCGGTAAAAAACAACACCTCCGGCCAGATGTCATTGATCACGGTCGCATTAAACTTCTTCAACGTCCACTTGCCTCGAAGGACGGGGTTATAGGCAACCATGGCGAAGTGAAGCCTTTCTGAGGGTCGACCAGCGAGGGTTCAAGGAGAGGAAAGGAGAAACACAAGAAGGACAAGGGACCCGAAATGAGGAAAGGGACGAAACATTAATTCTGGCATCATTTATATATGTGAGAACTTTCCCGTGGGCGCCCATCTACGATGATCAGGGTAACTAGTGCGTGATGGGTCGGTTGACGATGATACTCTGGCTGCCCTGTCATGGAAGACACTTACGCGTCTTGAATGCATCAAAACGAAAAAAACCTGCGTGTCGAGGTAGTCAATTTTCAAACAGGGCTGACTGGATTTGTGGTGAAACTAATAACGAAGGGTTAGGACGAGGGGGATCACATGCCCCGTACAATGCGCGTCAGCGGATGTTGATCAAAATTCGACGCCGCTCATTGACAACTGCTGTCCCTTGAACGGACGATGAACATTGTTGTACAGCTACAAAGGCCCTACATGGAGAGAGCACAGCTATCACATGCGCTTATGAAAACTGAGGTGAGGCATGATTAGTGGCCTTGTCGTGGCCGGATGAAAAGTATCCGTCCGTTATCGACTCCCCGAGAGAACGTTCTCGATATTTTTAATGCGTGATACATCACATCTCTGGCCAACATTTCAATGGGAGGGATATTTTGCACATTGCAGGCAGTGTGATATTATGAGATGTATGCATGATTTGAGAAAGCATCCAAGGGCCTCAGATCACACGACAGTGTAACCTTTGATAACTCGTCCCTTGCCTAGTCGGAGGGTAGCATGTAGTATTGAAAACATCTAGTTGAGGCTGGCGGAAATAACCAACACGACTGTCATACCGACACGGCTATGAAAGCTTTCGAGGGATCGATCAGTAGCGTTAAGAGAAAGCACCCCAAATCAGCAGTTCCCGTTCTGATTACTGAAGACCCTGGGTGGGACTTCATGACATTAAAATAGCATACACTGGTACACAAAGTGGACTTGTATCGCGTTTTCTGGGCAACAGATAGTCGTAAGTCATCGACCTACAGGAGCAAGTGGAGCACTCACAGCAACAGTACCTAAACTACGGTCCGATGACTTGAGTGCTCGGTATCTTCCAACAAAGTTCAGGCATCAGAGCCAGGGATTATCGAGATTAGATATTTGAAGAAAGACCGATGTTCGAGCACCACCAGACACAATAACAGCCAAGACTCTAGAACGGAAGGTTCGAATAAGAGACTCCATATATGGAGAACATGTAGTGCGCCGCCCTTCGTTCTTATTCCACTGTAAGTTGTTGGAGGCAGAGCGGGACTGAAACAATCCCCATTAGAAGTGGCACAGAACTTTCCCTTACTCATGAATCCTTTTACAGAGTTTATGTACTTGGTGACAAAAGACCAAGCCAGGAACGTGGCAAATGCCTTTGAAGGCGTCGACCAATAGCAAACGTCAAAAAAGTTACATAGCAAGGACACTTCAGCGGAGTACTAACCAGTAGAAGTAACGAGTTTCTGATCCAATATTCGGCCAAGGTGACGACTAGACGTATGTAAACTGTGCCTTGGGCACCATCAAGCATGTATGATGTGCCAACTAAACACGAAATATTGAGGACTCAACTTGGCTCTGCGACTAACAGGGATCATGACAGCATACGCTGTCAAGTACAATTGCGGAGTAAAGTTGCTAGTCTGGTTATGGTTCAAAGGCTTATTCTGACCAAGTCAAGTGGTATCTTACCGACAATCGCTCATTCTGTCAACGCTATTTTGTCGTCTGTCACGGTAAGAAATATTCGAGGAGACGGAACTGGGAGAAGTTCCTAGACGTCATGGTAACCTGATGAACGGGGAAAATGCCCTGAAGCACGCACCTAAAAGTCGCATTTTTTCAGACGGGCTAGTCATTGAATTGCTGTATCGTCGGTGCGAATCCTACGAATGTGAGACAGTCACACAAGGAATCCACATGCTTGAAGATGACCATCTCAATCGAGATACCTTCGTTCATCGGTTATTGACAGTCAATCCCAGCTCTACGCTTGCGTGGCTTCACCATAAAGTTCCTAAAATTTGAGAACGCGGTGGTTTGATGACGATGAAATCACTGAACGAGGAGGCCTAGGTCTAATCCTTGTCATGTTGTCCTAGCAAGCATTGTGAAGGGCAAGTAGGTATCGGTATTGCGGTCCGAAATGCCGATCCGACCGCAGTTTCCTCCACGCGTTCTGTACAAAAGCTGCAATGCATATCTCTCTGAACAACGTCGGAAGTTGATCGTGAAATCTGGGGCACCGTTGCCCGACCCTGAATCGGATTTGGTGTTATAGACAACGAGGAGCATATGGCCACTTGAAGGGCTAAAAGGCACTTAATAACTGCGTCGGGAAGAAAGGGTGTTAGTTCCCGAGTCATTTTCTCTGGGAATCATCCACCCCCCTGCGATTAGCCGGGTGCTTGGCCTTTCCTCCGATCTGAATCTGCGACTTTCCCGTGTTCGAGGGTACATCGCCAAGAGGCGGGGACCGTATTCCACATTGTAATGTCAGCCAGAGTGTTTGTGACACGGCATGGGCACGTACTCAGACTTCTGGGAGATTTTCAAGTCGAAGACGTTGATAGATGGGCGTTTTAGTGGAATGGGTATCCGCAGGAGTTAGAAGGTGGGATAGTTATTCTGAAGCCGGGGTGCATTTCGAATCCGTAGATAAGCTAGATTGAGACTGATGTGGTTCTAATGATGGAGATGTCCGGATCCATCGCCCATATACCATAATTTCGCGGTGAAGGCAACGGCAGGCTAAAGATGCTGGAGCAGCTGACCGTAGCTAGGAGACAGACGAATATGTATGGAGAAGAGACCCAGAAGGCGGCAGTAATAACAGGCGGTACCCTTGCTTCTGCTCTTGCTTCTTCATGATGATTTACGCATCGTTCTGGAAGCATGATGTCTCTTTGCAACTCCACAGCAAGACGTCTTCATCCTGATAGGCGTCCATTCCTCTGGTAGATTTTAAGAACAGATGGGCTCCTAGGAAGACGTCACAGGAAAAGATGAGCACATGCAAGGAAGACGTAGATGCTCGTTAAATAAACAAAAGAGAGGCTATTCGCTTTTCGGAAAAAGACAGATCAGGGTTAAGTGCAACCAATGCTCTAGACCACTAAATATTCCTTGTACACGTCGTCACCCCGATTGCCGGTTCATCGTCGCCAGATCTGGACCAATATATGCAGTAGGAAATCACTCAGTTGGGCCACCTTGTAATTTTTTGCCACGTAAGCTGTCGAAGCATGGTGTTGGAAAGATAGCCAAGTTTTGAGTTGCAACACCAAGATAACTGAATATTTCATTGGCCCATTTCAAACTTGAAGAGACAGGAAGCATGAACCGTTTCGGACCGAGATGCCCATTATACAGTGTCCATTCCCTAGATGCTGATGCGTAGTTCCCGCGGTAAGGCGTGGATATAGCGGTGGGGCGAACTGCAATAGGGCCGAACGAGTATTGGGGCCAGCTGGCCGTGGTAGTTCGAGAAGAAGCTGAAAATCGTAGTTCACGGCAGACATTTTTTGCGGCGTTAAATGCACTGCCACCAAGTTCGAACGACCATCATTCAGATTCTGTGAGTAAATACATATTCATATAGATTCTCGCGTTTTCGGATCTTTTGCCTTTGTGACTGGGTATCTGTGCGAAATTGGATGCACCTTTTGGTGTAGCACTAGTAGACGACGTACCAACCATTTCAAGGTACTAACGGGTTTCTACCGCTAACCGCAGTTGTCATAATACGGTGAGTCTCTACCATCGGCATTTAGCTAACGTACTGGAATGATACATAATCATTCAGTACTTGCCGCCCAGTTTTTCCGGAGATTACCGTCTTGGTTGTGGAGGCTGCTTGAGGAGACCTGTACTGCTTCCTCATGTCAAGGCTTCCACGGTACCGTGGCCCGTTGTGTCTCATTTTGATTGTATCTCTTCACCCACCAGTCAACATGTACAACGACGTTCCAACCGCCAGGCAACGCGCTATGATTTTGTTCTCTGTTAATTTTGAACATGAACCTTTCAGGCAACGGGCGTGTTGTCTATTCAGTAGTCGATGCCATACTATGCTGATTATGCAAAGTATATTTCTATTAGATTCATGCAGGGTAGCATGTTTTCGTCAACAACGCCGTTGATTTGTGGCAACTATTCCTCTTCCCACCCTTTCGCGCCCCGTAGGGTTAAGACGTTAAGATATTTCCGTTGAATAGGCTCTCCTATGCGTCACTGAACGCACTGTATGATTTTTAGACTGACGAATGGCCGCTCTTGTATTGAATATTAAAGACCCTCCGGACAGCAACCTATCATTTTGCATTCATATTCCGTAGGTTACACACACTAGCGTCAAAGACGTATCGCTTACTCCTTGCGTATTAGCTCCTTATATGCATGCACCGGGGTGTAGTGGGCTCGCTTAAGCAACATGCAGAATATTTTTATAATATTGCCGTACATGGCGATACTTACACATGATGGTACCCTAGACGTCCATCGTGTGTTGCATACGTTTGCTACTAACATTGTGGGACGTTAATCACACAATTTGATTGTCCTCGTGCAACTCTTCTCGACGGTGACTACTAACTGATATGGAGGATCATGGTGAGACTGGTGTTGACGGCTAGCTCCAGTCAAAAATGTATGTTATTCCTTCTCCATGTAATACTGGAGCTCTCTTGCTCTCTTGCTCCTAAAGTCTGGCCGCAGCCCAGGTCTTTCTCTGTAGCACTGAAAGCTGGCTGAACCGCCTCACGGCCCGTATACTCTCAAATAATTCCGAGACGAACACTATTGACTGCTTTAGGTCGGGATCATTTTCTTAGCACGATTTCCTGTCATGATTCTCCTTCGACGTACTATGTAACCGTTATAGCGAGAACATCTAGGATTTCTGATTCATTTGGTATCAGTAAGGTAAAGTTCTCCACGGAGCAGGAAGAATATTTAGGTTGCTATACCCACCTTCAATGAAGTTGATGCACTGCATCCGTATGTTCGGTTACTGTATCTAGGTGGGTGTTGTCCTGAAATCCCCCCCTTCCATCGAACGTTCTTTCTCGAAATATTGAAGATGGTCGGGTCTTTCTACTTCGTAGACCGCCATCGTCCGTCATTTGGCGGCGAGCTAATCATGAAAACACTTATTGAAAACATTTCCTAATGTGTGAGATGTCTTGGGCATCACGGCCCGTGTGTAGCACTTATGCCATGCTTCTCACGATAATTTTGGGTCTTCATTCAGCGCAGTTTCTGTTAACGTGAAGGAAGACACGGTGGAGCTCGAGTCTTGTTTTTCCTTTTACATCATATTTCGTGTCACAACTTCGCAGTTCGCGTGTGCGAACAATGTGTCAGGAGTGTGCTCTGCGGAGACTTCGGCGCTAGCATAGATCCTTATAGGACTCGGTAAATATGCATGGGGCGATACCCTCTCTGGTGTGGCCGAAGAATACCCGGAACCGAGGTGGTGAGTACATTTTTCCTGTAGAAACTGCAACGATGTAGTCACGGAACAAATAGGAAAATATGGCTTAATTCGACTTTCAAAGTACGTGATTTCGATGGACAGTGGCTCAACTTTGCTAATATGGAGTGACTCTATTGAAAACCGACTATCGGATAGGAAAAGTACAGGTTTGTATGCTCCCATCTTGCTAGATGGAGTTCTATTCAGCTAGGCGATATCTAGTCCTCAAGGTAACTCCTTCAGGACACAAGGACTCCCTCGAAGACCCTAGCGTGTGCTACGGCATCTCACAATGTCAATGGCATGCCTTCTGGGCGTGTTAACTCGAACATGTCGCGGCTGTTATCTTCCGATGGGTCTTCTACCAGTATTTCAGAAAGGAAGGCGAAGCAAGGCAAGGCTTACCCGCACCGTACATATGCCTGACCTGAAATATGCTTCGGTCTGGATACCGCAGCGGCTGACATTCAACATGTCTTAACATAGCGACAAACACGCAACAAAGTCTTGACCATACCTTGCCTCGGTTCCTTCCTCAACATCTTTTACTGTAAATCTCCATCAGCTGACCCGGATGCTATATCTTCCCTGGTCCGCTTCATTACCGGAAGTCTCATGGAGTTCGGAGAGCATCGGACGCTAGAGAACTGGTCCTATATTCATTTTCTTTTCTTCTTCACGTTTACGGTACTCTCAATTCCTTCAGTAAAATGCCGAGGGATCGCAGCGCCACCCATCCTTTTGGCGTGACGGACAGGAAGAGTCGCGGCAATGATGTACAGATGTACCTGATCTATCGGAAAGAAACAATGTCAATGGATTTGCCTACACGACCTCGCGTCCCGTAGTCATTGAAATACCTAATGGCGAAAGACCCACCCATACAATGGTATAGTGTTTCCTCTTCGCGCGATTTCTTTTAATTCAGTTGACCTTAAGCGGCGGAGCAATCATGGCAGCCAAGGTCCTTCTTTTCAATCAAATCTGGATTCCCGTTGTTCGATTTTTACTCCAAATCGTTTCAGCCATGTTTTGATCTGCCGCGATATCTGCTGTATCAGAGTAATAGAAGACACATCGATTCGTCTTCCATATTCCAAATGCTCCGGTTAAGGATACCCATTTTTTCATTGGATGTGTTTCAATGTACGCAATGTATGTATTATTTTGATTTCAACTGCCAAAATTAGTCTCGTACACCGTCATGAGTAGCATACAAACCATAAACAGGGATGTAGAAAGATATGCAGATGCCCAAAAGATAATGCGTGTAATAATTATGAGCCTGATGAAGAGGTATCACGAAATCGTCCGGGGTCGAAGATGCTGATAAATGATGAAACTAAAGATTATTAAAAGGCGAAGGGCGCAATTCGTCCCTCACGCCATCAATGACAAAAATTTAGGATGCTCGTATAATGGTAGATATGCATTGAGGTGGACGAGCGCCAGCCGAGATATTTTCTCTGCGAGGGTACGAATCTCCCCGGCTAGAGGTTCCATACCGGTCGCCGTTCCGATATTCACGGTTGACCGTGAAGTGGAGGAAATCATCGAGAAGAAATCAACAGACGACAGCTGTCCAGTTGAAGAGTCCCTGCCCGGGTAGCAGAGAGCGACGACTGCATTAAATACGACGTCACGAAGGCGGTTACGAAGCAGTATCGTAAGGTAAGAGTTCGGCTGGATGTTGAGATCCGCCCATTTTTGAGCTACGCTGAGGGTACGTTCGTCTGGAGAGGGGCCGATGCATAGACACGAAGGCGATAAACGAGGCGAAGGTGACGATGCGGGGGATGGCGAAGGTGATGGAGATAGAGGTGGCGCTGGTGACAGTGGAGATGAGGGTGCTGATACTGTTGATGATAATGTAGGCCGGAAAAGAGAACATAAATACGCTTTGTTTTGACCTTCCTTAGCTCGCATGGCAATCTGCAGGACAACATCCTGTTTTACGCGTAGCCATTTTTCATCACCGTCCTTAAAAGAATCCTGTTCGAGGAAACAGTAGCCGATGCGAGAGGATCCGATGTCTCGGATTTCATTTTTGAGCTTCACTAAAAACGCCTCGTCCACCTTGGGGGCTTGTTGGTGCGGAGTTACGGCGGGGTTTACCGAACACAGCAACTGTCGGTACAGAAGCAGAAACATGAACATTGCTGTCAGATCAGCAACATCTGCGCTAAGCAACACCAGACGGTTGTTATCGAGATAACACGTTTCTGGGAAGCCCGGGAGTGGGGCGGTAGGCGATGTCGGCGGTGTAGAGGAAGGACTGGGCAATGATGATGGCGAGATGCGTGTTGGCGGATTAAAAACAAGATCAGTGAGACCTTTAAGGGCAGCGATGTAAATTTGTTGATTTCGTTTCAGTTGAGGGTATCTTAGGCCATCTGAGTATGATGGGTGCAAAAGGACAGCTGTACGTGAAAGCATAGACGAGTGGGATCGCCATATCCACTCCCGAGTGACAGTCAAGGAAGAGGAGAGTTTACGGCTTTTGAAAGTTTTGAGCTCCCAGTGACCTGACGTTCGCTTGAGATAGGGACGCAATGTTTGCAGTTGATGGTTCGCGATGTCCTGGCGAGAAGATGATGTTAGAATATGAATTGGAAAAATAATGCGGCGGCTAACCAATTTCATGAGTTCTAAGATGTCCATACAAAGCCGAATAGCCTTCATAGGATCCCCCTTGCCGATCTGGCAGCCAGGTTTGCACGCCTCAGCCGCCTCGACCATGCCCTCAACTGCCTGGTCCCTTATGGGAGCGCAGTGGGCTTTGAGCGTGGAACCAATAGCGCGGAACAATCCCGAAGGGTCGAAAACCCGATGCTTAAGCTCTTGCTCGATAAGTGACGGATCGAATATAGAGCGAATGTGGCTGGCCTGGGCCGTATGTTCCTGGATCTGGGATTTGAAGGATCCAGGATTTACGTACATGCCAGATATGCTTGAGAGGGGTTGGAGAACGAGAAGAAGGACCTCTAGGAATTCTGAAAGGAGTGGCCGAATGCGGGACGGCATTCGCAGCGTTACAACACGAAGAGAAGGTGAAAATACAGAGACGGGAACATCGGAAGGCGAAGGATGATGACAAGCGCAAACGACGGGTAAATGAGGCTGACCATGCACGTCGAAGGATATGCATGTGCAGCCTGACTCGAGTTCCTGAACAACTGCATTCCAGTACTTTTCAGAAAGCTCGCGTTTCCGTCTGCTGCCTGTTGGTCGGAAATGAAGACCGGAATCGAACAGCAAGTCGTGGCCTATGTGAAATCGACTGGTTGAGAAGGAATAAAGTGGGACAGATGTAATTACACACGAAGTTGTGGGCTGCGAAGAATGACGTCCAGATCCAACTCTTTCAGACTGTGCCTGTTGACAAGCGGCAGTTGAGGTGGTATATGCGGTGAATTTGCTTCTACGTGCATGGGCTGGGCTGCGTCTGGTGGGCGCAAGACACATTTCGCGACCACAGGAGTGTCTCTAAGGTGAAGGAGAGAACCTGTCGACGGCCCAGGATCTGTGCCACATACAATGCCAAGGTCCTCGACGTCGCTGCCATATCTATCAATTGGCGGCGGCTTTGCAGGAGGCATTTTGACTGGGAATCTCCGTGCTAGTGCGAGATGCCTGGAAGGCATTGCCCTCGGAGGCATCTTGGCTGTCTCGTGGCGAGGACGTTTCGCGGGGCTGGCAAGTTGTTGCTCCCCCGTATCCCAAATGGCGCCGGTACGCAGCCAGGACTGTCGTGGGGCACTGCAAGACACTCCTGAGGACGGTTGGTCGACGAGCATGGCGTCGACTACAGCATCGGTCGAGGAGGGGTCCTGGTCGTCGCTGTCGGCCTTGCGCTTGCGGTTGTAAGGAAAGCCATGGGGATCGTCCATGAAGAGGGGAGGGAGAAAGGAAAGGGAGAGAATGAGGGAGAATATATATTAGGAATGAAGGTACCCCTTAGTATTACCGCCTTATATCTGAACACATGGCTGCAGGTGGCGACAAGCGTTTGCATAAATTTTTACCAAGTCCGCATTTGCCCAGTTGAGCGAACCACGTTATTCCCCATTACATACCCTTCTACATTTTTACCTTGCCTGCCACTGTCTGGGTCTCTTCTTCCTGTTCTACTCTTCTCCATGTAGGACCCTGGCCCTTATCATACCTTCCTAACACCATATATCATCCGGAAACAGGTAGACTACGGATATCACGCCTCGTGCCTATTCCTATATTTTACAAAGTTAAAACCTTGATTATTTCCACTTACCATCTATGTCTTTTTTCAATGTCTCGTGGGCTTGTGTCCCCAAGGGTGTGGAACTGGTACGGCAGGGGTCAGGAAATCAATCATCACCGAATTGTCTTACCGCTTGCGTTCCAATTCCGTTCCAATCAGTACTTGATCGTTCGTTCCATCTAGTTCGTTTTGTTCCGTGCTCAGCTATTTCCTTTTAACGCATGCCTCTTCTCTAGGACCATATTTATCGCCCACAGGCCCCCCCACACACGGCATCTGTCTGTCCACGGGATGTTCGTGGCGTCATCCTATCTCCAGGCTTGTGGCTGGTGGGACCATCAGTCGAGACTGCATTCTGCAGTTGCCTTCGGGCGAATTTCCGAATTCTCCTTTGTCGACTTTGCTCGTCGCTTCGCCGGACTCGGTCATGTTGTCAGGCAGTATTCTTGGTCCTTGTCAATGCCATGTTCTCTTGTTATATAAATGCCTATCCTTGATCAACATTCATTTATTAATTTGGATCGATTTCAATTCCCTGCCGTCGGTTGCATCTCATCACTGGCCGTCCGGTACAAAGGGAAGGGCAGACTTGTAACATCTGACCACATCTGACTACCCCGTTGTTCTCCGTACCGCCGGGTAATCCCAATGAGTCGTTCTTCCGCCGCTCGTCGCGACAATGAATATACCCGAGGGTCACTGCTCAAATTCTGTCACTTTCCCGGGTTACGCCACAGTGCTCATCGATCACGATATATGGACGTCTGCAAACAGAGACATCTCCCCAAATTCTTTGGCCACTGGGCTCATACAATCTATCCCCTGCCAAGGCTACCATGGGAGCTACCTTCTCCTGCGAGCGGTACCCCGATCCTGATGAAATAAACTCCACTGTCACCGCGTGCGTACAATGAGTTTCTTATACAAAAGCCTCTCACAGCTGTTCTATAACATACATTCACCTTTCCATCAACATCAAGAATCACTTGTTCAGAGCCATTCAGATTCTCACTTACGACGGGACATTGCCGCGCTCCGGTACCTTTCCCTCCCCCACTTCTGGTATCTACAGTTGTAATGATACCGAGGGCGAAACTCATTCAAATTTGGACCGTTTCCAGATTTACTCCTAGGCCACAGATGGAATCTTTGGGATAGACCTCGGTGCGTCCGCCGGTCTTGATAGTTCAGCCACTTGAATATAAAACGCTCAAGTTTTCCTGCCGTCTGCCACGGACCGCACACTCTGAGCCGTTGTGTACAGAAGCTGTCATTATCCCGTGCATCTCGTACTCGGTAAGTTAGAACCAGTTTCAACTACATGACTCAGGATGGCGCAGAGAATGTTCTGGATACTCTTCTCGCCATAGCGCCCGTGATAGGCATGCTGCAGTGCTGTTTTCACCCTCTTATCGTACATCCTCTATTAGTATACGCAAGTGCGTCCCGAGGAATTGAAACTGTTCTTGATTCTTCCATATGATAAACTCGGGTCGAATGCCCGCCGTATTTGGATCGGGCGTTTCCTCGCGTTTTCCATTTATGTCGGGATACGAATTATTTGATCCATTTGGGGGCGGAAAAGGTAATGTCCCTGAGTACCTTCATCAGACTATGACTCAAGAATTCAATATTCAATGACTCTGTGGTCTCCTGTTTCGGACAATAAGGCTATTTGTGAAAAAAATAACTTAGTAGTTGGGATATGAAGGCAGGAAAAAACCTCGAGGCTGCTCATAATCATCATCAACGCTGAACCGCTCTTTACGCATCTATTAGCTTTTCTTCCGGTTTGACCTCCTCAGACTCCGCGGCTGTGGCTTTCTTCGTCGGCTTGCGCCCGTAAAACTCTGCAATGATCTTGGGGTTGATCCGATTGAGCTGTTCCTTAGGGAAAATGCGGAGAAGGGACCATGCCAAATCAAGGGACTCGAAGATAGTTCGCGACTCATATGATCCTGGATATGCAAGATAGGGAAAGTGAGACAAAGTAGATCCGTTAACGAAACACGGACCTTGTCCAACAAACTGATGCTCAAATTTGTCAAGAAACTCCAGAGCGAGTTTGTCCTCGGACGATAGAGCCTCCTCTCCCACAACAGCCTTCATGGCAGCAGCGTCACGTCCGATAGCGTATTTAGCATACTGAAGAGCATTCAGTCCCACGCCTGCACATTTGTCTCAAAGGTTCTCACCAGTTGATTCGACACATCACCATGATCCTTCCTAGTGAGTTTCTCACCAATAGCACTTTTCATGAGGCGAGACAATGAAGGCAGCACATTAATAGGGGGGTAGATCTGACGATTATGGAGCTGGCGGTCAACAAAGATCTGGCCCTCTGTGATATAGCCCGTCAAATCGGGAATCGGATGTGTAATATCTAACGAAGTAGGTCAGATTAGGCATTGCATTTAGAACACATAAAACTAACCATCGTTGGGCATAGTGAGAATGGGAATCTGAGTAATTGACCCATTTCGCCCTTGCACTCGGCCTGCCCGTTCGTAGATGGTCGACAAATCGGTATACATGTAACCGGGATACCCACGACGACCCGGAACTTCTTCACGGGCAGCTGATACCTTGAACGCGTGAAGCACTTGTCAATTAATCACGAAATGATCAAAGAATGGCAGACGCACCTCTCGTAGCGCGTCTGCATACGAAGACATGTCAGTAAGAATAACTAGAACGTGCTTCTCGAGTTGGTAGGCATAATATTCAGCAGTTGTCAATGCCAGCCGGGGAGTAATGATGCGTTCGATTGTAGGATCATTCGCCAAGTTCAAAAATAGCGTAACTCTGTCCAGACTGCCGTTTGACTCAAAGTCTTCCTTGAAGAATCGAGCAGTCTCCATGTTAACACCCATAGCAGCAAAGACGACAGAGAAATTGTCTTCGTGGCCGTCGTGCACGTCTTTCGTAGGCCGCTTTACCAAGCCAGACTGTCGCACAATTTGGGCGGCGATCTACAAGCAGATCAACATCAGACACGCAATGACGAAAGAACCATTCTCACCTCGTTGTGCGGCAGACCAGCTGCTGAGAAAATAGGAATCTTCTGACCACGGGCAATCGAGTTCATGGTGTCGATGGTGGATATACCAGTTTGAATCATTTCTTCAGGATAGATTCGAGAATAGGGATTTATGGGAGAGCCTGAAAGTAATAACAACTAAGATATGATGGCCAAAGTTAAAAAAGAGGTGTCGGAACGTACCATTGATATCCAGGTAATCCTCTGCAAACACTTTCGGGCCCTGGTCAATGGGGTTTCCTGAACCATTGAATATCCGACCCAGCATATCCTCTGCAACCGGAAGCTTCATGCTGCTGCCGGTGAACTCGACGTGCGTCGCCTTGACGTCAACGCCGGACGTCCCTTCGAAGACTTGGACAATGGCTTTCTTCCCCTGAACTTCTAGTACCTGGCCACCACGCGTCGTTCCATCTGGTAGTGTAAGTTGTACAATTTCATTGTAAGAAGGAAACTACTCAAATGGTCAGTGCACTGTAACCCAGATTTGTTCCGATATTCTCACTTTGACGTTGTCGAGTACAACAAGTGGTCTGTATTCTGTGAGCTGTGAGATTACATGGAAGTTGCGCCATGCTCACCCATTAATAGCAGAAACGGTGCGATAGTCTGGAGCATTCGTGACACATAAGCTAAGATCCAGAGATTCATACAGAGAACTGACCGAGATGAGGTTGCACCCGGTATTCTCTCGTCACAGCCGCTGCGTTGATGGCGGCCAAATCCTTATCACTGATACGGGGGTCGACAACCATTTTCCAGAATTACACAAATTTCACCGTCAACCAGAACTAGGACAGGGATATGGAAGGAAAAATGTAATGGTGGATGCAATGCCAGTGACGACTCGATCAGGGTTTCCCACGATCCGGCCACAGCCACCCTTAACTACCTAATCTGCTCAGATATTTACTTGCTCGTAACGTAGACAATTGTTTCATATTTCACCCTTAAATGATTCCACTATGTGTTGTGCCTTTTCACAAACAGCCTTGATGTCGCTTGATGACCTACGGAATTTGAACATCAGTGTTTGCTCGAAATCGGAGTATTCGTCACCCACCACTCGGTCTCCAGCAATAGCTCTTCCACTTCTTCGGTATCCTTGTTGAGGTCCATACTCTGAACTTTAAGGTAAAGAAGTTCAGCAGCGTCAGAACGGATCTATGTGAATAATGTCAGACTTAAGGTTATCTTAAATGAACCGAGACTTACGGTGGGGAATCGATGGGCAAGAAAACTTGGGAGGCTGGTGATGCATCGTTCAAACATCACATCAAATGCGAGGAGATTGACAACACTTTAAAACGAAGAGTGGATCTTAGTGGGATGATCGGAATCTGATACCACACTTACATCTTCATGGACTCATGTATTCGTTGAACGCTCTTCAGTCGATCTATATGTCGGGATGCCATCAGATGCAAACTATCCAGACTGAGGACAAAGTCAGATAGAAACAATCGTGACGAAAATAAAGTGACCTTTTGATGCCCGAATCATCAGAGGAAAGTTTTTCCAGTGCCCCAGCCTCAAGCAGGACATTGACCGTCTGGAGAACTGGTACTATGATATTGTTAGAACTTATGTTTGCCTTAGCATATTTGATCAAATCATTCGCAAGTGTGACAAGGTCGTAAGCTTCTGTTGGCCCGCTGGCAGGTAAAGATCGTGCATATGTCGACAAACTTGTTGAGACGGGTCGATGCTGAGAAGTATTTACATCAACAAATAAACAGATGACTGATGGGCGGAAGATATACATACAATGTTATCCGTCTTGCTGCCTAGACTCATAATAAGGCCCGTCAGGACCGGTTGACGATATTCTTCGATTTCCAAAAGACGAACAGCCCTGGGAAACAACCAGTACCCGTCGCTCCAGCCTACACTTTCAGTGCCACTAGCATATAACGTTTAAAATCAGTGCACGAAGATAAACTGGAAACTTACGATGCAAAAAGCTCCACGAGTAAGCCACAACTCGGCAACTGCCAGCGCTCGCTGTCCTTCACATCTGGTACAGGTAGCCGAAGAAGTCTTAGAATACACTCTCCAGCGTCCTGTCTAACATTATCTAATCTCTCAACTCCCTGTTTAAGAATTCCGATAACTGCGAGGTGGTACTTCGATGGAGGTAAGTAATCATCAAAGCGGTTGATGGTACTGGCGTTCGAGATGAGAATTTCAGAGACCGATGTCAAACCTCGTACGCAAGCCATTCGGATCCAAGAGCCTACATCACCTCTTTCATCAATTGTGTAGTCTTCTAATCCACCCAAAAGAGCATCAAACAATGAAGTGAAGACTTCTGGGGACATATCTATGCAGGATTTCAGAGACATGTCGGGAAGGCCCATAGGAGCAACGTACGGTCATTGAGATGGAGAAGCACGTTTTGAACGATTTGAGGGATGGCGAGATAACAGTTGCGACGAGCTTCCACATTGGTGCTGAAGGCATCTCGCTAAAGACATGGTGAGCGAGCTGCAAGATATTAAAAAAACTGATCAGCGCTGACCGAGGGTCTGGCACACTCTAGAAGGCAACCAATACTATCCGGCAAGCACTTCGGAAAAGAATCATAATCGATCACACCCAATACTCGGCCAAGACTCTGCTGACTGGAGAAGGATCCAAATCTCAATTCCCGGATCAATGTTTGGGGATGGAGTAAGATGAATGAAAGATGTGAGAAGCAAAAAAAAAAGACTCATCTGGTAACAGTGGCAAAGCAGTCCACTAATTTACTGATGGAAGCCATAGCCATTGCCGCAGCTTCCTGCACGGAGACACGCCGATGTTTCAAACCAAAGTCTACAACCTGTCTCCACTTAGGAACAGAGGTGTTTGGTCCCATACTAATTTCCGTCAACGTCACTGTACTTGCGATTAAGTGGCATGCTGCTGCAGTAACAGTCTCATTTCGAGATCCTACTAAAACAGCGTGAGGTACAATTGCAAGGTATTTGAAAATCTAGAAAGAACATCAATAACACAATGTACGGCGTGCGCGTAACATACATCTCGCATTTGTTGCTCCCTTTCGACTTCTGAGGAAGCCCGATCACGGCAGGCAATAGATAGCTCGGTCAATGCAAGAAGGCCTCCATGGATATCCGTTCCATCAGGGGATTCGAGTAATTTCGCCTGTTCCTATTATGAGTAGACAGCAATACATAAATGAACTGACGAACCGCTCTGGAACAGACTTGTGGACCCAACCCTGATAGATCTAATAGACAAATAAGACGAAGAGACTGAGATGCCAGCTGTCGCAGGTTCACATCCCAATGCCTCAGCGGTACGTCCAATACATGGTCAAAGAGATATCTTCGGTATTCCGGGTGACTGGAACCCGGTGGTTGAGCTAACCGAACTAGAGAATAGTTAAGATGCCTACTCGGCGACTTGAGGTGCTGCAACGAGAAATGCATTCCGCCTAATGCCCACAGCGTAGAAGTCGGTCTTGCGTAAAACGTCAATTCCGTGGGGGAATAATCCCTAAGACATTTTCATACAATATCCGCATGCGACAAAAACCTCACTCACCGTCCTTCCCACATGTTCTTGGAAAGCGGCGCTGGCAGCTCGCCGAATGTGTATTTCACGATCGTAAAGTGAAACTGTGACTAATTGACGAGCGAGCTCCTCAGCATGAGGTGCCAGTTCGTTGGGATTTTTGCTCCTAGCGAGAGCCCAAAAGACGTAGGCAGCAGCATCACGGACATTAGAACCTATGGAATGAGCACCCTTCCTCAAATCAAAGTACAATGCCTAAAGGGAAATGTGAGCCCAGACAGAAGCATTGGGTCTAGCTCATTAACCTTTGAAAGCCAATTAAGTAACTCGGGGAGTCTCTCCGAGCTAATAAGGCCTCTACGTGCCATTTCGGCACAAGCAAGAGATGAACCATGCCAAGTACTTTCTGCAATAGCAGGAAGGTCGTATATGCTTGCTGCAACCACAGAATGTATTGAAAAGAGACCCATGATTGTGTCAAGCACTTGATCTGCAAAGTCGGTCGGGAGGCGATCTGAAATCCTCGCGATGCCTTTGGCCGCTGACCATCGGACGATGGTGTCCTAGGCATAATCCATCAATGCATTGTACTGAAGAGTTTTTTAAAAATTGTACTTTATCTTGGAGGCTCTGAAAGAGCTGCTCCAGCATGACTTCGATCGAGTCCGGGACCTCGATGCTATCCTGGCTGTCAGTCCCCCCGGCCGATCTGGCCGGTAATATGCGTAACGCTACGCGTGATACGAGCTTCGTTTTATACTTCCTGACAACGGTATTAGCGAAGAGAGCTGATTCGCCCTCAACAGTGGCAGCGATGGCAAGAACATCGGGTAGAGCCATTTCAATTTGACCCACAGATCCTGACTTTAAAACCTCGCATAGAACCTGTAGGAGTCCAATGACCTAACGTCGCGTTCAGATGTCTACGAAATAGACGAATATAAAAGAATGTTTACCGTGAAAGGATTCTTGGACTCTCTGATGGTTTCTTTACACCAGGACAGGTAAAGGCGAAATATCGTGAGGGTATCCTTTCTAATTCAATAAGCAACACATTTTGTGACTTGATCGCGAACACACCTCATATACAGACGTGAAAGCATAATTGCAGCGCCTTCGCGCTCTAAGCCAGCCTTGGACAGGAATTCTTTACCGATGTGCTCTATGGAAAGGGCTGTGTGGTTTCCGCCTTCGACCACATCGAATTGTGCCAAATCAAAAGGAAGCATGCAGATAAGAGACAGCCAAAGTAAAAAGGTATAACGCAGAGCCCATTGGTCTACTTCAACCACTAAAGAGTTCGCATTTTGCATATAAGTCAATGCAATAGATAGATCCGCGATTTCGTGGGGAAGAAATCTGGCTAGAACATTGTTAGAAGAGACAGGCGGATTACATACGAACGAATGCTGACTGATTGTCTTGTATCCGCGGCACTTGATATAGCGGTATAAGAGCAGAGCGACGCGTTGCACACGTTCCGATGAGAAGACTATTGAACAATCGGATATGGATACATTTGCATGCGACTTTAGACTGTCCACCACGGGAACAACAAGGCCCTCGAAGTACGGATCCAAGAGATAGGATTGTTCTTGATATTCATCGAGCTGACAGATCTTCAGAGATTGTAGCTACGATCTTGAGGGTGCATACGCACTATGTCTGAGAGCTTCTGCAACAAGACTATCTCTTCCTTGCTTTCTTCCGCGGTAGGCACGACAGTCAAATCCAATGCAAGGAGAGATTGTTGAATATCCGCAAATTCGGCATGCTTCTCGAATCTTGCAAACAGCTTTCCTTCTCCAGACCCATCCATGGTTGGAAATAATCGATACGGGCAGAAAATATTGTGCTATCGTTCAACTCTCAACGGTCATGGAGGTCGGTGTCGATGGCGGTGGGATAAATTTCCCAAAATGTACCGTGCGAATGTCTTCCACGTGACTAACTTGCCTAAAAAATTTTTGACATCACCGCTACTTCCCTCCATCCACCCTATCCTTTTTTTTTTTTTCGTCGTCATGGCCAAAGCTACTAAAGTTGACAAAAAGGTCGACAAGAAGAAGGAGTCTAAGAAGGCTGACAAGTCTGCAAAGGCTGTCATAAACGTATGTTAAAATTTCCGCAAATGAGATACCAGGGCTCAAGACAGTGATAGAAGCCCCCTTCACCCGTTAAGGCCGTGGTTGATGAGAAAGTATGTTAGACCTCGCCTTTGCAAATGATACAAGCCAATGACAATGGTATTAGAAGTCGAAAAAATCGACAAAGCCTGTGAAGAAGGCCAAGGCTGAGTTGTCATCGTCGGAATCTGAGGATGAAAAGCCCAAAGGCAAGGGAAAGGTATGCTCTAGTTCTGTTACTCAGGAGCGAATTTGATGTTCACCCACCACATAGGCCAAGGTGTCTAAATCATCGTCAGAGGAGAGCAGCGAATCTGAATCTGAAGATGAAAAACCCAAGGTTGCCCAGGTTAGCTCGAAGAAGGCCGCTGTTCAGTCAGACTCTAGCGAAAGCTCAGAGGACGAGGAACCGAAAGCATCCGTACCCAAAAAAGTTGCTGTTAAATCCGATTCTTCTGACTCTGATTCAGAGTCAGAATCGGACGCTAGGCCCGTCGCCGCAACTAAAAAAGATGAATCCTCTTCAGACGAATCATCAGAAAGCGAAAGCGATGGAAAGGAGAGACCATCTGTGCCTACACAGAAGAAGCCTATACCTGCAAAAAAAGTCGCTTCATCTTCAGACTCGTCAGACAGCGAAACCGACGAAGAGGATGCAAAGAAACCCGCGGCTGCATCCAAGAAGGCAGAGTCTTCGAGTGGCGAGTCTTCAGATTCAGATTCTGACGATGAAGAAGCGGGCAAGAAGACGCAGGAAGACAAATCGTCCGACTCGGATTCGGATGTTGAGATGGACGATGACTCTGCTAAGCCAGTTGTGAATGGTACGCCTTGGCATTCTATACAAGTTCTCTTCCTCATCTGTCTCAGGCAAGCGCAAAGCCGCCGGTGATGACGCTGCGCCTTCCAAAAAGATAAAACTTGCCAATGGTGCTGCTGCTCTCGCTGCCACCGATGAAGAAGCTACAAAATCCATCTTTGTTGGCAAACTTTCTTGGGGTGTTGATGATGAGCGACTAGCGACCGAGTTCGCTGAATGCGGCGAGGTCGTTTCTGCCCACGTTCAGCTTGACCGCAACACGGGCAAGTCTCGTGGATTCGGATACGTACACTTCACCTCGGCAGACGCAGTGGAGAAAGCACTAGAAATGTCTGGTCATGAGATCGACGGACGTGCTATATTCGTCGACAGATCGCAACCCCCCTCTGCAGATCGCACGGCTGGTCGAGGTAGGAAGTTTGGTGATGAGGCAAGTGAACCGAGCAGCACGCTCTTCTTGGGTAACCTCAGCTTCGATGCGAACGAGGACAATGTGTGGGAGTTCTTCAACGAGTATGGCGTGAAGAACGTCCGACTTCCAACGGACCGGGACACCGGGCGCATGAAGGGGTTTGGATACGTCGAGTTTGAGGATATTGAGGGTGCGAAGAAAGCATTTACTGCCGCGCAAGGTCAGGAGATCGCTGGTAGGGCTATCCGGGTTGACTATTCGCAACCGCGTGATGCTTCTGGTGGTGGTGGACGTGGAAGAGGTGGAGGCCGTGGATTTGGTGATCGTGGTGGACGCGGCGGCGGTAGAGGGTTTGGTGACCGTGGCGGACGTGGTGGTGGCAGAGGATTTGGTGGCGACCGTGGCGGACGCGGTGGAAGGGGCGGACGAGGAGGATTTAATCCTCGGTCAGGCGGTATCATGCCTTTCGAAAACAAAAAGATCACATTCTAAACCTGATTTTCATCTTGCATCCATGCTGATTATGTTCATTTATTACTACCTCGTCGTCCTCATGCTGTTAATGACCAATGTCTGAGACGTTTACATGGACGAAACGTGGTTACATTCAGTGAATTCGCACTGAGTGATGCAGAAAGGAAGTTGGATGGACCATCAATACAAACTATCCGATGTCTGTGTTGTCTGAGGCTTTGGGACTGGCAGAGGCTAAGAATATTGCCTTGTCTGTCTCGTTCAATACTTCTTCAAGCTGAGCCATGACCTCTTTTTCTTCTCTAGCATCTTTATGCTCCCAATACATCCTGACATGACGAACAAGTCTTTCTTTGGGTATATTCTTTGCCTTGTAATCGTCGAACGCAATGAGCATACCGTGTTGACTCAGCCACTCTATGAGGTAATCAATATCAAACGAATCGGTAAGTGCTTTCTTCAAGGTTTTGGGACGGAGAGATTTGTAGATCTGGCACCAGCGCTGGAGCTTAGTGAGGATTAAAATGATGGGATGGAGGATGGGTAAAGCTAAAATTTGACTGTGAGAAGAACAAGACAATATAGAGAGGGAAGCACTTGCTTGTTTCGGAGGAAGCAATACATGGTACATTGTAGACAAGATCTACTGAATCTGGAAGACCAAGAGTTCCAGCTGAAAGTGTCTCGATAAGGACGATGCTCTTGCTCCGGGAAAGAAGTTCAATTCCGGTGAACTTCTTTGGACTGGACTTGACAGTCTCTTCTGGATTCTGTGATTCTGGATCTTCAGAGAATGCATCCAAGTCCTGTATAGAACCAATTTGTCAGACCAGATGTAGATATTGTACAGGTGATTGAGATACCTCAACGAAATAAAATTTAAGAATGTTCTCTGTAAATCGTTTGTCCAACTCTGTCACTTTCTCTCGCAGGGTCGAAAGATCCAAGGTGTCTTTGGGGATTTCTATCAAAATATCGATATCATATCTAACACAAGAACTGTCAGTCAATTATTTGAAGAGACCTTTTTTTCACCTATCTCTGTGCGTCTTTCACTACCAAGGAGACACCAAGCAAACCCACCGATGTAGGCACGGCGAATAGTGAGCTCGGTCAGAATTTCAGAGAGAACTCTTGCAGCATGTTTTTGCGAGTCATGGCTGGTAGTTATGTGGATTTCTTTGGGGCCCATAGATGAAGATGGTTGGTAATGTCGAACAATGGCAAAAGGAGTTCAATCATAGCACAGCTACCATCGGGCCTTTCACGTGCTTCCAAAGTGATTCTTGGCGGCACAGGTTTCGGAACCTGACCACAATCCACGATAATGTCTATGCAACCATCGCACATTTCTCTACCCAACACCATTCACACCATTATGTTCCCCAGTTCTGACGCCAGAGGAGATATCAACCCATTCTCCCTGCCTCCTGAAACACTGGTCGACCTCTCTGTGGATGTTGAACAGAGCTGGGATAGTCGTGACGGAATGGCGGACTTTACTATATAGGCGGATGAATGTGCCATTAGTTCCTTTTGTGAATGTTATTTCTTATCATCGTCCCTGTAGTCTAAATCTCTTCAGAACTTTTCGTACATCGTCCCCGATGATAAGCTGCAAGAGGCGTCAGAAGTCCTCACTTCCATAGGCTTACCGCTATCCGTCCCCCACCCGATATATCTTTCCACAGGAGGAGACCTATTTGCAAAGGCCCTCCTTCACAGAATAACTCTATCAGCTAATCTCGGGCCAGCGCGGTTCATCCTACTCTACCCATCATCCTTTTACCCATTTCGTCCTTCCGAGCTGGAGTCTGTCAATCAACCCCTCTTTGGTCTTGATTTTTTGTCTGTACCGCTCAATGTGCCAACCACATCAGCGACTTACGCATCTCTTGTCCGTACTGCAGCTGTGTACGAGAGGAACAATGACACGAGGAAGACGCTGTTAAGCGAGTTGGCTCAACTGGCACTCTATAACCTATATGACGGTGATTATGGGAAATATTCAGGAGACGAGGATGACGACGAAGAAAGCGAAAGGGAAATACAGCAGGCCGTCGCTGTTGTACGTGGGTGGACTTAGAATGCAGATGAAGAATGGATTGGTGATGCGCTGGCGGAAGTCGTTGCTACAGCTGCATATGATACTCTTCCATGGAGGGTCTGTTGAGGGTGCAGGCATTGGTTACAATATCAGGTAAGCCCTAGATTTGCAGTCTGAGCACCAGAGGAATACATATAGCAACTATCATGTTACGATCACGTACAGACATGTGTGGAGCCACGCCGATATTACTTGTTAGAAACCGGCCTTTCACAATTTGATAGTGCTGGTATATTTTTGCAGATAAGGGAAAGGATTGCCGATTTATTATTGCCGTAATAACGAGGCAGAAGCTCAGGCATAGACATCATTTTTGACGATTAGGTCTGCCCTGGCTTGTCGAAGAGCTATTGAGGGGTATAGAAGAGAGTGTTTATATATTTTTATTCTTTTTGTATGATTCATACAGTCAATATTAATGAACATCCATTCCATAATGATAATGTACTACTCCGACTACAATGTTTGGCCCGTTGTTAGGATCGAGGAATGTTGTGTTGGTCGTCGATCAAATTTCTATTTTTCTTTGCTATTAGAAACACATAATGGCTGAAAAACGAGGAGTGAAACGCAAGAGGAACGAAGCGCCAAAGGAGGTGTGTGCTGCAGTATCCACATTGTCAGATGTCTCAATACTCAGCACAGAAGGATTTAGGTGTAAAGATTGGTGGAAAATTAGTGCGAATCTCCGTTTTCTTCTTATCTGCCCTTCTGTTGAGTACTTCCAGCATCACGATTTAAGGGAAGTCAAAAAAGCGGCGAAGAAGGCCAAGAATTTTGAGACTCAGAAGCTTGTAAAGAAACTCAAGACGTTACGGTCTGTGTCTGGTTTTTCACTTTGGGTACCCCCTTCTTACACTTCGAAATTCTTCAGAAATAGAAATGAAGACCATTCACAAATAACAGAATGCGAATCCGAGTTGGATGAGCTCAAGGTCATTCTCATTTTCGACCTGTTTTTTATACCGGTACTTATTATCACTATCAAGCAGGGCCTCAACCACGAAGCCGTAGCAAGAACTGCGCTACGGTCGAAACTGCTCAAAGACAGGATACTCTCCGGGAATGAATACGTACAGGCTGCGATGTCAGACCAGCTCCAGTCTAATCTTCTCGGCGGGAGTACCAAAGTGCAGGGCCGCATCCTAAGCTCCAAGGTTCTCGCTGTTGAAATTGCCAACATCATCGAGGGTCTTCGAGCGGTTATCCTTCCGCCCGCTGATGAGGATGTCGAAACGTCAGAGCCCCCGAGGAAAATGACAAAGGTCGAGGTGAAAGATGGCGAGGGGGAGGACGACGACGACGATGAGGAAGAAGTTGAAGCCGGCGATGAGATGGGCTGGGAATCTGGAACTGTGGGGGATGATGAGAAGGAGAATGATGACGGATGGGAGTCTGGCTCTCTCGACGAGGATGGAAACGTCGATGAAGGAGACGATGATACCGAAGTCCCTCTCGCAGGTCCGAGAGCCAAACCCACCGGTACCAAGGCCCAAAGTAAATCCTCTACGGGTGGATCGACGTTTCTTCCATCCCTATCGGTTGGATTCATCAAAGGAAACGAGGATTCGGACTGGAGCGAGAGTGATGCGAAAGCAGGAGACATTGAGCAGAAGAAGAATCGGAGGGGACAACGGGCTAGGCGGGCGTAAGTCTCTCTCTGTTTGAATTTTTGCTGTTATCTAACTAGTAATATAGAATTTGGGAGAAGAAGTATGGGAAAAATGCCAATCACAAGAAACAGGAGGCTATGGCGGCTGCGATTGAGCCTGGTCGCAAAAGATGGAGCAATTCCGACGGGGGTCCTTCTAATCGTCGTTATGATAGCCGCCCGTCGCACGGGAGTGCTAAGGATGGCAAGTTCAAAGCGCGCGATAAGGGCTCAGAGGGGCAGCACCACCAACGTCAAGACACTGGCTGGGAGCAACGGAAGGCCTTTACCCGCGACGACTCTATAGTGAAACCAGACGACGGAAAGGAGGCCCTTCATCCGTCTTGGGAAGCTAAACGAAGACTGCAAGCGAAGCAGCAAATGTTGACCAACCATGTTCAGAACAGAAAGATTAAATTCGCATGATGTAACTATGTGTTCCCTAAAGAATAGCAACATGCAAGTCTATAGCAATTGGGCGTGGATGCCAAAAACTGAAAGGGAAGGCGTAGAATGATGAGATATGTACAGGTGTTATAACGGCGTGAATTCAAAACGAGGTAGTCCGGGAACATACATGGCTTCTCCTGCCTTGCAACCTACAGTCCCTGGAACACCACATTTCCCCGCACTTCCCACAGCGGGGGTAGTCGGACCCTGGCTTCCCACAGGTAGCACATCGCACTCTGTCGGTGCAGAATTTTGACTTTCTCTCAAGCGAGGCAAGGATGGGGTTCAGTTCCGAGTGAAAACTAACATGTGCTGGCGGGTGCAAGGTAGTCTCTAATAGTGTATGGATAGCAGAAGGGCCGTCCTGGGAGGAGCTGTCCGAAATATAGGATGATGTACGGCTAATGGACGGAATGGACGGCGATGTAGGGGACGATGGTTCGCTCCATGTGTCCTGCCACACAAGGGGGGTTCGAACACGACGACGAAAGAAGCCGGTTGTCCTGGTGTCAAACTGGCAAAGGGACGAGGAGGCAGATGGTGTGGGCGTGAAAGCGCCGTATGCTTCGTGGGTCCCTGACCGTATTGCCGTGGCGACCAACGGTTCCACTTTGAACTGGACTGTTACCTTTGACGCGCAAGCTGAGAGACCAGATAGGAGAGAAATTGTGCGTTTGCGTGTGGTTGGCGACTGGGGAGGGCTGGTATCAGTATCTAGTAGCAGCAACAGGGAATACTCACCTGGCCGTCTCCAAAGCTCGTGCGGAAAAGAGTCTCAATGGCCATTTGGGGCGTTGACTGGGATGGCATTTATTTAGAGGGTGCGAGGAACACTTAACATCCGAGTCCTTTATATAACACGATCAGCGACACCAGGTACCTCATGGAGCTCTGCTTACGGAATAGTGGGGTCGTCTTGCAATATATATCCGGACGACAAGATTGTTTACTCTAGCTGTAGGTAAGGGTAACTAGACGGAGTGATGAGATCAAAGACAGGGATGTAAAATTCAAATTCTGCAAATTTCACATCCAAACTTAGTAGTCATCTGCCACAAAAGGACTAATGTTCCCACGTACCCACTAATCATATTATCGGCTTCTAAATGTACTCTTTCCCATGGTCGATATCTGCTACTATCTTGTATATCTCCCTGCCACATCGATCCTTTTGCCTGCCTACCCTGTGTTCTCCATCTCCAAACGTTATGTCAAAGTTAACAAACAGGCAGTGTCAGTGTCATACATAGTCTACCGGTGCTTTTTTATCTTCGGTTCGGCAGGCTTTCTTGACTTTGCGATGCGGAGAAAGCCTATGTCATACGAGTTCGCCGTTTCAAAGTTCTCAGCCTCTCTGTCTACGGTCTACTATCCGTGAATCTGCATTCAGGAAGTGGTCGGACCTGCTTCTGCGACGCGACTTCTCTCTGTTTACATTTGTTATCTTTCCGTATCAGCAATCACCGTTTCTCTTGGCTCTCGTTCCTAACAGATCACATCAATATAGTACGTACGGGCGTGTAGATTCGGGATTTATTCATCTACTTAGCTAGTAAAGCCACCGTCCCTAAAGATTTCGGTTCGGTTCCTTCTGGAAGATTATTCAGTGGTTCCGGAACGATTTATTTTGTTCGACTGAATGTTAGACGTCGTTGTTTCCTACTCCATTCCGGGCCGTACTTCTATGGGTTCGGCACTTCTGTCGAGTCGCTTTTCTACGTCCAGCTGATGTACAACGTGATCTCAGTGCCTGACTTATAGAAGTCTGTCGAATCACGCCCCCCCACTGTACACACATTATCTCCATGAATACGTGGCATTGTACAGGGGATATGTTGAGGGAGAACTCGTGTACTGACCTGGACGTAGCCATTCGAGGTCCTCTGACAGTCACTTGGGCACCTGTGTTTCCTCGCGTTTTAGGCCATTAGACCGTCTTCAATTCAGGCATCTTGGCGATTCAAGCGCCGATGCACGCTAACGAACAGATATATGTCGCGACCTTTCTCCAGTGGATGGCGGTCCTCTTCTCCCTACCTCTGCAACATGGCCGACGAGGTTAAACGCTCCGCTTCTATCGAGAAAGTCGAACAACCTGACCACCATGAAAAAAGACTTGCGACAACAGGTGATGGACAGACAAGCGGCCTTGACTGCCGCTATAGAAGCGGATCCTAGGCCGAAGCACTTCAGCTTAGCAGCAATTCAAGTAAATTGTTTCATTGGGATATGATGAGTTCAAGGTACCTTAACCATGAGACAGCTCTACTTCATTGCATTGGTGGTATGTTTCTGCTCTGGGGACAATGGTTTCGATGGAACTGTGAGTGGATAGGTACCGTGCTATGACCGATTCTTTGCTGACACCGGATCCTAGGTCATGGGTGGCATCAATACCATGTCCCAGTTTCAGGCATTTGTCGGAACCAAAGATGGTGCAACGAAGACATCCATTGTTTTCGGCATTTACACTATGTATGTGAACGATTATCGCTCCAGCCGTCCCTTAGTACTGAATTCCATGTCACATGCAGTGGTTCAATCACGTACGTCTGGAGTGCCGGGCGGTAGCCTAAAGAGTTTCTGAGCATATGCATATTCCATAGTGGCACTATTCCCGCAGGTAAGACTGGCCCTGACTCTGCAAAAGCATCCGCTGTTAACTGGTGCTGATACAGCCTATCTTCCTGATAAATGTGGTCGTCGGTTTCCTATGTGGATAGGAAACGCATTTATGTGCGGGTATCGTGGTTCTAAGCTTAGCATCTTCTGACCCTATACAGTCTACGTGCGTGCATGAGCGCCAATGCGAAGAGCATGAACATGTTTTTGGTAGGCCGGTGGCTGACGGGTGAGTTGTAATCGTAATGCTCGATGTTTCCGTCTTAATCAGGCGCAGATTCTGGATGTTCTTGCGCGGGTGCGGCGGCCAAGTCGTACCTCGCTGATTTCAGCCCCGCGAAGCACAGGGGTGCCTACATCGGACTCCTGAATTTTTGTCCTTCATCGTACGCGGGTTCTCCTTTCAATCGATTTCTGTCTTGATTATCCCCCTGTCGACCGTGTTGGCTTCACAGCGTCGGAAGAGGACATGAAGCCCGACGTATGTTGGCCAAATATCACTCCGCCACAAGAGATCATAATTCACCATTGATCGACCTTGAGATGAAGGAAATCGAGGAGAAAATTGAGATAGATGGACAAGACAGTGAGCAGCCCATACATAGATTTCTCTTCATGCTCGTCGCTACATCTAGAACGTTGGTGGGACTTCAGACTTCTGTTTGCGACTCAGGCAGACAGATATCGGGCATACATAGTCATTCTCATCGGTAAGTCATGGCCTTAATAGAACTGGTTGCGTTCTTTGCTTACTTAGTGAACGGTAGGCACTTTTGGTCAACTTTCCGGTAACACCATGATAACGTATTTTCTTCTCGTACTTCTTGAAAATGCTGGCATCGAGAGTCAAAGAAAGAGGTTGACCCTCAACTTTGTCAATAGCGTGACCTCATAGTACGTGAATCGTGAGAATCGAGAGAGTAGTTCCATCTAATCTTTGCGTGTTTAGTATTGGCGGTAAGCCTCGTCACACGGTATCACTATAAGTTGTTTAAATGACCTATCATTAAACAACTCGGGGGGTGAGAACTTGATTCTTGAGATGTCGATGGATTGACCCTAACATTTCTTTCATAGGGAGCCTTCACGGTTGACCATTTTGGTCGTCGCCGGGTTCTTCTAGCCGGAACTATTGCTATTACTGTCATTCTGGCAATAGTGACCGGCTTGCTTAGCAAGGACGACGGAAATAGTACTCGCGCTAACGCTGGTATAGTTTTCGTCTACTTCTTCATGGTGATATTCTCTTATGGGCGGACGTCAATGTGAGTGAGTTCCTTTTCAAAGTCGGAATAACAAAATGGCATCTGTTCCAGGCAAGCATTGTACCCCGCCGAGGTCCTAGGGTACCAAGCTCGAGCAAAAGGACTCGCGTTCTTAAACATATGCGCGCAGGGCTCAACGTTTATCAACACCTTTGGGTGATCCTTTACCTGTTGCATTGTTATAATGGTCCCGATGCTCGTATCCTCTAGTTTGCCTGTTGCGCTTGAAAAGATAAAATGGAAAAGCAAGGGGCTCCTGTTATCATCGTTTCAAACTCTGATTGCGGGTGTTCAGCGTATCTGATTTCACAATATGGTATGCCTTTGAATGTGCTCTGATCTACTTCTTCGTCGCTGAGGCCAAAGGTCTCACGCTGGAGGAAATTACGAAGGTTTTTGAACAGTAAGCCATCTTCAGTTGCATAAGGTAGCTGACGTATATATGCACAGACCTGGCCTAAGAAAATACAGTGAGCAGGTTGCCAAGATGAACAAGCAAAGATCGGGTACTATTATCGTCTAATTTTATCATTTCTCGTTCAATTAACGGTCTAAATGTCCTGAATTTTGATGACGGTGTTCCTTGAATACTCTCTACGTCTTTTATGATGCGTCTGAATTTGACTAAACGGATCCGGGCCCCGTATCCTCCGTGGAGCACGTTACACCAACGTTAAAGTCAAATGTAGCTCGGTTTCAGAGTAGGGTGACACTATTTAAACAATAAAGGTACTTAGAAAAGTTGTATTCTATAGAATTTCCTCGGCTAGGAATTTGAGATTACATGCAGCTGGACGAGTCGATACCTGAAGCTTGAACCGCAAGGAGCCTAGTTTCTGGCGGAATATGTATATCACATTTTGGTCACAATTTTCCCATACATGGCAGTTTTCCACTAAATTTTGTAAAATCCTCTATTGGCGAACAACAGCGTCCTTGAACTTGACCATCCACACGACCTCCAGCCTCCACGTCCTTTTCCTTCTTTTGTCTCCTTGTATACCGCTCTAGAGCTATCCCGACTTGTCTCTGAAACACCGAAGAAAGTAATCGAATCCACACGGTCTTACCGCCGTTGATTTTACTTCCTCAACCATGGTTAATATTCTCTCTGTTTGCTGCCTCGAAATTTGATGTTGATATTGGACACTTTGCATTGTAGGGCCAAACGCTGTCTTCACCAGGTTCGTCGGACTCTGAAAGGCTCTCCGTGGACCGTTCTTGGAGATAACAGCTATTTTCAGCTACGACAAAAACCTCGGATTCAGGCCAGAACAGTCGTTTTGTGTATGCTGTGACGGAGATGCAAGGATGGAGAATAAGTCAGTATATTTCTTCGATGGTGGCGTCCGTTAGCCATCGAGTTCTGGCTGTGAATTTTCTGACGGTCTATTAACAGCGATGGAGGATGCTCATGCGATTGTGCTGGATCTCGAGGAGAATGCTGGACCAAGTACTTTCTTTGCTGTATATGATGGGCATGGCGGTGTGTTATCGCTTACCATTATCTCTTCAGGCTGACTTGATCGGACAATAACTCTAGGAGGGAGCGTTGCCCGGTTTGCAGGCCAGAATGTTCACAAACGATTGCTGGCTGAAGAGTCATACAAAGCAAAAAACTACGAGGAATCATTGAAGAGAGCCTTTTTGGGCACTGATGAAGACATGCTGGGAAGTGCGTACGCCATTTGCTTGCCGACGCTCTCTTACTCATCGCAATTTGCAAAGACCCCGCACATTCTAGAGACCCGTCAGGGTGTACTGCCGTCGCCGCACTGGTCATCAACGATAAAATTTATGTTGTACGTCATACTCCTCGTCTCGCTCTCACGATTTTCCGACATATTCTTCTAGGCTAATGCCGGTGACTCACGGTCTGTGCTGAGTATCAAGGGAGAAGTGAAACCTTTGAGTTTCGACCACAAACCAACGAATGACGGTAATAATATTAATTTGTTCTCTTGCAACAGCTAACGATCTTCTTCACAGTCGAGAGAACCCGGATTGCTGGTGCCGGTGGTTATATTGAATATGGGCGTGTCAATGGTGTGCCCCTTGTTTCTCCATTTTTGACTTTCATCGTGATGTTTGATTTGATTAGGGAACCTCGCACTGTCAAGGGCGCTGGGCGATTTTGAATTCAAAAAGAATTACAGTCTATCCCCTGAAAAGCAAATAATAACGGCCGATCCTGATGTTACCTGTCATGAAATAACCGACGAGGATGAATTTTTGGTGCTAGCTTGTGATGGTGAGTATCTTCGATTTCACGTCGATTCTTGCTGATTAATGACACAGGGATATGGGACTGTTTGACGTCCCAACAAGTCGTCAACTTTATCCGCTTCCAGGTGTCGGAAGGCAAAGAGCTGACAGAAATTGGGGAGATGATGTGTGATCATTGTCTTGCACCGGATACATCCTCTGGCGCCGGCATTGGTTGTGATAACATGACTATTCTCATTGTGGCCATTCTCCACGGACGGACGAAAGAGGAGTGGTATTCATGGATAACAGACCGTGTCAAGAAGAACTACGGTTACGCGACACCTAATGCACTGCCGCAACTGTATGCGCAAAGCCGGTTAATGTCGTTCAGGGCGAGGCGGGAGGCCCAAGAGGCAAGGGAACGGGCAAGACAGGAGTTGGAAGACACTCATACCAACGGCTATCTCACATCTTCAGCCTTTGGGACCTTTGCGCGCGTTTTGGGCAGTACCGGTGGGATATCCTATCACCCGGGGGCAGGCATCATCACTGATGGCGGGCTGATGTTTGGGACCGATGACAGCGAGGAGGAGGAGGAGGATGACGAAGAGAATTCAGCCACAGGTGCTGTTTCATACTTTGAACCAACGAAAAACCTCAAGGCTCAGTTGGCCGAGTTTGAAAGGGACATACGGGAGGAGGATGGCTTGGATGATGACGCGAACGCCCCTACCACTGACCATTTTGAAACATCCGACGATATGGACGGCATGGAAGATCCGACGCTGGTACACCAATTCGGCGGCTCTAGTTCATCGCCTTCAAAGCAGGAAATGCCGCCTCCGCCAAATCTACGGGTGAACGGTGACGTTCATCGAGTCGAGCAATTAAAGTCGACACCTGGAGGAGATGAACCTAGTCCGGCTGTAAAGGTGGAGGGTTTGATGGACACGAGCGAAGATCCCTTTAAAGTATAGTGACGGGTCCTTAATGGCTGGATGTATCTGTTAGTTTTCTTTCTCTTTCGTCTTTTTGTGTCGTCTACTGGGTTGCCCTACCTCATATATCTATTGGTTCTGTACCGCTGTCCTCTCCGATATCCTGATGTAGCACTGCGCATTCACTAATAGCATCGACAGTTTCTACATTTGTGATCACTAATATCGTACAACATTGACCATACATTCTGTAACGTTTCCCCCCAGTACTTACGTGCATTACCCGAATCTCAATCCCTTTTTCATCCTTTCATATATCTTTTATGGTGACCAGCTCGTTTTCGGCAAGACATATAACCATCTGTCTTCCTTCCTGTGTCTCGATGGCCCCTACTCCCAAAAGAGACCCACCTACTCCGTCGTTGACTTTCAGAATAGCTTGTTTAGCCCATTTTTCCATCGGGGGCACGGCCCGGTAGATATAAACGTTTGCACCCCTGTTCTGTGCACCGCTTTCGAAGGCCAGCACGGCGGCGTTGGTATGATAGATAAATCTAGTGTCACGCTTCGACGCGAGGACAAAAGCGAGCGCCGAAAAGGTGGACGTATGGATCCATTCAGATATATCTTCAGATCCAAGGGTGAAAACCGTTCCGTCGACACTTTCTTTGGTGATTAGAGAGACAATCGGGGTGGCGCTGCCGGGCAGTGGTGTAGACAGAAGCCGGATCGGGATCTCATGGGATCCTGAGGCCCAGGAGGGGCTATATCCGTCGATCCCGACCCAGGTTAAGTACGCCTGTTGGCCCACAGAACCGTCTACTTCTTCATCAATCTCGCCCCCAGCAAAACTGGGAACTCCTCTTCCTAATCCCAGTCCGCTTATGTCCTCGCCATCCCTCAGAGTAGCTGTGTATTTTTCCAACGCTTCTCGGATTTTATACAACTCTGAGGGATCGAGGGTCTCAGGAACGTCAATAGTATTGTTCTTGAAGACCCGCATCCATCTCGTTCCTTCATGCTGCTTTTCTAAATGAAGAGTTAGCAGTCCAAAAGAGTGTTCTGCCTCTCGGTCCCAAGTCCATAGGCACGAGGATGAATCGATTCCACCCCAAAACGCCTCGTTGTGATAGTCTGGGAAAGGAATAGCTTCTAGGGCTTCACCGTGGATGTGCAGGGTTACGGAGTGGAGGGAAAATTCGATATGAATGTTAGACTTTGGGGTAGTATAAGGAAGGGGGAAGGCGATTGTAAGGGAATCAGTTGTCTGGTACCAAGAGTAGGGAGGGGGTTTCGTGGGGCCGTTCTCTGCGCTGTCGAAATTCTCTTCGGCCCGCGGTATTGGTACAATTTCATCCGGCATTGGCGAATACGACGGAAGGGGGCCTGTTCCAATATTTCGATACACCGAGCCACCGACTAGTAAGTGACATTGACGGGATGGGACGTAGGTGACATAAGTAGGAACATCGTCACCCCGTCGCTGCCAGACAACATTCATCGTCTGAACGTCGGAAGATACAACATTGAGGACATCAAGCTTGACCGCCCAAACGTCGAAGTCAATATGGCCGTGTTTCTTTGCAACTGGAGCACCATTGCCATCCGCATAGTTCCGAGATGACAGGATTGCCAGAACAGTGTCTGGAGACCTGAATTCCACAGAATGAATGCGGAAAGGAAGGCCAGGAGACGATGGTAGTTGATAGAAGGATATCAACTCGAAAGGGCCTCTCTCTGTAGTTCGTAAGACATACAGTGAACCGCTGCCATCGGCGAGTAATACGACTGAGGACGACAAAAATGCCGCTGAGGGGTACTCGTTACGATGGGTTTCAACAGAGGCAGATTCGAGGGAGTGTGGTATCTCAAACACGACACGAAAATTGGGTTGGTTGGTTTCCTTATTCTGAATGAAATTCTCAATCTGTAGCTGCTATATGAAAAGCGCTCACCGGCGCGAGAAATATAGCAATAAGATTGAATTGCGAGTCGACATATACGGCATATTTTTCGCAAGTTGCAAGGTGATTGTGGGATATTCTACTCTGCATCTCTTTGAAGGTCAACAGGGATTTGTTGGATGAAGTGACCTGGGTCGCCTTGTGTTCCAGATTATACCGTGTTACTGAGCCATTTTGAGAAATCGAATGCAGTTTATACCCTTCGAATTGAGGGTTAATCAACGCTTTTTGAAGGTGGAATGACGCCATGGCTTGAGGGTGATGTTAAGAGACAAGGGTTTATGCGGCTGTGCGAGCCGGGCGGGCCGGTGGTTGATCACAAATGGACATTGTGAGCATGAACATTGAGAGCTGTCCGAGCATGCGAGGACAGTGCTCATAAGGTGACCTAAGCATCGAGAGTTTGTTTCACTTTACTTATCACAGCTAGCACTGTTTTCCCCATGTTGCTACCCTCTCACCCATCCATTGAGTCTTGATTTCAGAGGGAGTGTGTCTTCCTCTGAAATCTCACTCACAAGATAAATAAGCCCACTAGTGGCTTATTTTCTCTACTCTTTCACTGCAGTGACATTGATGGATGCAAATATAACCAAAATCTTTTCAGATGAACCCACAGAGAAGAATCAAGAAGCATACAACCCTTATGATGTGATCTTTTAAGATCTGCTCACCACATGATCCAAGCACATGATAAACTAGTGCTGTATCAGGTTCATACAGTCATGCTAGAGTTCACTTGTGTACTCAGAGAGTGTGTTCAAGGCTGTTGCAAGTTAGACTCAAGGAAAGAGATGGTATGAATAAACTTTAGCTTGAAGCTGAGTCTACTACAGTAAGAGCTATACTACTTATATATGATTCTGAAGGTGTTAAAAATACTATCTACTTATTGTGTCCTCTTGTGAGCTGGAACTAAAGAGCATAGTATCTATGCATGAAACAATAGGTATTGTCTATTGGTGAGGCATCTATCATGAGTTGTAGTACAATTGTGTAGGTCATCTGATATAATCATGGTAACTAGCCCATGATGTGAGTGTCTGTGGGTGATAAGATAGTTATGGTAAATGCTAGAGATAAGATAAGATAAGCACAAAAAATCATAACATTACTCTCTTCTTAAGACTATCATTCTGATGGCTAGGAGATTGAGACTTCATAGTCAGTGATGGCATCATCTGCATGTATGTTCTTTTCATTGATCCACTGATTGGACTCATGATCATACCCCTTCCACTTGACAAGATAATCCACCATTGTCAAGAGCCCTTGATCCCACCACCTGCATGTTTTGGAGAGCTTATGGTGTAGAATTTTCTTGACTTTATACTGTTTCTCTCTATCAACCAGAATGGCTTCAGAGAGTGGCAGTGTTTCTTGATTCAGAAATGCAGGCAGCATGTATGGAGATAATAGGAATTTATTAAATATGAGGTGTATCTGCTAGCTGTCAGAGAGTTTGAGTTTGTAGGTGATGGGATTAACTCTGGATACCACTGGAAAGAGGTCTGTCTATTTGTCAGCAAGTTTCTTCTTTGGGCAGAAAAGATGAAGGTTGGTGGTATCAAGCCAGACCTTGTCACTGACTATGTAGTTTCTGGCAGAGTGGTGGTGTTTGTCATATTAGGTTTTCATAGTGGCTGCCATCTTCTCAAGGGCCATGTAGGTTTCATGATGGATTTGTGTCATTTGCTCTATAAAAAAGCATGATATAGAGGTCTGAATTCTATGCTTACTTGTCAGTATGACTAAAAGATGTCATCCATAGTTGATAAAGAAGAAGGTCTTTCCAATGGCAGAGTGTATATAGTTATTATGCTGAAATGCAATAAAAGTAAGCCACTCAGTCCAATTGTCTTATCAGTAGTTGATAAACATATGTGGGTATTTTTTTATTTCTTGGTTCATTTGTTTGGTCTGCCTGTTGGTCTGAGGGTGATAGGTGGTTGATGCATTACTTTGAATGTGGAGGAGTTGGTAGAGGTCTGCTATAAAATTTTGATATAAACTGAAGGCTCTGATCAGAAATCATGATCTGAGGTATACTGTATTTGGCATATATCTCATCATAGAGGATTTTTGCCCATCTTTCTGAGAACAACTCAGTTGAGCAGGCTATTGAGATTATCACTTTTGAAAAACAGTCAAAAATGACAATAATAGCATCATATCCATGACACTCTAGTAGTCCAGTGATCATGTCTACAGATATGTGTGTTCATAGTTTTTGAAATCTCATTTGGATGTAATGGAGCAGGCTTTGCCTGTATACTTGCCTTTGTCTATTGACAGGTTTTGCATACTCTGATGTATGTTTCAGTGTCTTGCTTCAGTTTTGGCCACTAATACTCTCACAAAACAAGCTCTACTGTCTTTATGATTTCTGAATACCCAGCAATAATATGATCATGAGAACAGGCAATGATTTCACCATAGAGAGCATGGTCTTATGGTATGTAGATCCAGTTATCATAGTAGATTAGGTCTTCCTCCTTGGTCATTTCTCTGCTGTGATTGATTGACAAGGCTATTTTTTGATCCTATAGTTCTGTCCTTCATATGGCACTTTTGATGCACCCATGGGTCTCCTCCTCTATTAGTATTATCATCATCCTGAAGTGTTCTGCCTTCAAGACTACCATCTCCTCATTGTCATTCTTTCTCTGATCATGGTCTACCTATTGACTGAGTAAATCAGTCTTTTTGTTGATTGCATCAGTCTTGTGTTGCAGTAAGAAGTTGTACTCAGCTAACTCAGTGATTCAGCATATCTGTTGCCAGTTCAGCTTTTGTGGAAGATAGAAGCACTGAAGATTCTGATGTCTATTTAGATTTTGAAGGGTTGGATTGCATTCATAAGATAATGCCACTATTTGGCTAAGGCAAGCATAATGGCCAAGAGCTTCTTGTTATAGATCTTATAGTTTTGTTTGATGCACTGCTGAGGCCAGTAGGTTTTTAGCACAGGAAAAGGAGATCTAAAAATGTTGCAACTTTTCTGGATGTTTTTGTATGAGTAAAATAGATTCCATAAAATTAAAAGAAAAAGTACTTATTTTTGGTTATATTTTAGGGCAAGTAAATAAAAATGTTTTTGGAATATTTTCTAGATAGGAAGAGAGACAATAAAAGATATCTATTTCCAGCCATATTACACTCACAAATAGAAGTGCAGTTACAGCTTGCAAAAGAATAGCTTTTTACAAGCAATTTTAGGCCTAAAAAAAGAAGAATAATAAAATCTATTGAAAAAGAAATCCTTTTTTATCATATTCTCTTTATGTAAAAACCAGAGAGTTCCAGGTAAGGAAAAGATATTATAAAAGAAGTCAAATTTCATTGTATTTTACAGATAGTAAAACAAATTGTATACTGAGAGAGTCTCTAAGAGAGTCTCAAGAGAAACTCCTGAGATAAGCAATATCCTCAGTGTATAAGAGTCTCAGCATGCATAATTTGTTTTATCATCTGTAAGATACAATAAAATTTAGCTTCTTTTACATTATCTTTTCCTTATCTAAAAACCTCTGGTTTTTACATAAAGAGGATATGATAAAAATGGATTTTTTTTCAATAAATTTTATTATTCTTCTTTTTTTAGACCTAAAATTGCATCTGATTGACTCACATAGCAACAACAATAATAGATGTCCCCATAGTTAGAGACAGTCTATTATTGTAATGGTTTATTGGAGAATTCTTATATCTGAATAGCTTTTCTCTATCTTAAGGTCTTCAACACTGTTATGCACATGCTGCCAGCCTCCATGTCACCTCAAATCAACCATGAATCCAATCATGCTATCCATCAGACTCTGGCTGCTTTCTATTACCTACTAATTTCATTTTACCATTATCATTTCACATCTATATTTCACATTGTAATATCTAGACTCTGAACTTGATAGCAAATACTGACACTGGAATCCAATGGAACCTGACTCAGAATTAGCTACCATTAGTATATAAAGCCATGTACATCATCATAACTACTCAGTTTGAATATCAACTTGGATAAGCCATCTACACTTTGCACTCACTTTAACTTCTCTCTATCTTGTCCATTGGATTCCACTCTGAAGGATATTCTGGTTCACTTCTCTGATGGAACTCCATTCTGTCCACCCAGATCCTTGGGCTCTGACTCAAAGGGTGACATTGCCAATAGCTTTGTTGACACCCACACACTCTGCCAGACTCCACATGTGCACTCAAGCCCACTTGAATTAGCACATTCCTAACAGTATATTTGAACTCAAACCCTTGAGTTAAAAATTTTATCATGTCCACCACATTTACTGAACTCACAGAAACTGATCCTGAACAAACCCAGCCTACCTATCCAAACATATTTTCTATGGAAGACATTCTGGTCTCTGCCTCAAAGAAACAACCAGGTCTTTTCAGATCGACCTCTAGTGGAGGACAACCTCTCCATAGGGAAACCTACAATCACTCTAGCTTCACTGCCTGCCAACCTAATTATGATGATTTCCCTAATCCTTTCAATGCCACTAGCATCCCAACCAATGGAGCCTAACAGGTCAGCCTGATGTATAGTGCCTAAACCAACCTTCTAATAGACCCTTTATCCCTGGGCAACATGCATGAGAATCCAGACAGTCCAGACTCAGAGGGCAGAGATGAAGACACCTCTACTCATACTCCTATCTGACAGAAACCAGGTGGTAATCCACTAAATCCTTTCCCAGGAGGACTAGAAGGGCCAGGAGGACCAGATAGTCCCAATGGCCCAGGCAGCTCTAATAGCCCTGTAGGAAGTAACAATCCAAACTAGCAGGATATGTTCCTAGAATTCATGAACCTGTTATGAGGAGTCTCTGCTTCTCTCAACAATCTTAAACCAGCCACTATCTATATTAAGGTCAAGGAACCAGAACTATTTGATGGCTCTGACTCTCACAAACTGAAGGCTTTCATCATCTCCCTTTAGTTGAACTTCAATGACAGACCTACCACATTTGCAACAGATGCTAACAAGGTTAACTATGCCATTTCATTCCTGGCCAGCACCATGCTTAACTGGTTCAAACCAGACATTCTTAACCTCAATCTGCAGAATCCACCAGCCTGGCAATTCTCTTATGCAGCTTTCCTAGATGAGCTTCATAGCAACTTTGGCCCCTTTGATGCTATTGGAGATGCTGATAATGCATTAGAACACCTTCAGATGCATGATAGAGATTGGATCATAAAGTATATGATCCAATTCAACTAGTACACTTCACAAATTGGGTACAGAGATAACTCCCTCCACCATGCCTTT